TTTGAATAATGTTCAGTTTCAATAACATTGTTTTGTTTTCGGTGATTTGATTTTCTTTTCTTTTTTTTCATTAAAGCAGCAGAAAAGCAATATGATGAATTATATTTTCCGATTGGGCCATTTTCTCGATCAATTTTACCTTGATTTTTTTATTTCAGAATATGAATTAGCAATATCGTCTTTATTTTTTGTAGACGCTTGATTGGATTCTTCAATAGATTCCTTAGTTTTTTCCTTTAGCCTCAATATGTAGGTTAAATTCAAAGGTTGCTAATCTACTAAATAACCTATAATATCATGTGTTTGTTTGTGTACTATAATAGTTTTAAAATAGTTTCAACATGTTTTTCGATTGCAATATTCAATATTTTGCACATTTTTGGTGTTATAATTTGTTGAAAATAAAACATCAGCTGTATATTGAACTATGATTGTAAACTAGAGGTTTCTAGAAGCTTCTAGTATATTATTTCAAATATATAGATCATTAATTTTCTTATATAATTTTATTTGCCATCAAACTTTGTTTTTCAAGACAATACAAGCCAATTGACTATTGTTTGTTGATTCATTTTCAATTCTTGCAAAAATCAACAGATTATTGTTGGATGCTAAATCAAAATCAAATTTTATTTATTCTTAAAAAAAGTCATCTTTGTGTTTTTTGCTCGTTGGTTTGTTTGTTTGTTTTTTCTCGTGAAAGGTTATTAAAACCAACACACACGCACACACACTAATCACTGTTTTCGAGATAAGAGAAAAAAAGGGGTAATTAATCCATAGAAAAACAAGAATTTTTTTTCAAACAAAAGAAACATGTTTTTCAGATACATGTTTTTTCGTCGCAAAAAGGTTGGGAAGGGAAAAAAACAGTAAACATAGTCATTTCGTTTTATTTTGTTTCGGAAAGAAAGTGAGGAAAAACACACTAATCACAGTTTTCGAGATAAGAGAAAAAGGGGTAATTAATCCATGGAAAAGAAGAATTTTTTTATTGCTTTCGTTTTTCTTAATCTTATAAAAACAAACAGAAGAAAAAGTGAAAAAATGAACGATGAAAAAATCTCTGCTGCTGTTGTCGTTTTCACACTGGTCGTTTGGTTTTTTTTTGTTGGTTCCAAAATATTGAATCAAAAATTGATACGCAGAGAGACATGTCTCATACACACGCAGAGAGAGACATGTCTCATACCATATAATAGTTTTGTTGTAGTTTTTTTTTATTTGGTTGTTTTTCAGATTTTCTTGAATCACGAAATCTAAGAAAAGAAAATTAAAAATTTTTCTCAATGCATGTAGTGTGTGAAATTTTTTTTTTTTAGTCTCAATGACTCGATTCTTTCAGGAGTATCTTTTTCAGTATTTTGTTGCTCCAGTTATTCTTGTTGTTGTTAATGTTGACAAACAAAGCAAAAAATTCCGTTTCCGTACTTGATACACACACAAAAAAATTGCCGCATTGTCATTATCATCATCTAGGAAAAAGCAAAAAGCAATATTGTCATTGAATTCCGAGACACACATAGAATAATCTGAATGTTATTGATCCATTTCAAATAAATAAAATATGGCAATTTGGCAAGAAATTGTTTGTTTCTGTCTTTAATTTGGTTGCATGGAATGAAATTGTGTCGTATGAAAAGTTTATCTCAATGCTCGAAACGTATTCCTTTCTTTCTTTTAGATAACATACAAGATTAGTCAAATCAACAACATCATCAAATGAGTGATTTGATTACCATCATTGATTAGTGATCAAGTAGTGATGGACCTAAATGTTGATAACAATGGCAGATTTGTTTTGAACTTATTGTGGTGAATCTAATGTTTGTTCAAATTCGAATTAGAATTATACGGATGAAATAACACCCTCAAAATGTTTGACGTTTGTTGTCTTTATAGTGCCAGTGATTTGTGTTACTCTCTTTTGAAATGTATGATGATGAATCTTTTAATTCTTGTTCGGTTAAAACTTTTCAAATTCAATAAAATAATCAAATTTATATCTACCAGAGCATAAAAATAGTGTTGAAAAAAAACATCATCTGTATAAATTGAACGATGATTATAAATTAGAAGTTCTAGAAGTTTAAAATCAAAACATGATTGTTTTATGATCTGCGTATACTTGATCAATAAAGCTTTATTTTATCCACAAATATTTCAATAGTGTTCAATTCCCAATCATGACTGCTAACGTATTATCGATGTGATAATCATTACGATGTTATGGAACATCGTAGATTTTTATATATATAAATGAAAATTGTCTTTACTAATTGTATCAGATTTTGTCATTTCAATAAATGCAATTATCGATCGATGATCGTATATTTTTTGAATAAAATGATTGTTTGCAATTTTTATTTTTACATAAGAAAAATAGAAATATATTAACGTTCGTGCAACGGTTAAGAAGAAAAACTTTGTTGGTCAACCAATTAATAAGAAAGAACTCGATTGAAAAATAACGAAAAAAATTTTAGTGATAAGAAAAATATTGATTAAAAATACAAAAAGTGTGTGTGTGTCTAACAAGTGTGTGTGATAATGAAAAAATTTTTTTTTTGTTGTTTCAATTTTTTCGAATATTTTTTCTTCATTGTCGTAAACAACAAACAAAAGAAAAAAAGTCATCTTTGTGTTTTTTGCTCGTTCGTTTGTTTGTTTTTTCTCGTGAAAGGTTATTAAAACCAACACACACGCACACACACTAATCACTGTTTTCGAGATAAGAGAAAAAAAGGGGTAATTAATCCCTAGAAAAACAAGAATTTTTTTTTCAAACAAAAGAAACATGTTTTTCAGATACATGTTTTTTCGTCGCAAAAAGGTTGGGAAGGGAAAAAAACAGTAAACATAGTCATTTCGTTTTATTTTGTTTCGGAAAGAAAGTGAAGAAAAACACACTAATCACAATTTTCGAGATAAGAGAAAAAAGGGGTAATTAATCCATGGAAAAAGAAGAATTTTTTTTATTGCTTTCGTTTTTTCTTAATCTTATAAAAAAACAAACAGAAGAAAAAAGTGAAAAAAATGAACGATGAAAAAATCTCTGCTGCTGTTGTCGTTTTCACTGGTCGTTTGGTTTTTTTTTTTTGGTTGATTCCAAAATATTGAATCAAAACACACGCAGAGAGACATGTCTCATACCATATAATAGTTTTGTTGTAGTTTTTTATTTGGTTGTTTTCAGATTTTCTTGAATCACGAAATCTAAGAAAAGAAAATTAAAAATTTTTCTCAATGCATGTAGTGTGTGGAAATTTTTTTTTTAGTCTCAATGACTCGATTCTTTCGAGTATCTTTTCAGTATTTTGTTGCTCCAGTTATTCTTGTTGTTGTTAATGTTGACAAAACAAAGCAAAAAATTCCGTTTCCGTACTTGATACACAAACAAAAAAAATTGCCGCATTGTCATTATCAACATCTAGGAAAAAAACCATATTGTCATTGAATTCCGAGACACACATAGAATAATCTGAATGTTATTGATCCATTTCATTGCCTTATTTTACATTGTGAATATACCACACACACTTGTTGCACACACACACTATTTGTATTTTCAATCAATATTTTTCTTATCATTAAAATTTTCTTTGTTATTTTTCAATCGAGTTTTTTCTTCTTCAAATTTCCTGTCAAATAAAAGTCAAAGTCAAAGTTTTTGAAGAAAAATAAAAATCAAATGTATCATTTATTCATATGAGAAAAAAATGAATTATCAAGGGAATGTGTTTTGGACTGGTTGTTCGTTTGTAAAATTTAAAATTAGAAAAAATTAGTGAATCTTTGCTAGACAAAAATAAGGCAGGCAATTTGTAGGAAAAACATGGAAACCAATTTCATTGATGAACTTATCCATATCCTTTCCTTATTGTGTATTTGAATAATAATAAGAAGAATAAAGCATAATCTATCTATTTGCAACAGTATCCAAAACATTATTAACGCTCGGAATATCACATTTGGACATATCCACAACAACCAAACATTGGACAAAGAATGTATAAACCGAGTATTCAAGAAGAAAATTCTGCAAATCATTCGTGATAATAATCAACAAAATGGCTCAACTTCAAACTCTTGAGGCAAAACGAGTAAACCAACAACAACAACAACGCTCATCGTATCCACACAGCAGGACAACAGAAACAAGAAATGTGCGTTATGTTCAAGGTCGAATCACAGCAACAGTGTGGCTCAGCAAAAACACGAAAGCAGTTGGCTCAACGTTGTGGTTTAGGCTTCAAATGTTTACGACTCAACCACACAAGGCCAATCAAACATTAGTTGAGTCAACAATCAACATATCGGGAATGGCAGATGATGGTACAAACGACGAGGACCAATTCGATGATAATGACGAATTATCCAAACATCAAAATCGAGGACAGGAATTGAAGTGGGATCCACCACAACCACATAAAAAAAATCATTGGCTGAAAACACCGACACTTCCGTCTTGAGGAGTATGCAGCATTTAACCTTTGATTAGTTGACCAACAAAGTTTTTCTTCTCAACCATTGACCGAACGTTACTATATTTCTATTTTTCTTATGTAAAAATAAAAATTGCAAACAATCATTTTATTCAAAAAATATATAATCATCGATCGATAATAATGAAAAAGTTATGGCCAGCAATATACAAATTTACAAAAAATGAATTGAAATTGTAATGAAATTATAGTATAAACATGAATTGTCATCATTGTAAATTTTGTAACGAATTGCAATCATAGTCAATGATGCTTACAAACATCTCATCTCTTTGTTGATTGACATTCGACGATTTTCGATTATATTTATGATAATAGTATATATAAAACATTATTGCCAACGATTCCTATTGATTTGTTCTATTTGGTTATCTATAAAAAAAACAAACAAACAGAAATTTAGGCGAAATCATCTCGTTTCTCACATTCTTTTGATAACAGAGCAATACCAAATAAATGATACATTTGAGATTCTTCGAATTTTCTTCGAAAAAATACGATTCTGAACAAATTTTATTCAAATCAAATATAATCATCAATTAATTAACAAAAAATGAAAAATTTAATTGGCCATTTTCAAGCATTAAAATGATTCTTTACGATGTTAGATTACGCGCATACAAACACGACAACGAGAAATTTTTCTGGTTAAATCACCAGCTTTAAATGTTTCCGATTCAGGTATCCTAAATTGATCGTTATGATCGATAGATGATAACCAATAACTATTAGCTGTACTATATAGATTACAGCTACCATGTCCATGACATTCAATGAATGGATTTGGTCGAAATTGTTCCAAACATGATCCAGGTGATGATAATGTTTGACCACTGCCTTCACCACCACTATCGGTATTCATGAAAAAACTGTAACCAGTCCAAAGACTTTGCCAACCACCGGGGCAGAATGGTTCCATGGTATTTTGGCTATGAATAGCAATAACTTGTGTAGTGGATTCACAGACCGAACATTTTCCAATATAATTTCGAATACGGTCATTTCGAATTGGCCGCATATCCATTGGCATTGGTTCATCGGTACTTAGCCAATAACTATAATCATTGGTTGATGCAAAATTACAAACTTCATTGATCGTGCAGAACATGTATGGCATTGTGCTGAAACGACGAAGACAACTGCCAGGGCTTCCTAAATCTTGGCCGTGAGCTCTATCGAGAAAAAAAAATTAATTTTCAATTTTCAATTTTTCGATGTAAATACTTTTCATTTCCCATAATGTATAGGAGTGAATAACCGGTCCACATTGGCGTCGAATTATTTGGACAAGGAGGATCATGAATATTTTGACTATGACGAGTGAAATAATAACCAATCGTTTTTATTCTGGTGCCTTTGGCTCCTTTTTCACCCTGTAAACCAGGGTCCCCGACCGGTCCCGGCAATCCGCTTAGACCTGTTGAATATTCGTAAAAATTAATGATCGTGTAGTAGAAGAGCAACAAGTTAAATTACCAATGAATCCTGGATCGCCTCTGATTCCTTTGAGACCGTATTGGCCAGGTTGCCCAGCCATTCCAACCATGCCTTTATCGCCGATATATCCTTTAAAACCGGAAGCTCCAGCTCTACCGGATATGCCCTGTGGGCCAGCATCACCAAAATCTCCGCGCTCTCCTTTCATGATTACAATTTTGTCACGATCTAAATCACCAGGATAACCTTTCATTCCTTTGATTCCTGTGTGTGTGTGGGAATGAAACATAAAAACAATATAATAAAGTGGAACAAATCGAACGACATGAAAAACGCTAACCTTGAAGACCATCTCTTCCGGCGAAACCACTATCTCCACTATCTCCCATTGGGCCTGCTTGTCCGCTAAATCCAGGAAACCCACTATCACCAATTTCGCCTTTATAGCCTTTCAAACCGGATAATCCTTTATTTCCTCTCCAACCTTGAAGTCCAACAAGTCCTTGCCTTCCAACCAAACCTGCTAAACCCTGGTCCCCTTTGGTTCCTTTAATGCCCAGAAATTCCAGGAATCGCAGCTGGGCCGGTTTGACCTTTAGCACCAGGTATCCCTTTAAAACATTTAAATGTTGAATGGATAAATAAAAGTGGAAAATTGATGATGAATTACCAGGCAATCCAGTCCGTCCAACATGTCCAATTTCGCCTTTTTCACCAACAACAAATGTTCCTGGTTTTCCAGCCGGTCCTGGTGTTATAAATATTGAATTATAAAATATATATAATATATATGGAAATTAAAAGAGTTTATATATTCATACAAGCAAGAAAGTCATCATTGGTAGTATATGTAGATGATATTTTGTCTAAGCATATTGAAATCAAGAGTTTAGGCAATGTCAAGAATTTTTGTGGTTTGGAAATGCGTAAAGAAAAAAATATTTTTCAAACAAGTCAAAGAGGGGATACATACTAACCAACTAAACATATTTGGGATTTAAAAGAAACACGGAATGCAACTTGAAATCTTGGATATTTCAGTGATGAGCATCTTACTGTATATATAGAGATTCAGATTTTGGAACATTACCAGATCTATTAGTGGTGTGTTATAATGAAATATTATGGAGTAAAAAACAAAAATCTATCTACTAGTTTCTATTTCTAGCTGAATATTATGGATGGGCAGAATAATCAATCTGCATTGAAGATTTTTAAAGATCAAAGTCCTCAAAGACATTCAAAGCATATGGATATAAGAAGAGAATATGTTTTTGATAATTTAAATCAAAATGAATGTAAAATCGCATATATTCCAGGTGAAACAATAGTGTAAATTTACTATTAATATACTTGAAAAACTTGTAATAAATTTGATAGTTTTGAATAGTTTCAATACCTGGTAAACCTGGTAGGCCATGATCTCCAATTACGTTTGGTGGTTGAGCAACTAATTGATCAAATTCGATAATTATAATTCATTTTAATCGGAAAAAACTAGTCATCCATACCAGTAATGTTGAAAACTCTTCCAGGTAAACCTTGATCGCCCTTTAGAATGCAAAAAATTTATCAAAAATTAGAAAATTACAATCATAACGAATACCTATTTCTTACTTGTATGCCTTTCAACCCAATAAGACCATCAAGTCCCGGAAGTCCTAAATATCCTGTGTCACCGATTGATCCTTTCAAACCCGCAACACCTTGATAACCTGAATCCCCGCTCATTCCTTTTTATGAGAAAAAAATGAATCGTTATACTTGATTGATATACATTGAATCGTTGAATTATGACATAAACCTTTTAATCCAGGTAACCCCCTTGGTCCTGGATCGCCTTTATCGCCTTTAATCATTTGTGAATTTATTCCTGGTTCTCCTCGAGCACCAGCGATTCCCATTAAGCCCGGGTTCCCATTAAGCCCGCGATTTCCTTTTTCACCTTTTAATCCAGGTGGTCCGCTTTCTCCCTTAGAACCCTTCAATCCTATTTCCAATATAATTTATATCGATTAAAATTTAAAAAGGGTACCATTTTTCTGGGCAGTATTTTGAAGGGTTGATCAGTAATCAGTAAATATATTAGTTTTTTATGTGATTGATCAGTTAATTTAAAAATAAATTGTCAGTTTTAAAATGTAAACCGGTCGGTTTTATTCAAATCAACGGTTAGTAAAATAAGAAGAATAATCTAGTCTATACTACTAGCAACGACTTTGTAGCCTCTACAATGATGTTTTTGATTTATATCGGTGAATTGCGTTTCGGTAGTCTGTTGCATCCGTTGTCACGACAATCAAAATTTCACTCTAATTTTATTATGGTTGTTGTTCTAAGGCTGATAGGATTAAAAACAACAACTTGGTCATCACTTTTAGCCATCCATAATCGCATATGTAAAAATGTACATTTCTTCATTCCATCATTGGTATCGTTCTTATAATAATAGCTCCAAATTTTTTGAGATTCAATGTATTCCATAGCTTCTACTTTTTCACTGATTTCTTTAAACGTTTCATTGTAGTTTCAAATGTTCGAATCAAGGCAAGGCAATCACTCATTTATTTACTGATCAATTTAATTAAATTACCGATAAAAGCTTTTAAAAACTGACAATTCCAATTACTGACCCTACATTATTTATCGCTAACTGAACAAAATTGAATTTAAAAAACTGATCATTTCCCTCAAAATACTAACCAATTAAATATATCTCTTTAAAAAAATATAAAGCTGTTCTTCTTACCTGGCAAACCAGGAAATCCATTTCTACCAACCGGGCCAATTCGACCGTATTCACCGACGGATCCTTGTTCTCCAATTGGCCCAATAAATCCATCATCTCCGCGTTCACCAATCGTTCCTTTTGTCATAAATATTGAATTATAAAATAATATAATAAGAAACAATAGTATAAATTTACTAGTATATAGTTTTAATAGTTTCAATACCTTTCGGACCTTCGATTCCTGGTAAACCGATTCTTCCATTATCACCATGATCGCCTTTGACGCCTTTTGTTCCTCGGATAATTTGACCAGGTTCACCTTTTAGAATTTTAACAAGCAAAATGAAATAAACTAAAGAACAAATTCAAAAGGTTTTTAATAATTATAAATCAATCACTTCTAAACTCATATTTATATCAATAATGGTGACGTGGCATATTCTTAATTGAATTAATTGGTTTCAACAATTCAACACTCCTCCTGTTGAAATAATTAATTCAAATTCCATAACTGAATCAAATGCTTATGTTTTGGAGATGACAAGGATTTAGTTAAAAGATCTGCAACTTGTCCATCGGTGCTAACCCATTCCACGTCTAATATCTCATCTTTGACCAATTGCCTAACCATATGAAATTTTATATCAATATGCTTTAACTTTGAAGGAATGGCCACTTGTTTCAGTTGGGCAATTGCTGACTGGTTGTCCACGAATATTTTTGGTCGTTTGAAATCGATCTTAAGTTCATTCAATATATTCATAATAAAACGAAGACTTTTCGAACACATAGAACAAGCAATAAACTCAGCTTCGCTTGTATTATCGACCACCATTTTCTGTGTTTTCGTTCTCCATAAGACTGGTCCATTAACATTAATGACATAGCCAGAAGTTGATTTTCTATCATCTTTTCTTCCAGCAAGATCGGAATCAGAGAAAGCGTAGATTTCAATATTTTCACTTCCTCCCAGTATAATTCCGTATGAAGTAGTTGATCTCAAATATCGGAATATTCGTTTTAAACCAGTGACATGTATTTCTAATGGCTTAATTACGAAACGTGAAAGTAAAGAAACACCAAAACATATATCTGGACGAGTTTTTGTAGCAAGATATAACAAGCTTCCAATAGCTTGTCTGTACGGATAATCTAAATCTTCTTTTGATTCTTGATACATATCTTCTACTGAACAAGGTGATTGAACACCTTTACAATTTTCCATATCAAAAGTTTTCAATTTAGATTCTGTATAATTAAATTGATATAACTTAATCGTGCGTTTTTGACGATCCCGCTCATATTGGAAACCAACGTATATATCGGATTTAACCAAATTAACTTTAAAATGCTTGTTCAAATAATCGAAAACATTTTGAACTTCATCATGACTAGTTGAGCATATGATACCATCATCAACGTATAATATCACAATAATTAGACATCCATTTTTATAATTATGATATAGACAAGAATCATAATTTGAAACTGTCAAACCATATTCAATAATAACGTCATGAAATCTTTGATTCCAAGCTCTTGGACTTTCTTTTAACCCATATAGTCCACGTTTCAGTTTGCACACTCGATTAGTCCCGTCATCAAAACCATAAGGTTGTTCAATAAAGACATCGTGATAAATGAAACCATTAAGAAAAGCTGTTGATACATCAAACTGAATCATTTCCATATTTAAAGAAGCGATAATTGAGAAAATAAGACGTATAGTATCAGTGTTAACAACAGGTGCATATGTACACCATACGTCATTCTCATCTGCTTCGAAACCTCTCGCCACCAAACGAGATTTGTAACGACCGTCATCTTTTATACGAAATAGCCATTTAACGGAGATGATCTTCTTATTTGATGGTCTTGGAACCAGATCCCAAGTTTGATTTTCGATCAAAGCATCATATTCAGATTTCATAGAAACCAACCATTTATCTGATTCTTCGCTAGTAATTGCTTCATTATATGTTGCCGGCGTTGAACCAGCAATTGTTAAAGCAACAATCTTCCTTGGTCTTAAAGATGCCAAACGTTCAACATTAACTTCATATATCTTATTTGTTGCTCCAACAGGACGACCTCTCTGATGATTTTCGTTTTGTTCAACATTTTCAGTTTGATTTGGATCCACCGAATCTTCTATCATCATTTCTGGTTGATCTGAACTGACTTCGTTATCAACTATATCAACACTACTGACGTTTGCTAGATTATCAGTAATGTCTATATTGTTGCTTTCCAATTTGAGATTTGAAATTTCGTCCCATTTAACTGATGATGATAAACAGATTTGTTTCGATATAGGATCATAACATCGATAAATCGATTCTCCTTCATAGCCAACCAAAACAACAGATTTAGTTCGACCATTAAATTTGTTGTTATTCTTAATCAGCATTTCACCAGATGAACCAAATATTTTAAGATTGGAAACATTTGGTTTTCGTCCATACCATAACGTATATGGTACAACTCCTGCTGAATTCAATAATCTGTTCTGAGTATAAGCTGTTTGATTCAATGCTTCATCCCAGAGACGAAGAGGCAAACTTTTACTCGATAATGAGGCAACAGAATGTTCAACCAATGTTCGTATGTTTCTCTCAGCTTTACCGTTCTGTTGTGGAACACCAACAGTGGCAAACTGATGTATGATTCCATTGTCTTCAATTAATTGTTTGAAATGATTCGAAGTAAATTCTGTACCACGGTCACTTCGAATACATCTGACAATATTGCCGGTATCTAAACGAACTTCATTTAACAATCGTTTAAATTTGGCTAAAACTTCTGTTCTTTGTTTCATAAAGAATAACTTAATATAGCCAGATAATTCATCAACACATATGAGAAAATAACGATTTTGATGAATTGATGTATGCTTGACATAGCCACCTATGTCTAAATGGATGAATTCACCAACTTTTGCACAACTTTTATTCTTCACTGTTGGATGACTTGATTCGACTAATTTTCCTTGACAGCAAGATTTGCAGAAACCAACATCTTGTATGAATCTCTTTGGTAAACCGTCAACCAGATTCTCTTTTGCCATAGACTCAATCAATTTTGAACTAACATGATTGAATCTTTCATGCCAAATTTTCAGACTATCTTGAATCATCATCATATTAACACGTCTTTTAAACAAACGGGATCTTAACTCATATACATTTGCACTTGTATCTGAGCGATCTGCATATATAATTGGCTTTCCTTTCAAGAATACAACAATTTTGTTGAAATCTCCTTTAAAATTGATATCTCGATCACAAGCCAATTGTCCAAGTGATATCATATTCAACGGCGATGATTTAATCAATAAGGAATCTTTTAAAATCACTGTGTTCCATTCATCACCATTATGAATATCGATTTCGACAGTTCCAATTGCAGATGCTTTAACTGATCCACCTGGTGAATCTATATCACCTTCTTCATATACATTTTGATCAACAAAATAACGTGAATCATTAAATGTATGATTACTAGCACCACTATCAGCATAAACAATAGGGTGATCGTACATTTCTTCACCTTTTATTCCTTTATAACCCAAAATTCCAGGATAGCCTAATTCGCCTTTCGGACCTTTTAATCCAGGAGGAGCATTGTCGCCCATTTCCCCTTTGATTCCTTTATCATACAAAGATATTCCTTTTGGTCCAGGATAGCCAGAATCGCCCGGATCCCCAATTTCTCCTTTCTCTCCAGGAAGAGAATAAAAACTTGCTGATAAGCCTGGATCTCCGGTATCACCTTTGATGCCTTTTGGACCATAATGGCCGTGTTCGCCTATGATATAAAAGATTGAATTAACCCATTAATGCTCATGATTCTATATATATACGATATTTATTTTACGAATATATTTAAAACTATCCATTCAATTTTTATAAAATTGAACGCGGATGTAAGAATTCAAAGTGTTGCAAGACCATTTTACATGACATTGTAGACAAACAATGTACATGCCAAGTTTGTATAAAAAATCACAGTATCAATGCAACAAAGGTTTCTGTTTAAATGATTTTAAATCATATCATAGTCAATTATAAAATAAAGACGCTATAAATTGATATGTTTTTCAATTTATAAAATGATTTCTAAGAGAAAAACAGAATATCTAATATATGCAAAAAAGCTGGATGAAAATTCAAAGTTTGATTTCTCGAAATTTAAAATGAATAAATGTCATATTTATTACTTGTAGGCATCAAACTTTTATGATAAATAACTTTTTTCAAAAAAAAATTGGTCATTAATGGATCGTTTTTTTTAGTGAAAGCGATCACATACCTGAAACACCATTCGGACCAGGAAGACCGAAATTAGGGTCACCTTTTAAGCCGGGTAATCCTCTTGCTCCTTCTAGACCGTCTAGCCCGCGATGGCCATCTTTTCCATGGCGCCCAGGTTCACCCATTACGCCATTTATTCCAATATCACCGATGGAACCCTTTAAAATTAATAAAATAATGAATAATGCACAAGAAATATGAATATCGCAGAAAGGAACTAAGCAAAGGTTTAATAAAACGATCAAAAAACAAGCATATAATTCAGCTCTAATTATACCATCGTCCACGTATAATATAAGCATCGTTCTGTTGTCATTTTTACTATCAACATATTATAAACATGAATCAAAAGCTGAAGCTTTTAGTCCATATTTCTTGATTATATCATCAAAACGTCTATTCCAAGCTTGAGGACTTTTTTTGCCAAACCCAAAACATTCTTTGTTTCGCTCTTAATTTCATTAAACGTTTCGCAAACGTTTCCGGTCCAAGAAATTTTTGCTTCAATTTTGCAATCGATGTCGTCGATGATCCTTCATGAAACAAAATCAACTTCCTAAACAATGCTTTATACAATGTCCTGGATAAATCTTGACTTCTTAAGACACATTCCATCTCAAACATCCATCTAGAATGTGTCAATCATATGTCGAGTCGGTCAAGATGCAAGATGAAGATGAAATAATTATGCTAAGTAATGTTGTATATTTGGTGTAGAATGAAACGTATCATAGAACTATGTTGTTCGATAGTTCGAATGAAATTGTGTATTTAGTATTGTTTTTGAAAATAAAATGTATTCGATGATTGCTTATTATTATGAACACATCTAACATGTAATAATTCAATAAACAATTCGAACAATATCTGACTCACTTTTGGACCAAACATTCCTGGTGCTCCGGCAACTCCTTCATCACCGATATCACCTTTTTCACCTTTAAAAGTTTAAAAAATTACTAAAATTATCAAAGATGAAAAAATTCATACCATCAACGCCATTACGACCAGGTTTACCGGCCAAACCTTGACTTCCTGCCATCGTTGGGCCAATTGATCCTTTTTCTCCTTTTAAACCCGAAAGACCGGGCCGACCATCATCTCCCTTAACGAGATTTGACATTTTAATTGCAATCAACAATTTTGAAACTTGAAACTTACTTTTGGACCAGCCATTCCAGGGTCTCCTGCGTCGCCATTAAATCCCACCCACCCTCTTGGTCCAATATCGCCGTAAAAACCTTTGGGCCCAGGTCGCCCATTCAATCCAGGTAACCCCATTTCGCCATCATCGCCAGTATCACCCATCACGCCCTTTTGTTTAATTTTATTAATAATGTTGTTGTTATTGTTGTAAATAATTAATTACTGTATTATTACTTATAACAATAACAATTATAATATTAATTCTATATATGAAATTTAAAAATCTACAATAAATTAACTGGTGATGATTAACTGAAATCGTTTGATGATTTTTAATGGCAAAAATTATCGAGTTTGGTCAAAGCGAATAAATCATGAATTTGAATCTTTATTTGAAGAAGATATCTTGGTAGTCGATTTTATTCCAGATGATTGGAATAATAGTAAAGTTATGAAGTTAAAAAGAGCACTAAATTTAATAATGTCTACTTGCTCAGAAGATGTGGTCGAATATATGTATTGGATTGTGAAACACCTTATCGAGCTTTGAAGGTTTTAGAAGAAAGATATAATAAAGTTGGTTTTTTATCAATTTTATTATTGGCAAAGAAACTAATGATGAATACAAAAGGAAAAATTGGAGAATTAAACAAGTAATATATTGATGAAATGAAGAAAATGTTTGAAGAATTATCTTGGTCTGGTAAAACTATTGATGAGCATAATCGTGTTTTGCTTTTGCTGCTGAATTTACCTGAGGAATTACAATCTATATATATGGCAACATTTTGATACAACTGATGAAACAAAGTTAAAATGGAATGTGTTAAGAAACGACAGCGCAGTTGCCGTGAATTATTACACGTCAACATTCTAATATTCGAACTTAATCCAATTTTGTACTAAATAAAAAATTTATCCTTTTACAAAACGTTCTTCTTTGTTTGTTTGGTTCGTTAGTAATTCAGAGAAAGATTTTGTAGAAGAAAAACGTTTATTGAATAATGAGAAAGAAAGAAATGAAAAAGTTTTAATTGCAAAACGTTCTAAATCAATTATATGTCATTATTGTAAATTACAAGGACATATTGAACGTTATTGTTATGAAAAGAAAAATGATCTCGAAAATAAAGTTTTACAAGTGAATTCTGTTGTTGGTGAAAGTTCTAATAAAGATATAATTCAAATTATTTCTCTTTGTTTATTTGTAACAAGAATGAAAAGCATCTTTTTATTCTTGATTCTGGAGCAAGTTGTCATTGTATATATCTGTAAAATTATTTTGTGAATATGGACAGAATATAAATGAAATTATTTGAAAAGATGCAAAGTTTGTACCGAATTTGAAATTTAATTTAATTTCAATGAAAAAACTTGGCTATGAGATATTCTGATTATCATAAAGCTTATCGTTTTTATATGATCCATATGAATCAAAAATATTTTTTCAAAAATGTTAATTTTCTGGACGAAGAATTCTATTGGAAGTGTGAAGAAAAAGAATCAAATACAAATCAGTTATTTAATGATTATAATTTGAATAATAAAAATCAAATGAATAATATTAAAAGTGAAGAATTAGATATTTCTGAAGAAAATGAAGAAGATAATCGTGTCTCAGTACTTTGTCGTTCTAATAGATCAAATTTTGGTATTCCTCCTGAAAGGTTTCAAGCTGGTTTGTTATTTAAAGACCAAGTGATAATACCAAAAACATATGATGAAGCTATGAAGTCAAAAGAATCGTCTCTTTGGATTCTTGGATTCTTCGGATGAGAAAGGCAATATAGATCGGTTTAAAGCTCGTTTAATTTGTCAAGGTTTCAGTCAAGTTAAAGACATTGATTATCATCATGATATTTATTCTTCTGTTACAAATTTTACTACAATACGAATTACTAGTTTTAACATATGCAGCTATTAATAATTTAGCTGTAACGCATTTAGATGTTAAAACAGCCTTTTTAAATTACCTTGTGGAATATTGGTTGTCTTCAATATATTGCTAATAGATCAAGACCAGACATAGCAGCAAATGTCAATATTTTGTCTGCAAAAGTGCATGAACAACTGACTGTATTTAAATACTATGGATCAACAATTGGCTGGATGAGTAAAAAACAAAAATCAGTATCAATTTCAACAACTGAAGCTGAATATTATGCCATATCTTTAGGTGTGGCTATGGTGTGTTTATGGATAGGCAGAATAATAAATCCGCAATGAAGATTTTTAAAGATGGTCCACAAAGACATTCTGAACATATAGATATAAGAAGAGAATATGTTCTAGATAATTTAAATCGAAATGAATGTAAAATCGTATAAATTCCTGGTGAAAAACAGCTGAGTGATTTTCTTACAAAACCATTTAAACAAAAAACTAAAGAAATTATTTGCAAAGACGTTTTCAATTTTGGGGGGCTGTTGTAAATAATTAATTACTGTATTATTACTTATAACAATATAATATTAATTCTATATATATGAAATTTAAAAATCTACAATAAATTAACTGCTAAATTAATTATTTTGTTTTTCTCAGTTATTATTCTTTGTAATTTACCTTTTCACCAGGGAATCCAGCCAAACCAGGTTTTCCTGTTAGTCCTTTTGCGCCCTTTTTTCCGCGATTACCAGGGTCCCCGGCGAAACCTTGATAACCTTTGAATCCCATTGGACCAGCTTGTGAAATTCCGTTTCGACCCGCATCGCCTTTATAGCCCGCCATTCCGGGCAGGCCATTTTTACCATCTCTTCCGGATATCCCGATTATACCTGAAGAATTTTGGCATTTTTCTATTAGTTGTGCAAATTATCTATTGAATCGTTGGCAAACTAAAAACTATATAATTCCATACGAAAAATTTACAGGAAAAAAAGTGTCATTTGATCACTTAAAGATTTTTGGTTGTCTTGCCTATTGGCTAGTTAATGATAATATCGTATCGAATAAATTTGACTATAGAGGAAAAAAGATGATTTTTATCGGCTACACACAGAGCACTAAAAACTATCTTTTGCTTGACCCAACAACAAATAATGTGGTTAAAGCTTGTGATATTGTCTTTAATGAAAACGAATTAGGATATCAAGCGATTATGATGAATGTAATAAATTCAAAATCAAATCATATCGATAATGATAAATCACAAAACAACAATGTAGCCAGTTTGACATCCAATTCATCTGATATAATTACATATAATAAGGAAGCCTTAAAATCTTTAAATAGCAGTGAATGGATAAGTGCAATGGAAAAAGAAATAAATGACCTGATCCAGTAGGGTACCAATGACAACAAAGTGGGTTTTACGAAGAAAATCGGATGGTCGTTTTAAAGCTAGATGTGTGGTTAGAGGTATGGAACAGTTTGTTAACGATACATATGTTCCGACCTTGCATATTTCATCTCTTATGACCGTATTGACTGTTGCTTTAACGAAGAAAATGGTTATTAAGCAATTGGACATAAGTACAGCATTCCTTAATTCTCGTTTGGACGATGAAATCTATGTGTTGCCACCACCTGGCGTTGAGGATAAATATTGGAAGCTTAACAAAGCTTTATACGGTCTAAAACAAGCACCTCGAGCGTGGTATCAAACATTTTCATAATTTCTGAAAAAAGAATTGAGATTAAAATGTTCGCTGGCCGATCCTTGTGTATTTTATTCTGATAATGTCATGATGGCTGTCTATGTTGATGACATTATTATTGCGGCTGAAAATCAAGATTTAGTTGATAAAATTATTCATTCCATTGAAAGAAGATTTGAAGTTCATGATTATGCTGATTGTTCAAAATATCTTGGTCTTAACATCGAGGTTGATAATGCTGCAATCTTCATCGATCAAACAAAATATATTGATAACATTCGACTAATGTTCCAATGGATGACATGGAAGATTTTTCGAATTGTCCTATTGATTACAAATATCCTGTCAAAGAAATTCTTGGATCACTAAATTATATTGCATGCAGATCAAGACCGGATATTTCCTTATGTGTATCCTATCTGGGTCGTTTCGCCGATAAACCATCAGAAAAACTTTGGAAAGCTTGTAAACGCGTTCAGAGATATTTAAAAGGAACAAAATATCAACAATTGAAAATATTACCAGTACATAAATGGGTAATAAATCTGTACACTGATGCTAGTTTTCGTTCTGATAGTAATTCAAATGCAACCAGTGGTACAGTTACTTTCATTGACAAATCACCAATTAATTGGTCTTTGAAAAAACAGTCAAGATTACCACATTCAACTTGTGAAGCAGAATTAACAGCTGCATTAGAAGGATGGAAAAATGCTGAACCAATCAGACAGCTTCTTCAAGAGTTCGGAATCAATACACCTATCATACTACATGTTGACAATAGTGCGGCTATTTCAATAATGGATAATAATGCATTCAAAAGATCGCGATATTTTGCTTATGATCAAAAATTATTAGTCTCCAAAATGAAAGATGATAATCAAGTCAAAGTTACCAGAATATCTTCATCTGATCAATTAGCAGATGCATTGACCAAACCTTTATGTAAAATTAAATTAAATGTATTTACTTCACGTATGTTTAGCCAGAATGGTGTGTTAAATGATATTGGCTAAGCATACGTGCTTTTTTCTGGCACATAGCCACTGTATATAAAAACACTATTATATTCAAATAAAGTTCATTGTTATTTTCTACATACCCGCATCACCTCTATCGCCTCTGGGACCCTGTGGACCTTGCTTTCCTTTGAATGCTTGCAATACAATTGGATCGGGTGCATAGAATGAATCGCCTTTCATGCCTTTGAAACCATAATCACCAATCATTCCTTTCTGTCCTTTTTCTCCGATTCGACCTTGTAAACCGGGTAGCCCATAAACAGTTGTGCCTTTTTCGCCACGAACCCCTGGCGTGCCATTTATACCATCGGGCCCAGATTGTCCCGCAATACCAGGGTCCCCGAATTCTCCCTAAAAATGAATGATTAGATTCAAATCAACATTATAAAAATCAATGAGAATATTTTCTACAAATTCCAAACATTTAAACATGACCGATAATTTAGTTATCGAATAATTGATAAACAGAAACAAAAATATTAATTAACATTCTTAAAAATTAACACACAAACTATAAAAACTAAACACAGAGCACGACAATCTTTATCTTGTGCAGATCACACGTATATTGGCAGTGATTTCATTTGAGTTAAAGTTGAATTTTTTATATGAATTCTGGAAAATTCTGTCATTTCGATTATTTTCAACTTGTGATCTAATATGTTTTGATTTTTTTATTTGCCTCTATCTGGGTTGTCTCTGTTTTTTTTCTAATGTTAGCATATACTATAAACAGAACCATTGTTCCAAAACATTTGCACAATAATTCAATATATATTCGAACAATTATCGATATCTAACCTGATCTCCTTTTAATCCAAACAAACCGTTCAGACCAGAAGCGCCGGTTTTTCCATCAATTCCCGATTCTCCAGCTTCGCCTTTTTGGCCAGGATCCCCAATATCACCAATTGTTACAAAGCCCAGAGAAATGACTTCACCTGGATCACCTTTAGGACCTTTTCTGCCAAAAATTCCATCGCTACCCAAATCCCCTTTTTCACCAGAATAACCAGGCAACCCAGCGATTCCGCTTGACCCTTTTAAACCGGCTAAACCAGAATCCCCATTGAAACCAGGAGCCCCGAAAAATCCATCTCTGCCAAATTCACCAGATTCTCCTTTTTCTCCATTTAATGCCGGTGGACATGAAACACAATCCCAGCCTTTTTCACCTTTGGGTCCAGGTATACCAGGTAATCCATTTAATCCATCATCGCCGACATCACCAGGTTCGCCACGCAATCCGTTTTCACCTGGCCTGCCCATTTTCGGTACACCTTGTCCAGGATAACCAGCATCACCTAAAGAATGATTTAACACACGATAATTATTATTGGTGAATTTTGAGTTAAACACACAACAACGAATAATCCGACAAGCCAGCAAGATTTACTTGTAAAAAGCAAGATATACTTGTGAGAAACAAACAAGATTGTGAAGATCTCAACACTGAATTAATTGATCGTCAAAATAAATATAAAGTAGAATTTACAATTGGTGAAAATATATAAATTGTATTAATTAACAATTTTAAAATCTTGAAAATATAAATTGCAGTGCCAACTTTATTGGAAAAATTCTGATAATATTGAGCAAGAATTAAAATTCATTAAACGATTGGAATATCATAAAGAAATTAAAAATAATTTGTTTTTGAATACTGATTTAATTGTGAAAACACATGAATGATGCTATCAGAAATTATTGATTTGTCAATCGAAAAGAAAATAAAAATGGATGCAGATAAGTATAAAATATTTGATTCTGTGCACGATGAAAAAGTTAAAGAAATTTTGGAATTTGTTTCTAAACTGGAGAAACAATTAAACGAGATATAAATTCAGTATGGACAAATTTGCAACATCTCTACAGGAATTTGGAAAAGAAGAATAAATAAAATTTGATTTTGATTTAGCATCCAACAATAATCTGTTGATTTTTGCAAGAATTGAAAATGAATCAACAAACAATAGTCAATTGGCTTGTATTGTCTTGAAAAACAAAGTTTGATGGCAAATAAAATTATATAAGAAAATTAATGATCTATATATTTAAAATAATATACTAGAAGCTTCTAGAAACCTCTAGTTTACAATCATAGTTCAATATACAGCTGATGTTTTATTTTCAACAAATTATAACACCAAAAATGTGCAAAATATTGAATATTGCAATCGAAAAACATGTTGAAACTATTTTAAAACTATTATAGTACACAAACAAACACATGATATTATAGGTTATTTAGTAGATTAGCAACCTTTGAATTTAACCTACATATTGAGGCTAAAGGAAAAAACTAAGGAATCTATTGATGAATCCAATCAAGCGTCTACAAAAAATAAAGACGATATTGCTAATTCATATTCTGAAATAAAAAAATCAAGGTAAAATTGATCGAGAAAATGGCCCAATCGGAAAATCTAATTCATCATATTGCTTTTCTGCTGCTTTAATGAAAAAAAAGAAAAGAAAATCAAATCACCGAAAACAAAACAATGTTATTGAAACTGAACATTATTCAAAGCCAAAATTTACTGATAATCAAAATCAATCAAAATGGAATTGGATCAAAACACATCAAAAAGAATCACATAAATTATAATTCTGAAATTTACTATATAAGCTAATCTAAAAAGAATAATTAAGTACACTACACACGATAATTATTATTGATGAATTTTGAGTGAAACACATCAACGAATAACCATATATATACTCACCTGTAGCGCCATTATCACCCCGAATTCCTGGTAGGCCAGGCAATCCATACAATCCATCATTTCCGGCTTCGCCACGTGGACCATAGACATTTTCGCCTTTTTCACCTTTATTGCCTTTAATTCCTTGAAGTCCCGTAAAACCAACACGCCCAGAATTTCCGGAATTTCCAGGTAAACCGTCATCACCGCGATCGCCGATAGGACTAAGTCCTGGCTTGCCTAACAACCCATCATTTCCGGCTGGACCGGGCTCGCCAGCACTTCCTGGGTAACCGATGGAACCAATCGGACCGGAAGGACCGAATTGGCCTGGAAAACCACTTTCACCCGGCGGACCTTGTATACCCTGGGGGCCAGGTAACGAGACACCAACTTCTATGAGTTTACCTTTTGGTCCCGGATCCCCCTGAGGACCAACTCTTCCGGAAAGGCCTTGATTTCCTTGATCACCCTATGATGTTTCAAAAGAACAATTTGTCATTATTAAATTCAATGTGGCAGTAAAAATATTTTTTCTGGCAGTAACAATTGTCAGTAGAATTATTTCTTTGTCAGTAAAATATTTTTTTTTTGCAAGTGAATTTAAGTTTTTTGTAAGACTTTTTAAGCCTAGGTAATTTCAATTATCGGTGCACTACTTTAAATTCTTTGGTCAGATATTTAATTTTTTCCAGATTTTTTTGGATTTTTTTTTGGCAATTTTTTCGAGTCATTGGAAAAATGATTTGATTTTTTGAAATTTACTAGATGACACACTCAAAGATAACTGATTCATATGACGATCAATATCAGAAATCTTAACAACTGCACCCAGACTTGCAATTTTATTCTCATTACTCGGTTTGGCTTCGTTATTCTGATTACCACTTTCTGAATCATTCTTTTTCTTACGGCAAAATTTTTCAATATGACCTTTAACACCACAATAATTACAATTACCATTAAATTTCTTCTTGTTCAACAAAATAGAAGAATTATTCGATTTAATTGTTGCGGCCAATGACGTATTTTGAGCAGAAAATTCTAAATTTTTCTCTCTCTCGAATCTTAATAATTCGGATTCAAACTGTTTATCACTCATATAATCAGTTTCAGATCTTCCGCCATTATAGATGTCAACCATTTTGCACATCTCATCATATTCAGCTGGTAAAATAGCTCGAACTTTGGAATTAATAAAATAACTTGGCAGCTTAATATTTTTATCATGCTTATTATGCTTCGATCGAACTCTAAATTCGAACAATTAGCTGATCGAAAAATGATGAATCAAAATGGCACAATGAACGACATTATGAATGAGTTTATTGAATTTGACGAGAAAAATAAATCTCAATCAATTTCATCTAATTTCGGCTCAAATGAAAAATTTAAAATTGCTAAATATCATGTTGCAAATTGAATTATTATTTTATTCAATTAATATTTATGTATTTAAACACAAGTTTTGTTGAGTCATGACTAAGATTTTTTATTATTTTTGTTCCTATTAAAATTTGTTTATTCTTGTGTCAATCCTCTATTTTGTAATATATCAGCTAAAGAAAAGAAGAAATAAAAATGTTCTTATTGTCATAAAAAAGGACATAAAGAAGAAGATTGTTGGACGAAACAGAAAATTGAATCCGATGAAACGAAAGTTTCTCCATCAACATTATCAAAAAAAAAAAAAAATAAAAAAGATAAAATAATAACAACAGAGAAAATTGGCAAAGTTGTTATTGAACCTAAACTGAATTGTAAAATCTTATTAAAAGATGTGGTTTATGGTGGTTTCAATTCAAATATAATATCTGTACGAAAATTGATTGAAGATGGTTATAAAATAATTTTTGAACAAAATGTGGCCTATATTACTAAAAATGAAATATCATTTAAAGCAAAAGCTAATGAAAATAATCTTTGGATTATAAATGATGATCAAATGAAGTTTGAAGGATTTAAAACGTCAAGATATTTTTCTGATGAAAATTCTCAATCATTCACATCACGAAATTCAATGAATTCTAATAATGCTGATGATACTGAAATTAAATGATGTACAAGATAAACAAAATGAAGATTCAATGTCTGTGTTTTTTGATTCAGAACTATAGTATAAATTCAGTAGACCAAGCAACATCATCATCAATATTCAATTTCATATTGTAAATGATGAAAAATATGTTCAAAACATAGAAGATAAATATTGAATCAAATAATTTTGTATCAATCAATCGAAATGTTGAAGATATTGTTATTTCTGGACTTAAACTTGAAAATAGGGGAGTTTTCGCAACAAGATTTGGCATTCAATAAAATTTATATGTAAAAATACCACCAGGTTTTGGTAGTGTTGGTCAATTAAAATTGAATAATAAGACATTATACGGTTTGAAGCAAGGTTCTTTAATATATGGTACAATACTATTTCAATTTGTTTGGAATCAATTGGTTTCAAACATTGTACAGCTGACAAGTGTCTTTTCATGAAAAATAAAATGCTATTATTGATTTATGTATCAGATGATATTATCATCACTGGTCCAGATATATAAACAGTATAGATCAATTTGTAACTGATCTTGAACAAAAATTCGAAATAACAAATATCGGAAAATTATCTTGTTGTACAAATCATTGAAAAAGATGATCATTTTGAATTAAATCAAACAAAATATATTCGAAAAATAATGAAAGAATTTCGAATGAATGAATGTAAACCAACAAATGTACCAATGGCTCATGATAAAAAAGAAGAAATTGATGAAAATTTACCAATACGAGAATTAATTGGATCTTTATTGTATGTGGCTAATAAAACACGACCGGATATCTTATTCTCAACAAATTGGTTGTCTAGATTTTTGACAAAACCAACAAAGCCATTATTCAATGTAACAAAACAAATACTTTGTTATTTGTCTGGTACAATCAACAAAAGTTTGATCTTTGGACGCTTGGATGAAAACCTATTGGTTTATACAGATTCATCATTTGGACAAGGTGAATCAAAACATTCAACCAGTGGTCTTGTTATAAGATGTGGAAATTCTACTATAGAATGGAAAAGCAACAAACAGTCAATTGAATAACTAATCGAAAAAAAATAATTTTACTACCAAAAAGAATACTTTCAAAAACAGAAATGTTACTGCCAGAAAAAATAAAAAATATTGCTACGAAAAATAGTCGCGATTTAATAATTACTTTTTGTCCCATAAAACCGACTAAACCTTCGAGACCAGGTTCCCCTTTCTGTCCTTTTTCTCCGTGAATTCCGGTCTGTCCTTGATTTCCTGGCTCGCCCTTGTTGTTGATGATAAAACAGTTGTTTTGCAATTAGAAATTCAATACAATTCTGCGAAACAAATAAATAAATGACACTTACCCGTGGTCCTTCATCACCTCGTTCTCCTTTTTGGCCTCGAATTCCTTTAACTCCTTGTAGACCCTATGATTATTACGATTTTAGAATGATTATTAATTTCAACCAGATAATAATCATACGTACCATTACTCCTTTTCGGCCTTGTATACCCGGAAGTGATTTCATTCCTTTTTCACCTTTTTCGCCTTTATCCCCTTTTAATTGAGCACTAGGTGGTATGATGGTTTTGTTTTCTAAACATGACAAATTGATTACATTTAAATTAACCATTGGATCGATATCAAAGATGATAGATGTTTAATTTTTTCCAGATTTTTTTTGATTTTTTTAAAAGTTTTTTGAATCATCGGATAAATGATTTAATTTTTTTGCAAATCAAGTCATACACACACAGGAAAATGAGTCATGAAATAGTCTGATTTTAATCGAAAAAATCATGAAATAGCATGATTTTTTTCTAAAAATCAAGAAATAGTCAGACTTGGTATCAAATGAGAAATAGCTCGACTTTTAGTCAGACTATTTCATGACTATTTTTCACATTCGAATTATTTCATGACTGATGGTCGAGAAATTTCTTGACTTTTTTTAGAATTATTTTCAGTCAAAATATTTCCTGACTTTTTTACACAGTCAGCTTATTTCTTGACTTTTCTACCCAGTCAACTTATTTAATGACTGATGGTCATGAAATTTCTTGACTTTTATTAGAATTATTTTCAGTCATGAAATAGTTTGACTAAAAGTCAAGCTATTTGATGATTGGGGTAGTCAACTTATTTCTTGGTAAAAAGTCAGGCTATTTGTTGATTTTGAATAGTCATGAAATAGCCTGATCTGTAGTATCAAACTAGAAATAGCATGACTTTTAGTCAGACTATTTCATGACTCATTTTCCTGTGTGTAATTTAATTTTTTTTAAACAAAAATTACACCACAATTATTGATTCATATTCTGCTCTTCTTTCTTGTTGTTCAAGTAAAAGTAATGATTTATTGGTTCGTGGTATTCAATTAAATTTGGTTGCAATACATTTTTGTCTTCAATGGATACCTTCACACTCTGGCTATTTTGGTAATGAATTGGCTGATATTCATGTGTTGTAATAAGTCAAATATTACAATTAATTCAATTATTAATTAATTGTTAAAAGCATTATAAATTTGAATGAGTTTGTAAAAATATTATATTATTATTAAAAAAGCTATTATTTGTGTGAATTTATTTGTGTTACTTTATTTTCATACAACATTTTGGTAGCAGATCTTTTTCGATTCTACGACTCTGTTTTTTTATATCAGTTATTATAATGCCACGAAGAAATGATCAGAGCTTGTCATTTGTTCTTGAAAAAAACCACAATTATTTCATTTCTTTCTGCCATTCATGAGGAACATGTCTAACAGAAAATGAATTGTTTTACTGCCAAAAAGAATACTTTCAAAAACAGAAATGTTTCAAATGTTAAAAAATATGTCTACGAAAAATGGTTCAATTCCAACTTACTTTGGATAGATAAGTAAACAATATCGCCTGCGGGACCTTTTTCTCCTTTTAGACCTTTTGGTGCACGACTTTCTGGTCCTGATGAACCGGCAGGACCAACATCACCTGGATCACCTTTTGGACCCTTTAATAAAATATTTAAAGTTGACATACGATATGAATTTAAAAATTCTTTTACCCTTTTACCAGGTGATCCAACATCACCCACCAAACCGATGGGACCCACTCTACCGGAAATGCCAGGGAAACCAGCTCGTCCTGCGTCTCCCGCATCTCCTTTAGTGCCAAATGAGTTATATCCACCATCACCAGGTTCACCCTATTTGATTATTGTTGTGTATTAGTGAATAAAGAAACGTATACATTAAAACTTGAATGTTCGAATGTTCTGAGAACAAAATTATATTTTTTATACTAAACTTATGAAATAAAATTTGCTTGATTTTTTTATGCTTTGTAATGAACACTTGGTGTTATTTTGTTTGTTTTATAATTGTTTGTGTTTTATTTTGTGATTGAATTTACCTTTTATTTATATCAATTATTATCGCATAAAATTATTCATTTTGATATCACTCACCTTTGGACCTCGTGGTCCAAAAATACCTGGAGGGCCAACAAGTCCCGGCCATCCGTTTGGACCCGGAAGGCCCATCATTCCATCAGTTCCGTTACAGCCATCGACACCTGTTGGGCCCATTTCGCCCGTAAGACCAGGCGAACCAGCCAAACCGATTTGGCCATCAAATCCACGTACGCCCATATCACCACGAATACCTGTTGTATATTTAGTGTAGAATGAAACGTATTATAGAACTTTATTGTTCAATAGTTCGATTGGTATTTTGTATTTAGTATTGTGTTTTTGAAAAATAAAATTGTATTCGGTTATTGTTATTATTATGAACACACAGTGTTTTTTGAGTTTGTGAATATTTTCAAACAAAACCTCTGAATTATAACAATACCTTTTGGTCCTATATCGCCAATATCACCTAATAACCCGAATTGACCACGATTTCCTTTAAAACCGGGCGGGCCAATTTTTCCTGGTTGACCTTGAACGCCGCGAAAACCAACAATACCAGGATTCCCCTGTTGTTTAAAAAACAAAAAAAAGTTGGCATTTTTTCTTTCGTTCTTCATAAAATTCATTATGATGATGATGATGACTAATTACCGGTTCACCAACTTCTCCAATACAATAACATTTGGATGCAAAACATTGGCAATTCTGTATGTGTAGTGAAAGATTTAAATTTTGACTATTTTATTATTATTGATTCAAAATAAAAATATAAAAAACAATGATTTTATGTAAAATGAGAAATGAAAAAAAACCTTTCTATACTGTGGTGGTGGCTGTATTGGTGAATCGGCAGTGGTCGATTGAAAAACAATTACAAATAATAATAGGATTGATGAATACAATATTTGTGAAGAATTCATCATAATTTACTTGATGAACTTTTTTGTGAATCAAAATTGAAAAAAAATAATAATGAAAAACTATAGTATACTATAGGCAGTGTTGATTAAAAAAATTTTAAATTGTCAGTTTCCATTACATGATGAAATTTGCGGAACACAAAAACAACAACATGAATGATGAAAGATTATCCACAATCAACGATATCAGTGATTCTGTTGATTACGATGATGATGATGATGATGATGATGATGTATAAAAAAAATCACAATTTCAAAAAAAAAAAATTACACCACACACCGGTAGTTCTCTGGTAGTATTGGATCTAACAAAAAAAAAAAAAAAAAGTTTTGATCATCATCCAATACACAAATCCCAGGATTGAATGCTATTTGAAAATTATAAATTGTTGCGATGTGATGTTGTGAACAAACGCGCCAGATTATGGTAGTTTCACATTCCCTCATTTTTCACAACAAAAAAGATAGCTGGGCGTATTATCAGGTGGAGCTGCATGTGGGTGTGTGTGTGTGTGTGTGTGTGTGTGTGTGTGGTTGTATGCATGGATTGTTCATACTTGGCTAACGGCAATCTAATTTGTTTAAAAAAAAAAATTTCGAAATGTTGGATTTGAATGCTTCATCAATACAAACATACATATGTTTCAGAAGATGATCATCGCAGTCTGTATATCTTATATCTTGAAGAATATGAAAAACTTTCTTTTGGTGCCGACGACCACGCCTGGATGTTGGATTTATATTTATTTCCATTAGCAAACAACAAAACTATTTGGTAGATATGTTTCGACATAAAAAAAGGGGGAAAATGTGAACGGAATTGAATTAGGAGGATTAAAAATCATTTCCCGAAAGTTATGATAAACATTGTGAGAAAATGAAGCCAGAAAATCTTCATCATCAGTAGTAGAAAAAAAACCAGAAAAAGAAAGCGCAGTTTGTATGGTCGTTTCATCATCATCATCATCATCATCATTACATTGAACATAATGTGTAATTCTTTCGTTGATCGTCGTTTTTTTTGCTTGTTGCTTATGTGATGTTCGCATAACCCGAACTTAATCAACCTAGAGAACAGAGCAGAGATTTCCTTTTTCTGGTGTGGTCAATGATGGTGATTGTGTGTGATTAAAAGTGAACCAGAAAATGAAAGAACCATATTGCCGCCATATTGTGTTCGTGTGTGTGTGTGTGTGTGTCTTCCTACTTTTTTTTCTGGGTTGGTTGTTGTTGTTGATATGATTTTGTAAACCATCACAAAAACCTAAAAAAATTAAAGAAAGAAAAAAAACTTTTTTTCTCAATTCATTCATTCATCAATAATATGCCTCTGTGATCAACTAAAATTTGGAGGCATACCACATACACACACGCATATATTCAATATCGAATCGATTCGATTTTTGATTTTTTCCACTATCAAATTGGTGATGAAGATTTTCTCTCTTACACTGCTCCAATTTAATAATAGAGAATAACGGATGTTCCTGTTTGGGTGTCGACTTGTTGACTTTAAAATTATCGCCTGTTGCTGTTGATTTTTTTTTGTTTTGTATTCAAACGACTGGCAAAAACTTTCTATGCTTTCTATTTGCATATCACACTTTTTCACTTTTCAATCGAATAATTTGAATAATGACACACAATGATAATGTGATAATCACTTGTTGATTGTTTGTTTCATCTGGATTTTTGTATTTTTTTTGTTTTTTTTGTTTTGTTTCTTCAAGAAATTCATCTTTTACTGCCATTTTTTTTCTTTTTGATTATAAAGTGTGTGTGTGTATATATATGCAACTTGAATTGAATTATCAATGCTGCCCTTAAAATTTAGAAAAATTAAATAACACAAAATTCACCATGAAAAGTGTTCATATTCAATTACATCCATCATTATTATTCATGGATGATTCAAGCCAAAAGAAAATTTTTCATTATAAAATATACGACAATTTTTCATTATCTTATTTATTATGGTATGTTTTTTGATCGTGTATGTGTGACAACCTAAATTCTAATAATTTTCATTTTTTTTTCTCGGATTTTTTTTTCAGGACCATACTAGCCATTTTAACAATAATAATCACTCGGCCTGTGCATTGTATTGTAAGTTTTTCAATTTTATTTTTATTTTTGTTTGTCTTCAAAATAGCAAAAATTTATCTCAAATTTTAAAACGTACATTCACAGAATGATTCGGTACGATTCAAAGAAATTTAAAAAAAAAATATCCGATTACAATCTATGTGTTTATCAATTTTTTTCATATAAATAGATTTATTATTTTCATAAAAATATCAACCAGTTAGGTTAATATGTCAAATGTTTTTTTTGTTCAACAATTTTTTTTTACCATACATTTGAGACATTTTTTGTGTTTTTTTTTGTTTTTGATAAATTGATTTTCAAAATGACCTCGATGATTTCCCGGTTTGTTGTTGCTTTTGCCCAATTCATTACTACCAGCAAACCCAAACCAATGATATTATTATGCATTGATGACAATGACGGACATCTTACACCAATACATAGACACACACACACACACACACACAAAAACACAAACGATGATAATTGATATCATCGTTTGTCATTATTATTTTCATTCAAACAAATAAAGATTCATCATATGGACACACACACACAATCATTCGGCATTTTTTGCTTTTTAAATTTTTCGCTTTTTTCAAAAAAATTTTCCGTTTTTCTTGTTCCTCGATTACAAACAAACAAGACGATAATCATCGTCATCATTATCATTAGTCTAGTGTGTGTGTGTGTGTGTGTGCATGTATTTAAATCATACCGAAAATATTCTTTCTTTATTTTTGTCCTTCATTTTCACAAAAAGAAAAAAAAATCCATTAAAAAGGCAATGTTGATTTTTTGAACTTTCAAAAATAATAACAACAGTAGCAGCATCAAAATTTGAACTTTTATGACCCAACAGAATAATGTTGAGCGAATATTAGCCAGATTCTTCCAGAAATCCACATTGATGCACACATCATCATCATCATCATCATGATTTTCATGACTGATGCAATGTATTATGATGAAAACATAAACAAAACGAAAACACAAAGTGAGATAGCCAAAAAAAAAAAAAAAACGAACGAACGAAAGACCAACCAGTTGGTCGATTTATATACATCACATTATCATCATCATCATCATCAGATTTATAAATGAAAATGAAAACAAAAATTTGTCTTTAGCAAGCAAAACAAATAGTATAAACGAAATTTGAAATTTTCATTTACATTCATCATCATCATATAACTCTGTACTGTTTGCATCTTTATAATCTTTTTTCCTCTGTTGTTTTAAAAACAACAAACAAACAAACAAACAATGAATATTGTCCTATTCAGCATCTTAAACTTGTATATATAGAACTTTAGTATATACTGGATTATATGATGTTTGACTAAATTCAGCCAACAGCAGCAAAAATCTTGATTCTTTTTTTTTTTTTTTTTTTTTGGCCAGTGAATTCTATTTTAATTCGTTTTGTTGTTGTTGTTGTTGTTGCTACTGTTAGATTCCGTTTCCACAAAACGTGTATGGGTGTATATTTTACGTTGTAAATATCTTTGAATGATTGGTGTTGACGTTCTTTTCGTCGTTTTTTGTTTTTACAAACAAGTCAACGCCATCGTCATGGTTTCTTGGATCGTGTGATATCAAATGATGATGATGATTATCAGTAACGAAAAAAAAACTGAATGAAAATAAAAAAAAAAGAAAAATTACATCACACGAATCATTTAACATTTTTTTTTCCTGTTCACTATAAATACATCATCATTGCTGACAAGAATCTTTAATCTTCTGGTTAAGGTCCAACAACAAAACAACAAAAAAATTTCGTTCATTCATGATAAAAACATCAAACATATATCATGATCAATAAATGTAGACTAAATTCATTTTTTTTTTTTTTCGTTTAAATTTCTTTCATTTATTGTCATTTAATGGTGCAATGCATATATATGATCATCATCAGGAAACAAAACAATCCATTTTCTTTTTTTTTCTTTCTTTCTCATCATCATCATCATCATTTTGTTGATGATCTCTATCTTTAATTTAGATTTTTTTTTTTTTTTGATTCGTTTTCCCTCAATTTTCTTTTACATGCATACATCTTTGATGTCGTCGATTTTGAAATATGATGATGATGATTTGCAAATGGGAAAAAATTTATCATTTTCAAATTGGTTACAAATGTATCCATTTTTTTCGATCCCCTCTTTTTCATTTTTTATATCTATATCTATCTTGTATAAATGATTAACACAATCGAATAATGAACAAGAAAAAAAACATTGAGTACCTTGTTAATGATTTTGTTGTCGTTGTTTTTTTTGTATGTGTCTGTCAATTGATTTAATCGTTTGACAGACAGACGGGAAAAAAATCTCTGAATGATAAATTCTTTATTTTCAAAAATGATGCATGAACAAAAAAAAACATCAAAGTGTAGCATGAAAAAAAATGAAAAATTAATGATGAAAAATTACATTCATAACACAAACACATGACACGTAATAAATTCATTCATTGAACAAGAAATTGAATGCGAAGAAAATAAAATGAAAAGTTTTCCATTTCTTGCAATTGAAATTCATTGATAAAATTTTTTTTCCCCTTGAATAAACACCGATGATGATAGTGATCGATTTTTTTTTTGAAATTTTTTTTTTTTTTTGGTTGGTTTGTTGGCCATTTCCAAGTTTATCAGAGTTTATTTTTCATTTATTCATTTCAGTACATCAATCTCCATATTTATTTTTCTCAAAAAAAAAAAAAAATTTAGAATGAAAATGAGATATCCAATGGAGATATCCAGTGGAAATAAAATTTGATCAAAAAAAAAACATGGCTCTTGTTTTTCATTTTCACTTTAATTCTCCCATGAATATTTTTTTTTGATTGAAACCAATGAAAACAACGATTATCATCATTAAACCAATGATAATCCAATATTAAAAAATCATGTCGATCAATCGATTGTGTGTGTGTGTGTGTGTGTGTGAAACTGTCATATATTTTCAAATATATACAACGTTAAGGACATGATGATGGAAATGTTATTTGATTAGATTATTTGTTTTTAGCATAGCATGTTGCCGACATTCAATGTTTATATGATGAGATCATAACCGTTGTTATTTTTTTATCACACACACACACAAGAAAAATCAAAAAAATCTAATCAATTCAAATCAAATTCAATCAAAACCGGCAAAATACCGATATCAAATATTCGAATCAAATTTCCATTGAAATTGGTAACACATTTCTGAGGCAAAATCGATCGAATGAAAAAATAAAAAATCTGTTTAGGTTAGCAATAATTATTATTAGTCATAATAATAATAATAATAATGAATGATGATGTTAATCGATCACTATATCGATGATGCGTTACGCACGAAACTCGTTCATCCATATCAAAAAAAGGATTGATTTCGGCTTTGAACAACCAAAAAAAAAAAAAAAAAAAAGATTTCAAATTTCAATCATCCATATGAATTTCCGTATTTATAACCACATAAAATGAACGAGAATAAAGAACTTTTTTCCGGAATTTGATTCCAAAATTTTTCTGAAATTTCATCAACATTCGGGATCGAATTTTTTTTGTGAAAATGATAAAGACAAGAAACAGAATGATATTTTCTTTAAAAATAACCAACACATAATTTATATATATTTTGAATAAACATAACAAAACTAGCAACTAGACAAACACAAGTAAACGAAAGAAAATTCTGTCTTTTTAAAGAAAAAATAAGTAAAGCAGCCAACTCAGCATGCCATGGATGAAATTGATGGATAAAATGTCTATTTTTCCCTCTCTCTCTCTTTATGTTGGCATTTAGTCATTTTCATTTCATTATTACTAATCTTTTTTTTCGAAGCAAAACGAAAAAAATTGGCTTCGACATTATAAACATCGATATGCACACATCCAAAATAAACAAAATAAACATTATTAAAGAGATTTCAGACAGTTTTTTTTGGTGTTTTGTGTGTTTATTTTTTCAAATATATTTCTTTTTATTATTCGTTTATATTTATTCCGTTTTCATAATTTTCTTTTCTCATTTTTTTTCTGGTTTCATTTACCAATTATAAGAATGATGATACGATTATATCCAGAGATATACAATTCACTGGTTATCCATCATATGGTTGGGATCCATCAAGAACATTGAATACTATTTGTGCGGAAAGAAGATGTGAACCAAGCCTACCCGGTTGTCGTTGTGATCCTACTAGTACGGATCCAATGATTATTTGCTGTTGCTGTAATCAATATCGAAATAATACACAACAACGTCTTTGTTCACAACGAGTATGTGTATTTGGTGATTGTAATTGTATTGGCGAAAAAGGATCCAGAGTAAGTGTTTTAATTGTTGTTGAATTGTAAAATATTGACTTGAATCGGCAATTATTTATAATAGGGCCCACCTGGGATGCCCGGTCCTGTCGGTCCCGTGGGTTTAACCGGACATCCGGGCATGGAAGGCGCGCCCGGAGAACGTGGTCCAAAGGTAAAATTACAATCACGATTCTTAATAATTGGACAAGAATTTTAAGAAAGTGGTACACGATTTTGAATAGAAACACGAAAAATGAATTTATTGCATTGACAAAATGAAAAAGAACATTCAGTTCTTGTACTCGTGTGTGTATTGGATTGTGGAACGGAAACTTGAAAGAAAAAATGATACTCGGTTGTGATTTTAGAACAAAAGAATTTTATTGATATTGAACTTTTAAAAAGAACGTTGTGATTTTTAGAAGTCGTGTATGTGTTGTGTTGGTGTGTGTTAGCAACTGGTTGGTATTCGGCTTGGTGACGGTTGTCGCGAAGACTTGAGCGAAAGAAGGGTGTGTGTGTAGAGACTGGGGAGTATGTATGGAATGAAAACTGGGGAGTGTGTTCTGTGTGTTCGCGCGAATTTTTTGACCAGAACACCAATTGAGCTATCACGTTCATATAGGACGTGACACAACCAAATTTATGCTGCAGATTGTGTCTGTGTGTGTCGAATGCTGTATGTCGAGAACAAATGTTGGATGGTGACCGTTGGAATTTTGAGTGTGTGTTGAATGGTGTGTATTCGCGCGGTATGTTTTTGGCGCAGTGTGGTTTTGGGGCGGTGTGTGAGTGGGTTGGTTAAATTTTAAAATTTCGCGGTTCGAGCTCGGTTTCGTTCATATAGAACGTATCTGGCCCGAATTTAAGCTGCAATAATCCTGATAATTAAAAGATCTGATTATAATAGGGTTCCAGAGGCCCAGAAGGGCCTAGAGGTCCAAAAGGCGATCGTGGTAAAATGGGAATGGCTGGTTTTCCTGGTATCCCAGGCTTGCCGGTAAATATTACTATTAAATCACTATTAGTAAATCATTTCAGATTTAACAAATGAATTATGAATCTGTATTTATTTCAAGGGCGTTCCCGGGGCTCAAGGACCCAGAGGTTACGCTGGTTTGGACGGATGCAACGGTACCGATGGAAAGCCTGGCTTGCCAGGCCGTCAGGTGAGAAGAACAAAGTTAATTTATTTATTAGATTTTTAAATTTCATATATAGAATTGAAATACATCTAGAAATATATATACATGTAACATTTAAAATTTAAATGATGATATTTTTGTTATGAAATTCCAAATATTTGAATACAACCGATAATTTAATTGTCGGAAAATTGATAAACACAAACAACAAACTTCAATTAATAACATTCTTTAAATCTCACAAACAAAATATAAAAGCAAAACACAGAACACGAAAAAATTATCTTTTGAGATCATTATGTTTTGAAGTGATTTCATGCTGAATAAAATATAAATTTTTATATACATATTCATAAATATACATATTCTCTTTTTATATCTATATGTTTAGAAATTGCTGATCCATAGTATATTTACTTATTAATTAACTAATTGATTTTCTTCCAGGTGTTGTTCCAAAATCAGAATCAGTAAATACAGTTAGATGTTTATCATTAAATCCCAAATATGTTTTGTTGGTTCATGCATTTTTGCAGACAAAATATTCACACTTGCTGCTATGTCTGGTCTTGATCAATATTAGCAATATATATTGAAGACAACCTTCTTTACATTTAGAATTTTTTGTCCAAAACACGAACATTTCTTGAAAAAAAATATTTTTGATTCATATGGATCATATAAACGATAAGCTTTATGATAATCAGAATATTCCATAAATGAAAATTTTTTTACTTGTCGGCAATTACAATTAGTAGTAAAAAATAGTAATTACTTGAATAGTAACGACTTACCAAGACTTGTGTTTGGAATTAAATTATAGATAAATGTTGCATTCAGCCACATTTCAACTGGTGCAACAACAACAACAACAACAATATTCTTGTCATTGTTGATAAACTTTGAATCATTCGTTCAGCTTTTCTATTTTGCTAATGACAATATGATTGTACTGATAGTTTCCTTCTTAATATTTTTTATTGGAAAACATCAAAGATATCAGACTTTCTCTTTAAAACATATGATGATGTAACATGTCTTGAATAATCTTTGACAAATATCACATAACAAGTCGTTCTGTTTATCCATTGACTACCGCCATAGACAGAAAAAAGGTCTCAAAATTCATACAATTTGATTCCGTACTTTGCGGCTTTGTTTGGAATATATTGGCGGAAAAATAATCGACCACGCCAAAGAAGCAATGCTTCATCCAATGATAAATTTCGGCCTGGAGAATATATTTCTTGGATGTTAGTCACAATATGTTTTAGAATTTAACAAGCAAATGAATAAAATAAAAGAACAATTTCAAAAGTTTTTAATAGTAATAATCAATCACTTATAAATGGACGGCCTCTCTGATGATTTTCGTTTTGATCAATATTTTCAGTTTGATTTGGATCCACCGAATCTTCTATCATCATTTCTGGTTGATCTGAACTGACTTTATTATCAACTAAATCAACACTACTAACGTTTGCTAGATTATCAGTAATATCAATATTGTCGCTTTCCAATTTGAGATTTGAAATTTCGTTCCATTTAACTGATGATGATAAACAGATTTGTTTCGATATAGGATCATAACATCGATAAATCGTTTCTCCTTCATAGCCAACCAAAATAACAGATTTAGTTCGACCATTAAATTTGTTGTTATTTTTAATCAGCATTTCACCAGATGATCCAAATATTTTAAGATTGGAAACACTCCTGATGAATTCAATAATCTGTTCCGAGTATAAGCTGTTTGATTCAATGCTTCATCCCAGAGACGAAGAGGCAAACTTTTACTCGATAATGAGGCAACAGAATGTTCAACCATTGTTCGTATGTTTCTCTCAGCTTTACCATTCTGTTGTGGAACACCAACAGTGGCAAACTGATGTATAATTCCATTGTCTTTAAAACTCCTCTGGCTTTTAGTTTACCATTAATTCTTCGAACTTGACTGAATGTTGCTTCTATATCTTCTGACCATGAAATCTCGTAGGATTTCTGCAACAAACTTTCAGTTGATTTACTCGAGCAACCTCTATGATATTGAATTAATTTATCCATCATTTGCTTGACTGAATCGCAACCAGAAATTTGATGAAAATTTGTCTCATCAACCGTTCTTACTATAAACGCCATGGCCATGAATTTACTTGGATCTTCAGAATCGTTGATGTTATTATCAATAACAAATTTCCACAATTTCTTTCCTTTCATGGTCAATTCTATTTCCATAGCCCATCGATGAAAATTGGAATCGTTTAATATAGTAATGTCAGGCAGTTCTTGCGCTACAGAGCCCATAACCTTTTAGAATTTAACAAGCAAATGAATAAAATAAAAGAACAATTTCAAAAGTTTTTTTTAATAGTAATAATCAATCACTTATAAATTCATATTTATACCAATAATGATGACGTGGTATATTCATATAATTGAATTAATTCGTTTCAACAATTCAACAATATGTTCAACAACATTTTTGATTTTATGTATTCTCTGGGATGTATTATCCGTATTATCATAAAATGTCAAACAACTTAGTAATGTTGTTTCGAATCGATTCCGGCTGATGAATCGGCCGAAAAATGGATGATTGTATAGAAAGTTTGTCGCCCAATAATGCTTCAAAGATGGCATTTTTATGTTACCCATCATGATACACACTGCTAAGAATTTTTTATTTCTTGGGCATCAGTATCTTTCCACATATATTTGCGTTTTGATCGTTGAACTTTAGCTTTGTAATTCGTCCAATTGACAATTTTTTCAACTAAAACATTATCGAAAATTAATGAAAATGCTTCGAATGGTGTAATATCTGGTGACAAATTTCGTTTAAGACCTTCACTTCCATTGAAATCAAATATTTCGGGCATTTTTTCAACGTCCAACCAATCGTCATCAGCATTCGCAACTTTATCTTCATTTGTTGATTCATCTATTTCAGTAGATTCTCCATCATTTTCTGTCATATCATCGCTTTCTGATATATCACTTTCTTTCATAGAATTCATTTACAGAGTTGTTACGAGTTGATTCATCAGTAGATATTCTATCGATGTTTTGTTCAATTTCAATTATTTGTTTTGTTTTTTTTTTTGATTCTGGTGCTGTTCTTTTACTATTGCCACTTCTTAAATACATTTTTACGATTAAATTTGAACAATATTATTGATGATGGTAGAATGTAAATTGTAATATTTGAAAAATAACACTAAATGAATTGAAAGTTGGTTTATGAAATGACATTTGTTTACGAAACAAAGATAATTCGAACGTCTAAAGATAATTCGAACCTCCAAAGATTCGAATCATTCAAATTTGAATTTAAAAAAGTAAAACAAAAAAAATACAACCGGGGTGTGTGTGTGTAGATAAAATGAATTAATAAGAATATAAAAAACTTTGAAACCGATCATATTTTCACTAAACATTCTTTGAAATAAATCTCTAATTTCCAAATAGAAGGTGATGTGAATTCTCCATCCATTTCATCGATAAATTGATAACTAGTGTTTATCTATCCATAATCGTAGAAGATCAACACAAATCACCTGAATAATTGATCCTCTACATTTTGAATATCGCATATTTAATCGTTGGCCAAATTAATATTCTATAAATCTTAAATCTTCTTCTTCTACTAGTCTATGTCGCTTTCCACTGTAAACTGCAATTTTACACTCGCCAAGCGCTTGCACTGTGTATTAACTTGGCATTTAATGCGGCGAAAGAAAACATTATAAAAATAAAACAGAACAAAATAAAGCAGTTAATTTATTGTAGATTTTTAAATTTCAAATTATTTCTATTGTTATGTAATAAAAATATAATTAAATATATTCATTCACAACATCAGGGACATTCCGGCCCGAAAGGTGAAACCGGGCCTATTGGCCCGAAAGGAGACAAAGGTGAACCGGCAATTTCAACGTCGGATAAAGGCCAAAAAGGTGAACCTGGACGAGATGGCGCGAATGGGTTTCCTGGCCCTTTGGGATTTGAAGGTCCGAAAGGAGAAAGAGGCCTTCCTGGCTTACCTGGATCTAAAGGAGATAAAGGTGATATGGGTCCAAAGGGCCCCATCGGAAAAGTAGGTGTTTGCATCGAAGGCGTCAAAGGCGAACGTGGTGAAAAAGGCGATAAAGTAGTTTGCTACACAAAATCTGACCCATCTATTGGACCACCTGGTACTGAAGTTATCACTGTCAAAGGCCCTCCTGGTGAAAAAGGTGACAAAGGGGAAGTGGGACCAAGAGGGGATCGCGGTTTTGATGGCGAACCAGGAAGAATTGGCATGCCCGGTCAAGTTGGTGATAAAGGTGTGTTGAAAATATTGTTAAATAACGATATCTATGAATTATTATATTGGCATTGTATGATTTTGCCTAGCTAAAATGACACGTGTTTCAAACTTTTGATTTTGGTGTTAAAAATTTATTATTGATTTTCATGATTTATTAATAAAAACCATTTTTCTAAACGTAATTTTGTTATCGTTCATCCTCAACAAGGTGACAAAGGGGCACAAGGATTCATCGGAAGTCGTGGAAAAGAAGGTTTACCTGGTCTCCCTGGTTTAAATGGATACAAGGGGGATAGGGGGGAAAATGGCTTCAATGGTTTACCTGGAATTAAAGGAAACAAAGGAGAAATGGGACCAATGGGCTGGCCTGGTGAAAAAGGGATACAAGGCCCGCAAGGTAAATACATGCACACACACACATACAATATTATGACGATTTTTTGATCACACATTAATCTTTTAATGAACACACACATACAAGGTCTACCTGGTGGTTCGCAAGGCCGACCAGGTCCCCCGGGACCGGCCGGTCCCAAGGGAAATATTGGCCTGCCTGGGTTACAAGGATTACAAGGTATATATTTTTTTTGAATTTTTTGTTTCTCACTTGTCATGTAAATTTTGTGGTGAATTCTGTTGAAATAGGATTGTAGTAAAAATAGTATATTGGCTCATGTATAAATATGACCAGCTGATGTGTCACCTGTTTGATGCAAAAGCTAAAACAATTTAAAAAAACTACATTATACAGGGTCCGCTTTGCTTAATATGGCACAATGTCTTAAAAAAATCATATTAACTTGCCTAAATTGTGCAATAGTTTTTAATTCAAAAATTTATTCAATTCAAGATCCGAATTATGAAATTCAATTCAACAATTAGATTATGATATTAATTTAAATCACGATTTTAATTCTTCTACAAATGAAACGTCAAACCATGCATCATCATTCTTCTATTTCCAATAATGATTTATCTGATTCTAATTCAATCAATGAAAAGAAATGTCAAGCTCAAAGTCAAATTTAAAGCTCGATTAGCTCGGTTCGGAGGTTTAAGCAACAAGACGCCGATATTAATGCCTGTTTGTGTTGGATCATCGGTTACATGTGATAAACTAAAGATCAAGATGTATTCATTACTGTTCTCAATGCTCTAAAAACAATTGGTTTCATATGGTTTCAATGCATCAACGCGCAAAGCTAAAACAATTTAAAAAAAGCATTATCAAAGCTACATCATACAGAGTCCTCTTTTTTAGAAATTTTCCGCCGACAGATGGCGCTTAAAGCATTCCCTACTGTTGGATGTACATATACACAAACACTAATTGGCTTACTCTTTTATATAAAGTATGATGATGTCCTCTTCTTAATTCATTATTGGTGGATTTAAATGATAAATCAACAGCTGCCGATGTAAACCTCAAGTACATCATCGAACAAATTAACGTGGGTCTGATAAAACTAAAATTTATATCGACAAAAGAGCAGCTTGCTGATCCTCTAACCAAAATCGTAATATTCGAGATCATGATAAAGAACTTTGGTTTAATTCAACTTTTAATTAATTTGTTTTTTAAATTATCTGTTTGCTTTGTCTGTGAATGTTTTTTTCCAAACTAAACAAAAAAAATTATCAATAGATTTGCATTAAAGTCTCCACAAGCAACGTCTTTTAACAAAAGTTGATTGTCGTTTGGTTGAATCACTGTATCACCTATCTTTGTTGAAATAATTGGCTCTCCGCCAGCGGCCTCAAACTCACACCGTTTGGACTTGGCGTTAACCAGCACTGATTCGTTGAATGTCACATGTGTTGTCGATCCTGAATCCAGGATCCATGAATCACTTTTTGTGTTACAAACATTTTTAAGAATAACGGACTTAGCCGAATGTTTGCTGGTAGATGCGGCATTTGATGACTTTGATGATGCAGAAGATGATGATGTCGATGGTTTGACGAAGATGATTTCTTGTTGAATTTTTCTTCATGGCATTGACAGACTGATTACTCACATGTTTCGATGAAACAGTTTTCATTTTTCGTCCTCCTCGATGAATGCGTTCATTATGTCCTTCATTGTCAACGAATCTCTGGACGTCAGTCTGTCTGCCAGACGTTCGAACTTTGGTCGTGGTAACATACTGATGATGATGGTGCACCGAGAATTTTCAGTGTTTTGTAGCCACCTGGATTCGACATCTTCAAAACGAGCTGTCAATTGTTCAAGCCAAAGACGAAAATAGTATTGGCTCATGTATAAATATATGACCAGCATCAGCCATATAAATGAGCCAATACTGAATATATATTTTTATTTATTCAATTAATTTCAGGTATGAAAGGTGAAATGGGACCCAGAGGACCACCAGGGCCCCCTGGTGGTCAAGGAATCAATGGATTACCTGGCAGGGAAGGGCCAATGGGGCAAAAAGGCCAAAAAGGCGAAGCCGGATATCCGGGAAAAGATGGAATGGACGGTCCAGCCGGTTTACCAGGTTTAACTGGGAGCAAAGGCGAACCAGGAATGAAAGGCGATCGTGGATTGAGCATACCCGGACCAAAAGGACTCGACGGCATGAAAGGTATTGAAACTATTCAAAATTATCAAGTTTATTACAAGTTTTTCAAGTATATATTAAGAGATAAATATTTTTGGTCAGTTGTTTGAGGGAATTGATCAGTTAGCGATAAATAATGTAGGGTCAGTAATTAAAAGGAATTGTCAGTAAATAAACAAAAATATCAGTAAATGAGTTGAATATGGTCAGTTTAGCAATCACAAAAAAGTGATTGCCTGTGTCTACTTTATTACTTACGTAAAAACTTGTCGCGATAACGATGGGATTATTGATCAAGTACCATGTCAAACTAACATTCGATACTTTATTTTCTGGCATCATCAACACTTATTTTATTTTGTTTTTTACTTTGACAATTGAATTCATTTTTCAAACTATGAAACGTATTGGAAAGGAAATTTGTGAAGAAAATGATACTCGATTGACTTTAGAACAAGAATGAATTTATTGATTAATCAAATTAATCGAATTCGAAAGTGAAAAAAGAACGTTGTGTTTTTGTAAACTCGTGTATGTGAATTGGATGGGTGTGTCTCGAAAGCGAGTGAGTGTGTGAGTGGTTCTGTTAAATTTGAAATTCGCGGTTTCGTTCATTTAGAACGTATCTGGCCCGAAAATTAAGCTGCACGTATTAAGCAATCTTTGTCTAAATATTTTACTGTTGAACAATATGAATCTGATGATGATGAAAATGATGATCCAACAATTGGCAAAGTGTTGCCGATGAAACGTAAACTATGAAAATCTGCATTTTATGACTACATCTTTCGATATTAATCTATATATATCAAAATAGACAATAATAACACATATAATTTTCACAAATAAAATACCGTACTTAATTATTAATTCAAATTTCGCTTTTATAATAATTTGAAATTCATAATTTGTTTTGATTCAATTGCCGGATGTACAAATGCCACATTACCATTTGGTAATATGTCATTTGTTGTGATCATGATAGGATGTTTTTACATCTACTAAAATTCCCATTTCGATGTTTACAGATGTTTAATTGATCATCAATTTCCATCTTCGGCATTGTTATGATTTTCATAAAATCAAACAATATCCTGACATCTCCCTCCTAAAACTCCTTTTCGGCTATAGCGAGGGCACTAGGAAAATTTCGTAGTTTTGTTGTCTCAATATGACTTTCAACTGCTGGATGTCGTTTGATTTTCTTCTTATAATAATAAAATAGGTATCCAGCCAAGATTCCAATGATTATCAACGTTATTGTTATTGAATAAATCAACAAAATTACTGATGAATTTTCTTCAGACGTAGTCGACCCATTATTTTCAAGCAACATCTCCAAGTCCTTTGATGAACTTTTATATTTTTGATTTTTGCCAAGAATAAAATTATTCAGAATTTCATTTTCATACACTTTGATTTTGAGCGTTCCGAATTTCCTTTGGTACTCAGCTTGATGTTTGTAAATGTTGAAATTAATTATAATTAATTTATATTTATTGTAATTTAAAAGAACCAAAATAAAGAAAGAAAATACAAGATGAGTGATACACAAATGTAAAGAGACGAGATGATCATCGTGTTGTGTGTAGAGCAGAAAACAATCAACTAACTACATGTATAAATGTGTCGTTTATATATGTGAGCAATGTGTATGTATGATGAATTTATTTAAAGTTTAAGTTGCTCCAATTTGAAATTGTTGTCGAGGTGATAATTTGTATATACTTGATTTTTACATTTCGTTGTTACATTGAATATAGTTATTGTTGTTTGGTTGTAACAATAAGCATACAAAAATTCATCGTTATAATGTATCTGAATTTCGTCAGGGTCTGTTTCATCAACCAATCCAATTGGTTGACATGAAGTTTGTTTCCAGTATTTTTGTGTAAATGTTCCACTTTCGTCACATGTTTCAGGTTGATTAATAAAGAAACTTTGTGATTCTTGATGTGGGGCGATATTTAATTCTTTCACACAATCTTTAGCCAAATTAAAGATCATGTATTTTGGACCACCATATTCGTATTTACAGATATTACTATCTTCTTTTTTGAAGATGATAAACGGCTGTGCTCTAAAGATGTCCATGTTCTTATAATTGTTGGGTGTCAATAATTGATCTTTTACTATTTCACACCCCATATATTCCCACTGTTTGTAGTTTTTGGTGCTGTTAAATAAATATGGAAATAAGAATATAATTTCATTTGCAATTTTCCGACGTTTTCCTTCAACGAAAAACTTGAACAAATTTTCATTTGTCATTTGCAGCCGATTGTCAATTGCACTAAAAATTTGCATTACCTTCACAGTATTCATTACATCTTTCTTTAGAAGATTCTGTTGTTTTGTCAATTCTTCTATGACCTTTATCACCTTATTCTCTCTTGTTGTTGTAATGTGATGGTTAATAACTTTGAATTTTTCAAACTGGTTTCTGTCAATTTCTTCATTCGTTTGCTATTTATCCAATTCGATGCAAATCCCATTACGGATTGTCTAACATGTAGAATTTTTCCCCAATTATCATAAGCCAATTTTATCCCTTTCACAATAATATCAATTTGTCGTTTAGGTCTTGGCTCTAAAACATTGCGTATCAAGTCCAAATCATTGGCTTCTTTGCAATATTGTCCAATTGGTTGAAGAATTTTTTGTTGATAAATTTTGTTACATTCATTGACAGTTTTCATTGTTATTGTTTCGTTAATCACTCATGCATGGACTTATTAATTTGATTAAATAGAGGCGATTTTCATACCCCTTCATAATTGAATGTTCAGTTTTCTCCCAAATTATCGGATCTGATGTTGGAATTTTAATACTTGAAGAAAACACCATATACCAATTAAAGCCATTAGCATCATAAATGGAAAGACATATCCAAACAACGCTTTCTTTTTCAAACCATCATCCATCCTCTTTGGTTTTATCTTTGAAACATGAACTGCTTCAAGTCGTCCATTTCTATTCACTTCAACAACTGCTTGTCCTTTTACCTTCTGAACAGGATACGGACCTTCATAGCATGGATCTAATTTCTTCCTATTCAAAGGATTACCCTTCGAAATGTAGATCTCATCTCCTCGTTTAAGATCGAGCAACGTACGACCAAAATCATATGCCAATTTTTGTTTGTGATGAGCATCTTTAGAATTTTCCAATGCTATTTCCCGAGCTTGTTCAACATCTTCATCATCAAACAATTCATCAGGATCATATCCTGTAAGAAGATATAGAGGTGAATATTTTGTAGTCGAATGTATGGTTCGATTATATTCATTCACAGCTTGTTCTGCCAAAACTGACCATGCTTTGGTTTGATTTGTTTTTGTTTCATATATCTTTTGTCTTATACGATCACACAGAGTTTTGTTAACTCTTTCAACCAAACCGTTACTCGATGGGTGATCTTTAGGTGTAAAGATGATTTTAATGTTATTTTTCTTCAAGAATTCTTTAAACTCGGAGGTACGTATCTATCAATTTTGGATTTGCCAAATTTTGAATTTTTTTGATTAAATTGATGAAATCTTTGGCAGTTTGCATTTTTGAAGTTATGCTCCAAACAAATCTTGAAAATCCATCAATAGCAAGACGTAAATACTTTTTTGTCGATCCATAATTTGCGAAACCTCCTACCGTATCAATATGAATGATTTCAAATGGGTGTGTTCCAATGTGGACCAATCCAACCCATATGACCAAATCGGTAGCAATTATTTTTCGTTTTCAGACAAGTTTCACATGTTTCAACCAACGTTTTTATCAAATTTGTTACATTAGGTGTATAAAATTTTCTTGAAAAATGTTCAAATAATTGATGACGACCAATATGTCCGAATTGAATATGAATTTTTTTCAATTCTTTTTTTGCAATTTCATTTGGGATGAACAATTGTTTGTAATTTTTCTTCGAACGATAGATAATGTCATCCTTTACGTAACATTTATTCAGATCTTTCACGTTGTATTCTTTTTGCATTTCCCGAATTTTTTGTCCATCATGCAACATTTTAGAAAACAAAACAGTTGGTACCGAAGTTATTTCTTTCAATTCATTCACCGGATGTCGTGACAAAAAATCAGCGTCATGATTTTCAATACCCGGTCTATATTCAATTTTGAATTGATACTGGCTCAATCTTAGAGACCAATTGAATAATCGTGTTTGTGGTTTTTTTGTTTTATCGAAACCTTCAAGTGGTTTATGATCTGTTATAACCACAAATTGTCGTCCAACCAACTCATAATGCCAATGTTCAATCGCTTCCAAAACCGCAAGACATTCCATTTCAGAAGCTGAATATCTTGTCTGATACGGTAATAATTTTTTTGAGAAATAACCAACAGGATATTCTTCATTGTTTTCATACACCTGTTTTAACACAGCACCAATACCATGTTTACTTGCATCAGTATAAATTTTTAATGTTGGTTCACTAGCCAATACCTTTTTTAATTCTTCAAATTCTTTTTGATGAACTTTGGTCCATTCCCATTTCACATTTTTTTTCAACAAATTGGTCAAATTGTATGTTGCATTCACACGATTAGGAATAAATTTGTGATAATAATGAATTTGACCAAAAAAACCGCTCAATTCAGGAGGATTTGCATTCAATATCGCTGAAATATTAATCATTGTTCGATATTTTATGTCCTAAATAAATAACTGATTTTTGACCGAATTGACATTTCGATAATTTCAATTTTATATTTTCTTTTTCCATGGCTTTGAAGAATAATTTCAAGTGTTTGAGATTTCACCAATTGAGACTTTTGTATGACAAATATGTGTTGTTTTAGTTTGCGCACCAATAGTTTCAATAATTTCAACATAATTTTTAATTGGAATATTCAATATTTCACACATTTTTGGTGTTATAATATTAATGTTAGATCCGGTATCCAATATAAATTTTTGTTTTCGACCATTAACCATCCCATTAACCGTTATCGGCAACAATAAATTTTTAATATCTTCATTGATTTTCTTATCTTTAAATGCCATTAAACTTTGTTTTTCAAAACCATGCAAACCAATTGTTGATTCACTATCACTATCATTTGCTGATTCTGATCCTTCCGGTGTTGTCACCAAATAATTTTGTCTTGGCACAACAGCCAATCGATTTTGATTTTTTTGATTTTGGACATTTTGGATATTTTTATTTTGATTATATGTTAACATTGGTTTTGTTTGTTGATTCAACTTTGATGTTGATTGTTTTGTTGTTTGATTGAACTCATGTTTTACACCAACATTACAAAAAAATACATGATGTTTATTTTTACAATTTAAACATCGTCTAGGGCTAAAACAAAATTTTGCTTTATGACCAAATTCAAAACAATTTAAACACAAATTATTTGTCAGAATGATCTCTTTCTTCATTTGCGGTGGTATTTTCGAATAACAATCCATAGTTGAATGTGTCGATCTAGAGCAGATATAACAATATTTTTTCACTTTCTCATGATAATTTTTCTGCTTCGATCTTGATTTTTTTTTATCTGACAAGTCAACCACTTTTGTCAATTCTTCATTATATTCAATGATTGTATCACTTAATTTATGCGTTTTCACAATCAAATCAGTAATTGAAAACGTATTGTTTTTAATCTCTTTGTGATACTCAGTAATTTTTTTTCTCAACTTTGATTTCATGGATTCAAGATAATCCAAACGAGAGTTGATCTTTATTTCTTGTTCATTAACAGGACTTGTCATTTTTTGAAAATTTTTAATATCTTCAATTTTCAATATTTCAATATCTTCTTTAAATTGTCAATACAATTTATTCCATCAATATTGCCAATGCAATTTTCACAAATATATTTTCAACAATTTGACGATAAATTTTACAATGTTGCGATTATCACGCAAAATTGATAATCTTGCTGGCTTATCAAAATAGACAATAATAACACATATAATTTTCACAAATAAAATACCGTACTTTATCATTAATTCAAATTTCGCTTTTATAATAATTTGAAATTCATAATTTGTTTTGATTCAATTACCGGATGTACAAATGCCACATTACCATTTGGTAATATGTCATTTGTTGTGATCATGATAGGATGTTTTTACATCTACTAAAATTCCCATTTCGATGTTTACAGATGTTCATCACATCCTTTGATGATCGGATGTTTAATTGATCATCAATTTCCATCTTCGGCATTGTTATGATTTTCATAAAATCAAACAATATCCTGACATCTATATATAAAACAGAATCAATTCACAATTTTGAATCTCTAAATCAGTCATTCTCAACCTTTTTTTTGTTGCTACTGATTTGTGAACGATTTTTGTGCCGCGGCACAGGGGTTGGAAATGACTGCTCTAAATGCTGAATGTGATCGCAATATGAAACAAAAGATTTCAGAAGAACAAAAAAAAAGTTTATTTCAAGTGAACTTGATACAAAAATACAAAAATGATATATTAATGATACATTAATAAAAATTAATGAAAGTGACTTGTTTTGAATTTTTACTGACCATTTTTTAAATAAAACTGACCGGTTTGCATTATAAAACTGACAATTTATTTTTAAATTAACTGATCAATCACACAAAAAACTGACCAAAATTGATATATTTACTGATCGTTTTCAACTGACCAAAACTTTTAAAAAATTACTAACCAAACCCTTATATTACTGACCGAAAAAATGGTACCCTTTTAAATATCGTTGTTTTTTAAAACATAATTTGATTCATTTTTACACGATAAACTATATATATCCACATTCACCAAGTTTTTTCATTGAATATAAAATTAGGTACAGAGTGGCCCTGCGGGGCTGACTAAAATTGACTGTCATCTATTTGATGCAAAAGCTGCATCAACGCGCGAAGCTAAAACAATTTAAAAAAAGCATTATCAAAGCTACATCTCACCACTTCAGAAACTTTCTGCCAACAGATGGCGTTGGATGTACATACATAATTTGAATCATTTATTTTTTATTAGAAATTTCAAAAATAAATTCACGAACACAATAAATTAAAACACAAAACAAACAAACAAAAAAAAAAAAATCAAAAGTTTTTAGTCCCATAATCTATTGAAACTAATCAAAACTGTTAAAGCTTATACCATCGTTTCTTATGATTGTTTTAAATAAATTAATATTTATATAACCAAAGGTCTCAATGGAATCCCTGGGAGCAAAGGCGACAAAGGTCAAAAAGGTGAACGTGGCATACCTGGCGATTCAAAAGATGGAATACCTGGACCGCCTGGCCTTGCAGGTGAAAAAGGGGATAAAGGATATGCCGGTAGAGCAGGACAGAATGGCCTTCCGGGACTAAGGGGACCTAAAGGTGTGTTGTATATATTTAGTGTAATTATGAAACGTAGTTTAGAACTTTATTATTCGATAATTCGAATAATATATTGTGTTTAATGATATATTTTTGAAAAATAAATGGTATTCGATTGTCATCAACACATTGTGTGTTGTTTTTGTGATTTTTCAGTTTATGATTTCATTAATTGTATCCTCCATGTAATTTATAACAAGGTGATTCTGGTAAATCATGTTCATCATGCATACCGGGCGTAAAAGGAGAAAAGGGTGAAAGGGGTCGAGATGGGCTCCCAGGAATTCAAGGGTTCAAAGGCGAAAGAGGTCCTATGGGCCCACCAGGGCCCAGAGGCGACGATGCTGCTCCTGGATTTCCTGGACTCAAAGGAGAACGGGTGAGAATTGAATATGATCTTGAATTTAGTGTGATCTCATAATTTAAAAATGAATTTCATCCAATTTAAGGGGTTTCCTGGTTTGAATGGAAGAGATGGTCCAAAAGGGGACAAAGGCGAAAATGCAATCATCTCGTCATTGCCAAAAGGCGAAAAAGGTGAGCGTGGTTTCAAGGGTGATAAAGGGGAACCGGGATTGAATGGAAGAATTGGCCCCCAAGGTCTGCCTGGTCTAATGGGAGTTAAAGTATGTATTGCTATCGTATAAAATTTTATGAAATTCATTAATCATTTGAAAAATGAAGGGCGACAAAGGAGATAAAGGTTTTCCTGGATTTCCTGGCATAAACGGGCAACAAGGTATGTTGTAATATTGTTCTGTTAACGATATCTATCTATGTGAATGTTTAATTGATTATTTTGCATGTTTTGCTTTGCTCAAGACAACGTGTTATTAATTCTTGATCATATTTAGTTGTGATTAAAATATATTCTTTTCATGATTTGTAAATAAATAAAACCATGTAAAAACGTAATTTCTTATCTCTGATCCTCAACATCTTGATAGCATAGACGAGGATAAGAATTTTACAGAAAATATTGTCCGGTTATTGGAGCGTTTGACTTGAAACCTTGACTGCTAAATTTGAAGCTGTTGAATCTGATTGGTGCCATTATAGTGATCAACATCGATGTGTTGTCAGACAGAATTACTGCTAATCAAACATGTTCAATGAAAAAGATATTTTTCGAACATATAAATCTTCTGATAAATTAGCATTCAAAAATGCTGTTCGAACATCTAATTGACGTGTTTTGAAATTAAATGTTTTTGCGTAGCTCAGAATAATATTTGTTAACGATGAATCAGGTGTTGGTGAACAGATTTCATTATAATCAATACCAAACTTTTGTGAATAACCACACGCTACTAATCTAGCTTTGTATGTGCCATCACGCTTTCGTGTGAAAATCCATTTTGTAGGAATAACTTTTCTAGATTGATCATGTGACACTTTTTCAAAAAACTTTGTATTTTACAAGCTGTTTGATTTCTTTGTCTATAGCTTGTTTCCATTCATTTGACTCAGCTGATTTAATAGCTTCATCATATGTAAATGGTATGTTGTATGTATTCACACATTTAAAACCAAATCTTGTTGGGGGTACTCCCCTATTTTCACGTGTTGATCGTCTTGGTATTATTTCATTATCATCATTTTCATTTAATGTCAATGAATCTTCTGATTCAATTTCATCTTCATTTGGAATATAATTAGCATCACGATAAGATCTTGATGTTGATGATGATGACTGATTTATTGTATTTGAGCTAGATGATGAAGTAATTGATTCAGAATCAGAGAACACTGATTCAGTATCTTCATTTCGTTGAACTTGTTCTTCATCTTCACTTTCAATTTCACTATCTTCATTTGAATCATCCATATTTATAATTGATGATGAGATAGATTGAGAATTTTCATCAAATGTTTTTCTTGATGTTTTAAACCAATTAAAATACATTTTGTTTTCGTTAAATTTGACATCATTTGTAATAACAACTTCATCTGTAACTGGATTATACAAACGAAAATTAGAAACTGATTTTGTATAACCGATAAACATAAGCTTCACAGATGTTTTGTCAAACTTTGATCGTTTTGGTTTAGGTTGATGATAGAAAGCTTCACAACCAAAAGTTTTCAAATGATCGTAACATGGCTTTTTATTATGAAATTTTTCATATGGTGATTTACCATCTTCTCTAATCCATGTATTGATAACATAAATTGATGTACACATAGTTTCTGCCCACAATTTATGAGGAGCATTTGAAGAATTCAATAATAGTCGCACAGTGTCAAAAACTGTTCTATTCATTCGCTCGACTATTCCATTCTGCTGTGGTGAATAACCAACGGTTGTTTCATGTGTAATACCACTTTCTTCACAAAATGTTTTCAGTTCATTGTTTATGAATTCTTTTCCACGATCTGTACGAATCGTTTTTACTTCACGTTTGAATTTTTTCTGATGAAATTTTATAAATTCAATAAGATTACTTGCTGCATCAGATTTTGAAACAATTGGAATACCAAACGTGAAACGAGAATAATGATCCACTATTAACATGCCATATTTACTTCCTTGAACGGATGGAACAGGAGCTTCCCATAAATCAACATGTAACATTTCAAATGGTTTTACATTATTGTAGATCATAGGTGTATGATGAGGAATAGAAATAGATTTGTTCATCATACAATCTTCACATGTTTCATATTTCAGATTAATAGCTGGTACATCATTTTTGATACGTTTTAAAACATTTTGACCACAATGTGCCAAACGTTTATGCCAAAGATTCAATACAAAATTCTTTGGTTGACTGTTTATGATCCATAAATTATTTTCATCAGTCTTTGCTGTGAATGAAATATCATTCTTTGAAATATAAGCAACATTATCTTCAAAAATTATTTTGAAACCATCTTCAGTTAGCTTTCGTACTGAAATAAGATTTGAACTGAATTCACCATATGCAACATCTTTTAATAATAATTTGCAATCTGGTTTTGGCTGTATGATGACGTTGCCAATTTTCTTTGATGTAACTGTATCTTTACTAGCTAATTCAAATTCAACTTGTTTGTCTTTAGGATCAATAAGTAAATTTTCATTTACTGTCGTATGTGAAGTACAACCTGAATCTAATATCCAGATATTTGATGACTTTTCAACAGATTTTAAAATAAGTGTTTTAGCCACCTTCTTTTGATTTTTACTATTTGACTTTTGTGATGTTGAAGAAGATTTTTCATTGGTTGTAGAAGATGATGGTGTACATTTTTGCTTTTCCCAACAGTCTTCAATTTTATGACCGATTTTATGGCAATACGAACATTTAAGACCATTTTTTGATTTCTTTTTTTCTTTAGCTATTTTAGTTTTTTCATTTAAACCAAAATTTGATGAAATAGATTGAGATTTAATTTTCTCATCATATTCAATAAATTCATTCATTATATCGTTCATTGTGCCATTTTGATTCATCATTATTCGATCAGCTAATTGTTCGAACTTGGAATTCGATCGAAGCATGCACATAACAATCACACATCGATGTTTGTCTGTGTATTTGCACCATTCAGATTCAATAGATTCAAATTTTGCTATGATTGTTTCAAGCCATGTTCTCAAGGAACCTCCTTTATATGAACAATTAATCAATTCGGTAAACTTACGAACTGCTGTTGCATAGGTGTCCTTTTCGACCTTAGCCATATGAGACCATACTTGGAAAACACTTTTACAATGTTCAATTACTTCGAATTTTTCCGGTATGAAAGTCAACGAAATTGTTCCTAAACAATTTTGATAAATCGCATAATCTGGATGATTTTCATCCAATTCAGATTCAAGAAAGTGACTATAGCCACAACTTCTGAATGCTGATTTCACAGATGTAAGCCAATGTTTAAGATTCTTGCCATCATACTTTACGATTTGTGATAACACATAATTTTCATGATTAGACTTGACACGATTGGTATGATTGACAATATTACCATCATTAGTGGTACGATCTTGATTTTCAATATGACTCAAACGGTTATTTAACTGACAAAATAAATCAGTTAATGATTTCAATAGATTTTGATCACCATTATTACCACGATTATTATCGTTGTTTTCGGCCATAATGACAATTCAGGGAACCACGTCTTCTGCTACCAAATGTTATAATTTTATTTAACATTCACACAGGAAAAAAATAATAACACGATGTGCTTTCATTGAACACAAGAAATCAAGTAAATTTTATTTCATCTGTTTAGTATAATAAATATAATTTCTGTTATTAGAACTTTCGAATATTACAATTCTAATATACGTTTCTTTATTCACTAATATACAACAGATAATAACACAGTTGTAATAGAAGAAAATAAATGGAAATTGTTTATACATGACAAGGTACCACAAGAATCAGCTGATGATTTGTTATTTTGTTCAGATACTTTTGTCAGATGTTGACCTGACCCCGTCGTCTTTAATTTTCTTGACACATTTTTCAGATATTACAAATCTGTCACGTTCCATATTTTGTCTTCATGTTGTATGGCCACTTTACGTTTCGTAAATTCACTAATGCATAGACAATTGATATATTTGTTTACTAGCAGCAATGGCAACATCACTTGATATATAATTGATTCATTTAGCAATTCTACTTGATTGCACAGATATCTTTGTAACCGTTAAACCATAGTAGTCAAATTTCGGATCGATATAGTCTTCATATTCCACGTAGCGATTCGAAACATTCTTTGATAGATTCGTACCAGTGATGATATTATTGGCACCTTATCCAATAGGATAGGAACAAGATGAGAGGCATGATAAGAAGCAATCACAAAATTATCACTATGAATAATAATAATAATAAAATAATGCTTAATTGTATCCGATAGGATTGAAAGGTGATAAAGGTTTTGCTGGAACTGGAAGAACTGGTTTGCCAGTAAGTGGAAACATCTTGCGAACAAATTTATTCCTCGAAATGATTAACAAAATTTTTCCAGGGTTTGCCTGGTAGCAGTGGCCAAAAAGGTGATATGGGTCCTCCCGGTCCTATGGGAGAAAAAGGAAACAAAGGCCAGCCTGGAATGGTTAGTATTCAAGGGAAAAAACTCATTTGAAAACTAATGATAATTGCTAATTGTTTATATTTTTAGATGGGAATCAAGGGCGATATTGGCTATCCTGGGTTACCTGGTTTTCCTGGATCCAAGGGCGAAATAGGTGAGAAGAACAAAATAAAACAGTTAATTTATTTTGTAGATTTTTAAATTTCATAATATATAATATATTGTGGTGGCGTGTGTTAACGTCATTAATGATTAGCCCCAATTCGAACAGATGAGTTTAGTGTACACATGTGTTTACACTACAATATGTTATATATAAAAAAAAACAAGCTAGAACAATCAAAAAAAAAGCTTTGTCAAAGCTACAAACCACAGAATGCGTTTCTTTGGAAGCGACCTCTACTTCTGAGCTGGACGAACTGTTTCAGCGGCATTCAAAAGTTTTCCCCACTGTTCGATAAGTTCAGACACACAAAATAGACACACTAAATAGTTCACTCACGCAAAACATACCACGCTTTCGCGCATATTTTTCTGCGCATGGTAATGCTGTTGTACGATTTTCGTTGTTGTTAATTTTTAAACCCATCTTGTAGCAATTATTTGAACTATCTGTTTGAATCGACGAAAAAAACCGCGCTTTAACCGTTTCATAATCCCGCCCACTATTCATTTGCCATTCATAAATTCAATAATTCAATAATAATTTGATTTTTATTCGATATAAAAAAACATAAAGTTAGAAATAAAATTATAATTGATAATGATTTTTTTAGTTTTCAATCCGATGGAAAATAATCTATTCTTTATTACCATTCGGATATTGCATGTCTATTTTCATTTTACTACTTTCATCTGATTTTAAATAATTTCTCCAATTATCTTGTTCCGATTGATGTTATTCCATCATTGATTCATTTTGCAGTCATCAACATTGTCCGTATCTTGTAATGAGGCTTTAATTGCCATTTCAATTTGTTCATTTTCTTCATAAGGACTTGGCTGTTCAAAAAAAAAATCTAACATTAGCGATGAGAATCTTCTTTATGCACTGTAAATTACTTTTTGATAATTTTTATACGAAATACTGAGATTATTTACCACAACCGACAACGATGATGTTTGTGATATTTCTGTTGGTGATGGATTTTTATTTAAGAATTTATCAGAATCTATTTCATGCCAAAAGATGATTTTTTCAACTATGATTATGAAATAAACACGAAGTTAAAGAGATTGAAAGTTTTTTGGTTTTTGAATATAATTACCTGCATGATAATCACCTATTTTTGAATTGGCGAATTGATCATCCAATTATTTTTGAATTGAAAAATAAAAGAATTATTATGAGATAATTCCTTAAGTTCTTTTTTGATATTTTTATTTGTTAATTCGGCATATTGCCACAGATTATGTTGATCAACTATGAAGATAATTAAATTAAAAATTATTATTTACCACATCATTTATAAAGCCAAATTACTTTTATGATCAATTTTCCAAGTATCACCAATAGCAAATATCAACCCATCATTCGTTTCAAAGTTTTTCACCTATATTTATAATAGATTTTGGTTTAATATTTATCGATAAAATTGTAATCAATTCAATTACTTCTAAAAACGTTCCAATTTCATTCAGAATTTCTCTGACAATTTTTTTATGTGTGGGAAATGGATGATCGGTGACTAGAATTAATCCATCCTTTGCTAAAATAAAAAGAAAGATATATTGAATATATCAAACTTATACATTTCATTTAACAAAACTTTATTTGGATCGAATCGACTTTTTTTGTCTACAATACAATTATCGAAAAAATTTACACAATTAGTTTGAATTAAGTATTTTAGTAGTAACTTACTGATTTTGAATTTGTTTTTAAACGATTAGCCCGTTCCAGATCTTGTTTCAGTTTCATTAAATGAAACTCGGGCAAATCGCTTTGGGAAATTAATATCATGTGATTATTGATTCGTTCCCAAAAATCAATATCAAGACAATACTATAATTCAAAATACAATATTTCAATGCAACAATTAATTTTTTTTTTCAATATTGCAACACACCTCAAAACAAATTGTTTCATTTTTCTCGGCAATTCCCCACATTCTTTTAATTAGCCGAGAATAAGCGGCGATTATTTGCGCTCTTGGCTTCTTGCAAATAATCTGCTCGCTTATTTTGGTCAACTTTTCGCGAATGTATCGCTTGTCATTATTTGCCAGTTTGTCCATTTTTCCAAAAACTTAAAAAAAATTCAATACAAAAGGAATAAAACATTGAACATGTCAATAGCAAAAGAATTACAACTTACAATTATGTTTCAAATTATTTATTAGCAACCTTGATTTGTACATCCTTACATAATATTGAAATTTAAATTAATTAAAAATTTGATGAATTGGATGAATTGATTAATAAAAATGCAAAATGAAAAATACAATGATTAATCAAAAATCAATTTAACAAGCTGATACAATAAAATTTATTTTCAACGTATAAATTTCATTGTATGAAAAAATCGAATTATTTAACAATGATTTGGACTTAGAAAATTTTATTGAAAATGATTTGGACTTCTAAAGCTAAAGTGTCATATTTTCTTGCTTTTTCCAACTCTGTTGTTGCTAATCGGTTTTTGTTTGTGATTCCAACTTCTATTAGTGTTATTTCGTTGGTTTTCAAGTCGTCGATCATGAGGTCCGATTTATTGTGATCAATCCGTAATTCAGTCAATATTGTTACATCTGATTTTATTCGTACTCTTTCATTGCTGATCACATTTGCCACTTAATAATTTTTCAGTCGTTTGTTCTTGTTAAGACCATATTTTTTAGTGTATAGGAAGTGGATGCTTCTTACTACATCGTTGTGTCGTTTTTTGTAGTCATAGTTTAGCACATTATGGTTGGCCAATATTCTTCTCACGTTGTTGTCTATTGATTGCAATTCTTCTGGCTCGAACGGTATGAGACCAATATAATAATTCAACGTCGATAACGAGAATTCATTTATGCTCGAGAACAGATTCTTGGCATTCAGCTTTGTATCACATAATTTGTTGATTCTGTCAAGAACCTTTGAAGCGATTATATCTTTGTTTTCTTGTTTTATCACATTATTGTGGTCTTCCAGTACTCCCAAATACTTGTAGCCATTATGATCATCTACTACTTGTCCAAACACGTTTTCAGATTCAACATTACTTGCTGATTTTTGGTTATTTGTTTCGAAGCCCATTTTCTCCAATGTATCCATGAAGTTGCTAAGCTATTGTTATACTTGATGTTTATGTTTTTGTTGATGAGGGCTTGTTGTTTTGCTCCTTGACATGCTCTTCTCGTGCCCATTTGATTGATTGATATAATGTTATTTACGTCACATATTCTAGCTAATATCGATGCCATCACTTTGCTTACTAGTTTGTAGAGATTTGGTAGACATGTTATTGGTCGTAGCTCATTTGGTTGACTTGCATTATTGACTTTCGGGATGAGATATGTCGTTCCAATGTAAAATTCTTCATCTATTATTTCCGGATTTGATATAATCTCGCATATTATTTCTTTGATTTTGTCATGCAGTGCATGGATTTTTTTTGATGAAAAAATTATGGACATGATCATGGCCTGGTGTCTTCCAATTGGGGAGATATTTAATCGATTGCTCGATAAATTCTTTCGTTTCATCCTCATTATTGTTGTCTATCCATATTTGTATGGGCTCCAATGTGTTGATAAGATCATCATGATTTGTTTCACTGTCTTCAGACTTGCATAAGCCTTGCCAAAATTCCATTGTTTCTTTTTCGTCGATGTCTTCACTTATTACCTTTGTCTCTACGTCCAATATTCTGTAGAACATCTTCCTGATAATAGATAATAATATATAATAAAATATAAATAGAATAGATAAATAGATTAGCGTCATAAATAGATGGATAATATAAAATATAATAATAATAGAATAGACTAGAATAGTAGATAGATACAAATTAGTTTCTTGGTCCGTTTGTTGCTGTCTCTACCGAAAATCCTTTGATATTTAACTTAGTTGGGAACGACGGAGTTCAACGCCGAGTCCATGTGAATCAACTTAAAATTTGTCACGACCAAACTTCGACCCTCGCTCTAGTTAGAAGAAGAGGCCGGCCAAGAATCTCGATTACTACGGAGGAGGAATAGATTGGTGTTCGATAATTAGATCCAACTGCTACTTAAACAATTGGCGTTTACGCCTTTCAGAGTTTAGTTTTAGAATTGCCTTGAACCTGCCTGTTTTTTATTTATCGCATTAAAATACAACTATATTAAATAAACATATATTTACAACAATAGGAGAGCCAGGGTATCCGGGACCAATGGGTCCCGAAGGCCCCGCCGGTTTTCCAGGACGTGATGGCATGAAAGGAAATAAAGGTGACAGAGGCCTAGCCGGAAACAACGGAATGAACGGCTTGCCCGGCCAAAAAGGTGACAGAGGCTATCCAGGTCTTTCTGGTAAGATATAAACTTTGCTGTGATGTAAATAAATTAATCGGCAATTAATTTTATTATCATCTAAGGCCTGCCTGGTATGCCTGGAAAAGAAGGCAATTCCGGCCCCCCGGGTCGAGATGGTATGGCTGGATTACCAGGAATAAAAGGTTTCATTCATAATTTAATGTGTCAATTGCTTGCTTTAACATAATTTTTTCGTATTAAAGGCGAAAAAGGGGATGCAATACCTGGACCCCCAGGTTTGGCTGGTCAACCCGGTGCCGATGGAATGCAAGGACTTAAAGGTAAATAATTATCGCGACCATTTTTTGTAGAAATACATGTTTTTGAAAGTATTCTTTTTGGCAGTGAAAAAATTCATTTTCGGTCATAATAATATATTTAATTAATTATTTTGGCAGTAAAGTGATTTTTTTCAATTAGTTATTCAATTGATTTTTGTCAGTACAAAAACATCAACCTGACTAATTGACGGTCATCTATTTGATGCTGAAAAGCTGCATCAACGCGCGAAGTTTAACAATCAAAAAAAAAACACATCAAAGCTACATCTCACCACTTTAGAAACCTTTTACCGACAGATGGCGCTAAAAGCATTTCCTACTGTTGGATGTTTACACACACACAAACAAATAATTTAATATCATATAATATATAAAATATACATATGATGATGATTTTCAGATTCGTAATTTGTTTTCTTTTACAATCAAATGTTCAATTTTTTCAGGCGACAAAGGAAATGCCGGAATGCCTGGTATGCAGGGTCAAAAAGGCGTTCAAGGTCCAAAAGGTTAGTGAAAAATGATTGAAGATCGAATTTTTAATTCACTTATCATTGCATCAGGAGATAAAGGTTATCATGGGTTACCTGGTTTGAGGGGACCACCAGGTGATGGAGCGATAAAAGGAGATAAAGGCGATCCTGGTATTCAACCGGGCGCCACTGGATTAGCCGGTGAAAGAGGCGAAAGAGGTTTTCCAGGGCTTCCGGGGATGAAAGGTGATAAAGGGCTCCCAGCAACAAGTTTAGAAGGTGTCAAAGGAGATAAAGGAGATGCTGGTTTGCCTGGACCACGAGGAATTTATGGAATTTCCGGTCCTAAAGGCGATAAAGGATTGAAAGGATTGCCGGGACTTCAAGGACCAAAGGTAAAAAACATTTCTTTTTTTTTAGTAAACAAAATATTGAGGTTGCAATCATCATGGAGTCATCATTAGTTTAACCTCAATCTATCTAGCTACACATTATTTTAACAACAATCATTCAGTTGTATCAAAATTCGAAAAATTCAAATTCAAACTCTTTCTATGTTCTATTGAATGACTGCACCATCTATTGGATGGATTCAAAAGCTGCGGCAACGTGTGCTGAGCTAGAATAATGAAAAAAAAAAGAATGCGTTTCTTTAGAAGCGGCTTCTACTTCTGAGCTGAACGAACTGTTTCAGCGGCATTCAAAAGACACACACACTGAGTAGCTCAAACTATAAATAGTCATGTTTGTACTGAAAATAAGTAGAAATGGCCGGCTCAGCTTTGCCGCATTGAATGCCAAGTTAATACAGTTTTTTATACTTGCAGAGTGTAAAAATTGCAGTTTACAGTGGAAATTTAACCCATTAATGCCTAAATTTTTTTTTTGAAAAAAAGTTATCAATTATAAAAATTTGATGGCTACAAGTAATAAATATGACATTTATTTATTTTTAAAATTTTTATATTTCGAGAAATTGAACTTTGAACTTCCATCCTATATATAGGATGATGGCCACACAGACAACAAAAATTGCATATATTGGATATATTGGATATTATTGTTATTTTATCAAATACAATTGATATATTCGGTTTTTCTCTTCGAAATCCTTTTACAAATTAAAAATACATCAATTTGTAGTGTATTTATTTTATAATTTACTATGATATTATTTAAAATCATTTAAGCAGAAACTTTTGTTGTACAAGATCCATTGATACGGTGATTTTTTTTTACAAACATGGCATGTCCATGGTTTGTGATCTTGTATCTTGATGATGAAATGATTCCCTGTATTTAATAATTCATCACCGAGGCTAAAATGTCTTGGTCAACCAAGATTTTTAATTTTGAAAATGAGTCCAATGATAAATAAATTTTTGAAATTGACCTTTTACATTCAAGAAATTTTTTTTCTCTTGGGTCTACAATACAATAAAATGTATGAATTGGCGAATGAATGGTTAAATCGATTGAATTAGTGAATAGAAAAAAATACTACTTCCTCGATTATATTGATAAATGATAATTAGAAATATTTTACTAAACAACATATCCCATATTACTTAAATAATCCTCAATCAACTTTGGCTGTTTGATGGTCGTTTTTTTGTTGTTACGACCGTAGTTTTAGACTGATTTATGAATCGATTCCAGTATTGTTCGAAAGCCTGAATATCTTTTTATTTGAGCATTGAAAATATTTACATCTAATTGAATAGCATTACAATATTATTAAATCTTAAAATTACGAATATATACAAATAATTACATATAAAAGAGTTTGGTCCAATACACATTCAGTTTATTTTATCATGTTTATTCCTGGGAGTTATCCATGGTTCTCTTTAACACCTGACCTTGGATATACGCTTGGAATTTCTCTGTTAACCCCAGGCCTTTCTGAAGTATCCTGTGACCAAACAATTAGAACTGTGGTCACTTTACTTCCATACATAGATTTCAGTTGGTTGACCAGCAGTTCGTCAATCCTCTTGTTCAAAATAACATATAGAAATTGGCATAGAAATTCTTAGGGTTACCATACGTCTGGATTTATTCCGAAACATATCCGGAATTTCTTTAATAATCTTGTATTGATTGTCTTGTCTTGTATTGATGGTGACCCTATGGTTGAGAAACACTGATGAATAGATTAACCAGATTTTTGTTTGGAAAAATATGCTAGTCCTACATAGAAAACAAGAGATATTACGATGTAATACATAGGTTTCAATAATAACAGAAGTTGATGTTTTAGTACTTTCATTCAGAAAATCCGACTTTTTGACAATCAAGATCAAATTAACTGTACTTAGATAAAGATAATGCAGATGAGTTATATATCATTTTGAAGCTAAATAAACGTGAAACAAAACGCTTTTAATTTTATAAAAATTGAATGAATAGTTTTGAAATTATTCATCTTCAAGTAAATATCTTATATATAGGATAATGGGCATTAATAGACATAGACTAGTAAAAAAGAATAGAATAGAAGACTAGTAGATTATATTGTGCTATATATACAAGTGTGACTATTGTTTAATAGGTTATTGCTTACGAAGTAACATTAGTGTATCCGAATTAATTAGACATTCTACTCGAAAATCATTCGTTTATTGATTAAATATAATGATACCAGCCTGGCCCTGCGGGACTGACTAATTGACTGTCATTTATTTGATGCAAAAGCTGCATCAACGCGCGAAGCTAAAACAATTTTAAAAAAAGCATTATCAAAGCTACATCATACAGAGTTCTCTTTTTTAGAAACTTTCTGCCAACAGATGGCACTGAAAAATTCCCTACTGTTGGATGTACATTCATCACAAACGCTAATTGGCTTACTCTTTTATATAAAGTATGATGATGATGATAAAAGTGAGAATAAATAAATAATGAAAGAAAATAAGTTAATTGATGATATCTTGGTGAGGAATCCGATTTACTTATTTATTGATAGTAATGACATGAACAGCGTCTTCGTTGGAATCAGCAGGCATAGATTGGTTATCTTTGGATGATATACAGGAAAAACGAGCATACGTGAGAAAACAATCAAAACACGAAAATGAAAACATGAACCTTGATACTCACTGAAAAAATGACGACCCCTTTTCATTCGTCTTCTGGTCTTTTATATGTTGGCGTTTGGGTAAGCTGATGATTGACAGTTCAAGCTTTTGTCTTTCTCCACCTGAGGAACCCCTTCATATAATCCGTTACATTAGTCATTCTTGTTTTGTTACAATTTTGCTATCGTGTTTTCTTCATCTTTTTACCGTATATATATCGATATTTATATTTCTACGAGAATGTCCGATAAAGAATTCAATGTTGTTAAAACCCTTAAACTGGGCCAAGTGACATATAGACAATGGTTAAAGATTGTTATTATTATTAAAAATTTCATTGTGCTATTGTTTAATACAAATTAAAAAAAATTTCTTTTACCAAAAAGGGCGAACGTGGACCACAGGGACCATATGGCCCAATGGGCTTGCGTGGAACTTCCGGTTTGCCTGGTTTTCCGGGCCTAAAAGGGGAAATCGGCAATGTTGGTTTAAAAGGATTAAAAGGCCAAACCGGTGATGTTGGATTGCCTGGTTTTTCCGGTCAAAAAGGCGAAAAAGGCCAAGCTGGCTTACCTGGTGGTGGCGAAAAAGGTGAAAAAGGTGACTTGGGTTTACAAGGACCAGTCGGAATTTCGGGAGCCAAAGGCGATAGAGGTTTGAACGGCATCGCCGGGTATCCAGGACAAAAGGTAAGATATTTGTTGACTAATGACAACAAATCTCCCGTCTTTGTCAAAACAATAACAAACAATTTAACCAAAGATTTTGTTTGACAAGCGCGTACAAAAGGATCTTTTGTAAGTGGCTTAGTAAGAATATATATCTGCCAACTGTGAATTTGTATCCACATATTCGGTTTCAAAATCATTCAGCATCTTCGGAGAATGTTTCAACAATTTTTTTTTTGATTTCAAGGTCGAAATGTCTTGATTTTTTCATTGTTGAACCATTGAAAATATGATTGGCTGATTGATTATCACATTTAACTTTGACTTTCATTTTGAAACCAATAAATTCTAGCACTTTTTTTTCTTCGTGGCAATAAAATTAGAGTTATAGAATCGAAAGGATCTGCTACCAATATGTTGTATGAATATATTGATTCACAAATAATAAACACACAATAATAACTTTAGAATTTTTTTTAGAAAAATAATATAATAAATTTCGTAAAATCATTCATATTTATACATTACAAACAATAAACCAATTAAATAATTGTTTGTTATTTGTTGACTAATTACAACATTCTAAATCAACTGTTCTCTTGAAAAGGGTGACATCGGATATAGTGGTGCTCGTGGACCACAAGGGCTACCTGGCCTGCCTGGACCCAAAGGTAACAATCTCGATAATAATTGAGAAATGAATCTAAAATCTTTTTTTTTCTTTGAATAGGCGATATTGGTGAACCTGGACTGGATGCAAGATGCTCCGATATTGGAAAAAGTTAAATTGGAATTCAGATCATTATTTTCAATTATCCTGACTGATGTTTTTTTTTTGTTTTCAGTAATCAAAGGTGACCGTGGGTTACAAGGAATGCAGGGACTTCAGGGACCAGTCGGGCCCCCAGGCATCGGAATAAAAGGTTCGAACGTTTTTTTAGGCTTTAATAACTAATATAAACTTTATTAAAAGCTAACAAAACGACAAACTATCAAGACTATCAAGTCATAGTGTAATCTCATAGTTCACACAACATTTCTCCCCTGTTGAAAAGAAATGACTTGACCCAATTTCAAACATACGATTAGATGACAATGTTTTTGACAATTAGTTGACATATTCAATAATAATAGGAGCATTACAATCATAAAAAAATTTAAATTAGTTTTTTGATTTCGATATCAAAATACAAATGGCCGATGAAATCAAATATTTCTTTGATTGGCAAAATAAAGCTTTCGATTCAGCTTCACAGCTAGACGTGGCGATTTTTTGTTGTTTTGTACTACGCCAGAAAAGTGTAGACTGACCACGTTTAACCACAATAATACCAGTAGTCGAATGACGTGAAAAACTAAATCACCTTTGCGGATGGTGTTACAGAAGCAGTAGACGAATCACCATCGAAAATAATCAAATATAACCATCATCAAATAATTTCTGTGAACAGACAGCAGATTGAAATTGAATTTACCATAAGCCAAGCAATACCGTTATTCAAGCGTATCTTATGGCCACGATTTATTAGATTGATCACAGAGAATTTCCAATTTCATTCGTTATAATCGGATCGCCACCAGCAGCTTCCAATTCCAACACTTTAGGCACCGCATTGATAAGAACAGATTTATCATTAGTGACCTGTAACCAGAATCGAGAATCCAAGTATTGCGATTTGATGATCGTGATGAACACTGATCACTGATCTAGCTTGTCGACTCACATTGGTGGCGATACTGTTGCTGTTGCTCTGTCTGCTGGTTGAGGCCACTGTTGATGTGTGTTGATTTATGACCATTATCCCAGTATTTCTTATATGGCAATCGTTGGTGTTATATATATAACTATTACGGTTACAATACGAGCATTTTAGATTCGATTTATCATTTCCCTTTGATGATTTATTCTTTTCATCCTCTTCCATCAATGCATTGGTGATATCTTTCATGGTGATGACTTTATCACGTGATGTCAAGCGATCCACCAACCGATCAAACTTCAGACGTGCAAGTAAGATGTATTCAACATCTGGGTGAATTTTCAAACAGAAGATGTAACTTTGGTTTCTGCTTCGGCCAGTGTTGTTCTGATTGTCGATACATTCATGCTCGTTATCGCATTCGATAATCGGAGCAATACTGAAGAAAGATCACCGTCACTCTTAGCTTTATTATTTTGATTAGTAGACATGTCGAAGAGCAAAAGAGATGAAAAAAAAACAAATTGGAAAAATAGACAAGAGATGTGTTGATGTGCAATGCAACAACCACGCTCTGCTACCAATTGTAGGTTTTTAAAGACAAATGACTGAATTTATACAAATAATAAAATGATGACAAACAAATAAAAAAGCACACATACTATTAAGACTATCAAGTCATAGTGTAATCTCATAGTTCACACACAACAATTTTAACAACAAAATTTTGGGTTTCATTTCAATTTTGTTTTACTTATCAGGAGATAAAGGTGAACCAGGTCCCATCGGAAGTCCAGGTCCCATCGGAAATCAGGGACCAAAAGGTGAAAGAGGATTGGATGGATTGCCAGGACTTCCGGGGCTAAAAGGTGAAAGAGGATTGGATGGGTTACCTGGCGCCAATGGACAAGATGGACTTTTAGGTCCCCCTGGTCCGAAAGGAAATGTTGGAGCACGGGGCGAAAAAGGGGATAAAGGGGAAAGGGGATTGGACGGGGTTCCTGGTTTGCTCGGTATCAAAGGTGATTGATGCTTGTTTCTCTTGCTGAGCATATTCTCCAATATATATATTGTTTTCTCAATATCAAAGGAGAAAAAGGCTTGGCCGGAAGGCCAGGAATGAACGGATTGATCGGACCACAAGGCCAACGTGGTGATAAAGGCGATTCTTGTGTGGCACCCTTGATTACTGGAGAAAAAGGAGAGAAAGGTGAAAGGGGATTTCCGGGCCGAGAAGGTTATGCGGGACCGGCTGGGGTTGCGGGTGAAAAAGGACAAGTTGGACCTAAAGGGGAAAGGGGATTGGACGGCCTCCCTGGTTTGCCGGGCATGAAAGGTAATTAATTAATGTTTGTTTCTCTTGCTGAGCATATTTTTCTAATATATTTTGTTTTCGCCAAAGGTGAAAGAGGTTTCGATGGTCTTGCTGGTCCAGCTGGCTTGAAAGGAAATCAGGGTCCCAGAGGATATCCTGGTCTAGCTGGCGATTCTGCATCCAATTATTTTACCGGTATATTATTGGTACGACATAGTCAGCAAAGCTCCATTCCAGAATGTCCACATGGAATGGGAAAACTTTGGGATGGTTACAGTCTACTATATATTGAGGGCAATGAAAAAGCTCATAGCCAAGATCTTGGATTTGCCGGCTCTTGTTTACGACGATTCAGTACGATGCCATTTTTGTTTTGTGATTCAAATAGCGTCTGTAATTATGCAAGCCGTAATGATAAATCCTATTGGCTAACAACTAATGCACCGAAACCAATGATGCCCGTACGAGAAGCAGCCATACAGAATTACATCAGTCGTTGTGTTGTTTGTGAAGCACCAAGTAATGTGATTGCCGTTCATAGCCAAACAGAATCCATTCCACAATGTCCACAAGAATGGACCGAACTTTGGATTGGTTATAGTTTTGCTATGGTAATTTTACTTCTGGTTTTATCAATTGTTTGAACAAAAAAAAATTAATTAATGTTTTTCTCTTTGCTGTTAAATATATAGCATACCGGAGCAGGTGCTGAAGGTGGTGGACAATCATTATCAAGTCCAGGTAGTTGTCTGGAAGAATTCCGTGCAACACCATTTATCGAGTGCAATGGAGCTGCTGGTGGTTGTCATTTTTTTGCCAATAAATTCAGTTTCTGGCTAACGACAATCGAAGCGGGCAAAGAATTTCAAAAACCAATCAGTGAAACATTAAAATCCGGTAATCTACGTAGCAAAGTTAGTCGTTGTGCTGTTTGCTACAAGCCATGAAACAAAACAAAACAAAAAACGAAAAAAAAGTTTTAATTATCTTTCTTGACAGCATTTCTTTAAAAAAAATGATGAAATGATTTTTTTGCCAAGTTATATAATATTCTCTTGTTATGCGTATGTTTTTTTTAAAGAATTTTTCCTTTTTTTCAACACATATTCTGGCCATTGAAACAAACAAACACGAAAACTGAATAGTAAACACACACACACACACACACACACACACGAATGACCAATTTAAAAATGAATAAAATTTGACAATTTCAACTTACGTGTAGTTGGTTGAAAAGAACATTTTTTTTTATTTCTAAAAAATTAAATATTCACAATCGTTTACAGAAACAGATACAGATAGATATAAAGCTTGGATAAATAAATAAATAAAAAATCTTAACATCCGATATTCTTTTTGGTCACTTTAATTCTTTCTAATTCACAAATGATAAAAATCGACACGAATATAGCACTATGTAGCAGTCAACTGGCTGCGCACGCTCCTGCCTATTGCCACCTCTTCCTATTTCGACCGAGAATGTCGGTGAGAGGAACGAGCATGTTTCCAACCGAAAATTCCGAGTCAGCATACAATAGAACACACACCTTCGAACACACACTGTGATTTCGTTTCAATAAAATTAAAATTCGATTCAAAAACCTGTCGACATTGCGACATATTTTGGTGACCCGTCCTTACATCGAATTATAAAAAAAAGTGTGTTTTTTTCAAAGATGGACAACAACGACAATGCCAATGACACATTGATGTCTGAAACTGGCGAGCAGGCAAATCAAGTCGATCCAGCGCTAGTTGCGTCATTGCTTCAATCCATGCATTCGATGATGATTGAAATGAAAAGAGATCGTGATACCTTGCAAGCGATGGTCGTTGACATGAGAAACGAACGCAAATCACGACCCGCATCCAATATCGATATGCCCCCATTCATTGATACAGATCCACGTGGATGGCTTGAAGCGGTGTCAGCTTGTTTTAATGCGGCACACGTTAACGATGAAAAGGATCAATTTTTCAAAATTGTATCTCAATTGCCGAAAACCATACGTGACAATCTCAAACATAAATTGGATCTCACCGATTACACCGATGGTAAACTGGCCTCACTAAAAGAATTGATCATTCGTGAATACGAACTTTCCGAAACAATTCGACGAGATCGAATCCTCAGTCGCAAAGACTTAGAGAATCAAAAACCATCTGTGGCCTGGTCATGGTTGTTAAACATGGGTAAAAACGTTTTCACAATCGTACAACTTCTTGCTTTTTGGGAGAAGCTATTACCCAAGGACATTGGATTATCGATTCATCACGTGATCGTTCCAATCGAACGCCAATTAACAGAGAATCCCAATGATCCGCAAGTGTTACAAAGTATTGCAGGTATCGTACATATGGCTGATTCACTGATTGAAAAGTATGGTATCACCACCAACAATCATCAGGTTTCTGCTATCTCACGTCCGCGAACCGCAAGTACCAGCAACAACAACAACAACCCCAATAGCAGAAACATCCGCAAGCGCCAAGCGTTTCGAGATGATGGACCATACTGCCGTAACCATTTCTTATATGGTAATCGAGCAAACAGATGTGGAAGACCGCAATCGTGCACATTCTTAAGTCGATCCAATCGGTCAAACCAATCAAGAAATCAATCAAATCGATTCAACAATCCACGTTCCAACACACCTAGTCGTAGTCAATCACCGAATCCATCACAACAACAACAACAACAACCTTCATCATCAACAACAACAACAACAGCGAATCAAACAAACTAGTCGAACCGATTAGAAGTCCTAGATCGGTTCCTAGCCAAAGGCAATCAATAATCAGCGCCATTCATTCAAATCAATCAAATTCAAATATCAATAATCACAACGATGATCATCATTTACACAACAACAATCATAACAATAATCAAAATCATTCAATCAATCACAACAATCATAATCACATCAATAGGAATTCCTTATCATTCAATGCACATGTCAATAAAATTGTCTCACAAATGTACAACAACGTTTCCAATAATCATCATAGACTTTTCATTGTAGATAAATCATCCGGAAAACATATACTGATTGACACTGGTTCAGATGTATCAATATGGCCAACATCATCAAAATACCTGAACGTGTTCAACAACAATAACAAAAAGTCACAACGTTGCAATTTCCAATTATTCGCTCATAATGGTACCAGAATTACGGCTTATGGTTTAGAAAGAATAACCATAGACCTTGGTTTTGGTCAGCCTTTCACATATTCATTCATCATTGCTGAATCTGGATATCCAATCATAGGCGCAGACTTTCTATCACATTTCCATCTACTTCCAGATCTCAAAAACAAATTGCTAATTGACCCTGACAACCAAAGGACAGTCAAAGCATACACAAAATCAACAGACATCTACGGAGTATCAACAATCAATCAAGATATTGACCCACGAGTGAGAGAATTATTGTCTAAATTCCCCTCGATCACTAGAACCAAATTAACTCCGGAAGTCAAACACAGCATCCGTCTAACAGATGAGAATGAAACTGTGTTCGCTCATCCTACACGTCTAGATCCAATCAAGCTAAAAGCTGTAAAGGATGAACTCAACAAGATGCTAGAATCGGGAATCATACAAACGTCATCGTCATCATTCGCTAGTCGAATAGTTGTCGTTCCTAAAGCTAACGGCCAACTACGATTATGCGGTGATTATCGTATGTTAAACAGAATCACCATTCCTGATCGCTATCCAATCAAACACATAGAAGACTTCTCGCAAAGTCTCCGTAATACAAAGATCTTCTCAACCATCGATCTATTATCAGCATTCCATCAGATCCCCGTATGTGAGGAAGATCGTTTCAAAACAGCAATAACAACACCAGTTGGTTTATACGAGTACATTCGACTACCATTCGGATTACGAAATGCTCCATCAACATTCCAACGGTTCATCGATCAAGTCTTTCGTGAACTTGACTTCATCTATTGCTATCAGGACGATTTACTAATTGCATCCGAAAATGATCAACAACACATTGCACATTTGGAAAAGGTTTTCAATAAGTTGAACGAATATGGACTAACCATCAACATTGAAAAATCAAAGTTTTTCCAAACCGAAGTGAAATTTCTGGCTCACATTGTAGACAAAAATGGTATCCGCATATCACCCGACAAGTTGAAAGCCATCGATGAATTTCCTCAACCAGATTCATTGAAATCTCTCAAACGATTTATCGGCATGGCCAACTATTATCGTCGATTCATACCTCATGCAGCCAAAATTATGTCTTCATTGCATTCTATGTCGAAAACTGATTTCGAGTGGACCAATGAAAGATTAAAGGCATTCAATGACATCAAAGCCGCACTTCGTGAACAAATTACATTATCATTCATTGATCCAAAGGCTAAACTAGTTATCAAAGCCGACGCATCTGATCATGCCATAGGTGGATGCCTAGAACAAATCACCAGTGACAACAAAGTTGAACCACTTGGTTTCTGCAGTAAGAAACTGCGTCCTGAAGAATTTCAGCTAGCACCATTTGACAAAGAACTTCGTGCAGCTCATCATTGTGTAAAACACTTCGAACATCTCATAGAAGGCAGACAGTTCACATTATATACTGACCACAAGCCATTGGTCAATGCCCTTTTAGTTCGAACAAATGTCAAAAGATCGCCAATGCAAATGCGATTAATGTCATACATTCTCGAATTCACCTCAGACATACGACACATATCCGGTACTGATAATGTAGTCGCAGATTGTCTCAGCAGAGTAGAAATCGAAGCAATCACATCATCTGATCCATCATCTTCATCAACAGAATCATCATCAATTGAACCAATATCATTACAAATGATTGCAAATGAACAACACAATCAACTCGAAGAGATGGAATCATATAGAACGGAATTTGGTCCACGTATCAAACTACAACGTATCGATGATCAATTAATACTGGTACACGTCGATGACAAATCTCCAATCCGACCAGTCATACCATCATCTCTTCATAAGAGAATCTTTCATCTATGCCATGGACACGATCACAAATCAGCCAACAAAACACGACAAATTGCAGCTGATCGCTATTTCTGGAAATCCATGAATGCAGATATCAAACAATGGTGTCGAACATGCCAAAATTGTCAAAAGTCTAAAATCCATAGACACACAATTGTTCCACCCAAACAAATCGATATTCCAAAAATTCGATTTTCACACATCAACATCGATATTGTTGGGCCATTACCACAATCACCAATTTCTGGAAACAGGTACTTACTAACATGCATCGACCGTTTCACCAGATGGCCGGAAGCAATACCGATGTCATCCATTTCTGCCGAAAATGTTGCCAACCTATTCGTGACACACTGGATCAGTCGCTTTGGAATACCAGACGTTGTTACAACCGACCGAGGAACTCAATTCGAATCTCAACTGTTCCACGAGTTGACAAAACTAATTGGCACAAAACATATTCGCACGGCAGCATTCAACCCACGTGCAAATGGAATGATTGAACGTTTTCATCGCACATTAAAAAGTTCAATCATGGCAACAGGACAACAATGGGAACAAGTATTACCCATGGTCCTTCTTGGACTTCGAACCGTAGTCAAAGATGATCTACAATCATCTTCAGCTGAACTGGTTTATGGATCACAGCTCACCATTCCAGCTGATCTAGTTACCGATCACACTGATATCTTGCCGGCACATGAGTTTGTCCGTATACTCAAGGAACATGTAGCTGCAGCAAAATCGGCAATAACTAGACCAAGCAGAGATTCACGCTGTTACATTCCAGATGATCTAACCACAGCTGAATACGTGTTTCTTCTGAAAGAGAATCGCCGAACTTTAGAACGACCATACACAGGTCCATTCAAAGTCATCAATCGTCGCGATTCCACATATGAAATCGAAACACAAAACGGTTTAGAATCAGTCGCCCTCCATCGTCTCAAACCTGCCTACATTGAGCGGGATGATCAAATTGATTTACCAAGGAAAAGAGGCAGACCAGCTAAGAAAGTCCAATTCGCCGAAAATCTCACAGAAGAATTTCCTATCCCAGCACGTGCAAACAAACCAGATGTTCAACCAGCCATAATCAAACGGAAGAGAGGAAGGCCCAGGAAAGTTCAATCATCATAATCATCATCATCACACATTGAATATCCTGATTCATGTCCACATTTCTGTAACATACACAAAATTTTTTTATAACATGGACATTCATACTTGCGCGGGAAGTGTAGCAGTCAACTGGCTGCGCACGCTCCTGCCTATTGCCACCTCTTCCCATTTCGACCGAGAATGTCGGTGAGAGAAACGAGCATGTTTCCAACCGAAAATTCCGAGTCAGCATACAATTGAACACACACATTCGAACACACAGTGATTTCGTTTCTAATAAAATTCAAATTCGATTCAATAAACTTGTCGACATCACGACAGGTTCATATTTAGTTAATTTCAACAAAACGCATGCCGAACTAGACTCATCCGTCATTCTATTCCTATATTTATTTTTTATGAAATTTAATTCCGAAAATAAAGATTCACATGCCCACGTCGATGAAAATATTGACAAAATTGCCTTTGCTAATATTTTTAAACAATTAAACGTGTCAGGAATTGAATTCCATGTAGATAGAATTTCATCTTCCGCAATTTTATTTATTTGATCTAATAATCGATTACTTTCAATATTTTCTAAATCATTTCTTAAATCAACAAATTTTTGTTTCCATATGGTACTTGATTGAAATTCAACTAATTGCATTTCTAATTCATTAAAATTTAACCAGTCAAGGACTTTTAAATTTAATTTTTCGAATGGTATTGTATCAGGATATAAAATGAATTTTAATGTTTCTTCAAATTCTTTAAACTGCGTAAATCTTGCAGAAAATTCCTGAATCAGGGATTGAATTACCATTGAAAATTCTTTTGTTAATGACTCTTTAATTGGCTTTTCGTGGCATTCACTTTCTGAAAAAAAATTTTTGGTATTTGGGAAATATTTATAAGAATTGGAAAAAATATCGCGATTAAAAATGTTTAATTTGGTTTCGAAAGATTTAATTAGGTCAAACATGATAATTACAGTTTTATATTTACCTTGTAATTTTATATTTAATTCATTCAAGTGAGAACATAAATCAGTGAAAAAATATAACTTTGCTAACCATTCTACATCCAATAATTGTTTGTATTGGTCAATCATGTTTTCATTATTCAGAAATAATCTTATTTCCTCCAAACAATCTACAAACCTTTGCAAAACATTTCCGCGGCTTAACCAGCGGACATTATTGTATAAAAGTAAACTATTGTACGACGAGTTTACTTCATTTAACAATTCTTGAAATTTTCTTTTATTTAATGCTCGTGCTGATAAAAAATTGACCAATTTTGTTACAAAACACAAAATATCTTCAAACATTTTTAAACCGGTTTTTGCACATAACGCTTGTTGGTGAATAATGCAATGAAAATAAAGAATTGGGTGTCCAATACGTTTTGTAAATAAATTTATAAACCCATTTTCCCGTCCAGTTAAGTTGCGGGCACCGTCAGTTGTAACTGACACAATTTTAGAAGGACATATTTCTTTTTTTCCAATGCATCTATAACTGCGTTACAAATGTCGATTCCTTTTGTTGTTGTTGTTAATGTTGATAAACTTATCAACTCTTCTTTAATATTGTTTTGAACGAAATAACGTACAAAAATTGCTAAGCGAGAAGAGCCTGTTACGTCGGTAGACTCGTCAAGACAAATGGATATAAAATCGCAAGACTTTATATGAATTTTTTGTTGAAAATCTACATTTTCCGCCATATCCAAGATTCTCTTGTTGTATGAATATAACGTAAACACGAATAATAAACACACAAAAAAATACTTTTTTAATTAATTCATATTTTTACAAATTCATTCATATTTATATTGCTTTTAACAATTAATTTATAATTGAATTAATTGTAATATTTGACATATTACAACAAATCTCCTGCCTTTGTCAAAACGATTACAAATAATTCAACCAAAGATTTTTTTAGCAATACGTTCAAAAGATATTTTCATAAGAGGCTTTGTTAGAATATCAGCTAATTGTAAACTTGTTTCGACATATTCAATTCCGTAATCTGGATCTTCGGAAAAAACTTCGATAATTTTCTTAATCTCAAGATCAAAGTGTTTAGATTTTTTCATTGTAGAGCCACTAAAAATATAATTTGCAGACTTATTGTCACATTTAACTTTGACTGTTGTTCTAAAACCAATAAAATCCATCACTTCTTTTATAAACACGACAGAATTATAACCATCGAGTATAGCTCTCGATTCTGACTCACAACTCGATGTAGAAATTTTGTTCTGCTTAATACTACGCCAAAACAATAATGATTTTCCAGATCTTATTAAAAGACCAGAAGTTGAATGTCGTGTTTCACCCTGACCAAAACTTGCATCAGTGAACAACTCTATCTGTGAATCCAAACATCCTAGAACCAACTTTTGATCAACTGTTCCAGCCAGAAATCTAAGAATTTGTTTTGCTGCTAACCACAAGGAATTCGTTGGTTTTTTGATAAATCGTGATAACCAATTTACAGCAAAACAGATATCTGGTCTTGTTCGATTTGCAATATATATAAGTGAACCAAGAAGTTTTTGAATTGGTAATGATTCATTAATTTCTTCTTCGTTGTTATGTTGATATAAATTTGACATTGGCACATTTGTCACTTTACAATCTTCCATATTGAATTCTTTCAATAATTTTCTTATATATTCTGATTGACAAAGATCAAAACTTGTTTCTGTCTCTGTAATTCTTAAGCCAAGATAATCATGAACTTGACCCAAGTCTGTAATTTCAAAACGTTTTTCTAATTTTTCAACTATTTGAGTCAACTTTGACTCATCTGGGCCTGTTATTATCATATCATCAACATACAATAACAACAACGATTCGTCCAATTTAAACAAACATCGATCTGTCACACTTCGTGTAAAACCAATTGCCATAAGATACGAAGATATTGTTTTGTACCATTGTAAAGGTGACTGCTTCAAACCATATAAAGCTTTTTTCAATTGTAAATGACCCTTCGAACCAAAGCCAGGCGGTGTTTCAACATAAACTGGTTCATCTAGTTCAGCATTCAAGAATGCCGTCCTAACATCAAGTTGACGAACCTTATGATTAAATGTTTTAGCATAACTAAGAACAATATTTGTTAAACTTCTATCCGGTGTTGGTGATGCCGTTTGAAAATAATCATAACCAAATTCTTGGCTATAACCACAAGCCACTAATCTTGCTTTATAGATTCCAGAACGTTTTTTCGTAAAAATCCATTTTGTTTTAATGATTTTTCGTGACTCGTCTACCGGTATTCTTTCAAACACACCATATTTCTGTAACTGATCAACTTCTTTTTGTATTGCTTCTTTCCATTGCTCAACATCTGACATTTTTAAAGCATTTTCATATGATGTTGGTATAATAGAAGAATTTATGCAAGAATAGCCAAATAGATTTGATGTTTGTATATCATGAACTCGTTCTTCTATATCATCTGATTCAATATCTGTTGATGAATCTGTTGTTTGTACAATGAATCGATTATCAGAACTTTCTGTAAAATATAGCTCTGATTCATCAAATCTAACATCATTTGTTGTTATGACAGTTAGATTTTCTGGATCTAATAAACGATAATTAACTGTTGAATTTGTGTAGCCAATAAACATCATTTTAACTGATGTTTCTTCCAACTTATTTCGTAAATGTTTTGGTTGATGATAATATGCTACACAGCCAAAAGTTTTGAGATGATTATAAGATGGTTTTCGACCAAAGAATTTTTCATATGAAGAAATCCCATCACCTTTAATCCAAACGTTTATTAGATATATTGCTGTAACCATTGTTTCTGCCCAGTATTCATGTGGTACATTAGCAGAATTCAATAAAGTTCGAACAGTTTCAAAGATTGTTCGATTGTTTCTTTCTACTATGCCATTTTGTTGTGGAGAATAGGAATTTGTTTTTTGGTGTTGAATTCCATTGTTTTCACAAAATGTTTCTAGCATATTATTAACAAATTCAGTTCCGTTATCAGTTCGTATGAATCGTACTTTCTTCTTATAACGTGTTTCACGATTTAAAATAAATTTTATCAATTTTTCTGGAACTTGTGATTTGCTTTCAATTGATATGCCAAATATAAAACGAGATTTATGATCTACTATAATTAAAGCATATTTGTTTCCACCAACGGAAACAACTGGACTTTCCCACAAATCAATATGAAGTAATTCAAAAACTTCAACATCTTCGTAGACCATTGATAAACTATGAGATTTTGATACGGATTTATTCTTAACACAATTTTTACATTGGTCAAGTTTTTTATCAATGAAAGAATATTGTTTGCTTATTCTTTCAAGAACTGTTTTGCCACAATGACCAAGTCTATTATGCCATAGATTAAACATAAGATGATCTTCCTGTTCATTAACTATCCACAAGCCTGATGGATGTTTCTCAGCTGTAATTTCAATATTATTTTTTCGTATAAAAGCTGTTGTTTTTTCAAAATCAACCGTATATCCATCTAAGTGTAGTTGATGCACGGATATCAAATTAGAGTTGAATTTTCCAAAACTACATTCTTCAGAACTAATTGGTTATTCGAATTCTGATTAATAATCACAGTTCCAATTTTTGACGAAACAATGTTTTCACTGGCAGTCTCAAATTCTATATTTTTTATGCATTGAAGAAACAAATTTTGATTCATCGATTGTTGCATGTGACGTACAACCAGTATCTAAAATCCATTGATTTTGATTGAAAGTAAATTTTGTTTTCTTCATAACTGATTTTAATTGTTGTTTGACAACTTCGTTTTTTTTCTCAGTGGAAACATTTTTCGTATTTGAAGATGCGGTTTGTTTGCTCTGTTCATCACGAACTTTTTTACGACAAACTTCCATTTTATGTCCAAATAAATTACAATAAGTACATTTAATATTACGATTCTTTCCAAACTTCTTATTGTAAACAGCTTTAACAGACTGTACAGTTGATGAGACATTCTTATTCAAATTCATATTTGATTTATTTTTTTCATCTTCTTCGATAAATGAATTCATAATATCTTTTATCGTTAAATTTGGATGTGTCATTAAACGATCTGCCAAACGTTCAAATCGTGGTCTTGGCAACAAGCCCACAATTATTACACATCGTGTAGATTCATTAAGTTTGACGAAATCAGATTCCAAACTCTCAAATTTTTCTGTAAGCTTCTCCATCCAAGCTCGGAGCTCTCCACCATCGAATACTGTTTTAATCAGTTCAATAAATTTTCTAACTGAAGTACTAAAGCTGTCTTTTTCAGAACGAGCCATGTATGTCCAGATTTCAAAGACCGATTTACAATGATTCACCCTTTCCATAGTACTTGGAGTGAAAGTAAATTTAAGCAAACCAAAAAATCGTTGATAATCGCTATACTCCTCGTGATCAGATGAGATTTCAGCTTCGAGAAAATGAGATTTATTACATGTTTGGAATGCTGTTCGAACCGTAGAAATCCAAGATTTAATATTCGAACCATTATACTTTATAACATTATTAAAAGCAAATGACTCAGTTTGACTTGTTTCATTAGAACGATTCAAATTGCCAATAACGTTCGTTAAATTTTCAAGAATTAATGATAAATTATCATTTCTAGGCATTATGAGACGTAAAACTAAACGCTCTGCTACCAAAAATGTTGTATGAATATAACGTAAACACGAATAATAAACACACAAAAAATACTTTTTAATTAATTCATATTTTTACAAATTCATTCATATTTATATTGCTTTTAACAATTAATTTATAATTGAATTAATTGTAATATTTGACATATTACAACATCTCTCTTTGACTGTATTTCTAGCTATCGGTATGTCTTTGATTCTTTGGATAATTTTTCTTTGATTTCAAAATCATCGAATAAGTATGGTATCATTTTTCTTGATTTTAAATAACATATTTTTGGATAATTCTTTTGCTGCAAATTCTTTTCCCTGTTTATTCAAAACATTTATTGCTTCAACGATTGTTAAAGGCTTTATTCCAATCTTCCGCTTTGGATTTTTCATCTAAGATATTTAAATTGTTTATTTTCTTTCTTATTGAATTTGCTATTAGCAACTCTGAATTATATCTTTTGTTGATTTGTTCAATAATATCTTTCACATTGGGTTTTCATAATCAAAATTAAAACGAAATCGTTTGGTAACATCGATTTAATTTTGATAATTTTTTTTCTAATTCTGTGAAATTATCGTTTTGAACTATCTCTTTTTCTATGTATTTTGACCATAATGGAAAATCCATCGGATCTCCAGACTTCATATTTAATTCACTTGTTGCCAAAATTTTTGTTTCTATGAATTTCTTATTAGAACTTTCTTTTTCTTGTATTGTTTTATTCTTGGCAACTATGAACTTTTGTTCCAGTGCGAATATAATTTGATGGTTTTTGTGTCATTCTTTCTTTTATTTGTTCGTCTTCGATAAAATTATTTAAAATGCATGTTTCTTGAATGTTCATTAAATTGTCGAAAATCTTATTCAAACTATCATATTGTTTAATAGTTTTATTACCATTATTCTCGATTATTTTGCTGATTGATCATCATCGTCATCATTGTTATTTTAACAACAAGTTATGTTAATAATAATAGCTTTTATAATAATAATAGCTTTCAATTCATTCATTATGTTAATGATTGAATTGTTGAATATATATATATTGAAGCTTGTTAGTTGTGTTACTATTAATTAAAAATTTTTAAGTTTGTTTTTGCTGGTTGGTTATAATCGTCTACTTTCAAAGTAAGTATCCGTTTCCGTAGCTGAAGAAAGCTATGCATAACAAGTATTTTTTTGAATTTTAAAAACTAATCAATTAAATTTATCTCTTTTATTTTTACTCAAATGATTTTTTTTTATATTCAATTTAGAAACATGGATGACAACCAACGAAAACAATTAATACAAAAACACATACAACAATTACAACAACTACAACAACAAGAATTACACCAACTACAACAACTACACCAACAAGAATTGCACCAACTACAACAGCTACTATCACCACCACCACCACCACCACAAACACCACCACGACCACGACGAGGACAAGAACCACAAACACCACCACGACGAGGACAAGAACCACAAACACCACCACGACCACGACGAGGACAAGAACCACAAACACCACCACGACGAGGACAAGAACCACAAACACCACCACGACCACGACGAGGACAAGAACCACAAACACCACCACGACCACGACGAGGACAAGAACCATTATCACCACCACGACCACGACGAGGACAAGAACCATTATCACCACCACGACCACGACGAGGACAAGAACCATTATCACCACCACGACCACGACGAGGACAAGAACCATTATCACCACCACGACCACGACGAGGGCGAGAACCATTGTTGAAAAAATATCGGTCGATAGGTGGCGATAATTAACACAAGCAGCTAAATTTCAGCGTTGGAGCAGGCCAGCTGAGGCTGAGATCACGTAGTATATGAACGGTTAGGATTTAAAAATTTTTTCAAACAAGTGAAATTAAAAAAATTGTTTAATTTAATTTGTTTGTTTAAATCAAGTTTTTATTTGATTTTCATATTAAATTTATGCAACATTCTAATGGTATGAAATTGCAATTTCCAATTAAACAACAATTTATTGTATCTGTGATAATATCATAGTAATTTTTCATCAAAATTGGTTGAAAGAAATTAATAATAACAAATATTTATTGTCAAAAATGAAAGAATGTCTTGATTTCTATTGTTGTTGGTTTTTGTTCGAATATATTGAATTATTATATGTTAATAATGTTTTGTAACAATAGTATTGGAACAATAGTATATTTATATGCATTAGAACTTATATATTTACTTGTTTTGACTGTTTTTATTAAACTTGCTTTGTTCTTTTCTGCGATATTCATATTTATTGTGCATTACTCGGCATAATTATTTTATCAGGCTCTCATGACTCTACGTACTCTTCATCTTGCATCTTAACCGATTCGACATATTCTAGATCAGGGCTTCTTAAAATATGGGTAGCGACCCCAAGTGGGGTCGCGTAGCAAAATTTTGGGCTCGCGAGAGATTTTAATGTCAAATATTTAAATACACGATTTTATGACAAATCCAAAACTAACACGACAAGTCCAGAATCGAGAAAATGACAAATTCAACCTAACACGACCAGTTCAGAATCAAGAAAATTGCAAGTCCAAACTAACACAATCAATTCAGAATTCAAAATTCGAAACCGAGAAAACATCAAATCCAACCTAACACGACCAGTTCAGAATCGAGAAAATATCAAGTCCAAACTGAATTTGAATTATTATCGACTTTTACAACATTTTTTCGAATCAGATAAAATTTTTTTTATGATCATTTGTTAATGTTATTCATTGTGTGGAAAATTACAACAACATATTCTGAAAATAAATATTTTCATCTTCAATGGCAGAACATCCGATACATATCGAATTAATTGAATGTAACAAACATTATTTAACTCTGAATCTTGGAAAACACAATTCATCATTAAAAATAATTTTTAATAAATCTAAAAAACGGTATAGAAACCAACCAATTCTTGTAACTAATTCCAATAACTAACCATCTGAACTGGTCGTGTTAGGTTGGACTTGCCATTTTCTCGATTTTGAATTTTGAATTCTGAACTGGTGTTGCAAAAACATAACGCAGACAAACAAAAAAAACGCGTTTAAGAAAATTTAATGCGATGTTTATTCAACGAAAACTTCAAGCATAATGATAACAATAAAAAATAGAACAATGAGTTAATAAAATAGTTTAAAATGAAAAGAACGACACATCATGATCATTTCTCGTCGGTCTAGTCATCGGTTAATTCTTCGACCAGTCAATTTACACCAGACAAGTATTATTTTTCTTCTACTGGTAGTGTTAATTTGGAATTGTTATTTTCTCGATTCTGAACTGGTCGTGTTAGTTTGGACTTGATGTTTTCTCGATTCTGAACTGGTCGTGTTTTGCTACGCGACCCCACTTGGGGTCGCGACTCATAGTTTATGAAGCCCTGATCTAAACAAAAGGCAGACTGGTTCACGAAATCGTTAACACCAGATAAACATGAGTGATTATTGAAATGCTGGAATATTACAAATCTTTGTTAACATATATTGAATTATTATATGTTAACAATGTTTTGTAGAACTACTTGGAACAATGGTTCCGTTTATAGTATATTTATATGCTAACATTAGAACTGAAATATATACTTGTTTTGACTGTTTTTAAACGTTTATTTGCTTTCAGTTCTTTTCTGCGATATTCATATTTCTTGTGCATTACTCGGCATAATTATTTTATCAGTTTTCTATCTGTTGTGCAGCGGTAATAACTTCGTCAGAAAAAATTTCTCTGCCAGTCGATCATTACGCTTTCGCAAATGGTGATTGATCATCAATATAATAAAATGTTTCAATTCTGTTTTTGAACACAATTAAAACCAAATTAGAAGCAGCAGAATTATTGATTAAATTCACCATAAATGTGCAATTACTTTATAATAAGAAATAAGAATAGATACAAAATACAAACAAATCGTGAAACATAGTTCAATAATAATACAAGAAAATTATTTTGTGAGATCAATGGCATGGAACATACAATAGTTAATAATTCTCTAAAACAGAATGAAATTGTAATAAGAAAAAATCAAGCAATTTTTGAAACTGTACAAATCCAGCAAATATGTAGCATGGATGTTGTGCTCAAACTATGGAAACAGAACTATAATATTTAGGGTAAAAGATGTCGGTATATCTTCATATGATGAAAACCATTAGATAATCATTTACGTATTATTACATGTGTAGCGTATCATCAGCGAACAAAACATCTTCGTACAAAATTAGAACATCAGAATCATAGCAGCACATTACTGATCACACGGGTAAATTTCATCAAGAATTAATCAATTACGATTTGAAATTGAAATTTTGATATTGATAGATTATTTGGCTAGCAAAAAAGATCTTGTTGAATATTTTGAAGATTGCACTTGAGAAACATTGTTGGAGTCAATATCGAAAAAATTATAATAATGATGAAAAAATATTTATCACATTTTCATTAATAAATTCTTGAATGAATGAATAAATTGATAAAGAAAATTTATTGATGGTGATTCTTGTTGTTGATCATTATTATTGCGATAAAAATATCACAGCATCGATGATTTTAAATGTTTTTGTTGTTGTAATTGTTGTATCAATAAAAAATTATTTTCTGATGATGAGGAAGAAGATAATGTGGATTACGATGACTGATGTGAAAATAAAAATAAAACCAGTGGACTAGTGGATTTGTTGCCAAATATATGTTGCACATCGTTATGACCGATATGGAGAAATAGCCACAGTGCATTGTCCTACAAGGTGGACAAAGGTCGAAGTGGAGTGGTCGGATCAGAAAATCATATAAAAATAGCAAGTTTCTAACGATCTGGCAGTTCATTTTTTTACATTCATTATCTTTTCACTTGAATTCTTGTTCATTACTGATTTCTTGTACATTGTTTTTTTTGTCTTGTTGGTGATCAAATAAAACTTCGTTATTTTTTTGCTTGACTGCGTGTATTAAGTTGGTGAACAAACGTCGATGGGAAGTTTTGTCGACTGCCGTTGGCCTCCCATAGACTGCACATTTATATATGACATATATAATAATGATGATGATATTATATAATTTTAATAATAATTTGTATGCGGCGCCGATCGATACTAATCGTCATCATCAACATTTTTTGATGTTTTTTGTCGTTTTTGAGGAGCTAAATTTTTCTTCCGATCATCGTTATCATTTTTAAATAAATGAGGGAAAATAGTCGAAGCATGTGCTACCAATTCATTATATTGGTCTTCATCAAGTTGTTGTGATTGAGAATAGATATCATTAATTTTGGCCATCGTGTTTTTTACTCTTTTTTCTTCTTTCGTATATGTTTGCCAAAAAGCCGAAACTTTTTGCTGAACATTTTCTGGGGCTGCAAAATCGGTCAATTGTTTCCTAGAAATGAAATCTGAATATATGAGTTAAGAATATGAAAATAATAATAAAAATAAAATGCCCATACTTATCGAATTCTGTTTTTTTTCAATTTTTTTGATTGGTTTATAACCATTAAATACGTTTTCTACCTTCGTCAATTTGAATGTATCATCTGAAATGAATCAAAAGTATAATTGAAACGAGATATATAAAGATAAATGATATAATTATTTACTTTCATATGATATTGACACCGTTTGATCTAAGATGTCCGGAGGATTTATTTCCTCTTCGAATTGGAGTTCAATGTTTGTTTGCTCCTTATGCAATGAAACTACAAAAATCATTTAAAATACGTGTTTCAAAGTATGGTTCAAAATATACTTACCATATTTGCTATAGGCCAAATGAATATGCATGCAGAAATTGTTTCGGATTATGAAATCATGACAATTGCATGACACTTGGCACAAGCACAATTTACATTCTTCACATTTGATTTCACAATCTGGCTCTTGATTGGAATTGATCGATATTACATAATATCGCTTCTTTTCCTGTGACCAGTATTTCAAGGTTATGATGCCACAGGAATGATCAATTTCCTTGAAATTATCAATTACCATTTTTTTGGATTCTGCGTGTTTTGAACGAAGATATCTTACTTTGGTGGGAATGTATCCACGATTGATTCGCACCACAGAATCTATTTCATAATCACTAATGATATGGAGCAATTTTTTTAATGTCGATGTGACATTTCGATTTTTTTTGCCATCCATATACTGGTGTTTTAATTTTTTGTGAAAATTTTCGATAATCATGTTTGTGTTGATTCCCAATTGCGTTCTATGGCAATATGCCCACCTTTCTGGTGGATATCGTGAATCGTTTGCCAAATAATATTGCAGCATATATTTGGCAAATCCATTGGTTTCATTTTGATGTAAATAATTATCCAAAAATTTATTCTTCTCATTTTCGAAGTTTTGTGGATCGAGATTTGTCAATAATTTCATTACTGATGAACGTACCACATCTCGGATTTTCTTATCCGATATTTTGGCATTTAAATTCTGGTTGAATGCCTTTTTCACATGAAAAGAACAATACAGGAAAATACAATTTCCAAAGATATGTTTCCATGCATTGGAAAACAATATCTCCATATCGGTCATAACGATGTTTGACTTCAAATTTTGACCAAGATTAATTTTAATTTTTTCAAAATAAAAAGTGATGAATTTGAAATTCACTTTATTTGAAAGCAAAAATGCGCAAGGATAACCGACCCTGAAAGAAAAAAATTAAAATTATAATTATTACAATTTTGTATCTGCAATACTTACTTCATTTTATCCCGACACATTATTGTCGTCAATATCAAACCTTTGATGCTCGAGTCATGAGTTGAATCTATCGATATTATTTCAGAATTTTCCTTCATCATATCTTTTTGGCTATTAGCCTGTAATATGATTAAGAAATCATCTTCGTGAAAACCATCGATTGCTTTGCCGATATCTTTGAAATATATCACCGAGCACGACGAAGTTTTTAAATAATCGATGAATGTAGACAAAGATTCTTCAGCGATATCTTTAGCATTATATTGTTTTTTGATATTGTTTATATCTTTGGTAGTGACCATCTGTGCCATAGTTATTTTATCCGAATCATCCATAAGATTGCGCATTTTTTTCTTTATAACGGATGGTTGCAATCCGATCTTGAGATAATGAGCAATCGATTCTTTGTATTTGTTTGGCAATCGACAAAATTTCATGTCTAATTCATGTCCAACATGAGTTGTTGTCCATTTGGCAGTGTATGTGCCATTTTTGTTTCTGGTCAAACTGATTTGTGACGGACATATATTGCCGATTTTGATTGTTTTGTTCGATTTCGGAGCTCTTTTTCGCTCCGATCTATTAGCCGATATGGTTCCACGGCGCGAACAAATATAATTTGCAGTTATAACTTGCTGATTGGAATCCCGTTCAATTCTTCTTGTCGAATAATTGGAGCACGTTTCTTCTTCAGTTTTCTCCAAAAATGATTTGAACATTTCAAAATCTTTAAATTCCAAATTTTTCACCTGAATTTCGACGCCATGTGCAGATTTTAAATGGACTGCTAAATAACCGGCATACTTTTGTCTGCATAGACAGCACTCATATAAATTTTTAGATGTGCTTTTATCAACGTCATGTATTCGTTTATTATGTCGTTTTAGATTCCATTTAGAATTGAATGATTGGTTGCAGCGTTCACAAAAATGAAGTGGTATCTTGCCAATGGATGCATCATTATTCAAAGGGCCGTTTGTCACGTTGCGAACGGAAATCGGCACATGTTGACCATTGGCCACGTTCGACGTACCATTTGAAGTATTAGAACCAGGAACATGAACCAGGCCCTGAGAAGGGCCGTTTGTCACGTTGCGAACGGAAATCGGCACATGTTGACGGCTAAATATGGGAACCTGATGACTAGAAAAAATTTGGTCCTGAGAAGGACCATTGGTCACGTTCGAAGTACCATTTGAAGTATCACAACCAGGAACATGAATCAGGCCCTGAGAAGGGCCGTTTGAATTATGGATTGCACTTTGATCCATTGTTGATCAAACAAAAATTATATGAAATTTTATTATTAAATAACAATAAAAAACCAAAAATTTTTAACAAGTGTGATCATATGTAAAAATTGCGCCAAAGTTCAGAAGCTGTAAAAATTGCGCCAAAGTTTAGAAACTGGAAAAATTTTAACCGTTCATATACTACGTGACATCAAAGCCTCAGCTGGCCTGCTCCAACGCTGAAATTTAGCTGCTTGTGATAATTAACTAACAAGAAATTGAGTATTGACCGTGATGAAGATGAATAGAGTTTCTTCTTCGTCGTTTATTTTTATGCTGTATTGATTTTTCTTATTTATTATGTTTTTGATTTATATCGGTAAAGACATCGTATTATTAAATTATATGAAATAAAGTTTTCATTTTGTTGATCAGCGATCGTTTGTTTTTCTTTTGAGTATGTTTTACTACATTTACGTTATCAGCACCATATGATTGCCTCGCTAAGCAACATATTGGTTTTCGACGAACGAACGAACGACAAACGAACGAACGAACGAACGAACGAACGAACGACGAACGAACGAACGAACGAACGAACGAACGACAAACGAACGACAAACGTACGAACGAACGAACGAACGAAAGTAACGAACGACGAGAATAACAAACGACGGTAACGACGACGATCTATGACGACGAACGATCAACGACGAATGACGGCGAACGATAACGATCAAACGAAATTAACGATAGCGAACGAAATTAACGACGACGAACGATAACGACGACGACGAATGAACGACGACCACGACGAACGTAAACAACGACGAACGATTCAGCACGAGAACGAATAACGATAATCAACGAGCCACGAAATTAAACGTTCGAATAATCGAAAACCGCAACGACGAAACGAGAACGAAGATGGTTCTTACGAGGGCGGGTACCGAATACGGTGACGATATAAATCCGGAAATGCTGAGGAACGAAGTAAAGGATCTGGTTAAACGGATACGTATAAACAATATATCGATATTTCACCAAGGAGTAAAGGCTGCAATCAAAACGGGAAAAGTATTATACGATGAATACTACAAATATAGTAAGTTGATTATCGAGGATGGAAAGTTCACATCCGAAGAAGAGAAACCGTTTGATGAAATGAAATCGATGGTGGATTTAGCGTTTAAATACGCACAAAGTATGGATGTTATCGAACGAAATTCCGAAAGGAATGATTTAACGAAATTTGAACGACAATTAACCGAAGATAAATGTAACGAAATCAGCCGAATCGCTGAACAATATCCATGTATCGCGGATCATGTAATCAAAGTCGTCAATCGATTCCACGAGTTGAATGTAACGAAAAATCGAACGAAAACAATCGAAACGAATCCATCACGAGAGGGCGCTACCCAAAACAATCAATCATACGATACTATCGATGTCACGCCACCTGATGCAACACCAATATTAATGCCACAACCATCGACGTCAAGTAACGAAAACAATCAACCGTTGTATACGATTTATCATCATCAAAAGCAATCGACATCGAATAGCGAAAGTGAACAACAGCAACAATCAACATCGAACGATAATCAAAAACAACAGCAGCCGAATGCACCGTACGTAAATAATCCTCAACCATCGTCATCATCGTATAACAGTTATCGACATCCAAACGTTCCATATTATTATAACGGTCAATATTATTATTACAACGATCAAGCTTATTGGTGGGATTATAATCAATATCAGATGAACTGGTCGGGCGGAGCCAAAGTGGCCGCGAAGAAGCTTGAAAAATTCAACGGTGATCCTTTAGCATATCATACTTTTCGGAAAACGATTCAACATTACATCTCGACTAATCACAAAATGCGGTATACGATAGCTGATGTTCGGTGCTATTTTCGTCGGTTCGATTACTTCTTTTGTTTCCATATCATTCATCATTGAGCGATACTGTTTTCGCCGGTCAACGTTCATTTGCATCAACATATGATTCATCACTTCTTTAATTTCATTGACATTTGGATCGATTTTTTCGTTGATAATAAACGGTACTCACGGTTATCACCACCACGACCACGACGAGGACAAGAACCATTATCACCACCACGACCACGACGAGGACAAGAACCATTATCACCACCACGACCACGACGAGGACAATAACCATTATGTGAATACCACGAAAATTTTTGTCATTAAAATCTATATATGGCCGGAATGTTTATATATTAACCTGATATTGATTTCCACAAAGAAGATTATTATATTTGAATGAATTTTCCTCTGAATTTATATGACGTTCTTCCCATTCACCTTGAGGTGATTTTGAATAAAGATAATATCCGGTTATTTCGGGTACATCTAATTTTGATGATACATGCAAGCCGCCATCGAATGAATCGTCCATCGTTTCAATAGACCAATTCAATTCAACACTGTTATAACCGACATTGATCGAAGTTAATACAGGAGCTCTTGGTGAATCATTGATCAAGGTTTCACCGACAATTTCTTCGGATTGTGGTCCAGGACCAATCCTATTGAATGCCTGTACAATGATCACGTATTTAGTAGCACGACGTAAATCAGTAATGTTAATCTCTTTCATTTGAATAGATCGATTATTATCTTCAAGAATTTTTTTAAACATAAAATGTTCATCCAAATCCACCGCTTTATAACCAACATAATAGCCAAGTATTTGACCATTTTGATTTTCCAATCTAGGTGGTTGAAATGAAATCTGTAATGTATGAGCACTGGCTGGAAACACTCGAATATTCAATGGTGGTCCCGATGGTGCTAATTAATGAAAAAAAGCAAAATTAGTTTCGAATTTGAATTGAAAAACACTATTCACCTTCTTCTTTTGTCATTATTTTCAATGGTGTTAGCTGAAATGAACCAAAACCTATTTGATTTTCAGCTTGAACTCGTATCTCATATGTTGACATTGGCTGTAATGATCTTAGATTTATTGATGTTTCGGTTCCTGGTAATGTTTTTCGATAAATTGTTCCTGGCGGTAATGATTTACTAATCATTGCAGCAGTATTATGTTCAACAATTGTAGATTGATTAGACGTGTGGTGAACATTGGACCAAGATGTCGATGAATCCATCCATAGTCGATATTCAACATGATATGCTACGATTGGACTATTACCAGAATACGGTTGTGACCATGCAATGACTGCATTTCTGCTTTCAATTTCCAATACATGAAGATTTTCCGGTGGTTCTTGAACTATTAGCTGGAAATTATATTCATCTTTTCCATATGGATTTGATGCATCACAGGTGAATAGCGATGAATCACGACGATCAACTTGATCAATTCTTATGATATTTGACACATGATGATCGTTTTGTAATCTTCGTATCAGATTATAACGATTAACAGAATGAAGAATTTTCGAGGCAGAATTTGATTTTGATGAATAATTATCATTGTTGTCATTATTATTATTAATAGGAACAAAATCTAAAATCATTCGATCTTTAGAAACTTGAAGGAATGCGTGTAATGCTTACCTGTTCAGTGGTCAATCGTCTGTTCACCATTGACTTCACAATTCCATTCAACAGATTCACCATGTCGTACAGTTTGTGATGAAAATTTATTTTTAAAATATGCAGGAACTATGAAAAATAAAATCAAGTTTCATGAACATGATTCATTCACAACTATGAATGACTTACCATGTACTTTTAATTTAATTACTTTACTCAAACCAGAACCAACACCATTATTTGCCTGACAAAGATAAGTGCCTGAATCATCATATTGAATATCACGAAATATTAAACTTCCATTTTCTGCTGTATGTATGTGTGAATTACTGACGACCGTACGAAAATGATTCATCGTTGGTGATTGTTGTTGTTTCGAAATATTATGATTGCCACTATTTTTCATCAACAACAATGTTGATTTCGAATGCATTGGTGGTGGTGATAATGATTTTTCATAGGCACGTTCCCACCATACTTTGGAATCACCAGTTGCCGAACAATCAATGGCTATATTTTGTCCTTCAATGGCTTCAATATCTTTTGGCATGATAATCCATTTAGGTGGAACTGGAATTTTTCAAAAGAAAAAAATTGACAAATCATCACACAATGATATATAACGAATTCAAATTTACCATTCACTTTCATAAAAATGGAATATGTAGCGATTGCTGCATTATTTGATACAATACAGCTATAATTTCCTGAATCTTCATTCGTAACCGATTCGATGAACAATGTAGCAGAATAATCATTGGTTCTATCAAATTTCATATGATCATGATCATGATGATTTTCTACTAAGGCACTTGTTGTTTGTTGTTGTTTCATTGAAATAGATGTACCATCTTTAAGGAATTGAATCATTAATGGTGGATCACCTTCAACCACTGAACAGGTAAGCATTACACGCATTCCTTCACGGAGATTTGGCGGTGAATGAAATGGATTTATCAATGGTGCAACTAGTACCCGTATGAAAGTGTCAGCACTAGCCACATTTGATTCACTTGTTACTTGGCAACGATATTCACCGTCATCTGATCCACGTTCAATACGTTCAATAATCAATGTTCCATTTGGAAATGTTTTTTGTCGATGATTTTGTGGTAAACGATTGATTGATGATTGATGAATATCGTTCATATGATTCGTAGACTTTTTATACCATTCAATCGATTCTATTGGATATCCAGCGGCTGGACAATGTAATTGAAGATTGTGACCAGCAATGGCAGTGAAATTTTTCATCGAACGAACTGATGCAGCACCAAAAACATCGATACGGCTTGAATGACTTATAGAATGAATATCATTTGATGCTGTACACGAATAACTACAAAAAAAAAGAGACAATTAACGATTAGTTGATCATGTGATGTTTCCAAACTTACATGCCACCATCTTCACTTCGTAATGAGGTTATATTGACAAAACTATTCACAACATTATCGGCACTCACATAATCACCAACTCTGATTCGGCCATGTTCTTGTAAAGTTTGACCATCTAATGTCCAAATAATTTGTGGTAATGGTGTACCGATTGCTGAACATTTCAATGACAATGATTTTCCTGGCTTTAATGGTTCAGCAATGTTGAATACGGATACAAACGATGGTGGATCATCTACCAACGATAATTCACCAGTAGCTTGAATTGATTCAAATTCATTACTGACGATACATTGCTTTTTTGGATTATCAAAAATTTCAGAATTTCCTCTTTACAAAATTTTTTGTTTACTTACAAACATTCCTTTATCTTCACGACCAACATTACGTATTTGCAGTATATGATCATGATCAAGAAAACGATATCTAGAATCCAAATTCTCCTGCAGAATCGTTGTCGATGATGATGTGGACGGAATCATCATTGTTAATAATTGTGTATTATGATACCAACGTATACGATCGATTAATGAATTTCCATCGTCAATATTTATATTACGACTTCCAGTTGATATGGTACAATTGAATTCGATTGTATCACCATCGATTGCCTTGATGATCGATGGTATTATTTGAACGTGTAATGGAGCTAAAAAAATTAAATAATGGAAAATGGACTTTTTTCAATTGATCGGGATTTTTTTTCAAAACTTTTTACCTTTAACAATCAATTCGGTTTCAATACGATCTTGGCCAAGTGAATTATTTGCAATACACACATATATTCCACTGTCCAGTAGCGACACATCGTGTATAAATAATGAACTATCAATTTGAATAATTTTTTTTGCGCCACTCAATATAGGCGTTAACAATGACGATGATGATGATGATGATGATTGATGTTGTTGAACATTAAATTTTGTTGGTTGTGTAATTGATGAATATTTATTATTGTGATTCATTCGATACCAGGTGAATGTTGGCCAAGGATTAGCTTGTACTAAACATGGTAGCTCGATAATATCACCAAAATTGGCTATCACTTTTTGTTTTCGACTATAACCGAAATTCTTATTAGTTGGACAATTGCCATCACCACCACCACCATTATTATAGCCTATTGTAGCGATAATTTTTGGAGGCATTCGTGATTGAGAATCTGAATTTTTTTTCAAACAAAAAAAATTATGAACATTAAAAAAACCAACCATATATAACATATACCAGTGACAACAAGTCGTCCATAATTGGCACTTTGTTTTATTTCACCAGTGAGCAAATGTTTTGTTTGACAACGAAACATGGCTGTTTTTGTTGTTGTTGATGATGAAAATGATGATGATGATTGTAAACTCGTTGACGATGAAGAAGAAGAAGACGATGATAATCGATCATTATCATCAATTTGAATATAATGTACATGCAAATCACCATTAGGCATGATACTATAACGGCCACCTTGAGTCAAAAAACAAACAAACAAAAATGAATTCATTTGAAATGTGCGATAATAATAAATGAAATGAGCATCACACATATCTGCAAATGGCATAATAATAATCGATTTTATGAAAAGGAAAAAAAAGATGCTACAAATGTCAACAACAGTGTGTGTGTGTGTGTGTGTGTGTGTGTGTGTGTGTGTGGGTGGGTACTGAGAATTTCATTTTTATTTCTCTATTTCAGTAATATGGAATGGAATTGTCATGATAATAAATTCTTCATCTTTTTCTTTTTTCTTTTCTGTTTGCTCTATTCAATTCATAATACAATTTCACTGACCTTTAATTAGATCTGATATAATTATCTGATCACCAGCAGTGTTACCACCACCAACAACACCATTATCATCTCTATGGCGAAGCCAATTTGTAACACGAACATGTTCTCGAATAAAACTCGGTATATGACATCGTAATATCTAAAATAAAATTTTAGAAAATGAAGAAATTTTCTTGGAACAAAATGAAAAATTGTCTGGCAACTTACCCCAGTATTTTCTTTGATAACAAAATCATCATACACTTGTATATCGTATGGTTGTCGTACGGCTAAAATGTGGATATTTTTTTTAATTGAATTGGAAAAAAAGATGAAAAAAAAATTAACGGAAAAAATAATGATTCTGGCGATAAAGAGATAAAACTAAGGAAATGTTTCACAACAAAAAAAACAAAGATAAATATTTTTTTCAAATAAATGGAAAAAAATGAAAAAATTTTTCCAACAAAAAAAAAAGAGAAAAGATTTTTATCACCATCACAGGAATTCTTCCATATTCCAGTATTCTTTTCCAGTTTTGTTTTTATCTCTTCGCTAACAAGAGAATGAAAAAAAAACTTTTCTTATTTCACGCCACGTTGGTTGAAAAATTCAACCAGTAACAAATGGAAAATAAGAAGAAAAGTTTACAAAAGTACAAGAAAAATCTTTTTTTACATTCAAATCATCATCATCATCATTATTTTTTAGACAATTCGCCTGTATACACACACACACACACGGTTGACTATTTTACACAACAACAACAATGTGGAATTGAACCAAGAAAAAAAAGAAAACAAGGAAAAAAAACGGAATAAAAGAATAATTTATGACCATCGTAAGTAAGAACATCAATGATTAGGATGATGGTCGTTGTTGTTGTTGTTGTTGTTGTTTGAATTTTCCAACTTTTTTGTTTTGTTTTGTTTCAACCAGTGAACCGACAACAACAAAACAACCAAAATGGTTTTGTCTTTGGTTATACATTGTCGAAAAAAAAAAACCAAAGAATTTGTTTACGGAAATGCAACAAAAAAAACGAAAATAAAACTGTATAATATCACATTCATTTGTATGTAAATATCGGATTTTTTTCTGGGCAATAAAAAAGTTTTTCATTTCATTTTTTTTTTCATTCTCTTGAAGCATTAGCCAAATATTCATATCATCAAATGTTCATTGTTCATCACTTACATGCACGTATTTGAATATCATGACTTTGAATGGAACCAAATTGATTTGTTGCTATACAACGTATCCTGATTGAATGTACATCTTGTCGATATTGATTTGATTTAAATGGTAAATAAATTAATTGTGATGCCAAAGAATCATGACGAATTTGTTGCAGACCATCTACCGGTATTAAATGATTCATCATGCTACCACCACCAATGCCATTTTCTGTAGCGATTGTAGCATAAATCCAATAAATTTTTGGCGGTGGTTGTCCACGTGCACTGCAAGTAATTACCGTACCGGTATCATTTATAAATGTAATTATTCCGGGTGGTTCAATAAGAAATTCTGGTCCACGTTTTTGTTGTTGAACATTAGCATTAATGGATTGTGGTGATGATTTTATTGATGAAATTTTTAAACAACAAAAATCATCAAATAAAATGAATGCAAACGATAAAATGATTAAATAATCAAAACTTTGATGATTGATTATAATCGCCATTTTGATTGAATTCAATTTATTGTCATTTTCAACGCATCACTACACACACAGACATATATACGAATAGCCGTAATGGAATTTCCAGAATTTCAAAAAAAATGTAACAACACGTTTGATGTCCAAATTGCAACTGTGTTTAACCACCACCACCACCACCAGACAGAGAATTTTTTTCATTTTGATTTTTTCAACAGCCAAGAACCAAAGAGAGAGAGAGAGAGAGAGAAGAAAAAATTCTTCATACCGGCAAATCTTCTCATACACTCTTTTGAATCCAGTTTTATAACGCAAATGCTGGCACATCATCATCTTGCTTAACATTGACCAAAACCGTTAGCAATACAGAAAAAAACAATCATTCTATCTAGTGGTCTATATTCTTTCTCTATATATAAATGTACAACAACGGAAACATAACCAAAATGACAACGAAAAATTTGGTCAGATTTCACAATATGAAAAAAAAAATGAAAAATAAATCTTTCTATATTTCAAATTCTTACTTTATTCATCCAGAGAAAGAGAATCCAAAACACACACACAACGGAAATAAATAATATTTCTGAAATTCTTTATGAAACAAACGAGAAAAAAAATTATTATTATTAATAATATTGTCCAACACACATTGGTTGGCACATGATGATGATAATGATGATGATGATGATGATGATATTGTCACTTGGATAAATGAATCAGAATTTTTTTCTTCTTCTTCTTCTGGCTAACTATAGTTACTCAGTAATCATTCACATGCACACACACAAAAAAAGTCCATTTTTTTTGTTCCTTACTATATTAAATTCAATTCATTATGATCATCAACAATGAATGAATGAATTCAAAATGATCAAATCAGATAAAGGAAAATATTCATTACATTTTACCATAATGATTGTGGTGGTGGTGATGGTGATGGTGATGGTTGATAATGATCAAATTGGCCATATATACAATACAATACAATATTCATAGAACGAAAAACGAGAATAAGAATTTATTCAAAAGTTTGATTCTCTCTCTCTCTCTCTATTTAGTTCGGTGATTCATTTTCACACAATTAGATTGAATGTCTTCTCTGCATGTATCATCATAGAACATTAGTTTGTTTTAAATACAACAGAGAAATTTTTTTTTTGAATTTTCTCAAAGAAATTTTCTAGAAAAAAAAACGAAAAAAAAAATTTAAACTTGACAAACACACGAACACACAATGCAATTTTGATTTCGTTGTTTTGTTTTCAAGCAAAAAAAAAAAAAAAAAACTTCACCGCTACTTGAACAAAAAAATATCGTCATTTTCAAATGTCCAACTTGTTTCTTATCTCTATTCACTAAGCCAACAACGAAAAAAAAAATCCAACAGAAACAGAAAATTTGTAGATATATACCCCAAACACCATATTAAATCAGTTGGACCGAAAATAATATCCACCGAAATGAAAATGAAACAAAAGAATAAAATTGCCACCAAGATATAGTGGTCGATACAACGATCGTTTTGTTTTTGGTTACATCAAAAACATGTAAAAGCGAGAGAAAAAAAACCATTGCGACCGGCTAACTTGACCCTAATCGAGACAAAAAGACAAAAAAGAATCATTTTCGGGTTCAATATTTGCTTGTTCGTATATTTATCGTCCTTCAACATCATTTTTCCATTGCCGTGAAATGAAAAATATAATAAATCACAAGTAAATCGTGAATGAACCAAACAAGATCTGTTTATGGATCTATGGCCATTTTCATTGTCAATAACTATCTATTTATCTGTGTTTGTGCCAGAGTCAATGTTTTTGTTGTGTCTCTATTGGCCCGAATCGTTTACAATACACGCAAACATCTGATTTTATCTATCAATGGTGGCTATTCGTTGATAAGAAAAAAAATAAAGAAGAAGAAACGAAAACGAAATTCTCTAAGAAAAGAAAAGCTGAAAATGAAATTAATGATTCTTTTTTCCATTTTTTTTTCATCATCCAGCATTTTACGATGAAAAAAGAATCGTTTTTCTTATTGTAATAGTTGGATCCAAAACCTTGTTATGCGTATGTTTTTTTTAAGAATTTTTCCTTTTTTTCAACACATATTCTGGCCATTGAAACAAACAAACACGAAAACTGAATAGTAAAAATACACACACACACACACGAATGACCAATTTAAAAATGAATAAAATTTGACAATTTCAACTTACGTGTAATTGGTTGAAAATAACAACATTTTTTTTTATTTCTAAAAAATTAAATATTCACAATCGTTTACAGAAACAGATACAGATAGATATAAAGCTGGTGGTTTAAATAAATAAATAAAAATCTTAACATCCGATATTCTTTTTGGTCACTTTAATTCTTTCTAATTCACAAATGATAAAAATCGACACGAATATAGCACTATGTAGCAGTCAACTGGCTGCGCACGCTCCTGCCTATTGCCACCTCTTCCTATTTCGACCGAGAATGTCGGTGAGAGGAACGAGCATGTTTCCAACCGAAAATTCCGAGTCAGCATACAATTGAACACACACACTCGAACACACACAGTGATTTCGTTTTCAATAAAGTTAAATTCGATTCATAAACCTGTCGACATTGCGACAACTAAATAAAAACAAAATGACCAAGAAGAAAAAGAAAACTTGTTTGGTTGATCGATGAATGAACTGATGACTAGACCGACAAGAAATGATCATGATGTGTTGTTCTTTTTATTTAAACTAATTTGACTATTTATTGTAATTGTCTCAAAAGGCCCTTCTTAAGATTTATAAAACTTTTCATGATCATTGAGCAATGTCACGCAAAAATGGAAGAATAGCCAACTGATCATCAACATTGTGAACGGTTTCTTGTTTTTAAATAAATGATTATGCTTCGTGTAATAAAAATAAAGTCAATTCAATGGTTGGTCATTTTGTTTTACTATAAAGATAAAGTCTTGGCTGTTTTCAGTCTTGGCCGTTTTCAGCCTTGGATATTTTCAATTTGGCTATTCTAATCCGCAACTATTAATTGTTTAAGAAAACTTTTTCATTGTATTGATTATGCTTCAAGTCGTTGTTGAATAAAGATAAACTCAACTCTACATAATTTGCATCGAAATTAATTTATAAAAAGAAATAAAAACGAAAAAAAAATAATTTTTGTCTTTATTTACAAATTTGAAAAATTCAGCAATTCGATAAAAGTCAAAAAAAAAAAAAATATTTTCAGGACCAGAAAAAACGATAATGCAATAACGATGATGCAAAAAAATATGAATTGAAAAAAAATTGGCATTGGCAGATAATTATTATTTCATTTTAAGGTCGATGATTTTCTTTTTCGTAATTAAACCACGCTATCCTGGTCCCTTCTCGTCTGTTGTTGTTGATGAGATGATGATGATGATGATCAAATCTTTCACGTTCACTAAAATTTTTTTGAAATTGAAAAAAAAAATTTAAAGTTAATAAAATTGAAAATGATTTTCAAATTCCGGTTAGTTTTATTACCGATCATTATTATTATTATTATTAACATTATTATTGGTTAGCAAAGATGTACTTTCACCATTTGGTGATTTTGTTGCATAATTATTACTACTATTACTACTACACGTGCAAGTGGAATTTTTTTTTTTTTTTTTTGGTTTGGTTTGGTCCATCGAAACATAGATATGAAGGAAAAAAGAAGAAAAAAAGAGAATAATTAGGATAAGGATTTGCATGCATAACATAGTGGATAATGAATCCCACATTCCCCAAACACACAAAGACACAACCCCAATTTTTAAACAACGTGCACTCGAAATTTACCACATCATCCCCAAAAAAAAAATAAAATTTTTTGTCTTTCTTACTCGAATGCTGGATTATCAACTTCTATCGGTCGACCATTCGTTGTATCAATCACAGTTGGTCGATTATTTGCGCTGACTATATTTCTGGATTGATATTTTGGACTGATGATGAGTTTGATTCGAGGGATTCATATAATCATTTCAACATTGAAAACATTAAACAATTCAAACACTTACTTGTCATCCATATTGGCCACCATCATATTATTCAATTTATTTTGATCATCAGTTTTAATATTACATACATGTGTACGTAAAAAATAGATTACGCCAACTTTGTATCGACTTTTGTGGTGGGGGAAAAAAATTCATATTATTTACAACATAAAACTGAGCAATTAACAGTTATTTTTTTTGCGTCACACTTACCAATAGAAAACTAGATCCATAATGATGAGAATCAATATGACAAATATCATGATAAAAGCGGCAATCATGCCGATCGGAAATGAAAGTCTTCCTTCATTTAATTCATCCATAGAATAATCCTGATCAGGAAAATCTGATGATGGTGTTTTGAATATAATATTGGCCGGTTCAGAATAGCCTAATGCATTGTATGCACGTAATTCGACACGATAATATGAATCGGATTTTAATTTGGTCAATGTTTTTGATGTCCTACAAGATATTGATCAAAAATGGATTATCATGGTTTTCTAAAAAAAAAACAAATAACTTACATTTCATCATGATAAACAGATATTTTACTGATAATTGGTTCATGTAATGGTGTAAAACCAAATTCAGTACGAAGAATAGGATAATGTCTAATCTCAAAATATTCGATAGGTCGACCATTATCGGGCGGCATCTTTAAAAAATAAATAAATTTAAAAATGATAAATGATTTGAATTTGCATAAGCAAAAGAGATTACAGTAAACTTACATTCCACATGACCGTAAATCTAACAAAAACGAAATGAAAACATTAAAAAACAAGTAATCAGAATGGAATTGAAATAATTCATACTTGTGCGGATAAGGCGACAGAATTTCATCACGATTTATCGTATCGAATGGAAGATTATGAAATTCGGGTTTATCCGGTTTAGTCTCGGCTTTTGTCTGTATTTGCCTCTCCTGTCCGAATTGTCCTTTTCCAACTTCATTTTCGGCCAAAAAACGGAATGCATAAATTGTGAATGGTTTTAGCTTATCAATAATGTAATCATTTTCCAATTTTGAGAATGGAAGCTCTTTGGTTTGATGATCAATTTGATCATATTTTTCATAATATTCGACATGTAATTTTTTGATTGGCATTCCACCATCAAAGAGATCATTATAGATTCTAAATCTAATCTGTGTTGGTGCTATATCGACAATTTTTATATCATTAACTAAACCCGGAACAGTTGCACGATCCAATTGTATATTGATGTAATTTTTTCCCAATGAATTTGTTGCTTCACAACGATATATGCCAAACACCTCTATAATAAATGTGAAAGTTTAGATTAATTTTTTTTATACACACAATCAACATACGTTCATCGTAGATGGATTTCGTAGGTGTAATGTACAATTTACTGATACCACCACCAGATAATTGTGCACGATATACATCATTGTCAAAAATTTCATAGCCATTTTTATACCATTTTATCGTTGCATTTGGAATTGCATCGGCAATACAAGTCACTGATGTTGAGAAATAAAAAAAATTCAAGTTTCTGGCCAAATCCATTAAAAATCACAATAAAATACTTACTATTGACTGGTCGATTATCCCAGGTTTTAACTGAAATTCATGAATGAAACGATTAAAAAAAAAATTACTAAAGTAATGATGATCGAGAGAGTCAAAAAAAAAAAAAATTTATTTACCATTGGTCATTGGAGTCAATGACATGTTCGGACTGAATTTCACTTCCAAACTTTCGATTAATGAGAAAAAGAGAAAAAAAATGATTAGATTTTCTTACTTTTTTCTATTTTGATCAACTAATTATTCGAGTAATAGTAGTAGAAAACTTACTGTCCAACCAATTCAGCAAATCCGGCATCATTTTCAGCACTAAAACATTATTCACAATGATGATATAAAATGATTGTTGTTAATCATCTTTAGTTTCATGATTTTTTTTTGTTTTGTTTTTCAAATTACTAACCGGCAATAGTAGAGGCCATCATCGTCTCTGGTCTGTAGTGAAATTAATTTCAAAAAAAAAATCAATCAAAATTGTCGCAAACGATCCGTAACGATGTGTGTGTGTGTTTTGATCACTTACCGTATTCAAATAGGTCAACGTTAATACTTTTTCATGTTTATCCATACGTTCTTCCAATATGATGCCCGGATCACCATGAATAAATGGCCGTGTTAGACCATTTTTACGTATGGTTATCATCGGTATTGGTATTCCAATCACACGACATTCAAGATATGAACGTTGATATTGATCATAGCTTTCATTACGAAAACTTCGTATCTCTGGCCGTTGATAAACACGTAAATTGGTTGATTTTTCACTTTTTCCCGCCGAATCTTTTAATCATCAATAAAATGGTAGTTTTTTAATTTTCTCGAGAAAAAAGAAAATCAATCCACTTACTTTCAGCAATACAGGTAAAATTTCCTTCATCTTCATGTTTTTTCAACCGACTAATAACAATCGTACCGGTATTTCTATCAACAGCATAACCACCAACTGAGCTTAGATTTCCTTTTTTTTCGAGATAGAAAAAAAAACAAATTTAAAATTGAAAAAATGAAAATCAATAAACAATAAAATTAAAATCCAATCACCAGAATTACATACTTCGATTATTATCCAACCAGGTGTATAATGGTTGTGGAACACCGGACGCTTCACAGGATAGTTCACTGAAAAATTCAATTCAAAATTGAATGAAAAAAAAAGAAGAAATGATAATCATTGAGGCGATTCATAGGAAAACAAAAATTACATACATTTGTTCATTTTCAATACCAAAACGTGGTTCGGAAATTTTTTCGACCATTGGTCGGGCTATATATTATTTTCCATCATCATTTGAAAACCGTTGAAAATTGTAAATGGGGAAAAAAATTTCAATTTCAATTCTTTAAAATTGTAATAAACAAATTTTCCGGTCCACTTAGTACTTACAATAGATTTGTACGGTAATTCGTTTCTCCTGTGTTGATCCCGTTTCGGTTACTAATGCGCTTACTTGAAACACACCTATAATATATGATATCAGTGAATCAACATCATTGAAAGGCAATGAAATATGATTATTTACCACCATCATCATCAGTGATTGAATCTTTGATGATAATACCACTGGAATTGATTAAATATCTTGGATTACTATCCAATTGTCGACCTTCTTTTGTCCATATGACTATAAAACGCATGTGAATGATCAGATTACATATGTTCAATTAAAATTAATGAGATACAAAACATTAGAAAAAACAGAATCATTACCATTTGGTTTTGGATTGGCACTAGCACGACAATTGATTCGTTCACCAACATTTCCTTTGATTAGATATTGTGTTTCAGGACAATGGTCCCATGTTACATCCTCATATATATTGACATTAATTTGACTTTCCAATGATTCAGAATTCTGTAATAATCCACGACATTTATATGTGCCACTAAGTTCAGGTTTAGGATTATCAAAACTAAGAAATAGATTTCCATCACGATTGATTGTTTTGAATTCAGGATGTCGTTCTAAGAATCTAATGTTGATGATTTTAAATTGAAAACAAAACAAAAAAATTTTTTGATTCACAAAACAACCAAGATCGACACAAACAAAAAAAAACAAACACATACATTGGATTAATCTCTTCATCTTGTGGTGTAAACCAATACAGATCGGAAAATAAATTTGAATCACCACCTTGTCCTTTACATGTAATGACAAATTTTTGATTCGATGGTTTCGATAATGATGCTACATTTGGATAGATTTTTAAACTATACTGCTGTTGTTGTTGTTGTTGTTGACAATCAACAAATATTATGAGACCATTGAATATTACAAGATATGCTTCAATCAATGAAAACAAAACAAATATAAAAAAAAAAATTCATAAATCAAATCAATGGATTCTATACTTACAAAATAAAATGATTATAGTCAAATGTTGATAAAATGACATGATAATTCGGTTGTTGTTGTTGTTGCTGCTGCTGCTATAGATGTTTGTTTGCATTATGAGATTTTTTTTCATTTTGTTACAATTACTTAGATTGGCTATTTCAATATTTCTATAAATGTAATGAAACGGAATGGAATTTTACTGCAAAACACTCAAACACAGACACAGAGGATTTATCACATTTTAATTTTTTAAAAAATAGATTTAAATCGATGATGATGATGATGATGACCAGGGAATTGAATTTTCCAACCCTGTAATACGAGATAAAAAAATGAATCAAAAAGCTTGAATTGAAATTGGAAAACCCCGAAAAAAACAGTAAAGATGAATATCAAAACGAGGCAATACACACACACGATTTAAAGATGGACGATGAATGTTTCAATCACTATAGTCAACAGTTTGATTTGTTGTTGTTGTTGTTGTTGTTGTTGTACATAGACAACACACATTAATCCATCCTAATTACAGAGAAAGCGAAAGAGAAAGAAATCGAGCGCGTAAGCAACAATTGTCCAGTCTGATGATGTTGTTGTTGTTGTTGTTGTTATTGATGACGATCATCATCATCGTCATTATTATGGCAATAAGTGAATTGTAAAACAACAACGACAAAAAAAAATTAATTCAGATTCATTGAATGAAATGATTAAAGTGTTACACTATAGGAGATAGAACGTCGTCGTCGTCGTCGTTGTCGTCATATCATATCATGATGAACGATAGAATTGATACATATCCATATAGTTGTAAAAAAATAAATTAAATCAAACAAGAATCGGTATCATCGTCATTACAAATTTTATTTTTCTCTTTATTTTTAGTCATCATCATATTCGTCTATGGTCGTCGTAGATATATAATCTCAAACAATTGTATTATTGTCAATTTCACAAATATATAGTGATGATATAATAATGATGATGATGATGATGATCCACGCTAACAATCGATTCAATTTTTGGTGTAACTTAATGATGATGATGATGATTATTTATTGTTTGGAATGAATATTTTTGAAACACACAGAGAAAAATAGTTTTCAAATATGACACAAAAACCGGTGGTGGAACCAAAAAAAAAAAACCGAAAAAATTAATCATCAAAACACACAGCAAGCAACCAAATCAACATTTGAAAATCATAAACCGAATGAATGAATGAAAAAGAGTCGTTTGACGACTATCCACACACCGACATTTGAATTAAACTGAATTGGAGAATTGAATTGAACTGAAAATGAACGATGAACTTACCAACAACAAAATCTGAACATCGACCAAAGTGCACACACACACACACACACTGACACTAACGCACAACCTTCTATGATTCAATATGAAAAACACACTGATGATGTGAACAAGTGAACACACTCACATTTAAACCTTAAAATGAAAATTGAATGAGAGAGAGAGAGAGAGTAGTAGGTAGATTTTTGGTTGATTTTCGTCGTCGTCGTCGTTTCGCATTAAAACACAAACAAACTCTTATGTTCTTATGATCAAAATGGGATGTAATCGGTCGGTCGTCGAATCAAGTCTTTTTTTTACAGTCGTCGGTTCGGGTCGTTGATTCGATTTGTTCTTTCTCTATTCTCCATCTATTTTTGTTGTTTTCCTGGTTAAAGAAACAGATAACTAAAAAAAACAGTGGACATTGGTTGCTACACCAACATCAATACCACACTATCACCACAAATCAAACATCAACATCATAGATGAAAATGTCTAGTTGTTGTTCAAATATGATGATGGCAATGATAATGATGATCGTCACACACACACAAACATTTACCACAGGTTTGTTATTGTGTCGTTGATTTGGTTCGGGTGATTTTTTTTTTGGTTGCAAATGTTTACAATAATAATGACGTTTGGTTTCGGTTCACCTAGGCCGGATATGTATAAAGAGCTAGAAATGAGAGAGAGAGAGAGAGAGAGAGAGAGAGAGAGAGAGAGAAATGTCAGGTCATATGGTCAATGTTCAAAATATTTTTGCACATGAAAAAAATAAAAGAATTATGATTACAAATAGCAGCCAATCTATGAGATATATTTTAACTAACCATGGAACGCGGTAACATTGTTTTGTTTGTATTCGATATGAGTGTGTGTGTGTGTGTGTGTGGTGTATGTACAATCATCATTCATTACTTTGTATGCTACAACTATGATGATGATGATGATGTTGACGACCATAATAAAAAAGGTGCGTCGTCGTCGTCGTAGTTGTTGATGATAATGATGATGTGTATTTGGCCATCACATCAAAAAACATTTTGTATATGAGAATAATGGATAAAAATAATGACGGTGAATCCATGGTAACCAACCAAAAAAAAAAAAAAAAAAACATCCATCCACACACAGAGAGAGTATATATCATTTACACACATTATTGAATCTCTTTTTTTTGGTGGATTAATTTTGTGGCTAAAAAAAATTTGCTGCAATTGAAAATGAAAAATAAAAAAACAAAACAAAACAGAAAAAATGCAATATATCGTTTCTCTTTCGTTCATTCTGTTTTCTCTTTCTCTACCATCCATACAATGTAAATATTGTTATCAATATCAACATTTTTTTTTTTTTTTCCATTCATTTTAGTCGATGTTTTCTCTTTCAAATACTTGAACAAGCGATTGATTGGTGAAGTGATTCGTTTTGTTTTTTTTCATACAATTCTTTGTTTGCTCTTTACAAAGGGGCCAAAGGCCATTTTTTTGATGATTGGCCAAAGATTTTCTCTTTCAATAATGATTTCTACATAGTTCATGACTTTAGATGTATTTGTTTTATTTATATGGCCCATCATCATCACCAATACACACATACAGGTAATGGGTCGAATAAAAAAAAACATTCAATAAATTAACATCATCATAGGGAGAGAGACACACAATTATTAGAATTTTATAAAATCAACAAAACAAATCAAAATGCAAAAAAGCTATTTGATCAAATCACATTGTTTTCGTTTTGGTCAAAATAGCTTTTTTTCAACAAAAACAACAACAACAACAAAAAAGAGTTACAATAAAATGATGATGATGATCACTTACCGATATATAAACTGGTAATAATTTGATTCGAATAACTACAGTTGTGTTCGATAGCAGAAGCAGCAGGCAGGTACAACAATAACCGTAACTGCCAGGTTGAATGACATTTATTTTTTTTTTTTGTTGAAAAAAATATAATGACGTTTCATGAATGAAATGAAATTGGATACCAAAAACAACGACGACGACGACAAAAAAACGGTCTCTAACTTTATACTAATCGTGATTAAACGATAAAAACACTAATAAAAAACGAAAACAACAAAAAGTGTGTAGTTTTTTTTTTGATGAGAGTGCGAAACAAAACGAAGAAAAAAAAAAACAAAGATTGGATTTGGATATTGTGGTCAGTCGAACAAATAATGTGCTCGTAATCACACTGTTCGCATATGCTGGGACAAAATCATTTAGAATTGCCAGAATTTTTTTTTTTTTTTTTTTTGAAACTCGAATCAAAACGTAATGTCTGCGATATCTTTGAAAAACACACACACACACACACACCAAAAAAGTTGTTGCTTCTGTAATCGAAAAATGAAATGAAACAGATAAAATGAATGAACATCCAAAATCTCTCACCGGACGGCGGGATAACAATGAATAAAAATTTTTTTTTCATTGTATCATATGTCCAGGCATACACACACACACACACACGTGTTCCATAAATCCAAAAGTCGAGTCTATTACGGTTTGATGACTTTTGATTATTATTATTATTACTATTATAGCCCATATTTGTACGTGTTACATACAAATAAATGAATGGAACCGACTTGTGTCATCGTTGTCGAATATATATCATTCGATCCATACTTTTTTTTTTTTTTTTTTTGACAATGTGGACAATGATGATGATGATGATAAACACTAACGTTATACACTCGTGGTATAATAAATCTCTTTTTTTTGTTGCTCCTCACTACATCTATTGTCTACAATTTTCTTTTGTTATACCGAAAGAAAGAAAAAAAATTTTCGGTAATACGATTCGACAAGCTTTAGGGCCATTTGTTGTTGTTGTTGTTGTTTTTGTTGCCCGTCGCCGTTTTGTTCATAATCATCATCATCATGGGCATTGAAAATGGAAAACGAAAATTTCTTTGAATTCACATTTACTCACACACAAAATGGTGACAACAATAACAACAACAACGACAACGACTGTGAATGGGAATTAAATGAATGGATTTTTGTGTGCAAGTTACTTTGTATAACGTTAGAGCAAGCAGAAAAAAAATTATAAGTAACCAGATCAATGATTTCAAATGGATCAAAAAAGAAAAAAAAATTCGATTTGAAATCCTCATGAGTAATGAATAGATGAATTTCGATCCGAGTAGTGAGAGAGAGAGAAAAATGAACAACACATTGATCGATTCCATTATTACGTTGCCAATTTTTTTTTTCGTTGGTCGTTGTTTTTCGTTTCATCATTAGAATTGACAATGAATGAATGATTTGTAAGTGGATACCTTTGAAATGTACCACCATCACTACATTTTCATTTGTATGACAAATTTTTCGTTGGTGTGTGTGTGTGTGTGTGACACAACATTTACATCAATGAATGAATGAATAAAATGAAGAAGGGTCTTATGTCATAAAATCGATGTAAAATTTTTTTTTTTTTTGGATGGAAAAAATAAGTGGACAGATCAATCAACAATCCCTGATCAAAACAAACAAACAAACACTTTTCACAGATAATGATTAGTTTGGTCACAATTCGAATGATTGGTGAAAACAAAACAAAACAAAAAAAAAATTCATTATACAGATCTCTCAAATTAGATATACATTCATTTATTCAGTTCAACATCGATAATGGTGACAGCCAAGTTGAACTAGATAAATGAACCACACAAAACAACAATTGTGACCAAAATATAATTACTCTATCTATCTATTCTATATTTATTATATTGAAAATCATCATCAATTCCAAGTTTCAAGAATCATTCATCATTGATCGGTTCCATTCATGATCATGGTACCTATTATATTTATCAAACACGTTTCATTTCATTCAATCAACACCGATATGATGATGATGATCTACTGATTGAATTGTTTTTTTTCAGTATACGATAAACAATCTGTCTAGTCTATTGTCGCCAACTGGCAGCAACAGGCTTTTCATCAATCAAATAATAGAAAAAGAAACCTGAATAATAATTTTTCATTTAAATTTTCTTTATTAATTGTTAATGATAATAATTATTCATTGTTTGTATACATCATCATCATCATCAATATTTACATTGTTTTTTTTTCTTTAGCTTCTGGGCAACGAACCACACATTGATGATGATGACAAGATAAAATGTAGAAACAAATGAAAGACAAAAGAGAAAAAAAAAAAAACAGTTAGTTTTCAAAGCTAATCAATAAATATATTGATGACAATTAATGTTGTAGTAAATCAATGATCATTGTATATAGGAATAAAATAGATAGAAAAATTGATCAAATCATCGATGAATCGATCATTCATTTAGAAAAAATTTTCTTTTTGATTCTTTAGTTTTTTTTCCATTCAAAGTTTGGATTCATTTGCATTCCATTCATTCAAATTACCATCATTAAAATATTTATATAAAAGTTCGTCGTCTTTGTTTTCTATGACAAACTATATCACATTTTTTTTCTGTCCTGTAACAGTAAAACAGAAAAAAGTTGTAGTTGTGCGCGTCATTAGTTTTTAACAATCAATTTCCGATGTTATCTTTATTATTCGATCATTTTTAATGTCAATCATACGAGTGGTGGTCGACGAATCGTTATCGTTTGTTGTTACTGTTGGTAGTAAGGAAAAAAAACAAAACGAAATGAAAAAAAAATTGCAAATTAGAATTCCGATTTTGTTTAAATTCCGTTCCGCTACAAATGTTTTCTAGTCTTTTTTAATTTTTTTAACCATGAATTCATACCTGATGTTTGTGTTGTAATTTTTTTAGGTGAGCATTTATTTAACGAAACAAATTGCTGTTGCTGCTGCTGCTGTCGATGATGATGATGATAATTATCGTTGTTGTTGTTGAAATTATGATTATTTAAACGATTCTGATGATTATTATTCATATTGTTGTTATTGACTGATTCATTATTATCATTTAAATCGACATTTATTATTTCTGTTGATTGATTACTACTACTGTTATTGACTGATTCCACTTCTGCAGCCAACAATAGTGATAGATTATCCTCATATGATGATTTTGTTATTGCATAAATGTCTTGTTGCTTTTGTCGATTATTAGTATCAGCATCTAAATTTATACGATTCATCGATGATGTATCGATCGGATGATAATCATAGCTACCATATGTTTGTTTCATATGTTGAGCAATACTATCCAACAACGATGTTGGTGATAGTGGCGGTGATTTAGCCATCTTTCTTGTTCCATAATGAACAATATTTCTTGCTGATGACGAATCGAATCGTTCCTCATTTTCATCATTAAAAATTGTTGCTGGTTTTGTTTTGCCTTCCAATCCCATGGAATTCATCATCATGATCATATCATCATAATCATCACTGGAAAGACCTTCTTTCATTTTTTCATGTTTTTTACCATTTCCTAATGGATCACCATCATCGTCATCATCATCATCATCAACAATATCATCATCATCGTCGATATCAACCGAAGAAAATTCTTTTCCTGTAGCCATGTCCGGAATAGTCACGAAGGCACGTTTGTTTATGTTTGCCTGTTGCTGTTGTTGATATATCGATGGTTGTTGTACCGAAGACGTTGATGGCATAGCCAAAACTGTATTTGATTTCACTAATAAAAAAAATGAACACAGGTCAAATAAATAGATATTGGGATTAGTTTTAACAAAATAAGCCGTGTCATACAAACGTTTAGAGAATTTATAAATTTGCATTCTATAATTTTGTTGATTTATTTGTCGACATACTCGTTGTATAGTTAGCCCATGATGGATTACGGCTACGATCACGTGAAATTGCACCGAAATTTTTTTTACTGCTACTATTTCCCAATGGTTGTTGTTGTTGTTGTTGTTGATCGGATAGATTTTCCGGTGTAGGCGTTGTTGATGATGATGCTTCATCATTGCCCAATTCATCACTACCACCGGATGGTGTTGAATCATCATCATCATCGTCATCATCATCATCACCTGCACCACTTGAAGCTTTCAATGATGACAGACTTTTACTTGTTTCATTCGATGATGATTCAACTTCGGGTTGTTGATGCGTTAAAGATCTGAAAAAAAGGGAAATGAAATGCAAAAAATAAACAAATACATTATTCATTCCTTATTGATTATTTACGTTTTGGCACTGAATTCTTTCGAGTCAATAAGATGGTGTGACATTTTCAATATATCCACTACGGTTGGTTGATGATGAAATACGATACCTTGTCGTTTTTCATTCGGTTTTGGCGGTGATTTCGTAAATTCTCTAATACCTAGTTAATCAGATGATAAATGTGAATTTTGAAAAGTCAACAGAAAAAGAAAAAGAAATTACCAGGATCAGTAGGCGATTCATGATCACTAATCGGTATTGATCGGCCATAAATTGATGATTCTTTGGCCACTAATAAATCACTTTCTTGTGCCAATTGTTTGATAACTTCATCTTGTAATATTAATAATTTCTGTTTCTGTTCTTTACCATATTCGTATGCACGAATAAGCTCGTCCTGGTTTGATGAACCACATGATGCAATCGAATGATAATGACTTAATACATTTGATGATTGATAAATTGGATCCGAATTTTTATCGACATTTTCCAACATTCTTAATTTACAATCAATAGAATCGGCATATTGTGGAGGACATTCGATACCTTTTTTCAGCAACATATATGGTGGCTCGGAAAATTTTGCTGCAAATGTTTCATAAGTATCACTAATCTTTGAATCACTTTCAAATCCGGGTAAATTGAATGTAGCATATGGTGCCGCTTCATCATCATCGATGAAACTGGTTTTTGTTTCATTTTTAAATGCATCTGCCAAAAAATCTAAACACGTGGCCGGATTTTGTGCCGTTGATTGATTGTTGAATATTTGGTCATTTGTTGTTGTGGCCGTCGTTGTAAGTGGTTGCTGTTTGGATGTTTGTTGTATCGCTTGCTGTTGTTGGCTATTATTATTATTATTATTTGTCATTCCTTGTCGATAGATAACGATCGAATCAATTTCTTTGGCTAAATTTGGTTGAGATTTTGCTGTCATTTGATAATTTATAACCTTAGCTACATGTTCGGCTCTTTCCACTGATCGTACAGCATTTTCACTTCTTATTGAAATTGGTGTACCTGATGGTAGACCACCATCCGTTTCATGTACATTGTTATTTGTTGTCATTACATTTCCAGGCGCTGATGATACTGTTGCCGAATTGGCAACATGAGCACCACATTTAGCACAGGTTCTTGACCGATATAACATATCGGTTTTTTTCATATACATTCTAAATGTACAGAAAATGGAAACATTAATTTCATTTTTTTTCCAGAAATGGAACAAGAAAAAAAAACTTACATCAAACAAACGACAGCTATACATCCTGAAATCAGTATAATACAAGAAGATGCAATCGAAACAATGGTAGCCGTATCAATGTCCACACCTGAAACAACAAATAAACAAAAACATGACACAAAACATGTAATGTAAACACAATGTAATGGCACATACCATGATAATGATTAATGTTTGGATTATTTAAATGATGATTATGATTGTTATGAAGATGATGTGATGATCCTGATGATAATGGTATTTGTGGTTGTGGTTGTTGTTGATGTTGTTGATGTGTTTGATGTGGTGGTGGTGGTACAATGTAATGATGATTATTATTACGATCATTAATCGATGGTGATATAGCTATACCGGCATTATTCAATATGACCGGATATTGATAAGAATTCGATGATGATGATGATGATGTTAGATTATTATTGTTGTTAATTGTCTGTATCGAATACGATCCAATATCATAATCGGCCATAGTAAATCAATCAAGTAACTGATAATAATCAATAGAAATCAATTATCTGAACCATACATAATATGTGAATATGAAGCTAGCTAGCCACAGAACCAAAACAAAACAAAACAAAAAAACAGTGAGCTGAAAAACTTTGAAATTTCTCAAAACATAAAACAATTTTCTATCCTTTAATAACACAATATAGAATGTTTCATGGTGGTTGTTTTTAACATCATCAATAATCGAATAATAATAACAACGACAAAAACAACAACAACGGTACTGTGAGAATGATAGGTCAACAAATACAAACAACCTCGATTCTATTGATTCGGGTTGCCACTAAATTTTTCCCCATCACATTCTCTTTTCTCATCATTCATCTCGCTATTCATCATTAATAACATTGAATTTGTCCAATTCTGTCGTTGTTGATCTAAACTCATACGCATGATTGCTGGAAATTTTTCTTTACTTTGAGCTTTCGGTTATTTTTTTTTTTTTGTTGCTAGATTCTTGGACGCTGCTGCTCATACTGGCTCTTTATTATTCGTTTTTTAATACTCCTGATTCGGAATTCTTTTTTTTTCTTGGTTTTCAACGATTCTGTGTGTTATTCTCGATTCATATGTTGTCATCCATTTTAATGGCTTATATTATTTGTGTTTGTGTTGCACTCGATTCAATTTCGATTTGATACAGCCTGAGCGGGTGAAGCAAAGCAAATATATACTTGCAAATGATCGCACACACACACACACTCACTCATATATAATATATTGGAATCTTGGAATCCAATTCCGTTTCTTAACAATAATAACAATTTCAATGGAAATTAATGAATGGATTTGATGATGATGATGAAAAAAAACAACCAAAATCTAATCAAATTCATTAAATAAGAAAACAAAAAAAAAGGAAAAAAAATCCCAATGAATATTCTCTGCACAACCAATGTTGTTGTTGTTGAATTAAGAATTGTGGATCAGTCAACGTGAAAATGACGTAAACAAAAAAAATAATGATTTAGATATGAGTATTGGACTTTGGATTTTTCTTTTTCTTTATTCTATGTGACCACTTGATCTTGATTATGGTATAATTATTTTCTTTTTTTTGTGCCAATAAACCAAAATTTCCAAATCAAAGAATTGAGTAACTATTTTTTTGAGGATCTGAATTCTAAATCCATGTTTTCGTTTGAATCATTTCAAAATGATCAGCATTACAAAAAAAATCCCGTAGACAAAACACGTGACAATTCTTATTGGAAATTGTGGAAAAAGATGGCACAAGATGGATTATTTTTTTTTCATTATAATTTTTAACAAGAACATTCGGTATATATAGAATATTCTTGTTGAAAAAATTCATCATTATCATGTATGTTCAATGTTCATGTATTATTCAATGATAAAGATGACGATGATCAACATGGAAATTTTATATATGAAATCGAATATAAAATTAAATGCTTCATATATCAGTTACAGTTCAATGCCTCGGGAGGGCTAAAACATCTGTATCGATGATATTGTAGTTGGAACGGACATCATCGAAAAATTTCTATTGGAACAACGAGTGGCTAAACACGACAAATCGTTAACCAACATGGAAAACGAAAGTGGAGCCAATTCAAATTGGGGACATAGTATTATGGCATTTGGTACCATTTTATATAATCATCATCGCGGAGAAGAAGAAAAAATATCGTGTTTTGTCTTTATTTCTTCATTTTCATTTCAAACATATCGACAACATTATATCAGCATATTTAAGGAGTAGCATATGCTCTCTGTGTGTATATGTTTTCTGAATCTGATTCTTAAAAAATTTCAAACTATACGAAAACAAAAACAAAATGTATATTGAATTCAAATACATTCATCAAGCAACCAATATACGAATGAATTCTACATTTTTTTTTTTTTCGTCAAAATAAAACATTGATATAATGCTCATAATAAAAATTCTAATTCAGTCGGCTTGTTTGTTTGTGGCTGTTTTTGTTGTTCTGATTGCTAGCGGTTCGAAATTATTCAAAAAAAAAAAAAAAAAAAAAATTCACAAAAATGTTCCAGATAAAAGGAAGAATATGCTTCACAAACACAATGGGGTGTAAACAGAACTATAGAATAAAAAAATTTTCCGGGAATTTTTTTCTCATTTTTCATATGTGAATTGTGCGTGTGTGTGTGTGTGTTATATAAAATGCATGTATTCCAAATGCTAAAGATGCCGCTAAAAAAAATTTTTTTTTCCATGTACAATACCGCTGGCGTGCGCGTTTCATTTATATTCGAGATCTGAATTTATTTTTTTTTTTTCGTTGGATTTCTTTGGAACTCGGCGCATAACCGATTCTTTCTCTCTCTGTGTATGTGTGTGTGTAGGTTTGACTCAGCTATACACACACATACACTTTAAAATCTATCATAAATTGAATTTGAAAATAGAATAAACGAGACAAAGTAGAAGAATGAATGAATGAATGAAAAAAAAACCGAATGGATCCAAAAATAAAATAAAAAAAAGCTCTAATCAAAGAAGAAGAATCAAGAAAAAAAAATTCGAATAAGATGTATAGATGTGTGTGCGTGTGTGTGTGTGCGGTACTTTTTATTTTATTTTATTTTAGTTTTGTTTGTTGTTTGTATTGGGCACACACATATGACACACAAGGAATCGGTTCTTTCATTCTCAGTATATGGAACGATGATGATGATGAAACGTGTGAACCAAAAATTGAATGAATGAAAAAAAACCATAAAGAATGGAAATTTTTTTTCGAGTTGGGGATGAAAATGATGGTTTTGTATGAAGAGGGGGGCATTTATCAAAATGAAATACGCATGGTGAATGGTGATGATGATGATGATGAAAAAGATGAACCATGGGCCCGTGTAGAATTTGAAAAAAAAGAAGAAGAATGAACGGACGAACGAACGGAATAACCGAATAACCAGAAGATGAGAAAAATCTAGAGAGATAGAGTGAAAGAGAAAGAGAGAATTGCGAAAAGGAAAAGAGAAAAGAAACTCAAAACTCAGAATAATAATAATAATAATAATGGTGAAAAAAAGAGGAAAAATAAATTCGGTTTTTTTTCACATATATTCTTTTTGGATCTTCGCTGTTGTTTTTTTTTCATTTGCTTGCTTTCTTGGTTTGTAAATTCGGTCGATTCTTGTGTGTGTGTGTGTATTTTGTTGATTTGGTTTGGCTTTTTCTTTTCGGTGTTTGTTGTGTGACCAGCGCACATTCGATTGAGAGAGAGAGAAAAAAAAAGTTGTCTTTTTGGTTTGGATTTTTTTTCATTTTCAACAAATACACACACAAGTATTGATGATGATGCTCGTTTGTTTGTTTGAATTTTTTTTTACCATCTTCGTTTGAAGATTTTTCTGATGTTTCACCAATTCTAATTAGGATATCATTTCGGTTTTGTTTTTCTTCTTTTTTTTTTGTTTTTCGTTGTCAATGAATAACCATTTTTTTCAACAAACAACAAAAAAAATTGAAATAGAAACAAGAAAAAAATTGTGGAATCATCATCATCATCATCAAACAAACAAACAAACAAACACAGAAAAGTTTTTCGTTATTGTTTTTTCTGTTTGTTATTTTTTTTGTGTGACCGCGACGATCGCGCACTGACAAACACACAACAGAAAATAAAACCGAATCAATTTGGATTCGATTCTTGAAAATAAAGAAGAGAGAGAGAAAAAAAGTTGTCTTTTTGGTTTGGATTTTTTTTCATTTTCAACAAATACACACACAAGTATTGATGATGATGCTCGTTTGTTTGTTTGAATTTTTTTTTACCATCTTCGTTTGAAGATTTTTCTGATGTTTCACCAATTCCAATTAGGATATCATTTTGGTTTTGTTTTTCTTCTTTTTTTTGTTTTTCGTTGTCAATGAATAACCATTTTTTTCAACAAACAACAAAAAAAATTGAAATAGAAACAAGAAAAAAATTGTGGAATCATCATCATCATCATCAAACAAACAAACAAACACAGAAAAGTTTTTCGTTATTGTTTTTTTTCTGTTTGTTATTTTATTTTTGTGTGACCGCGACGATCGCGCACTGACAAACACACACACAGAAAATAAAAACCGAATCCGATTGTGGACGACAATTGTCTTGAATAATTGAAATGAAAAAAATTCTTCGAAAAAAAGAATCTGAAAAAAATATAATGCATTTCTTTTGGATAAGAAGAAAAAAATTCTAAAATTTCAAAGATCAAAAACGACAACGACAACAACTACAAATAGAAAAGTTCCGGAGTGATCCATGCATATACGCACATCCATATATGTATTCTGAGAAGAAATGAAAAAAAAAATTCCAAATACCCGCGACGATGATGTATCTCTATTCATAACAACCACTATCACCCCCGTTTTTGATTCTTTCACATTTGACATTTTTGTTTCACCATCACCATCATCATCATCCGTAGTCAAATAGGAAAAAAAGGAATGCAGCCGAATCGACAGCAACGAATTAGAAAATCACCACAATCATTGTGTCAACAGCAACAACCAAATCGAAACATGATTCAAGATCAACAACAACAACAACAACAACATCAATCTTTATCATCACAAATTGATACGAGAATAACTCGATCTAAAGATAGAAAAAATGTCGAACAACAGCAGCAATCATCTATATTGATGACGATGGATAATAATTGTATGAAGAATAAATCCAACCATCGTATAATGACAAATAACAACATTTGTGCGACTGGTGGTGTTTATTATAATAATAAAAAATCCACAACGACAACAAACTCAGGTAGACGACAACATCAATTGGATTATAGTAAAATTCGTCGCCGATCAGGTAATAGAATGATAATGATCTGATTATGATGATAATGATATTTGAAAGAGGCTTGACAAAAGTAAAAGTAAAGAGAAAATTTGATTGAAAAAAAAAGAAAATGGAAAAGTTTGAATTTAATTCAATTAATTCAAAATTCTTTTCTATTGATTCGCCTGCAGGTAAATCAAATAATAATAACCAGAATCGAAAAGTCACTTCAACAATGACAACTATTCGAACGAATCGCCATCAACTACATCGAAAAAATCATCATCATCATCACCGGGATCGTAGAAATGATTCACCAGAATCGAAAGATTTGTCATCACCATCATCACCATCATCATCGTCATCGGTAGTCATAACTTCTTCATCATCATCAACATTGATAAATGAATCGCGCACAAATTTAAACAAGTAAATCATAATTAAAATTAATGAATTATTTAGTTGAGAATAAAGAGAAAAAAAATATTTCATTTTTTCCAATTTTCTGGATCTCATTTTTTTTTTTTGTACAAACTTTCAAAAGAAATTCTGGATTCATTACTTGTTTAGTGTGTAATCAAACCAAATATTATTCCCATGTACAAAGACGTTATGGAATTTTTAGGTTAGTTGATTTTTTCTCTTTTTTTGAAAATTTTCAATTTAATTTTTCTCATTTCATTTACATCGATTGATCGGATTGGTACACACACACACACACACACACACAGCTGTGAGCCATGTTTTAAATTTTTCTCTCGTTTCGTCAAAGAACCTAAACATTTTCAATGTAATGATAAAGGTAAGACAATTGATTTCGGTTCAGAATACATCGATAATGAAAACTGAAATTTTCTATAAATCTAGGAGAATGTTTAATCGTATTGGCCAATGATGATAATAATAATGGCAAAAATGATGATAATTCTGCTCAACGTTTTTCCAATGGTACCGGTGGCCGATGTAAAGCGTGTTGGCTAAAATTATGCATTGAAAAATTTAAAATTGATTTCGATACTCGACGTTCATTGATGGAAAAATATTGCCAAAAATCTACAATTGAATCGTCGGAAATTATTGTCGATAATAAACCAGTCACAACATCGAAAACATCGATGCTCAAAAAGCATAAAATTAATGTCAAAAATCACAACGAATGTCAAAAGCCTGTGCTCAACAAAGTGCAATCAACAAAAAAATCTGAAACTTTAAATAATGTTGATTCATCAATGAAGAAACTGAAATCAAAGTCAAATGAAAATGATTTGCAAATCGAACCACAAATGTTGATGAAACGGAAAAAAATTCATAAGGATTCAGATGAAAATAAACAAATTAATTCGCTGAAACTTCAATTCTCGACCAACAAAAATGAAATTTCATCAAATAATAATGTAACGATGCCTTTGACTATGGTTGATGTTCAATCTTCTTCGGAAGAGATTCGTTTTCCTTATTCAATAAATTCATCGCCAAATTTTATCGATCATGATTCGAAATATCCAATCGAACAGAATACGACCATCAAAACAAATGTCGGATCTATGAAATCTGCTCATTTCAACCATGATGAATCGATGATGATATCGACAACTGAAATGTTTGCATTGAACAATGATTATCAAATGACTAGAAGACATGAGGAACATAAACAAACAAAACAAATCCATTGATAAACATGGAAAATTCAGATGAAATAAATAATGAATCAACGATTCATGTTGAAAAATCTCGATGGATGAAGACAAAAGACAAAAAGAAAATGAAAACAGCCATCGATTCAATGGATCGAAATTCATCAGAAAAATTCATCATTTCTCGTGGTTCTTATTTTCAGGACAATAAGACTAATCATCATAACAATCAAAGTACATCATCATTATTGACAAATATTAATAATAATAACAAAAAAAGTCGTTGCAAAGAATGTGAAGGATGTCGAGCACAAGATTGCGGTCAATGTAGTTATTGTTTGGATAAAAAGAAATTTGGTGGATCAAATGTAATCAAACAGGCGTGTAAATATCGTATCTGTATTCGATTTCGTGGTTCAACTCGGCGACAACAGCAACAAGAAAAACAATACAAATAACAACAACAACAACATTGGTAGCAACAGTAGTTCATCATCATCATTATTGACCAATCATCATCATTCATCGAATGAATCATCATCATCACAATCATCATCATCATCATCGTTTATGAATAGTTTGGAATGTAACAACAACAACAATAACAACAACAACAGCAATAGTACTACACAGAATATTTTGGGTGAAAAAATTCAACAACAATCATCATTCCATAATAATGGGCCGAATTTTTTCCCAACACCATCACCATCACATTCGAATGGTTCACCGAATTCATCAATTGTTCCAACGTCATCATCGTCATCATCTTCATCGAGTTGTAGCACAACATTGGTAAACAGTCATTGTACTTCAATGACACAATCATCATCACCACAATCATTACATTATTATCTAGAAAAAAGCAATAATCTAAGTAAATATTTAAATCCAAATTTTGCAATGTCAACCGAATCTGTTAGCAGGCATAATCCTCACTATCATCATCATAATCATTGTCATTATCATCCATATCTAGATCATCATGGATCATCGTATAATAATAATACATCTTATAATTCAACAACAACAAATTATCCATTTTATTCAAGTGATACAATGACAAATTGTTTTAATGGTATGGTTTTAGGAACAAACGATACATTATCATCATCATATAATCATCATCATCATCATCATCCGCCATCATCTTATGATCAAATATCTCATTCATCCGATAATAGCTATAATGCACAACCTACATCGGATTTTTTATCATCAACAAATTTTGCAAATAGATCTTGGTATGATGGTCAATCGTCATATCAACCACCATCATTGCAGCCGTCATCATCATCATCATCATCATCAACAGAATTTCAACAACAGCTAAATAGTGATACATATGATGTAAGATTTAAATTTTTAAATTTTTTAAACTGACATTCATTGATTCATTTAAATGATTAGATTTCATCGAATGTGAATGCCGGATTATATCAAACACAAATGGGTGGCCACCACCATTATGGCTCGTCGATAGTTGAACAAAGTCAGCATCATGACCACCAGTCACAACATCAATATACTGGATCATCATCATCGTATCTACATCCAGAATATGACAATAATAATTGTTATTTCTAACAAAAGAAAAAAACTACAAAATTCCGCTCGTTGTTGAAAGTGAATTTAATTTTTATTTAAATAATTGCTTTGTTAGTGTTTGTTTGTGATGATTATGATGATTCCACAGTATAAAAAACACCGCCACTATATTTCACATTGATTTGTATAAAAAAAAATTAATACGAAGAATGATGAATGAATTAAATTATAAAATAAACAAAAACAAAAAGATTACAATTATTCCACAAAAAGTTTCATTATATCATCTACATCTTCATTATATTTTGGTAAAGGTTTTAATGATAATTCCTTAGATTTTTTTCCATCGATCATTGTTTGTTCATCATCATCATCGGATGAATCTTCTATTGTGATGGTTATTGGTTCTTGTTGTCGGCCATTGGAATCTTCTGATTTAATGGCATTTTCGTTGGTTTCATTGACAGTTTTGGGATGTTTGCATGAAGATGGAAACACTTCCAAATCATTATCATCATCATTTTCAAAAGCTTTACGTTTTTCATTTTTCAATTCTGTATCCACTATTTGACCATCACTTGTTTGATTAAAATTCTGATCCATTGCTTTTTGCTGCTGTTCATCATTGGTAATGATATTTTCATTGACAATTTCTATAGTAGTCGTGAGCTGCTGTTTGCCTGGTGAAGGAATAAGTTTATCGACAGCTTTTGGTGGTTTTTCATTTTTAATTTGATCATTACTAGTGCTGGATTGATTTTTGAAATTTCCATCATTGGCATGAGTATCAAGAATGGGGGAATCTTCATTTGTTTCAGATGTATTTGATTGCAGCAACATTTCATTGTTTATAGAGATTTTAGAGAGAATTACATAGTTTGTAAGATGAATTGTACTAGTAGTTAGTTGACGAATTTCGACAGAATTCTCGAAACGATTTGCCTCTTCCAATACATTAATTATGGCTTCTAAAGGGACATCGTTTGCAACATCAAGATTCACCAATATTAATCGAACAGTCTCCAATAGTTCTTTACGGCAAGTATCGTTCTTGTAAGGATGATTTAAACGAAACCATCGTCGATATATTTGAAACAGTGTAATAATGGCTACATTTTGTATTTTGTGCCATCCTAATTTATCCAATAAATTTGAACAATTATTTATCAGTGAATTAATACATCGTATCGATTGAATGGTGTTGTTGGTGGTGGTATGAACAAAACTGTCATTAACGGAAAAAGATTCGGTGATTGAGATTTTTTCTAAAATGAAATTCAGAATAGGTTCAAACTCAGTGTAAGAGAAACAGGTATTCAATCGAAGAGTTTCAAAATAATCAGCCAAACATTTGAGAACTGAACATTGTAGCTCTAAAAATACTTGTGATTGAGAAGAAATATTCTGTGGTTGTTGCTGTATCCATTCGATTGTCGTGTTGACGATGTGAATGATCAATCGTGAATAGCAGAGAATATTCGATCGACAACTACCAATTAAAGCTCGTAATATGATGACAACATTTTGTAAAATTATCGATGATGTACGAATGTTTGGTTCTTTTTCTCGTTGTCCATCTGATGGTTGGTTGAATTTTGGTGTCGATATGATAACCATCGTATTTAAACATTCAATAATGGCTTCTACTGGCAATGGCAGTTTTATCGGAAATTGTCCGGTTATCACAGTACAAAGAGTGGCCGAAATAAAATACAATTTTTTCGTCATTGCCAATGAATATTCAGATTTATTATCCATTACGAATATTTCCATTGGGCCACTATCGACAAATGTGAAAACTTTAATCGGTTTATTTACATTTGAAAAAATTGGATGTTTGGCGAATGTTGACAATGAATTCATAAGTTTAGAAATAATTTCACGCCATCTAGTCATCAAGGCCGTAGAACCGGATAGATAAATTTTGCAATAACAGAATCCCAATAATTTCAAAAGATCATGATGATGATTATCATTTTCGGATTGTTGAATTAAATCAACAAGTTGAAAGATTCGTTTCTCGATTGATTGACGATTTGCAGCTATTAAAGTAGGAAACAAAGTGGATAAAATACTTAAACAATTAGCAGCATAAAATACTTCGTGCGAACGAAATTGCATCAAACGTTTGATCATGTGCGGTATTATCGATAGGCTCAATTCTCGATTTAAACTTGGCATATTCACGTTGTATACTTTGATCAACATTTGATTCAAAGCTCGAATACATAAAATTTGATCATCGGTTTCATTTGATGTTTCAAGATTTTTCATGAGATTTTGTAAAAGAAATGATGCATGTTCCAGGAACAAATCATTGTCGATTCGTGGAATAATTCTTTCCAATAAAATCGTCGCTAATCGTCTTGAGAAAAAAAACCAAATTGAAAATTTTCACATTGAAAATATGAAACAAATAACAAATGTTACCTGTCACCTAAAATCAGGTTCGTTTTGATATCTTTGAGTTGATCTTTGCAATTTTTTCTGGTAATCGAACTTCTTGGTAATTTTGATCCATGCTGAAATATTAAACCGCGTGGATCTACAACGTGCATTGTTCGATACACTGCATGCTTTGCTTAGCAATATATCGATAGTATCGAAGCTTGTTTATTTCTTTTCGTAATGATTATCCAAATGGAAACATTGAAATTGGATTCAAATTTAATTCAAATTTGCTTTGATGAAGCAGAAAAAGGCCTAAAAAATGGTGAAGTTCCTGTGGGTTGTTTGTTCATCATTGAAGATCAAAATGGTGACAAACAAATCTTGGCTAAATCACATAATCGAAGCAATGAATTTAAAAGTGCTTTAAAACACGCTGAAATCGATTGCATTAATCAGATTGTTGATCAATATCCGAAAAATCATCATGAAATTTTCAAAAAAACAATTGTAGTCTTGACTCTTGAACCTTGTATAATGTGTTGTCGAGCTTTGAGACGATTACAAGTGAAAGCAGTTTTGTATGGAGCTCAGAACGAACGTTTTGGTGGCGCCGGTTCGGTAATGTCTGTACATTCGGATTCTCGAATAAATGATCCAATTTTGAATTGCATATCTGGTTCATTGGATGCCGATAGAACTGTGGCATTATTGAAACGTTTCTATGATCAAACCAATGAGAATGCTCCTAAGGATAAAGTGAAAATTAAAAAATCGACTTCCAATAATTCAATTAATGACGAATCGAATAAAAACCTAATGCAAAATAGTTCAAAACAATCAATACGACCATCGTCATCCAAATGACTTATTTTATATCGTTCAGTAAAAAATTGTTCACCACAAATCTAAACGATTATAACATTGGCGGAACGATCAATGCTCCAAAAGAAACATTATATCGTACTGTTTTTAAACCACTTGAAACAACTTGCCTGTTACGGCGAATAAATTTAATCGATTCTGATATTGATCTTTTGAAAAATGAAAACGATATCGACCAGATGATCGAACATCCTAACATAATCGAAATGTTTGTCAGTTTCATACAAAATGATATGCTTTACACCATATTTCCGTATTCGGAATATTCATCGATTGATATTCTTTGCAAGCCATTTGGACTTGAAGAGAAAATTATCGTATTCGCATTACATGACATATTGAAAGCTGTAGATTATCTACATCGCAATAATATTGTTCATCGGTAAGTTTTGTTGATTTTTTTCAAAATGAAGTAATCTCAGAAAAAATATTTGATGTTTTATTTTTCAAAGTGCAATAAAAGGTTCACATGTATTGATTTTTGGTCATTGGACAACTTCGAACATTAAATTTGTTCTTTCGGGTCTTAAATATTCGTATCATGTCGAAACGGTGGATGAATTGAAACTATTTAAATATCCGAAAAATGCTGCCAGTTTATTGAATAATCTAGCGCCTGAAGTACTGGAACAAAATATGCTTGGTTATAGTTTTAAATCGGACATCTATTCATTGGGAATTTTATGCTGTGAATTAGCTAATGGTGTCGTACCATTTGATAATATGTCATCGGATGAATTATTGTTTTATAAGATTATTGGCGATATTCCTAAACCATTGGATTCATCTTGTGAAGAGATGGCCATCTTTAACGAACTGATGGATCGGTTGGAGCTTACGTTGAAACGTCGTTATCAAATCTATAGGAAACGAACTTTTAGCCAATCATTCCATGATTTTACTCAAAATTGTTTACAATTAGAACCACTACGTCGTCCAACGGCATGGACTTTATTAGAACATTCTTTCATCAACAGAAATTCAGAAAATGAGAATAATCTTACACAAAAAAGAGATGAAATTTTAAAAGAATTTTTTTCATCGAAATTTTGAAAACTCTGTTTATTCATAAAAAACGTTACAACATGTATTTTGTTTTTATTTCACCATGCCTAAATAATGCATTTTTGAATTTTCTTTTGTTTTTGTTTTGCAATCATGTTTGTTAGACAACATTTGATGATTTTCAAAGTTTTTCATATAAACAAAGCATTCAGTTCTTCTTATTCTTCCGTTGTATCACACAATCAAGTGATAGAATCAAATGGTCGAGTTTTCGTAAAGGTTCGAAATATGCAATATTTGTATACCTTTTCCATTTTTACAGATCTGGAATTGTTTTTGTTTTCTATAGGATAAATATCGACGATTCATTGATCAGATACGTATAACTGTCACTGGCGGTGCCGGTGGTAATGGTTATCCAAAATATCAAGGACTTGGTGGAAACGGTGGCAATGTTTGCCTGGTGGCTAACGCTGATGTGAAATTGAATGATTTAAAAAAATCGAATGTTAGATTCTGTGCTGAGGATGGTCAACATAGTTCTCGCAATTCTATAATCGGTCAGGACGGTAAAGATCTTGAGATTAAAGTACCGGTGGGCATCTCTGTCATTTCGGATGAATATAAAAAAGAAATTGCTCATCTTGACAAACCCGGCGACAAATGTATTGTTGCTTTTGGTGGCCGTGGTGGCGACAAAATTAATTCCTATTGTGGCACGAATGGACAAAAACTAGCCATTAAATTAGATTTAAAATTATTAGCCGATATAGGTCTAGTAGGTTATCCTAATGCCGGCAAATCAACACTGTTAAGAGCATTATCACGTGCATCACCTAAAATTGCCAGCTATCCATTCACAACAATTCAACCGAATCTTGGTGTAATCGAATATGATCCACCCAAAACCGTACAACCATATAATGATTGGTCAAAAGTCAAAGATAAATCTAAATTTTATGAACAAGATTATCGTCGAATAACGGTTGCCGATCTACCCGGTCTGATTGATGGTGCGCATCGTAACATTGGGTTAGGCCATAAATTCCTAAAGCATATTATGCGAACAAACTTATTGTTATTTATCGTTGATATTGATGGATTTCGTAATACAGGTGGCCGTTATTTTCATGATTCATGGTGTTCACATGAACCATTCGAAGTAATACAATCATTAATCAATGAAATTGATCTTTATGATAACGATATACTTGAACAAAAGCCATCGATTTTGGTTGTAAGTAAATTGGATACTTTTGAAAAACGTGATCAATTCAATAGATTCGTAGAGATTTTACAACAAACGAATATCGATATACCTTCTGTGATGGATAGACAAAATGTCATAAAAAGCAGTGATGATGATCAAATGTCATCGATGAATGTGAATGTTCAACATGACAGCAACAACAACCAACAACATGAATCTACAATTGAACATCATATGATTGAAGGATTTAATGATGCCAATGATGATGAAAATGATAATGATGCATTAATCATTGATCATCATCCACCAAATCCAACAGGATATAGATTCGATAAAATAATTGGTATATCTGCCGTTACTGGATATAATATTGATCAATTAAAAGGATTGATTCGTAAATTGATCGACCTGAATGCTGAGAATAATGAACAACAACAATATGGAAAAGTTTCTCATAGGCAAAGATAAGAGATTATTTTTTTCAAAAATTGTAAATTTTATATATTATAATCATCATTGTGTGATTTTCATTGTCAAGGTTTTCCATTACCCCAAATTCAATAAAATAAATTTTTTTTTGTCATTTTATGACATTGATGATGACATATTTTTGACCATGAAAATGTATAGAAAATTTAAAATCGACATGAAATCAAACGACAAACAACAAACACAATAAAAATTCCATAGATTTTTTTCTTTGCCTAAATTTTTTTTTTGTTTTGCACTTTAGTCAATGAGATGAAACAGAGAAAAAACAAACCTAGATTAGATTTTCTGTCTTTTTGATTTTATTAGCCAAAAAAATCTTGATATACATGTGAAAGCATTCGATTTGCGATTATTTCCGATACGTCAAAAAATCCAGAGTAAAGAAGAAATTATGTCGACAATTAGTACGTGTAAAACAAAAAATTTTAATCAAAAATATTTTGTTATTTGGTTCAATATTAAATTTTATGGTGATGATGATGATGATGATAATCATCACCAACGGCGCCATCGAAATAACGATGATGATCGTCGTCGAAAATTGGGCGTATTATGGATTCAATCATGGCGTCACCGATATTTGAAAATTGGTTTTGTTCAATCCAATAGTATCGGAGCTAGAATCGGCCTTAAACATGGTGATCGTCTTGGCTATTGGAATGGAACCGTAGCGCCAAAAATTAAAGATATTGAAAAATTTTTCTCGAAATCATCATCAACGACAACAGAAGATTTTACATGTACATTACGGTTAGGGATCCTACGTAAACATGATCCAATTATGGCTAATTTATTACAACTTAAATCTGATTTAAATTGTTCTCAACATCTGATTGCTGATAATGATGATAATGAGAAGGTTAATTGTGATGACGTAAATGATGACCATGTCAAACACTTCAATCAAAAGGATGATAATAATCAAAAAGATTTACGATATTTTTTTGTTGCACAAAGTTGTTATGAAAATTTAAAGGAACCAGAATTATATGATGATGGCAAATCAACATCGATAAAAACAACAATTTGAACAATAACTGTTCAAATTGTTATTCAATCAATTCATTGATAATTAGTTTCAGTCCAACACAACAATCAACACCAATTATTGATCGAATCGATTGTAGCCAAAATGATCTTCAAGAAGCTGGTTCAACATTCATAAAAAATAAAGAAAATCATCAACCAATTTTTATTGATAAAAAATCAAATGTTGGAACATTGAATGAAACCTATACTAAGAATGGAAAATGTGAACAAAAGAAATGTCCAGAATTAGAAAAAATGCTCAAAACATATGAATTGGTATCATATGAGAAAAAACTTTACCATAAATATCCGGATACAATGATTAAACCGAAAATTGATAAACATATCAAATCACAACGTGCATTACGCAATGTACAGAATCAAAATTGAATGGAATTTTCATTTCAAATTTTTTACAATTTGTTTTTTTAAAAAGTTTTATTTGTTATTATAATCCAATCCAATAAATTGATGTTTTTAAATAATCCTACGTTCATAAAGTACGTTTTGTTTGTATAATTTTGTATGACGCAATGAGTTTTGTTTTGATTTTTTATTACGTCAAAACACTGAGTGATTTGATCGATTCAACAAGTTTCAGGCAATTCATTCGTTTGTGTGTAGAGCCATTATCTTTGTTTGTGGTCAAGACGAAATAAAACGCCCCATACGTTTCATCAAATATCGCATACAGAAGAACATTGAAAAAGGATCACGATCATTCGATTCGATTTCGATTGATAGATCACATTCAAAAATCCTTTGTTTGAATTGTCAAAAAATGAATAAAAATGTACACCATTACAAGTACGCTATAAATTCGTAAAAGAACAAATTTGATGATCATGACCAAATGAAGTGAATGGATAAAAATATTTTTTGCCACATTCAATCTAATCATCGTTATCCAGCTTCCGTATTCAGCTGTTGTTGACGCAACAGTTGTTTGTGTGCGTATTTATATTTTTTTTTTGTGTATGGATAACCAAAATTATCATCATCAACTTTGATATTTGAGATAAATCTGCTATTATCACTTGACTTTGATAAATTTTTTTTTCTTCGTTCTTCATTCAGTTTTAATTCAGTTCATGGGTTTTTTCACTGCTGAAAATGCTGCCAATTTCTAGAAGCATCCTCATCCATCATAGAAATATCGAAAATATTCAATGACCACACATAATCATTTTAATCCCAAGTTCAACTAAACAATAGTCAAATTTTCAATTAAAGTCCTCATCATTCGAATTTGATTTTTTCTGAGCAAAAGCAAATGTGAATTACAAAACACTCGAAATTTATTTTTATGTTTTCATTTCATTAACCCTATCATCATCACAATTTGATTCTGTTTATTTCCTTGTATGTGTTTGAATAATCAAATCTTAATAGCATCAACTTCTTAGCAAAAAAAATTCACAGTTCCTGATTATGGCAATGATCTTGAATTTGTTTTGAAATTTTCCATCACATATATAAATAACCGTGTTGAGATTCAAATAACAACAACAAACACAACGACGACGACTACGACGACAAAGAATTTGTTTATTTTCGAATGTTGATCAAAATAATAAAGTGAAATATCATTTTTTCAATCAAATAAATTGGTTTTTTCTTATTATAACGTGATAAACATCTATAAAAAAATATATACACACACACACCTAAAAAACAACCAAATTTCATCGCCATTTCGTGTAGTATGGTGGTAATTTTCCAATATTGATCATCATTATATTTTTAATTCATATTTCATCTAAACTCTGTTAGCCTGGCCATTACCAGAAAAAAACTGACCTTCGTATCCATCGTACACATTTGTCAATCAATCCTATAACTAATTTTAGATGCAATCCAATTTTTTTCGAATTGAAATCAATCACCAATGCAGTATACTATAGAAGAAAAAATAAATTATAATTTTTGAATCAAACACAATCATAAAAAAAATAATCAAAAAAAGAAAACCAAATATGATAGGTAAGTCCGATATGCTTGGAAAGAAAAAATTTCTGATTTCCAATTTTTTTTTCTTCATTTTCATTTTTATTTTATGTGTTATCATTGATCTTGATCATCACATCATTGCACAGTGTATGTAGAAATCATTTACATGTGTATGTGATATATGAATATATCCGGTGCCCCTCTAATCATCATAATGATAATAGAGAAAGAACGTATTGAAACAAAAAAAAATAGATGAAATGAAAATGATCATTCTGGTTAATCATTAATCATTCAATTAACCCTTCACTTTGCCTATGAATCTTGAATTTTATCCAGTCTTCTCTCTCTCCCAGTAATTTTACATACATATCCTGTCAAATAATGTATAGTTGATTTTTTTTATCACGCAATTTCATCATAAATTAGTGAAGAAATTTTTTTTTGTATTCTAAGAAAAAGAAAATTATTTCATAATTAAAGAAATTAGGAATAATAAATTCGTCGTCAAATTATTTGAACAAATAGTTTCTTTTTTTTATTGTGAATGCAACGACAGATCGATCAATTGATCAACTAATCTACCTGAAATCACATGTTTCATTAATCTCTCCACATATATGTGAAATTAATTGTATTTAGAAACTTAGTTCAAACATTTGGTATTGAAAAATAAATTAAAAATGAAACAAATCACAACCAATGATGATAATGACGTGCAATATGATCTTGTTGTTGCTGTTAATGATGGTGATGTTGATGATGATAATGAAAATGAACAACAACAACAACAACAACAACATCAACAGCAACGGTCATCATTAACGACAACGACGACGAATCAACAACAAAAAATTGAACAAGCAATCGATATGATGATTAGTACAGCTGTCATACGATTATCTGATGAATCGGAGGAACAACAACAAAACAAAACAAAAAACAACAAAAATCACTATGGCCATGAGAATAACCAACGAAAATTGAATAAAAAAGATGCTTATATTCTAGATGATAATGATGATGACAGCGGTAGCGAAGATGCTAATGGTGATGGCGGTGATGATGAGAAACAAAAACTTTTACCAATTAAAATAAATAAAAGAAAAAAACACGAAAAATAGGTAACGTTAATCATCAAAATTTTGTTATTAACGATAATGATGATGATGATGATGACAATGATGATGACGATGATGGCTCCAATAAAGCGTTATTATTGTCGCAACGACAACGCCACCACCACCATTTCAAAGAACAACAACAACAAAAGCAACGACTATTGCAGCAACAACAACGCCGACAACAACAGCAACGGCAACGACAACAAGAAAAACAATTGAAAAGTAGTCATCACTCCGACCACCTCTACCGACGAAAGCCGTCTTCCAACAACACCAACATCAACAACACCGAAACTTCTCGCATCGACCGAGCAAATAAATTTACAGCCGAAAACATCTATACAGACATTGTCAATGAAAACATCATGGGTATCACACCGCATTTACAACAAACACCGTCCGCAACTAATAATGTTGGTGATGGTGATAGTGTTGATGAACGATCAACAACAGCCGCTACCGGTAATGATGAATATTGTTCCAAAGTTAATTGGTACATTTATTTGGTAACAATTTTATCGGCAATCGGTGGTTTCCTGTTTGGATATGATACCGGAATAGTTTCAGGTGCTATGGTTTTTATTCGGTATGTTTATTTTTTTTCATTCATTTATTTATTTGAGTGTTCCAAAAAAAAACAATTTTTTTCTTATTTGTTTCATATATAACAGCAAACAAACAAACAAGCCACAAGCTAAGCTATATCGTTTTTTTCATCTCTTTCTTTCTCATTCAATTAGATTCAGCCATATTTGAATAACTTTTATCAATGCTACTACTTAGGTTTTATTTTCAAAACAAAACAAAACAAAACAACCGAACAAAAAAAATCGGATAAATTCTAGTCAGCATTTGCGCATCATACACATTCACATCAATTTTATTCGGTCAGTCGGTCAGAATATACATTTCGTGTGTGAAAATTTCTATATATATTAAAGAATGTTTTGACCAAAATAGATTGATTTTTTTTTTGTTTGAAAAAAAACAGACAGACAAAAAAAACATTATATTCTTTTCATTGTTTTTTTGTTTTGTTATTTCAAAAAATTTATTGTGATTGCACATAATTTTTTCCGTTTTGAAAAAAATGATAAACAAAAGAAAATATTTACAGAATTTCATAAACATTGTTTTTTTTGATGTTGTCTATCTATTTCTACAAAAAAAAAAACATGATGACAAAATAAAAATCAAAACATAAACAACAAACATTGACACATTCTACACACACACACACAGAGAGAAATTTGTTTCCGATTTGAATCCATTAATTAATGATGATGATGATGATGACAATTGATCCATAACAGATACATCAAACAAATAAACAAAACAAAACAAAAAAATGCTTGACATTTTCTTGTAGTCTATATTTCTGTTTCTGTTTCTGTTTTTGCTCTAATCGAATTGATTAATGAAATACGATCATCGATCATCATGGATATGTGTGGATCCTTCATCTCCATTATTATTGTATATATTGCAATCTATATTCACATTACAAACAAGTTGAACAATCGATTGTGAAAAAAAATGACATTCTTTTTCAATTTCTAAAATTTTATATGTGAATTATTATTACTAGCCATTATTATGAAGGTTTCTAAAACCAAATTCTAAAATTAGAAAATTCTAGTAAAAAAAAATTAATGCAGTGAAGATGAAATTTTTTTTTTATTTACCAAAATTTGAATATTGTTATTGTTGTTGTTGTAGTAGTAGTAGCAGTAGCAACAGAAGTAGCTCGAACATTTTATTCATTCAAATTTCAATAGTTTTGTTTTCTTCGAAAACATTCAAAGTGTTCACATTTCAAAGATTTTTCAAACGAAAAAAAAATTGTTTTTCTCTTTTTTTTCTCCCATAAAACTCAATGTCTTTTTGCTTTTGACTTTTTTTCCTTTACATCTACCATCATCATCTGTCATTATCGTGTTACTTGTCTTTTCACCCCAAAAAAATACGATTAAAGTTTATATATAAATGTGTGTGTGTTTGTTTGCAAGTGTCATGCAATGGCAATGAAAATTTATCCATTATGAGGCCGTAATGATAATGATGATGAAAATAAGGGAAAGTGGCAATAAGGATAATTTATAGTTCATAATAATGTTTATGGCTTTTTTTCTTTTTTACTCTCCCTTTTTCATTTTTTATTAATTTGTCCTTTGAACAAGAATCAGCCTTGACCATATTCATACACACAGTCGAATCTAGAATTTTCCATCACCATCACCATATGTTCAGATTGATGAGTTGATGATAGAACCAAAACAAAAAGCGACCGAATCAATAAATTGAATATATGAATCATTCATTGAGATGGTTATTATTCAATATCGATTTGTTTTTTTGTTTTTGTTTGAAATAAAGTTTATGAATAAAATATTCATAAATTCTTATTTCTTATTCATAAATTTCTTTTTCATTCTCCATCATCTGTTGTCAAAAAACATGAAAATTACATAAATATCCTGTGTTTGTGTGTGTGTGTGTGAAAAGGGAAATAATTCATATTGATCATCATCAAATATTACATGAATATGCATGTTGAGAGAAAGAGAGACAAACAGACAGAAAAAAATAGAGAAACGAAAAGAAAAACAAATACTTTAAATACACAAATATAGTGATGAAAGTGAGAAACAAACAAAAACAGTTTTTTTTCTTTGAATATTTGAAAAACGCCAACAAAAAAAAATCCTGAACAGAATATGCAAATTGTTTCACTTGATGAAATAATGATAATGATAATGGTAACCTTGGACGTGAATTTGTATTTTTTCTACTTTTCTTTCAATCCATGAATGGTAGCCATAATAATAATAATAATGTGTTGACTTGTTGTTGACAACTTTTTCTGTTTGTTGCTGTTGTTGTTGTCGTCGTTTATTTTGTTTGTCATTCAATTCAATGGCTTTTTTCATTTTTGGTTCAACCAACCCAACCATACAGAGCGAAATAAAAATTTCATGTTGATGTGTACGGGAACTGTAAATGTTGAAATTGGATGATGAATAATACATAGACATAAAAAAAAAAAACTTGTCATTCCAAATATGTGTGTGTGTGTGTATGTATGTGTTATTGATCCGATATCATATGGATACCAGCCATATGATACTCGATAATCGATAAGTACGACAAAAATTTGATACATTATCGATCGATTGAATAAGGATTAATTAACATTTTATTTCTCATTTTTAATGTCGTTGTACGTTTTTGATTTGATTTTTAATATAATGATATTTAGAGAAAATTTTTTTTCAATTGGTTGATTGATTGATTGATCGATCAATCAGTTTTTGCTTCTGTTTCTCTATATGAGAAATTCTTTTCAAAAGAATGTGATAATAAAAATTAACGACGACGACTAATTTAAAGATGATAATTACGATAATAATAATGATGATGATGATGATGATGATTAATGCAAATAATAAAAAGGTAGATGTATACGTAGTTTGCAAAAGAAAAAATGTTAATTATTTTGCACATCAATACAATCAAATCATATCAATCATGATGATCATAAAAGAAAAAATGAAATGACAGGTTTTTTTTCTGTTCAATGTGCAAATGGAAAATTTTCATTTTCTGTTTGTTTGTTTGTTTGTTGGCCTTTTGTTTTCGCTTGAAATGGATAGATGATAGATTGTCTATCAATTTGTTTTTTGGATAAAATAAACAAATGAATGAAAAATAAATAAAGGAATCATTATAGAATTTGTTTCAAACACTACATATTTGTAAAGTCAAAATGATGATTTTAATTTTTTTTTTTTGGATTTGGGTAGGGATTATTTCAATCTAAGTACAACCATGCAAGAGGTAGTGATTTCGGTAACAATATTGACAGCATGGATATTCTCATTTATTGCCGGTTATTTAACGAATAAATTTGGACGAAAATTGACGATAATATTGGCATCTTTCATATTCACTATCGGTGGTTTTATGATGGCATTTGCACATACTGAATATATTTTACTTGTTGGTCGTGCTATTATTGGCCTAGCCATTGGTTTAGCATCGATGGCCATACCGGTTTATATTGCTGAAGTTGCGCCCGTAGATATTCGTGGTAAATTAGTATCGGTAAATGTTTGTTTCATTACATTTGGACAATTTATTGCATCAATTGTGGCTGGTTTATTTAGCTATGATCAACATAATGGTTGGCGTTGGATGTTGGGTAAGTTATTGTTATAGTCAATCATATGCAAAAAAAAATTTTTCTTTTTCACCCCTTACTGTGAAACTAAATGGCCAGATGTCTTTTTTTTCGTTTCTGTATTTGCATACACACCCTGAATGTGCTTGATGAAATTGTTGGTAATTTTTGTTCTAATTCACTTTTTTCTTTTCAAACAAACGAAACAAATTCAGGTCTTGCATCTGTACCATCGACATTACAAATGATATTTTTCGTCTTTCTACCAGAATCACCACGTTGGCTTGTACAAAAAGGCCGATATGAAGATGCATTGAATGCATTACGTAAATTTCGTAATGCCAATACAAGTGACGAGAAAATTATTATCGAATTCACTAATATCAAAGAAAGTTGTTTGAACAGTGAACGTGAACGAAAAAATGATAAATCATACAGGCAAATACTATCGAATCCGATTATAATGAAAGCATTGTTTGTCGGTTCAATGTTATCGATATTTCAACAGGTGGCCGGTATCAATACGGTCATGTATTATAGCGCCACTATAATACAAATGTCCGGCATTAATGATAAATCAACAGCTGTTTGGCTTTCAGCATTAACGGCATCGATTAATTTTATATTTTCATTTGTTGGACTCGTATTGGTTGAACGAATCGGTCGTCGACTTTTAATATTGAGCAGTCTTTGTGGTGTTGTATTCTCATTATTTATATTATCCATTGGTTTTCAATTGGCTAAATTTCATTCACCACGTGTAACATTCCATTCGGATGATCAGATTGCTGATTATTGTTCAAGTGTGATGAATTGTGATGCATGTGTTTCATCAAAGATTTGTGGTTTCTGTTTCTATCAACCGGATGGACATTCCGATTTGTTGGGCTCATTATCCATGTCAAACGTTAATGGAACTTGTATACCAATGAATCAAACATCGAATTTACCATTTAGTAAGTTTTTTAGATGAAATTTTCAATTCAAAATTCAACACTTGTTTCTATTTTCCAAAAGGCAATAGTTCATATTGTACCGATAATTCTAGTATACCGATGCAATGGGCAATTGATTGGTGTCCATCAGAGTATTCATGGATGACATTAGCCGGTTTAATGCTTTATCTATTCTTCTTTGCACCTGGTATGGGCCCAATGCCATGGACAATCAATTCGGAAATCTATCCTCTTTGGGCTAGAAGGTAAATATTGAATCAATCACTTCAATATTGGAAATTATCAGAATTAATTGATTTTTTATTTATCATAAAAAATAGTTTTTGTTATTCAGTATCAACATCATTCAATTGGTTCTTCAACCTACTGATATCGCTCACATTTTTAACATTGACAAATCTGTTAACAATCTATGGTGCCTTCTATCTATATGCTGGTTTATCATTATTTGGTTTGGTTATGTTCTTTTTTATATTACCCGAAACCAAAGGCAAAAAACTTGAAGAAATCGAATGCCTATTCCAAGAACCATTATTTAGGATAGGATTGAATGCAAAAAAACTTTCACAATATGATCAAGTGGATGGATCAGTCAATGCAAGTCGATCTACGGTTGTGACAAATGCTTCAAATGAATCAAATGCTGTGGCTAATGGTGGTGGTGGTGGGGGTGGGGGTACAGTGAAAATTTAACCTCATATTTAAGTTTGTTTTTTTTGAAAGTATTTTTTTATTTTGATTCCATTTGAATGTAACACGTATCCCTGGACCATAATCATTGAAAAATTGTGTGTGTTTTTCAAGCACAATTTTTCTCCACCACTTGTTGTCGTTGCTGTTGGCAGCAAAATCCAATGACCAAAAAAGATGATTTTTTGATTTGATTATATTGAACTGTGATCGAAAAATTGGATACACCAAAACGTCCCCACACCCATCTTTATCATCTCAATCTCTTTGCGAAACATATACACAGATAGAATTGATTTATTATGATTTTTTTTTCATTGTTCTCATCATTTTGTCTATTTTTTTGGTTCTTAAATTATTATTATTATTACCATAACATAACATATGTTTTTATTTTGGATCTATATATTTTTTAAATCCATTTTTTTAGACCACTCTTTTTTGGCTAAATATATTTGATTTGATTTTTACTCTAAATATTAGTGATTTTTTTTCGTCTTTGAAAAATCAATAAAAACGAGAAAAATGATATATGCAATATTAAAGTTCAAGTTTCGTTTTAATAGAACAAAACAAATCGATGACAGACAAATTTTGACAAAAAAATGAATACATGAATATTTTTTCTATCAAAAAAAAAATGATTGAATATTGGTTGGTTGATTGTTGAATTTTTATTCGTCCATAGCTTCTTCATCAGCTGTTTGATGTTTCTTTTTCTTTTTCTTCTTTTTCTCTTTAACAATAACATCACGTTCTATTTCTTGTTCATTATCATCATTGCCAGCTTGTTGAAGAACATCTTGTTTAATTTTCTGTGCTTTTGATTTATTCATCTCTTCACCTTGTGGCTGAATTTTCAATGGTACTTGACCAATCTTTTCATACCATTCTTTTGGTGTTCGATCATTTGGTTTGCCTTTTTGATCTAGCATTCCGTCCTTGATTAATTTCTTCTTAAAGGATGCAACTGGTCCTAATCCCCATTTACGTGGATATGTATCTCGTTCCATGACAACACGTTTTATTTTAGCCACAACACCATGATCACAGCACATAATCGTAGATGTTGTCATCAATGCAATGGCTACAAAAATAAATTTGAATTAGGTAAAGAGAAAAAAAACGTGAAATTAATCAAAACAATTACCTAGACAAACGGCTTCTCCTTTAGTGGTAACAATAACGATTTCTTCATTAAGTTCGATATCATCATCATAACGAAGAACACCCGGTAACATGATTTTAGCACCATAACATACGGCATTGACTGCTGTATCTTTGATTATGATTCGTTTATGACGTACCAATAATGCTTCCAATGGTTTGACAACTAATCGTAACAAGGATTCATCTTTATGGTGATCAAACTGATACATAGCATCGACCAAATCATGCATGGTAACCATGCCTTTCGATTCGTCTTGTATACCCGATCGAACACGACGAAGCTCTTGCATTTGACCTGACACGCCTAATAATAATCCTAAATGAACACACAATGTTCGTACATAGGTTCCGGCTTCACAATCTATCCAAAGTATGCCAAGATTAGCTTTCTCATTGTATTCGAATAATTTACTATTATAGATAGTACGAATACGAAGTTGTCGTTTAACTGCCGATATCAATGGTGGTCGTTGAAAAAGGGCGCCAGTTAATTGTTGAACAGCTTTGATCACCGTAGCTCTGCCGCCTGGAACTTCGGAATGTAATCGCAAAACAGCCACATATTCTTTACCGGCATTCTGTTGACTTTTAACAAGCCGTGTGGCACGATCAATACAAACAATCAAACAGCCAGATACTTTGGGATCGAGTGTACCACTATGGCCAGTTTTCTCAACACGTAATATACGTTTAATCCAGGCTACAACTTCATGTGACGAAGGATTCGATGGTTTATCCAGGTTAATGAAACCTGATTTAAGATATTCTTTAATTTCTCTTTTATTTGGTGAACAACCGAATGGTAATGGTGTAAAGTGATGTGCTCGTACATTCATACGATCCAAATTTTTCAATAATAGTGGCCATTTTTCAGCTGAAATTTTTGGTGGTTTTGATTCGGGTTGTAAACAATATTCATCCGTATCTTCCATCGTGGCCACAGTATCACTGCGAGAATGTTTCTTTTTTCCGGATTTTTTACCGGCTTTAGAATTAAAATATCGAATTTTAGTATTTCGTCAAAATAAAATTCATAATGAAATTACTTACATTCAATTTCCATGGCAGTATCGATGACAATAAAAGCAAAAGACAAGAATTTCAAAATTTCAAATCAATCACACATATAAAAAAATCAACGACATGGATCTTCAAAATGAAAAAATTCCATGCTGCATACAAAATCACAGTACTGCGCATGCATGCATGCTTTCATTCCATCCATAAAATACATGATTCATATATTTTGAGCAAAGAATTTCAATCATCATCATTCTCAATTTACAAAAATAAAATGTGAAAATTTTGTGTTTTTAAAATTCTGCTTCATATTACAGCTATTTAATCAATTTGCAGCTTACGAATTTTTTATCGTTACGACAATGGCAGCTTTTCCCAAAGAACCAATCAATAAAACAATACAACAAGATTGGGCTAATCGTGAATATATTGAAATCATAACGGGCAGCATTAAAAAAATTGCCGATTTTCTTAATTCTTTTGGTAATTTTTCATCATTCTCAAGATTATATTTTATATTGTATTAATTTTTCTATTCTTTCATTCCATAATCTCTAGATCGTTCATGTCGTGGACGATTAGCAGAATTGAATGAAAAATTGACAAGCCTTGAACGTAGTATCGAACATTTTGAAGCTAAAGTGGGCAATAGTGAATTAGTAGCAAATCAACAACAACCACAACAACAATCTAATTCAAATGTCAATACAACGATGATAGCAACTAATAAGCCAGTTTGATGATGGCAAAAATACTTTTTAATTTTAAAATTCATTTGAATCGCATGTATTTTATTTCCATGACAATTTAATTTTTTTTGCATCAAAATCTTAAAAGCTCAAGTGTCATTCCACCCATACATGAATGTAAAAGGCTTATAAACAAATACATAGTGAATAAAAAATCTTGGACACTTGGAAATCGTAAAATGCTGAATAAATTCTATTGATTTTCATTAATTCATCATCAATAATCATTTTGATACGATCAACCGACATTTTCCGGGCTGCAACTTGATCCAAATTGGTACCACGAGCATTAAAAGATTCCAAGACAATTTCCATCTCGTTTTCATCCATTTGACATTGGTCTGATACGATAGTGATGATGATAGGAGTGGCAATTTTCTGCCCGTTGACCTCTAAAGACTCGAGGTATCAAGTTTCGATAAATGAATCGATACGAATATATCCTAAAAATGTAAAAGAAAAGACGTGTGTTAATATACATAAAAAATCAATTGAAAAAATTATTGATTGATCGAAATCATAAATCAGTTGACGAAAAATAAAATTTTTTGTAAAATCTTATTCGATCATCGAAATTTCACTGTCTGCCTTAGGTCATCAGCAATGGGGATCTAACCATATAAACATTTCATCTTTAATTAATACATACCAGAATATGGTTCCTGAATCATTCATTTGTTGAATGAATTCTATATTTCAAAAATGAAAAAAAACAAAATTAAGAATCAAGTGTAAAAAAATTGACAATAAGAATTAAATAAATTTCAAAAAAATCAGTTGAAGAAATTCACATATGTTTGCTTTCATCATTTACTTCAAAAAGTTCAAACAATCATTCTCATCCTGCAAGCTATATATTCTTACAAACACAGTAATATCCACAATGTTCATAATCTGGCAATTTGTTTCAATAAAAAAAACTTACCAATTTTTTTAGCACGATTCCACTTGTGATTTTCAAGTGCGAGTACTTGCAGGCCATCACTCTGTGTATATGTCAGGGAATTGTTATGATTTTGATAAAATCATAACAATCCCAAAATGGAAATCGAAATGATCAATTAAACATCCGAACATCAAAGGATGCGATAATCATTGTGAAAAGCCAGCAAGATTAACTTGTGAAATATATATCCTCCCATTTTGTATTTTTTTCCCTCGATTTCAACTTCGGTTGTACAAAGTCTAACCCAAAAATGGGGGTATTGTTTTGAGTGTAGTTAAAGAATGCTGCTAAAAGAAAAATTTAAAAAAATCGATCAATTCAATACAGTATTTAAATGAATAATAAAAAAACTTTGTATAAAAATCAAATCAGCTAGGTTTCTGATCAAATCATAAGAGTTCATATGTCCCTTAAACCTACATTTTTGTGAAAAATCATCATATCGAATGATTGATAATTTAAAAATTGTTTTGGAAAAATCGAATACCTACCTAATCACACAGGAAGTCTATTCTGCTCCATATATAAAACACAGTTAATATTGTTACAGATATCATGGCCATGTTCCTATATTCATGAGTGAAATGAGAAATATTCACAATTACAAACAGGAAAAAGCAATAATTTTTTTTGATCAAAAGAAATTTGAAAAAGCTTCAGAAAGACTAATCGGGCTTAATATTTAGCATAATCATGGATTTTCATCTGGCAAAATCGTTGCTCATCATTGTTTCAATTTTTTTTTTGGATCGTCGAGAAAATATTAAGTGTTGGGAAGATTACTAACCTGAAATGAGAAAAAAAGAAATTTCAATATTAAAAATTTTTGTGAAACTTTGGGTTAAAAAATCTTTTCTGAAATTGAAATCAGAAAAAAATAATTCATTCAATGTTGAAATCATTTTTACATGCTCATATAGATTCCCACTTGATTTTTAACATCATTTGAAATGTTTCTCATTCGAATCAAAAAAAAAAAATTTTATAAAAAGCTTACCTGGTGTCAATGGAACTATAACCCGAGCATCGGCTAGATATCGAACATTTTTGATCCTAAGGAAAAGAAAAAACAAAATGAGTAAAAATTCTAGCCATTCGGTTGTTGATTTAAAAACAAATTAGAATCAGGTAGTAGCTGCTATCATTTTTTATCAAAGATCTTGGTGTAAAACAATCATCAGATTTGATGAGAAATACAAAGAATTTTTGCCATTATTCTTACCATCAAGAGAGTGTCATTTTCATTGAATTCGATAATTTATTATCTTGGGGCAAATGCTGAAATAGAAATTTAAAGTGAAAAAAAATCTTCATTAGAAAATGGCAATAAAATTTAAATGAGAATGTGAACACGAAATTCAGATAGGGGCGAAAATAGATAGATTTTTACTATCATAACTAAAATTAGTTCAGATGAACTATATTATCATCAATTTCATAAATTATTTAATTAGAAAAAATTAACAAAATGATTCACCTACCATAAAGTGGCCATCCGAATCATGATTAGTTTCTGAAATGGAAAAAAAATTTCTCGAGATTAGTATTAAAAATCATTTAATTTTTTAAAAATTTAGAAATTATATTGATAAATCAGATGAAACACGGATAGGTGGTAGAAAAGTCGTCATCGAATAACTCGAGAGTAGCAAATATGGTCATCATTGTCTCGAAATTCAGAAAAAAATCATTTAGAAGCCCAATAGAACTTACCATGACGAACGCAGAAATTGAAATAAAATAGAACCAACAAGAAATGTGAAAATACACGCTTCTACCAGGGAGCGAGTAAACGGAAAACGTGCATTTTTTTCGAAACGCATGCGTATTCAAAATTCACGTGGCAAATGAGTCAATTTTTCAGGGATCCTTCAATATAGTACGTTAAACGATGAATTTTATTTTCAAATCTTTTTTTTCAGATTCAAAATAATTATATAAAAATGGAATGGAAAAAATAATTATAAAAAATAACATAAACAAACATAGTTTACACACAGTAAACGGATAGAATGTAGAAAAGAAAAATTGGAAAGGCACTCGAAAATTCTCACCATACAATTTCCAAAGAATAGAATTTTCGCATAAAATAAAATAATTTTTCTGCAAATAAATAGATGAATGAATAGGTGTGTTTTCAAGACGAAAAAAAAGAATAAAAACCATTTTTCACATGATCACACTTGGCTCTGCAACTGATTTGGAGATTTCTTTGTTAGGTAAAACTTTCACGCCATTGAGATAAAGTTCATCATTAACGAGAACATCTTCGCCAAGTACACAATTATTTTCCATACGAACCTATTTGAATAAAGATTAATGAAACTTTTCACAATTATCTAAATTACACATACCCATTTGCCGATTCGACATTTCCAGCCAATGATACAAGAATCGAGCCAGCTATGAGCTCGGACAATCGAATTGCTCATAATAGTGCAACGTTTTATGCAAACACCATCTTCGATCACAACATTAGCACCGATCGAAACATTAGGTCCAATTCTACAATTTTGACCATATTTAGCTGTAGGATGGATGAGAACATTACCAACTATTCCGGGATTATTTGCACTGGGCAAAATATTTCTTGATTTCAACGAAGACAGATAAAGTCCTGTGCCTGTGATGAAATCTTTTGGCTGTCCAACATCCATCCAAAATCCAGGCAATTCAGAAGCATATAGTTGACCTTCAAAAGCCATCTTTGGAAAAATTTCCTTTTCAATTGAAGTTGGTTTTAGCTAGAAAGATTGTATTTGATCAATCAAAAAATGAATGTTAATGTGTGCGCTTTTAAATTACCTTAATTCGATTCAACACAGATGTCTGAAAGATGTAAATGCCTGCATTGATTTTATTCGAGACGAATTCCACTGGTTTTTCGACAAATTTTTCAATTTTTCCCAATTGATCATAAACGACCACACCATATTTTGAAGGCTCTTCTACTTTGGTGACGAGAATGGTTCCTTCGCTACCATGATTTTTATGAAATTCATATAATGATTTGAATGGAAATTCACAGATAACATCGCTGTTTAGCACAAAAAATGGCTCATCATCTTCAGATAGATATTCTCGTGCTAAAGCCAATGGTCCAGCAGTGCCTAATGGTTCTTCTTCCAAACTGAACGTAATTTTTATTCCTAACTGAAATTCGATTAGTGAAATGAATATTTCAAATCAATAAATCTAAACCAACCTCTTTGGCCTGTTTTCTGATACATTCTTCAAGCATATCGGCACGATAACTTACAGCCAGAATAATATGTTTGATACCGAACTCAACCAATGCATCGATTTGATGTAGAATCATTGGTTTATTACAGAATTCAACCAATGGTTTTGGTAAAGATAATGTTAATGGTCGAAGACGAGTTCCATAGCCACCGACAAGAATCAATGCCTTCATGATTTCACGGCTTTTTTTTTGATTATTTTTTCATAAAACAAAAACAAATTCTGATGATATGGAATAAATTAGCTGACAATGAAGGGTGTGTTCGTCGAATAATATCGGAAGCAAATGACATAAAAAAATTGTTTGGTCAGCAAATCTATTTTGATTATAAGCAGCGAGAAAAAAGTGAAACAGTTTGATTATGTTTGAGATACTTTTGATAAGGGTTACAGATAAATTTAGTATATTATGTCAACAAAAAAATTACTAACATAATATAACGGTTTATTGGTTGATAGAATGACGTGTCCGTTGTTCAAGATGTTAAAAATTGGCTGATTGTTTTTGTTCGGTATAGATTTTCAATCAATCGATGATGAAAAAGTATCTAAGCAAATAATTGATGGATTGTTCATTTTAGATTCATTTCATCAACAAAACATTTTGTTTGGATGTGAATTTTTGGAAATTTTCAACACGAAATTCATTAAAAATTGGTGATTATTATTGCCATGAAAACAAACATCAAATCAGATCCATACAATTTGTTCAATTGACAATAGGTGGCGATAAAAACGTCAACATAATCAAAAGAATTACCGAAAAAGCCAGACCACTATGTCGGATCATAATCAAAATGGTAGTGGCATTGAATTCGGTTGTCAGAATCCAAACCATCCAAGTGCACGTTCATAAAGGATAGGATAAACATTTAAAATTTTTCGCATAAAAATTCTTTTTCTTTTGTTATATTTTTTTAATAATTAAAAACTTTTATTATTTAAATTAACAAATAGAAAACGATATTTTGTATAACAAAATGAAGGAAGAAGATGAATGCAATTTCCGTTCAATTGTGTGTAGGTGCGTGGTTTGCATGAAAAGGGAGACAAGAAAGATTTTTTTTTTTGTTTGAATGGGTGTAATGGGCCGGATGAATCGTATATAGCTGGTTCTTCCGACAGATTCAGGAAACAAGAAAACAAAAAAAAAAACATTCAGGTGTGATTGTTGTTGTCAACGAAAAAAGAAAAATTCATCTGAATGTCAATGAACAAATGATAAATGCCCATATAAATGATGAAAGGGTCGATATAGTGATTGTAATCATCAAACATGATAAATGATGAACATTCAACGGTAATAGTATATTGCCATTTGAACGTGAAAATCGATTACGAACGCATAAATGTGATAGATTTGCATATTTAGCGCATTCACGTAGATATCCACGATTGAAAAGTTCCAGAATTTTTAACGAAAATTCAGCTGCATCTATATATTGGAAACAAAACACAAGAAACGTTTGGGTAGAGAAAAAAAAGATGAAATTTTTAATCAAAAAAATTTGAATAATTGACATTTTATAAATATTAAATAAACAACATACCTTTTCCACATTTATCCAAGCTAATATCATAGATGCAGTTGTGATAATTATGTAGTGTACTAACAAATAGATTAATAAGAGAAGAAAAAACAAATCCGGTTAAATTGAATCATCGATTTGGTCATTTTGGATAGAATGGATTAACAGGAATGGAAAACCACAAACACACACACACACACATGAACACGAATGCAGTATACTAAAGAAATATTATGATCCTCATCATTCTTATAAACAAAAAGATTCAACGATGGACAAAAGTGAGAAATGAGTATTTATTATCCAACATCAATATGACATCTCAATATATAGTGATGGTAACATGGTGATAATAATAATCATAATAAACCAAACAAAATCACTTTAGTTGAAATTGATGGCTAACTATTAATTATATTTAGTTTATAGCCTGGAAATAATAATCACTACACCAACCATTTACGATTTTTTCGATTCGAAACAAGAAATCGAGGATTTTTTTCTATTTCTTACCTTAAGAGAAAGTAATGTTGATATTGGCTGTGAAAATGGAAATGAAATTTATTCACTATATAAATGGACTCATACTGCGTGTGTACGTTTTTTCAAATACGAATTTCAACCAATAAATTCTACAACACACACACAAAGTTTGTACAATTAGATTTTTGACAAATGAAAAAAAATTCAATTTTTTCAACAAAAAAAAATCACTGATGAACAGAAAGAATCAGATAGTTTCGAGAAATGATTATTAGAAAAGAAAAGGGTAAAATTCTTTGAAAATATTCTTGATTTCAAACGAAAAAAAAATGCAGCACACACGAAAAAACTTTAAAATAATTTTTTTGAAAAAAAAATTATTTCTTAACAAGAATTGTGAATCAAAAAAATTTTAGGTCTCATAAACTAGATTTGGTTTTTTATTCTTATTTTCACTTGCATCGGATGATTGGGTGATGCCTGCCTAAACAACGATGGGTTCATTTTTTTCCTATCTATATAAATAAAATAGATAGAGATTCCAGAAGAAAAGAATGTAATGTACAAAGATAATTAAATGGAATGATCCAGAATTTGTAGGCAGCAAAAAAAAAGAAAAAAAATTTTGATTCGATTTTTTCCTTTTTGCTTGCTTGCTTTGTGTGTGTGTGTTTTCATTATCAACATCACCATCATCATGGCTAATAGTTAATGTGTAATGGAAAAAGAGTGAGTAAGAGCGAGAAAATAATTCACACTCGAATGATTTGATTGTTGCCATAAAACAAAAATTTTTTTTTGTGTGTGTCTGGGTGTATAAAACAACGACAATGATGATGATGACAACCAACAAAGAAACAATATGACGAATTATGATTATTATTTTTCAGAGAAAAATCTTTTTTTTTGTGTAAAGTTCATGATGCTATTACATTGTAGATTATTGTTTTCGTTTTTTTTGTTTTGTTTTGTTCAACACATCATCATGTGACGATGATATCCGAAACAACAAACAAACAAATTGTGAAAGAAAACATGTTGTTTTTCACATCAACCAGACAAAGGTTACATACAACTATCAAAGTCATTATATCATCATCAATATATTTTGTTTTGATATGAGAGAAAAAGAAACAAAATAAGACTTTTAAATGTTTGCATTTCGAAAATGAATAAAATTGTCAATCAAACACACACACACACACACACAAACACAAACAGAAAACAAAAAGATTCAATGCACCGAAAATTATAATAATTGATTTTTTTTTCATTTTCATTCTCTCGTCATTATTGTTTTTTGTTTTGTTTGCGTACACCAATTTATTCTTAATTATTATCTAGTCTAGATTCTGTAGAACAAAAGAATCATGTACAGAAATGATATTGTTGTTGTTGTTATTGTTATCAACCCCCCTTCCCACACACACACACACACACACAGACATTACATACAACTTATTTGTAACAACAACGACAATAGAAGAAAAGTATAGGATTTGAAATCCGGTAAATTTAATTAATTCTCATTTTTATATACGAAAAAAAAACATTTTTTTTTGACAAAACAACAAAATAACATTAACAATGTCACCAAGTTGAATGAAATAAATAAAAACGGATGTAATCAAAAAAAAAAAAAAAAGACAAAAACAACAGAATAAAATAAGAATATTTTATTTTTTTTTCTACTTCAAAAATAATACCAATGAGCTTTTCTTTCGTTCACTATGGGAGTATTGTTGTCGATATATTCCGGATAAATTTTTCTAGTAGGTACAGCTAATGAATATTTTTTTTTGTCTTTTTTGTTGTTGTTTTCGTGTTGTTGTTGTTGTAATGTAAACAAATTAATCGTACATTCTTGAAAAAACATGAAATAAAAGACAAAATAGCAAAACTCTTTGTCCAATTTAGTGAATAATGAATGAAAAAAAAATCAACAAACACGATACTGAATAGCTGGAAAAATGATGATGATGATGAAGAAAAAAAAATAAATTGAATTATAAAATTTTAATGTTTACATTTTCAATGTTTATTTATGATGACCTATAAATCTTCTGTAATCGCAACCAGACAAAATCGTGTAAGTTTGCTTTGTTTGATATACAGAAAAAAAAAATTTGAAAAATTGAAAATGATCAAAACACATTGTAATTGTGCCGGAGAGAAAAAAAGAATGAAAGAAAATTTCGACATTATTCACACACTTTTTTTTGTTGATTTGCTTGGTTATGATTGTTTTTTTCTAGATGGAAATAATAATGATAAATTCCCATTGTCATTCAAATTGTCAAAATTCAAATCATTATCATTGGATTATTATTATTATTATTATCAACTAATACTATATGCCACAGTGTGTGTGTGTGGGTGGATGTCTGATGAAAATTTTTTTCCATTTTTTTTTTTTTTTTGAGAGATGACACCCGTTTTTGTGTCTGTAATAATGTTTTTTTCATATCAAGTTTTGTCTTCAAAAATATTCATCATTATTCTTTTGATTCATCATTTGGTAAACACATTCATTCATTGGTAACCACACCCACCTAGACACACACACAGAGAGAGAGAGAAAGAATGAAAAATACGTTTATGAAAAAAAAGTGAATGAATGAATAATGATGTTGACAAAAACATTGAATTTTCATGATGATAATAACACAATGTTGATGATATCTGACCTATACATCTGAATTAATCATTTATATCTGACAAAACCAGTATAGTGTTGTATATGGCAGAAAGAGAAATGGAAATATAAAAGTCAAATGTATTGGATAGATTAATGAAAAAAAAAACATATACCAGAAAGGATTATTATATTCGTATATTTTGATTTGGGATATGTTTTCTCTCTGTAGTTCTATTCCATTAAAGTTTTGTTTTCTAATGAAACATTAATAATCAATAATCTACCCAAACTACTAAATAGATAATAAATGTGTTGAAATAGAAGGGAAATTTTACAGCAAGACTTCTATTTCGTTTCACAAGCAAAATTCATAAAAAATTAACGGGTTAAGCGGAATTTTACTGTACATTGAAAATGGGCCTGCTGGCTGCTGGTAGTGAATATAAATCACCACTAAAAATTCTATAGATTTTTTCTAAATTTTCCAAGATGAAAATAACGAAAATCTTTCGGTATTGTCAAATATGCAATTTGAAATTGAAAGAAAAAAGATTCGATTTTTGAATATTTAAACACGGGAAAAAATGGAGAAACTGAATGAAATGAGACTGAGACTTACCAGCAATGTTCAATAAACTGTTCCAATATGGTCGAATTTGAGCCATTTTGTGTCATTGTATTACCTTGATTCATTGTTAAACATCGATCAAATTCACCACGATATTTCTTCTGACATGGACCTAATGTCAAATAATCTAATTATAATCAGAATATAAGTGAGAAAGAGAGTAAATGCGATTAGTTTTTTTTCTTTGCTTATTTAGTAAATACATCAATGCATGAACTGAAAAGATTGATCACCTTGTTTAAATTTAGGATTATTACATAGTTCCATGGTCAGTCCTAATGGTCCTTCAGACATTTGATCATAAAAATCGGCGGTCATTTTTGAATGTTGAAAATTATCATTGATGCACATTTTACGATAATTATTAAAACATTGTACAGCTCGATTTAATTTTCTATAGAAACAAAAAAAAGAAAAAATTGAATTACCACTGCAATCATAAATCATTGCCTTTCACATCATTGATGAATCATAATTTAACACTGAATATAATATTACTTCCTATCACTATATTGTCTGCTGTATTCTATTCTATTTTGTTTTTCATTCGGGATGAGTTCAATTTTTTAATCTTTTTTTTCCAAAAATTTTCTGTGTGAATTCAAATCATCATCATCATCAACAAGACAGTATCATCAATGATGATGCCGAAAACGATTTTTCCAAGTCTTTTTATGTTGAAACTTTTGGAGCCGAGTGGTACAATTTATCATTCTCTCTCTCTCTCTCTCTCTCTCGCTGTATCTTTTTTGTACTTTCAACAACTCATAAATAATAAATTTTCAATGATTGATTGATGATCAAATTGTTCCAAACAAAAAAAACAAAAAAAAAATTATCGATCACCAAAAATGGTAATCATTAACTCATTAGATAAATGAATAATTCTACCACTATTATTGCAACTTCTATTATGGGATGCGCATACAAGAACAAATAGCGGATGGGCAATACAAACAAAAACTTTTTTCTGGTAACAAAACAAAAACAAAATGACAATCATTCAATTCGATGATTATCATTGAATGGAGATCAAAAGCAAAATAGTAATGGTATTGATTAGAATCCATAAGATTATTTCGAAATTTCCGCCACTCATTCATTCATTCATTCATTATATTTTTGTTCAAGAAAGAAGAAAACAAAACGATTGATCATCAGAACCGAAAATCAAAACAGAATCAAAAAAAAATTACCCAAATATAGATATGATGATGAAAATAATCTAGCTATATCTATTTGAGACTAGAATACTAAATAATCTAAGAATAAACCTAAAAGAAAAATGTGCTGAGATTGCAAAGAGAGAAAAACTGAAAATAATTCGCTTTTCATGTTCTCATCAGCAACATTACCATCTTGGTTTCATTTAGTTGTTGTTGTTGATGCTGGTGCTGGTGCTGTTATTATTATCATCATTATTACACCGGAGAATGACCTAATGATTCTTGTTTATCTTTGGTTAAAATTACTATATTGTCTCCAGGGTCTGTATATATATTTGGGTTGTCCCTAGTGATCACATAGCATAATGATAATAATCATCATCATCGTCATCATCGAAATTGTAAGAAAAAAAAAATGAGTGAATGGATATCATAGCAATTAAGATGAAAATAGTGAATTTTGTATGATAGAAGCGATTTGCATTAAACAACACAAAAATATATATATTTTAACGTAAGATTTATACTTACACACAAATATGTTCAATTTTATCACTAGAAAGATCATAGGATAGATTATGTGATAATGTTGCTTCACGAAACATTTTTGAACATTGTTTTATATCGCCACATTTAAGCTGTTGAGCATTTGCCATACCAAACATCCAAATCATCGGTGATGATGATAATGATATAGGCTCATATAGTTGTTGTTGTTGTTGTTGTTGTTGATAATCATTGTTCATTATTATTAAATGATTAGTTCCGGTGATCATTAAATCAATCAATAATCGATTAATTATATCTAAAACGTATAAAAGGAAAAAAATGAGGAAAAAAATAACAAGAAAAATGATAATTTAATTTAATTTTTTTCTTGCTTTTCAACCAAATATCGATCAAATTGTGATTGAATCAAATTAAAAGAAAAAATTGAAAGGAATTTCACACACACACACAAACAAAACACAGATCGGTGATAATGATAATGATATCTTTCTATCTACGAAACTCAATCTATTTATGTAAGACAGGCGTGTGCGTGTTTGTGTGTTTGTGTGTGTGTGTGTGTCAAACACAGTTTTTATTTTCAAACAAGCATCGAATTCAATTTAAAAAATTAATTTTCCTTCGTTTTCTAGTCTTTTTTGTACCCACACTCATTTTCGTTCCCTCTCTCTCTCACACACACTAACAATCACTGAAGTTTGATTTTTTCAAAAAACAAAAAATTTTGTCCAAATGAATCTCAAATGTTCAGCGCCAAAGGCTGTCGATGTGATTGTATACAGAGATTGTGTGGATATTGCAAGATAACAAATTGGCTATATGAAAAAAAAATTAAAAACGACGACATTTTTTTTTCATTCTGTAAAGCCAAAATACTATCGTTGAATAACGAAGTCAACATTGAACAGATACACACACACACATATAGTGAGAGAGAGAGAGAGATAGTTAGACAAGCAAGCAAATACTGATCAAATAATTCATTATTGAATAAAACATTTGTCAATGTATTATGTTTTATGGTGGTATAGTTTTTCAACAAAAAAATCTTTCACAAATGAATTTCTAGTTTTCCATCGAAAAAAAAAGACCGATTGATAACATAGTTATTGAATATGTGGACATGTAGAATATTTCATTTTTTTTATTATTTAAACAATTTGAATTCAATTCTTTCATCATTTGGATCTATAAAAAATGGTGAAATAATCATGAGAAAAACAAACAAACATACAGAATATATGTTTATTACATACGTTTTGTAGGGAGAAATAACAAATGAAATAGTGAGACAAACATATATGCCAGAACATCATCATCATCATCATCATCACAGCGGGCAAAAAAGGAATTTTCTCATTCTCATGATTACTATGATGGTAACAAAAAACACCCACACCGCTGCTATAGACAAAAAAAAACAGGAACTATACGCCAACTTCAAATACATAAACATATATTCACTTCATTTCTCACATCTACATCACCATCAAATATTCAGTGTAGATAGTGTCGAAAAATTTGATTAAAAAATGAGCTTTTTTCAATAATATAAATTGGACTTCATAACACAATCATAATAATAATACATTTCGATGAATCATCGTGCTGTGCAAACGACAATTCATTCATTCATTCATTCATTCATTTACACATTGTCATCAGATATATTCATTCAATAATAATGAAAATGAGTCTGTCTACTGTTTACAAACAACATTGCAGCAGCGAAGCCAAGTGAAGCCAATAAGCTAAAATGTAACGGTAGATAGGATATTTTTCTTTTATTTTCTTCTGGGCTCTACCTGATGATCAAGTGAAATTCATTATTCTGGCTTAGTTTTTCATCATCATCATCATCAGTTATGTATTCATAATGGATATGGTTTTGTCATGAGTTTGGAGCGAATTGATAATAATAACAACAATTTGATGTTTACACACACACATTGATTGGTAGTTTTTCTCTCACATAAGAAACCTTGAAGGCTTTTTTTCGTATTTATATTACTAGTGAATTGTTCTATTAGCTTTTGTTGTCGTTGTTAGAATTACATTGACAATATCAATGATGATGATGACGGTGATGACGGTCGTTTTACAATTTATTCATTACCATCACTCATCATCATCGAAACAAAAATAGAGATTATAATTAAATTACACAAACATCATTGTTGTTGTTATACACATCTGAACAATAGATCTACCACTATTTCCCATTCAATTCCTGTTTAATTAATGGATTTGAATTTTTTCTACATTTCATCATTACAATTCGCAAGATAATGACATTTGAAATTATTATTATCAAAAAGATTTAAAGTGAATCTGTACAATGAATTTGAAAGAATTTAAGAGAGAAAAAACAATCATATGACCAACAAGATCAAAATGATTCAATAATAGTGAGTGTTTTTATTCCAAAATAAATCTGATTGTGAAAAATCCTACCATTTTTTCTAGTGATGATCATTATAATTTGGAAAAAAAGGATCTTTACTTTCAAAAACAAAACAAAACAAAACCAAAAAAAAAAAAAAAAACAACTCACATCATTACACATCAAATAAATTTCGACAGTGAAGCCTACATTTCAGGGGTTTTCTGTTTATGTGGCTTTGTCCATTGTGTATACGTACGTTGAAGATGATTGAAATTTTATGTAAATTCCTTTCAATAATCAATTTTATATTTATGAATAATAAAAACATGAAGAGAATATTTTATTTTTTATTTTTATGGCCACTGTAAAAAATAATACCGTTAGCCAATAATTCCAATGCATAGTGTGAGAATAATATTTGCACTTGGTATTTTTCAATAAAAAAAATAGTATAGACACTTGTTTCAATAAATCCAAACCCACACACACACACAAGTTTTCACTTGATTTTTAAAAATGATAATGGCTATGGACTATCATGTATGATGAGAAACAAAAACAAGAAAATTTTTGAATGATCCGATTGAAGATGACTATGGTGACTATTTGAACAAATAATCTTGTGATGTGATAAAACAAAAAAAACAAAATGCCCAAAAGGTATTTTTTACACTAAAGTTCTGGACTAACAAAAACAACGGATGATGGCTATATTGATTCATTGCGAATGTATCAAGTCAAGTAATCAATGAGAGAAAACAAAAAACAAATTCACAAAAAAAGAATATAACCTGTCTTAACAAGCTAAAGGCCAAGGAATAATGAATAATCTACCGAAATCGACAAACTATTGAAATATGTACAAAATGAAAAAGATGTAAACTAAAACGTGTTATTTATGTGTAAAGAACCAAATCAAAAAAGCTCATTTATCGTTGTTAGTATATAGGAAATGCACAGTAGATAAACGTTATTCATAATTTGTTCAATCGTAACAAGAATCGTAGAATCGTGAACTATTATTCATGGTTATTATGTTATTAGAAATGAAAGGAAACATTCTCAGTCGTTTTTTTTGTTTTCGTTTTGCTCACCACACCTTTTTTATGTTTCTTTGTTTTGTTTCATTTTTTAACTTCAAAATTTGTACTAACAAAAAATCATTCAGTCATTAGTGATTCGTATTCAAAATGACTATATTATTATTAGCCTACATCATGTCATCATCACCCAATCATTATTATGATGATGATTATTAGCTTGTGTTATATATCATTGATCCAGTAGCAATTGAATGAATATAGAGGATTTGTTCTGATTTAACATGGAAAGAGAGAGAGAAACAAAAAAACCAGAAAACCAGAAACCATGTTCATGTCGTAAAAAGTCAAGTTTACCTTATCAATCATGATTATCATTAGAACAACAAGACAGTGAGAGAAAGAAAAAACGGATTACCATGAACTATGTAATAGCTAAAAAAAATGATACAATCCAGAATGAGTGAAAGAAAATTAATTTCAATTATTTTTTCTTTTTGCTACTAACAAATTATAAAGATAGTTTTTTTTCCCAAAAAACGATTCATGTCTGTGTGTTTTCTAGTTATAGATGAACTAGATGAAAAAATGAAAAAAATGAAGAGTGTGAAAACATACATTGATTGAATATATTTTCAAAAGACTCCAGACAAAAACTTTGTTGTTGTAGATTATGGTAACATTGTCTAGATATGATTTTTGAAATTTCATTTTAATAATCACCAAAACAATGTTAAATGAGTGATGAATAATTTTCATTTCATCTTTGCACTAACTTAACAATGTAGAATGAAAAGTAAATTTAAACAAAAAAGAAAAATTCAGAATCCCAAGGAAAGAAAAACCTCATGAGTATTTGAATTTTGGAATATTCAATTGCACTCAATTCAATGTAGAATAATGATCAAATTAAATGGTGTTTTTGTCTCTGTTTATAATTTTTGACATTTAAAACATTCCTGTCTATCTACACATTGTTGATGACTGGATAATAATTAAAACTATATTTCAATTTGGATATTTGTCCCAAATACCAGTCACATTGATTTGTTTGAAATCTGGAATGTTGTCCCATTTGTAATTATGTTTTGTTTTTGTTGTTGTTGTTGTTGTTTTTATTATTAATCAGTTGGCAACTGATCACATATGGATTATATGATTTGTAGCAAAATAAGCAGACTATAACATTATTGAAAATCATCATAGGGATATTTTGATGAGAAAAAAAATATGTATGTTTCATATATTGATTGGTCATTCATTATCGAAAAAACAATAACAACGACACAATAACGCAGTAGACAATTTTTTCTCTCATCATCACATATCATACAATGGAAATTCTCGCTGACGACAATGACAATGGACACACAATCTCTACATACATCTCTAGATTTAGCCAACAGCCTTTTTTGTGAAATGATGACGATGATGATTATCAGAAGTGTTTGTGTATGATGCCGTGTGAAAGTCGCAAATTTATTTTACTTTTCCCTTGCGCGTTCTATTTTTTTATTATTATAGCCAAGTTATTTGTCACCATAACGACGTGATCAAGAATTCGAGAATTATAGAAGCGAAAAAAAATACTGAGCTTGACAAAATTGTGAAATGAGAGCAGCAGCAGAAAAAAAAAATTTTGTCCCATCAATTTTTTTTCTCTCTTCTTCATTGTCATCATTGTTGCTGTTGTTTTTTTTTATCACCATCGGATGATTAATATTATATAGATGGATACGAAATTCAACGAAAGGCTAACACACACACACACAAACTAATCAATTTGATTCTAGGAATAAAATACAACGAAAAAAAAAAAGAATTTTCAATCGCCAAATCCTTTGGGTAAAAGAGTAAAAACGAAAGAAAAGATGAAAAATAAAAAATTACACTGAATAAAAAAAACAATTTCAGATTGTGAAACTAATTTAAATATGAATTTTTATCTCGAAAAAAAAATTTGATACAGTCGAAATTTTTACAATTTTTAATTGCTTTCGCTTAACATTTGTTGTTTGGTTCGGAATTGAAGTAGTAAAAAAAAACCAAATGAAATTCAAATGTCAGTATCGTTTCTCTTAATGAAATAAAAACAGAATGCAATGGATTTGTTATGAAATTTTTCGCATTTGCATTGTGTGTGATGAATAAGATTATTTCATGAATATAAAACAAACAAACAATCATCATCATATATAGAACGGATATAGCGCCTGCCGTGTGTCTCTTTGTGTGTGTGTGTGTGTGTCAATCAATTGTTATGGTTCATGCTGTGTGCATATAACCATGATGATCTAGCAAATTTATCTTTCTGTTTTCATTCTCTCTCTCTCTATATTCTGCTTTAAACATTTGGACACTAATAATAGAAACAGAAAAAGTACAGAATAAGAATTCTGTATATAATAAAAAAACGAAACGAAAACAAAATTGAAAACAGAATCCAGAACCATTCTTAAAACGCACAATGAGAAGAAAAAAAAACATCAAAATGAATCGGAACTACAAACGAAAAATACACATAATGCAGAAAAAGATTGAATGATCATAAGTAGTATGTGGAACAGAAAAAAAAACAAAAACAAATGAACACACACACACACACATATTTCCGTGATAAGCAGATTTAATACACCAAAATCCGGTAATAGAAAGCTTTAAATAGAGTGGAGAAGAAGGAAAAAATGAATTGATTGAATGAATGAATGAATGAGTGAAAGTACCGTATGTTGTTGTACAGCGTTCACTTGTAAATGAAACAAAAACAAAAATGGTGTTTAATTCAAATGAATAAAAATTGCACAAAGAATGATCATAGAATTGTAATGTAGAAAAAAAAAGATTCTCACGATTGAGAAACTTTATCTATATTGTATACAGGAGAGAGAAAATTTTTCAACAAAAAAAAAATCAAGTTTAAAGTTTAAGAAATCTCATCAATTTATTCATCATCATCATCATCAGTGATTCAAAGTCGGATTCCTCTCATCTTGTGATTATTGCTAAAATCCTGTTACATTGAGACTTTAATACCCTTATATGCACACACACACATATGCAGAATGTCAACAAAAAAAACTGTATATATAGCTCCCAATCTTGAAATCAAAAGTATCTGATTTATTTTCATTTTCCCTATTGAAATAATCCAAATAACAATAACAAGAAAAAATACTGTAAAGTGAATAATGGAAATTTTTTTTTTCGTTCATTTTTTTCATTTTCAATCACACTTTACTTTGCACACATTATTATTCAAATGAAACATTTTTTTTCGATTTGAAATGCAGATTGAAATTTTTTTCATATTCCACTAGATCAATGTCTCATGTTTTTTTTTTCTTTTCATATACATTGTTATTTCATTTTTTTCGTATGAATTTTTTTTAAATATTTATTTGTTTTGATTTATATTTATTTGCAAACAAAATTCCAAATGAAATTCATCATTTCTAGAGATTTGATTTGTCAATTAATTTTTTTTCTGAATGACAATAATACGATCATTACACGATTCGAATGAATTTTGGTGATAAGAAATCTAAACAACAATTATTCGTTCAACTACAATATGATAATCATCAATGAATGAATCACACACAATGCATATAACAAACCATTTTGAATTGAGCAGCAATAATAATAAATTTGCCATTTAGATTACACAAACAATGTGTACATTATTAGCCATTCAATATTGTGCTTACGATGATTATCATCAACAAGAGAATAGCGGAATCATATCTCTAGAATTCTTTTCTTTCTCATATTTGCTTCGTAACACTGCTTGTTTGTCGAGAATTATTATCACGATGATGATGATGATAATCGGAAATGTATGCCACAGCCGCTAAACCAAACAATTGGGAAAAACGAAAAAAGATGTTTATATTATATGTGTGCGTGTGTTTTATATGATGTGACCAAATAATATAATGATGATGATGATGATGATCTAAAAGCCGTTATAAAGGGAGATTGTTGTTGGGTGCCTAGAACTCATCGATCTATCGATCAAATCAATCGATCGAATTCAACACCCGTAAAAAAACGTTGAACATCATTATGTTTGTTTACGTCTGTTTATAGTTTGTTTTTCGTTTTCTCTCTCTTTCTCTTTCTCTTGGTTTTCAAATGCTAAACAATGGCTGATATGTATGTATTGTATTGTAAAATTATGGATGAAGGTTCAGTTCAAAATGTTTGTTCGCTGTTGTTGTTGTTGTTTTATTGCTGTTTTTCAAATAACTAGTTCACTTTGAAAGTTTTTTTTCTTCCGTTAGCAGAAAAAGACATTCATTCTTTTCTTCTTTGAATAATAATGATAATAGAATATATATTGATGCACGAACAGATCATTGAATTCATTGATATTGATTATTATTGTATTTCTATTTCCTCTCCCCCTAAAAACAAATGGTAAAAAAAGTCAAAATTGAAATCAATTTTATTGCAAAAATGCACGAACTTTATCTATTTTTTTCATCATCATTGTTGTTGTCGTCGTCGTCGTCGTTACCTACTTTTACTTTTTTTCGTTTTTCACGGTAATTCCTGAGATATATTAGATTTTACTCCATACAAAAACTTTGATTTTTAATCGTAGAACCAACGAAAAAAAACCAACCATATTTTTTCCATTACTACAAATGGTAATAAGAAAACGGGTGGTTGAATAATAAGAAAAAAAATCTCCGAAAATGAAACGAAAAAAATTTTCCATTTCCGAAAAACATAAGTATATTTTTTCGAGTAGGACAGAAAACTTTTTTTAACTGTTCAAAAGTTTTACAATCATCATAATAAAATGTAAACAAAACAATCTGATTCTCATCATCATTTAATAAGTTAAGTAATAATGTCGTTATATTATTTATCAGAGATCAATTTAATAACAATGAAATCGATCCACCCATTCAATAGCAATAGTGATTCCAAGATATTGGAGAAACAACAACGACAAAAAATAATTAAATATTTCATGAAAATTCTATATTTAGCGATTACGCCCCCATTTTTCATTCCTGGAACACATTACTAGATAGCCTGGCACACATTCTTACATTATTGATGGGAATGATTTTTTTTTCTAGTCTTTCTTCGTCATCACCATCAAACAAGCGAAAACATTCAAGTTTCTTCAAACTAACTAGGACATCGTCATTATTGGCTGGCGGCCATATAATCATTGAGAATAAACAAAAAAGTTATCGAAACTTTTGAAAAACAAGAAAAAACGAATGGCCAGTTTCATTGGGCCGTGAACAAAAAAAAAAAAAAGAATAATGTGAAATTTACCGAAATTATTTTTCTTCTTCTTCCTCATTATTATTATTATTCGGTTTTGTTTTGAATTGTTTGTCTGTGTGTCTTAAGTTGTGTGTGTGTGTTTGAGTGGAAAAATAAAAATTGATGATGATGATGATGAAAATAGGACTTGTGTACGATGTTTGTGAATCAAATCATCATTTATATTGTGGGGAGAGTTGAAAATTGTTTTTTGTTGTTTATTTTTTTTTCATTTTTATTTACTGGAGATTTTTTTTTCTTCCATTTACTTTACACACACAGACACAAAACTAAGAAAGTGTGTTATGTGTGGTTGCCGAAAAAAAAAAAACAAAATGATGATGACACAAAGCCAATCGGCAGGCAATGATGATGATATACCATATAACAAAATCAGTTGTATTAACGAGAAAAAATTAAATTCCTAACGACACTAATAAGAAATAAATTTAGTAACAAATTCACTTTTTATCACTTGCGTGTGCATGTGTAAAAAAATAAAATCCATACGTGTGACATTTTTATTCTGCAAAAATTTGTATATATAATCGATAGAAATATTTAACTATTGATTTAGGTCATTATCAATAATCATCATTATTGCTATCATATTTCAATTGGATATTTGACACTTGTAACGTCAACAATGGTCATCGTTGATTTTCGGTTGTTACAAAAAACACAAAGAATGAAATTGGATATTTTTCTTTTCATTTGAACACTGCTTTCCAATGGCAAATGGTGTTCATTTTCGCCACTTGTAATGTAATAATCATCATAGAGTCACATATATAATAACATTATAAATGATGAAAGGAAATTCGAGAACTACACAACAATCATCAATCCAGTCAATTGATTTATTATATTATCGGATAAAATCAATTTATTATATTAGAACGAAAAAGTATTTGATCGTTATATTTAACGTCGCGTCTCTATATATTCAGGTGTTCATTTTTTTGTGTGTGTGTGTCTGCGTAAAATTCAATTGCTCCAAGGAACCAAGGTATGATGCAATCGAATGATAAAAGCCGACTACGGCAACAAACAACAACAACGACGACGACGACGACGAATATTCGAAATAAAATCGATTTCTGCCAAATGTCTGCATTTAAACAATTTAAAAGCCCATTTTATTGTGTTATTAGTAATGATGAATGTGATTTCATTTGTCATACTATATTTATAATGGCAACGTCGGATTATTTTCGCGGAATGTTGGATCAAACAGAAGATGAATATGAATATGGTGAGATAAAAAATGGTATCGACTATCGACGAAAGATTCCAAGGTAAATTATTATTACTTATTTCTTTCATCTCAAACTTTATTTTTTCTCTCATCCATTTCCCCGTAGGATTTATGTGAAGCGATTTGATAGCCATTCATTGGAATCATTCATCAAATTTGCCTATATGTTACGATTGGATCATATTGATTCGATAATGATGAAAAAGTTACTTGAATTTAGTTCATATATCAACTGTATAGAAATGATGAATTATTTGGAAATGAAAAGTAAAGAATTCAATCTACACTGAGCTGAGTATAATAAAGCTGGTTGAAGTGTGCATTCAATTGAAAAATAAATAAAAAAAAAAAAAAATTCCAGATAAAAAAATACAACTCTTGTTGATGATGATAATTTCACCGTCACACTCATATTTCTTGGACAATATTTTGAAATCCGGAAATGTTCAACATTCTACTATCGTAAACAAATTGATGAAATGTTGAAACATAGGAATTTTCGATTGTTAATGACATAATGATATTCTCATTCGAGAGACAACAAATGGATAGTGAGCAGTGACGACGAATACAAGTTTTAATTTCATTTCAGCTTCTGTAGCATTTTTAAAAGCACAGGATCATTAATTGTTGAAAACATTGTCTATATATATTGAGAATCCGTTTATAATGGATTCGTTTATCCTACTCATTCCGATTCTTGTGAATCATCACCTATTTTTTTGTATTCTTTCAATGTTTCAATATAAAATGAAAAACGATAAAAATAAAACCTTCAATAGACCAGCGAAAAAAACTGGAGCAGTTTATTATTCGGATTAATTGATTTCAAAATCGTTCATCAATAGAGAGATAGAGAATAAATTACAAACAAACAAACAACAACAACAACAACAAATGCTATTATTACTTTTCTTAGCAGCAGTATCTTAATCATTTTACTCTTGTGTTCATCGTCTTCATTGTCTTTTTTTTCAATTGTCAAAAAGAATCAAATCAATTTTTTTTCGTTGTTTGTTTGCTAAAATAGATTGAATGGATGATTGGATGGATTTTTGCACTTTATTATTTCTTCAATTCATTGATTTGGACTGATTTTATCGATCCCTCCCATTAAATAAAAGATAAAAGAATGAACAAGAAAAAAAAACATAAAGTGAACATTTCGAAATCAATTCACTTGATTCATTCATTTCTACAAAATAAAGAGTATTCGATGACTAATAATGACAATACATTGTAATTTTCTGTTGTTTTTTTTCAATTAAGATCATAATCATAATCATCATTATGGTTATTATTTTAAAAATATTATAACTCTGAAAAAATGATAAAACTCCAGGTGTGTGTGTGTGTGTGTGTATGTTTGCGTCTGTGGGCAAAGATAAAGTATAACTTTAATTTCAAAACAATAATAACGATTCATTTCATTCACTCTGCATCATCATCATAATACATGACCATAAATAGAAAAAAATGCTTGCTTGCTACTAATGTGAATGCAAAGAAAATTAAAACAAAAACTCAATGACAATCATAATATAATGAGAGTGAAAAGAGAAAAAAAACTCCCCATAATATACGATAATGAGCTTAAAAAATTGTAGAAATGAAAATGAAAATTCTTTGTGACAAGAGAGTAGATTCTCATGCTCATGTATAAAAGTAAGTTACTTTGGTACACACAGCCAGAACAATATTAGCCATACACAGAATGCTAATGTTAATCTAAAAAAGCTCATTTTTTTCACATTTACACAATTCACACAAGCTAGAAAACTAAAATATCATCCATTGCTGTTGTTTTTTTTTGCTCTCTGTCTCTATCGCACAGTGAATAAATGGCCTGTGTGTATATCACCACATTGTAGATGTGAATACGTAGAAAAAAACGACAACAAAAAAACCAGAATCCAGAACAAATGTTCTGTAATGGATAGAAAATGGAATTTTTGTTGTTGTTGTTGTAGAGAGAAATAAATATTTAGCTATATGAGAAAATGTAACAAAAAAAAAAAACAAACAGAACAAACAAATAAATGTGTTTGTTTGAAAAGCTAGCAATGCTAAATGTATGATGATGATGATGATGATGATGACTAAATTTCTGGTGACCAACATTTTGGTCTCTGATACACATTCACACACACACAAACAAACATATGAATACACAAACACACAGAATGATTGTGTGTACGTTTGGGTGAAGTTACGAAAAATCATACATAACAACAAACAAATAACTTCAAAGTGTTTGAATGATAAAACAAATACAAAGAATAACCAGGGTGTATTGAGAAACAAAAATGACAACATGAACATCATAAATCTGAATTTAATGATATGAATTCTTATGTGCATGTTTAAGGAGGAATGAAAAACAAAAACAAACCAAAATTGCTGTGAAAAGAATTCAAAGAAAACAACAAAGAATCTCGACATATATGCACCGGGTATAGACAGAGAGAATAATATGGTAATGGCCATCTTGACCACAAAACAACCATAAACCATCAGCAGCAGCAACATCAACTACCAGACTATGGTGTGGTGTGGTCACGGTTGACAAAACATTTTATATGGATGAAAAAAAAAATGAAAACAAAACAGATAATATCTAGATAATTTGAATTCGTGCTCAGTTCATAATGAAATCACAAATGACCAATGTGATATTGTAATGGACCAAAGTTGCAAATTCTATACAGTTTTTTTTTTAGTTTCCATTTATAACTATTTTTTCATTTTTGCTTGACTTTTAATGATAATTGGCCCAGCTGCTGAAAAAAAAGTTGAAATTCACATTTTTTTCAATCGCTGCTTTTTTGTTTCTCCTGTTTTGATCGTTTGAATGTATCGAATGTGAAATTGGTGAAAAAAGGTGCAAATTGTCACTCGAATCAGACACACATGTGGAAAATTCCCATAAACAGTATCAATCTGAATTCAGAGATTATTATTGTATTTTTGGGTATGACAAATTTTTTTAATCATTAAAAAATAAAGATCGTAAAAGTGAAAAAAATTTTTGTTACTGTGGACAAGAATAAAATCGAGGTAGGTTCAACGAAAATAATCAGCATATTTTGGCCGAACAAATATAGAAAAAGTTAACGACGATCAGCAAGGAAAAAAATCTAATCAAAATTCATTTCATGAAACCTCATCATTATAGATATTCTCGTTTTTCCTGTGAAAAAAAACGAAACAATTCAACTACTACTTGACTGACAAATTTTTTTTCGAGTCGTTGTATACAATAATGATAGGGTTTATTTCAACAACAACAAAAAAACAACATGAGAGAAAGCAAAGTATATCAGTAGTAGTTAAGTGATTATTGAGATTTATGGGTAAAATGAAATCGGTAAAAAATTATAATCAAAAGAGAAATAGAAAAATCAATCAGATCAGATCATTGATTTTATTGATATTATTATTTGAGATAAATAAAAAAACAACTTACCTATTAGAATGAGTGTTTGTATGATGAAACTTAATGTTCGCCATGGATGCCAAAGATGGTTGAGCATAAACATTGATGATGTTAATGTTCGACAATGATAACATGGATAAATACGTTTAGTAGTGGCTATTTTAACATTATTATCATTATTACCACCACTATTGCTTTTAATCATTGAATTTTGACGCTGCTGCTGTTGTTGTTGTCGTTGATGATGAAAAAATTTTCCATTGAAATCATAATGATGATAAAATGATTGTTGAATTGATTGATTAAATAACATTTTTCACAATTTCTTTGACTTTTTCACACAAAAACAAAATGCCAATCAAGACAAAAAAGTTATAAAACATATAACACAGGGATATTTTATTTTAAGAATTAATCACAAATGATGATGATGATAAAGATAAGAAAGAGAAAAAATCCAACAATTAGATCCGATTAAGATGATGATGATGATGAAGAAACAAACAAACAAACAAGAAAACAAGAAAACAAATTATTTTTCTCTTGGCTAATGACAAGAAATGATTTCTGATTTTTTTTCAATTAGTTTTCTTTCGAATTCTTCTGATTTCAATGATAAGATAATATTAAATTTCGAAATATAAATGAAAAGAAAAACCATTGAACCTTGCAGCAAAGAAAAAAAAATTGTTTGACGATCAGCAATTTTATTTTATTGCGTAGGAAAAAAAAAAAAGATCTTCAACACATGACTTCTGAAGAATTTGGGAATTCAATGAAAAAACATTCGAACTGAATTCTAATGAATCAATAGTGTAACGTAGTCGTTGTCATTGAAAGAGACAAAAAAGAAGATGATGATGATGATGATGAAGAAGAAAACCATCACTTTTTTGTTGAAAATTTTTCAATTGAAATGAAATTTTTATTCAAACTCATGATTCACAATTGACATGATTGAATTGAATTGAATTGAATGAATGAATGAATGAATGAACAAAATTCATTTCTTATCAACTAACACAGACCAAACAGGGAAAAAAACATACAGGAACAGGTTCATTGATCAATGAACAAATTCATCTGTGAATATATTATACCTATACTATCGATCTTTCAGTGAATAATGATGATTTTTTCTATACACCTTTTAAAATCAAATTGAATAAAATGAAAATTGTCGATCGATTGTAATCGACGTCTGTGTGTCGGTGTAATAAAGGTTATATTCGCATTTTTTTTTTGAACAACGAACGAAAAAAATCAATCAAATGACAATTTTAGCCAACGTGTGTCTGCGTGTGTGTGTGTGTGTGACTAGATTGCAAATATATTCTTGAAATAAATTTTGAATAATAAATACTTTGTATGTTTGTATTGTACGCAGGTAGGCAGATAGATAGATACCACCTACACTATTGTTTAAGTTGTCAAACATAAAAAAGATTTATTTCTGGAACATGGAATAGAGGCAGCGATAACAACAACAACAAAAAAAATTTAAAAATCGAAAAAAATGACATGATACAGCCACCGATAAGAAAAATAAATAGACACCAATCATTCACAAACACACACACACACACCGAACACAAAAATATGATGATCAAGTGAAACAAAAAAATGACATATAGAATTTTCTTGCGCCGAAAAGAAATATCTGGAAAAATGATGATTTTGATGGTTGCGAAGGAAAATTCAAGTGTTTAAAAATAAAATTGTAAAAAAAAGAATTTTGTATGAACAAAAAAAAAATTCAATAACCGATTGTCTTGACTGCTGCTGTTGTATGTCAGTAGAATATGTTGTTGTTGTTTTTCAGAAAGAAAAAAATGTTTATCATCGACTAGATCATCACAATACAAAACAAATGATCCGATGATGGATACACGTATGATGAAAGAATTTAAGAAACAAAAACTTCTTTTTTTCTTTTGCTTCAATTGATTTTGACAATCGAATGATTGAACTCAAAGATCAAGATCAACCGTGACTATGGAATTTACAAAATAAAAAACGGAATTTTTGAGCGCGAAATTTTCATTCTCTCTTTTCACTTTATCACTCAAATATATTCGTGAACATTCATCCATTTGTTGTGTTCAAATGTTTTGAAGCTAATGGCGCCTAAACCTAAATCGAAACGAATTCCTAGCCGAAACTAACGAAATTCTACACACACACACAAGAACACATTTCATACGCATAAGTTATATATACAGCAACTACACACAAACACAGAGAGAGAGATAACCGTAGTAACGGTACCCAATAACTAACCAACGCAAAAGAAAAAAACAACTCTAACGCAATAAAAATCAGCCATTTGTTTAATATGTATTGAATGAATGAAAATGATGAAGCCAAAATGGTTTTAGTTCCCAAAAATAGTTTCATTTTTAGTATTTTTGAGCAATGGACGACACACACACACACACGAACATTTCACAATCATTATTATACACACACACACACAAATATACCACATAGACTAAACACAAAACTTGGGCACTTTTTAATAGCAATTGCTTTCTATAGCATTAGCACACTCAATCGCGTATATATACGAGAAGCCAATGAATAAAAAAAAAATAATAAAAAGTAAAGATCGACAAGAAAGAAAAAACCATATGAATCCATTGGAATTTTTTTTCACCATTTCCCGCAAACAACAAACATCAGATAGAAAAAAAAAAAAAGAAAAAGGTGAAAATGATGAGAAAGCCATGAAACCGACATATAATCATCAGTTTTTCTTTTGGTTGTTGTTGGAATCAATAAAAATTGAGCAATCATTTTTATTCTAAACAAACAAAAATAGAACCCAGAACCAAGAATATCAAACCTTGATTATAGTGGAAAAAGAGTAATACATGCAGATAGGTTTAGGTTTGTTTTTTATAATATTGTCCAATGGGGTTCTGCTTTTTATTTGTTCTGTGTTGTTTTTCTTTATATACCACCAAATTCTCATCCTGAAACAGAGGATAGAATAACTGTGTCTGTGTCTGTGACTGTGACTGTTGGTGAAAGAAAAAAGAATAAAAATTCCTGCACACAATTTTTATGACAATGACAATCATCATCATCATCATCATCATTATTATTATTTGCAGAAATAGCCATTGGTTTTGTAGAATTTTTCATTTCATCCACCTATTATTTGTTGTGTTGATTATCAAGGCATGAAGAATTCGTGTCTAGAACGTTTGTTTGTGTGTGTGTGTGTGTGCGTTGTATTATTATTATTATTATGCAATTTGTCACCATTTATTTTCTCTCTGAAATTTTGTAATATTTTTACTGATCGTCATCATCTTATAATACCTAATCATAATTATAATAATTATGATTATCATTATTATTATGATGATGATGATGATGATGAAAATGTTTGTATTATATAGGAATACGAATTGATACCAATTAGTTGGAAAATTTATATCCATTCGTGTTTGTGTTGGTTTGTAAAACCATGGATCAAAAAAAAAAACAGAAAAAAAACTAAATGACCCTAAAATAATAATGTGTTTCAATCAGAAAAGTGAAAGAGAGAGAATAAACCGAAATGATCACAATGTCAATACTATAAATTATTATTAAATGTGTGTGTGTGTCAATTTGGTTATGCACATGGCATCGAATTGATTGAAAAATAAAACAAATGTATATTTCAATTGATGAATATGTACAATTTTAACGTAAATATTTCCCAAATGAGATCATCAAAGGTGTTTTTTTGAAATTTTTTTTATCCTCAACTTTAAATCTATGATTTATCTATAACGAATAGTTTTAATTAAATAATGATGATGACATTCAATGATCATTGCAAATAGTAATACCAAGAAGAATCAGACAACAAAAGCAGCAGAATAATAGTGTGTGTGTGTGTGTGTGGTAACCATCAAAATATTGGAACAGCAACGTTTACGTAAACATTGTTTACTGAATATTTAATGTTTCAAAAAACACACACAAAGAAATAATAAAACACAATGATGATGACAAGGTTATCATCATCATCATCAACATTTGAATCATCCAATCAAAATGATGATAATGATGATGATCGAGAATGTTTGAAAAACGAATGAAAAAAAAGAAAAATGGAAACCCAATAGGGAATTTTCAAACAAGAAACAACAACAACAATATTGGACTCGTTTATTTTATTATATTCCTCTGCAGAAGGGAAATATAAAATTATTCTATTGCTTGTCGTAGTTCGAAATGTACAAATTTCTCTTTTTATTTTATTTTACATCAGTCTAGGTTTGCATTTTTCTCTCTCTCTCTCTTTCTGGATCATTCTGGATCACTTTTTTTTCTAGTCTGTCATCATCATTTTTGTTATAGCCGTTGCGGCTGTTTTTATTATTTTATTTTTATTTTTTCAATTTTTCTTCACTTTAACATTGACAAATGTTGAATAAATTGTTTGTTTGTGTGTCTGTACAACCAGGTGTTGTTGAGTTTAGAAGAAAAAAAAATTCCGGCATTCCAGTTTCTATTTGTTCAAAGTTTAAGTTTTGCAATAAAGAATAAAACAACTGAGAAAGTAAATATATTAACATTTTCAAGAGAATGTTATGCAAGACTAGATTCTTTTAATAAATGGGCCCGCAAGGTTTATCAAAATAGAATATAAAAAACTAGAAAAGGGTTAGTCGTTTGTAAAAACCGACTTGCTGGGATCATAAATGAATATAAAGTGCATTCAAACAAAAGAACATAACGTCATCATCAGTATTGTTAATAATGATGATGATGATGATGAAAAATAGAAACATATTTTCAATTCATATTCACTTGAAAATCGAAAGAAAGAATCTTTGAACATCAACAGTGGAAAAAAATGGATGCAATGCCTTTTGAAAAAAAATGGAGGCTATTTTGTTTGTTAATGTTCAGTTTGTTCCATTAGCTTTAAAGAAAATTCATCATTTCATTGTTTAGTGGCCATTATTTTCTCCATCATCATTTTGACATGGCAACGTTTGTTTATATCGACCAAAATTAAAGTGAAGATTACTATAAATATTTTGTTTCATGAAATAACAACAAAGAGAAAATAAAACACTATACAATAGAATTTTTCCCTGTGACAAAGTAGGAGGAAGAGTAATTTGTTGATAATAATAAAAGTAAAAACAGAAAGAAAAGATAAAACCGAAAATGGAGGTCAGCATTTTCAATTTTTTCTCTGAAATGTGTGTATTAAAAACACACACACACACAAGTTTGAATGGATGGATGAATGAATGAGCGAATGAATGGAAAAGAAAAAAAGTCACGCGAAAAAGAATTCTTGTAATGAATTAAAATGAAATGAACTGGAACTGAAATGAAACAGATCATTGAATTGGCCGAAAAAAATTGAGGGAAACGCAGGATTAACATCGGATTTTGATTTTTTTTTTTTTTTGCTTAAAAAAAAAACAATGGAAAATGTAGGATTGATTCAACATTTGAATTTGTAACCAAAATATAAAAAAAAACATTATTGAAATAACAGTGAATCCGAAAGTAATTCATGTCTATAGAGTGGCCAATGGAATGACCACAAATGACAACTGATTGTAAACTCATTTATATTGAGTAGTTTGAAAATCAAATGGATAAAAGTGAGAAATAAAATGAAATTCTAGTTATATAATAATGAAGACGCTATTATAGTGGTTGTTTTTGACTGTTGATGAAGGTGAATGTGACCGAATAAAATAAAAGTCAAGATTTATGTGCTTTGGTGTGTGTGTGTGTGTGTGAATGAATTTTGAAATGAATATTGAATGTAGTTGCTTGAAACTTTTCGAAAACAATCTCCCATTCTTTCATTCAACTAATATCGATAAATTATCGCAATAGATTTTGTGTAGAATGTGATAGATTAGATAGGTAAGATTTATATTAACAAAATGTAATAGAAACAAACCTGGAATGAAAGAATAATACTTACAAGCAACGGTGGTGATGATGATATTGATCGCGAAATATAATGTAAAATGTTATGATGATTCATGATGAAAAGTTTGGTCATATGAATGGTACGAAAAAAAAAATTACGGACCACCAGAATCCAAAAGTTTTTTTTGGCAAACTCTATACTGGATCATCATTATAAACGAAACCATGAAACCATATATGACATGTGCCAGAAACAAAATGGTTTTTTCTGTTTTTGTTTTTAGTTTGCGTGCACATCGGTTATTCGTATTGTAGAAAAACAAAAAAAAAGCCATAACAAGTCCAAGTTTCGCACATGTAACATGGCCAAACATATATAAATATCTTGATGATTGATTTAAAAATTTTCAATGATTCATTTATCCATTTTGATACAGATGAAATATATTAATAATAAAAAAAACGAACGGCCATTTTCTGTATGTGTGTGTGTGTGTGTGTGTCATAATAATAATTAATTTTTGTTTCTGGCCCATTGTCTCTTGATGTCGAAAATTACAATTTTTGTATGCCATTTTTCTCTGTTAATAAAAAAAATTCAACTTATATTAGTGGAGTTAAAGTTGGAATAATTTGGCTATTTTCATAATCTGGACAGAATTATTGAGCGAAAAAAAACTTACATAAAATGTTGCGTGCAAGATTTGTTTTTGATTCTTTTCATGAATTTTTTTCTTTTTTTTCGTTCCTGTGCATAAAACATCGGTTTTTTCCTCTAGTATCCACAATGCCTTTGTCGATGAATTATTCTTTTTTTTGCTTCACAGTTTTGTACACAATTAGTTTGCTCATCATCGAATTTTCATTTTCAACTTTCAAAAAATGATGACATGATCTAATCGTTAGTATATTGCACACACCGTATTGTGTGTGTGTGTGTATTACGTACGTGTCGTGAAAGATAAAGTTTTCATTATACATCATGTTGAAACTTTGTGAAATTGAAACCCTGAAATAAAAAGAAAGTAAGAAAAAAAGACATTAAAAATGAAATTTACGAAAAACCAAAATGAGATAATTAAAATACATTGCCTATACAGTACAGTTACAGTTGGATTCCAAAAATAAAAAGTTTCATTCCAGAGAAAAGTGATGGCAAAAAAATGATGATCCTTTACGTTCGAAGATGACGGCGAAAGTTTTCGTTATTTTTTCTCCATTTTGTTCAATTTTAGATTCTCCCTGATGTACAATTTGGTTTTCAAAAAAAAAGTTTTTCGATACGTTACTGTTTTATAATGATGATTCTTACTTGGCCAATGTTTTTTTTTCGTTCGTTCGTTCATTCATTCGTTGTCAATTCGTTTCAAAGCCTCTTTGATTAGTAAAGTATGATCGAATCAGAATTTATTTGCTTTTTGCGAAGAAACCAAACATTGTCTTTACTTATAAGTTGATCAATCCAGGAAAGTAGTCGGATGGAGATTTGATGATGTTCATCATAATTACTCAGTAAAAATTGATCACGTAAATAAAAAAAAAATGATGCACACGACGAAATGTTTCGAATGAATTCGAAAGAATCGGCCGTAATATCGATTATATCGATTTTTTCAAATGACGATGTAACATTCGAATAAACTTGTTTCCATTTGTCCTGTCCAGCAGCTACAAGTGAATCAAGAAAATCAAGAGATAAAAATCATGGATTTTTTCTTAATATTTTGTGATGTTTGCTATAAATCGTTTCCAGAGACAAAAAATCAATTAAAATATTTATTAACTTCTTGCAAGAATATTCTTTGTCATAATTGTCATTTATCATCCAAATCGATTTGTCCAAAATGTCATCAAGAACGATGTAGACGTATAATGATTACAAATGAATTGAAAGAATCGATTCGTGTTTATTTCAATACTGATGGTAAACATTCGATTGATATTGGCCCGAAAATCTATCAATTTCAAAAGATGCGTTTCAAACGTTTTGAGCATTTTTTATTAAAAAAATATGAACATTATTATTCTCAAGTAAATGAATCAACAATCCAACTACAGGCAATTGAAAAGAATAAAATTGACCGTATAACTCAATTGAAACAGATGATTGCACATCATGAACAACTTTGCAGAAAGATAATTCATCCTGAACAACCACAACCAGTTGAAGTGAGAGAAAAGCAATTTAAAGGTCCGATTGTATTCAAAACTCCTCAAAATATTCCTCATCGTCGTCGTCGTATGGAACGACCATCGGTTGTAAATTCACAATTTGACCATCACGATAATATCTATTGCAATTCCACACCATTACCCGGTCATGAATATTATATTGATGGCAATATTTTCTTCGACAATAAACCACCGTCCAGTATTTTCAGTGGCACAACTGCTCGTAGTAATCGATATCGCTTTGGAAAACATTGAAGATTAATCCATGATCTATTAATATGTTTTTTTGGTTATTTGAATGAAATAAATCATGGCCTTTGAAGGTACGGTTTTTTGCCTTTTTTTAACTATAATTCAGGTTCCATAGTGTAATTGGCTAGCACTTCAGACTCTGAAAATTCGTAATTGCGATTGCGATTCTGCATTGAAAACTGCGTTTGACCTTGAATAAAATCAATTGCAAATGGGTGCGATCTGGCAATCTGGGTTCGAATCCCGGTGGAACCTTTTTTATTAAAAATTGGTATTCATTTTTATCCATTTTTAGGATCATAGATAAATTTTGTCATTACGTCTTACATGAATGGTATTTGTTGTTGTTTTTGATGATTGATCGAATCAAAAAATTTGAGTTTTTTTCATTCTGTTCTTCTTGTTTACCAAAAAAAGCATTCAAATAAATCCAAGATGGTAAGATATAAAAATGATTTCGGTATCCATTTTGAAAATTTAATTTTCCTTTTTTTCTCCAGATTAAGCCTTCAAACTCTAAACTTCGACCTTCGACGCCAAATTCTTCGTCTTCATCGTTGTCGTTACAAAATCAGACAGACAATTCAAATGCCTGTAGCAATAATAACGGTATAGCTAATCCATCGATAGCCTATTCATCATTTGCCATTACACATAATAATCATTTGATTGAATATTGTCGTACATCAATGTCAGCATTGGCCGGTTCGACAGCTGGAATCATTGGTCTGACTTCATTATATGGATTTGCATTTTACATACTAATGGTTGTCATTCTATGGTTAATGATCATGTCGAAAGCCGGTCCAAATTATCAACGATATTTTACATCGTCATGGCATGTATTAACAAATGGTTTCATGGGTGGTCTTACTACTTATGTTCTATTCTGGACCTTTCTATACGGCATGGTTCATGTTTATTAGAATTTGAATTGGATAAATGAATGTATAAAACAATGATAAATTGATGCAATTTCATTTTAATTTTTAATTAAAATTTTCACATTTGAACATTTAATATAAAAAAAATTGATAATGATTGATTGAAACAAAAATATTTGTTTTTTTCCTATTTAATAAATCATCACAAATCTGTACAACTTAATCATGAGTGTTGTTTTCGTTGTTCGAATGACCATAATCGAACGAATCCGTCATCAGAACCAGACGCCAACAATAATTGACTATTCGAAATTGGCACAGGATTCCAGTGGATAGAATTAATATCCTGTTCATGTGCTTCAGATTCATATAAAATTTGTCGATATCTAACCGATGAATATGGATCATCCTGATCATTTTGGAATTGTTTAAATATACGTATGGAATTATCGGCACCAGCAGTTAGTATTAGATTTTCTATTGATGACCAATCAACATCATAGATAGGCCAATGATGATATCCACTTAACGAAGCGATGATGGTCCATTTGACTGTAAGTTCAGCATAACGTTTGCCACTCAATTTGGTTTCATCGATCAATTGATTGTAATTTTTTGGTTGCCATATTTTTATCGATTCATCGGCACTGACACTTACAATTCTTGTGCCTTCAGGATTGAATGCAATTGACCATACGGTTGATTCATGTTGATTCAACTGTGTATAACATTGCCAATCATCATCATTTTGACAATAAAGATTAATTTGATTATCAAAACTACTGGAAGAAAGAATATTCAATTTGGGATGCCATACAACACATTTGACATCTTGACTGTGTTCAGTTTGTACGGATGAACATTCGAAAAATGCTTCCTCATCTGGCCGATCATTTATGTCACCACCACCACCACCACCACAATCATCGGATTCACAACCAACTTCGATTTTTTCCCATATCCAAACAGATTTATCTCGTGAACATGTTGCCAAAAATGTATTGTTGGGTGACCAGGCCACACATTTAACTTCATTCTCATGACCTTCAAGTGATACCATCACTGTCCAATCCATTGTTGTTGGTTCATCATTATTTTCATTGGCTTTTTGATGCCAAATACAAGTGGTTCCATCAAAACTGGCCGATGCAAGAAATCGTCCATCATGTGACCATGCAATGAAACGAATTGTACGCTGATGGCCATCAGTCAATGTTGAAAGACATTTCCATTCATCACCTTCTTTCGACCAAATTTTAATAGTACGATCAGCACCACATGAAGCTAACCAACGACCATTTGGATGCCAACGTACACACCAAACACGTTCAATATGGCCAGATAATGTATTTTCCAATTTAATCTCATAATTATCCATTAAAAAAGATTTCCAAATCGATAATAGGAAAAATCATCAAAAATTTAAAACGAAAAATTCAATTGAAAAATTCAAATTGTATACAACATGAATACAAACAAACACATGATATAAATTCCGATTTTCACTTAATCGGCCACTTCATGTGTTTATGAGTTAAAACTGCCGCGTTTTATTTGATCACTTGAATCTCAATTTTTTTCCACTTTTAAATTAAATTCCATTTTGGCGGTTATTATTTGTTAAATGGAATTGGACACTGTTGACAATATCAAGATCCCTAAAAATGAAATTGCCGAAACTTCGAATATTATCGGCGATGATAAAGAAGACGAATTACAATGTGATCAACAAGATGAATCAAAACAAAATGAAGAAAATTCTTTTACAATAAAAGATATCATCGAGAATAAGGAAATGAACGAAACACCAGAAACGAAAAAACCATGCCAAGAAGCTACTACTACTACTACCAATGAAGAAATCGAGCCTAGAAATGTAACTAAAAAATTAAAACTTGAAACTGACGACGACAACGACAACGACGACGACAAAAACAAAGAGAAATCGAATGATTTTGCAAGTCTATTAATTGAACCTATTCTTTCGATTAAATTACCTGACGTCATTCATACACCGAAACCGTCGGCATCAACCAATGATAATAATCATCATGATGATAAAGATGATCATACGGGTGATTATGGTGATGCCGATGATAATGATGATGTGGATGAAAATTCCTCTATGGATGAAGATCCAGATGAAATGTTGAAGAATTTAACATCCGATCATTGTGATGATGAATCAATGGATGATGATAATAATCGATCGTTATTGTTATGCGATAAAGATTCATTAGAATATAGAACCGGGTTAACATTATTACCTAAAAATGGTGGTACAATAATGACCGATATTGATCCGACGACATTATCAAAACAGGAACAGAAACAATTGAAAGAAAAACTGCAAGAAGAAGAACGAGAAAGAATGCAGTATGTATAATCAAATTTGTTTTTTTTTCTCTTTGTAATTCTTGTCAATTTTTATGACTTTAAAAAACAAATAGAGTATTAGTTTCCAACTTTTCCGAGGAACAACTTAATCGCTATGAAATGTATCGTCGTGCTGCCTTTCCTAAAGCAGCCATCAAACGTGTAAGCATTATCATCATCATTCTCTCTATGTCTTATATGGATTGATTCTGATTTTTATCATTTTTTGATCAGCTTGTCCAACAAATTACTGGCTGTTCAGTTTCACAAAATGTTGTCATCGCTATATCTGGTATAGCTAAAGTTTTTGTCGGTGAAATTGTTGAAGAAGCATTGGATTGTATGGAGCGAAATGATGAAACCGGACCATTACATCCTAAACATATTCGGGAATCTGTACGACGATTACGATGTAAAGGCATAATACCCAGGTCAAAACAACCGAATCCAAATACATGGATGTGAAAAATCATTGCACACACACAGACACACACCCGCGACCGCAAAAAAAATATCACTCAATGAAGTTGAAATGTGTAAACAAAAAAATAAAACGGTGTAATGGTAAATCATCGAAAAAAATTGAAGATTGGTATCATAGAAACACACACAAATTATTTTTCATTTATTCAATTCAAATTTGTATTTATTTAAGGAAAAAATGTTTATTAATTACTGCTTTTTTGAATTCAACATAGAATCACAAATCATGTTCATCATCATCATCATAATAATAATAATAAATGGATAAATTGTTTTTCAGAAAGAGAATTTTTTTTTTTTTTTGATTATTGGGACATTGAAAGTTACAAAAGAAAAAGAAAAAAAAATTAGCAAACAATGTGTGATTGATTTCTTTTGTTTTGTATTTGAATTATAATAATTGGATCATTTTAAAAATAAAAGTTTCAAAAGAGTAGAAAGAAAAAGATGTTGAATCAAATCTGTTGATTGTTTGTGATCGATCTGAATGAATCATCATAATATTCAACGACGTTGCGGTAATGGTGGTGGAGCTCTTGATGACATACGTTCATCACCGCCATGATGATCACCACGCCGTCCGCCGCCTTCACGTGAATCACGTCCACCATAACGATTACGATTATGATCATGGAAACCACGATTATCGGATACACGTCGATCACCACCACCACCACCACTTCTACCACGGCCATGATCAACTTTCATCCAACCGCCTTCACCATCATCATCAGCTGTTCCAGAATGTTCCATATCCATTGTGGGTTTCGGTCGCCAACTACTATTATCATCTTGATTTGATGATTGTTGTTGACGCTGCATTGTACGTGAGAATCCTCCACGTGTTTCACGACGTTCACCAGTTCGACGAATGCTTGAATCCGAATCCCTACCACTATATTGGCGAGGTGCACCTTGACCACCACCACCATCACGTGATTCTGGCCGTTGACGACCGTCCGAATATCGACCAGCATAAGGAGGACGACCACCACCTTCCCGTAATGGAGGCGGCTGAATAACTTTGTTTTCAGATGAACGCCAATTATTAGCCGAATCGGCCACTGATTGTGGTGGTGGTTGCCGATTTTGAAATGCACGATTAGGTGGTGGACCTCTATTGCCCATTGATTCACGTTCACGATTACGATCACCAATGCCAGCAGCAGCACTTGGAGGCGGCGGTGGTGGTGCTTTCGTTTGCTCAATCGGACGATTAATTCGCCATTGTGGCCCGGTTGTATCCGTAGAATCTTCTGATTGTTTCGCCGAAACAACAGCTGGCTTACTTAATGGCGGCATTCGATTCTCATTACTTTCATTATCACCACCAGCTGGTTGTGCTAAACGTTGACGAAGTTTCTCTTCAATTTCGGCCATACGACGTTTTTGAATTTCAGCCACTTTAGCCAAATGTTTTTCTTGTTTTTCTTTCATATAGGCAACACGACGTTCTTCAATTCGTTTCTGGCGACGAGCTTCCAAACGTTTTTTCCTCTCTTCTTCAACAATTCGATCGAAATTTAACAACTTCTCTTCATATTCTTCATGGCGGCTATCTAGAACACATTTTTCAAATTCTTTTTTATCATCCAACACCCTAGCAAAACGTTCACGTTCTTTCAATGCTAATTCGCGTTCCTCTTTCATGGCGATAATTTTCAATTCTTGAGTTTTGGCCCATAATTCTTGATCCTGTACACGCCATTCTTCGTATTGTTGTTTCAATAATGGAATCTCTTCCACACGTTTGGCACGTTCAAAATGATCAACTTTACGTTCCAATTTTCGTTGTTTAGCCAATTGTTCACGTCGTTCTTTTTCCAATTGTTCGACACGTTTTTGATGCAGATCTTGTGGTCGCAATTTAGCCAATTCATCATCATCCAAATTGTCCAATTCCAAATCTGGCAATACTTCTTTCATCTTTTTCAATTGATCCATTGTGATTTGTTTACGAATTTCTTTCTCATCCTTTTCACGTTTCAAACGCTCACGTTCTTTTGTTTCTTCAAGCAAACGCTGCATTTCAGCTTCACGAAGTTTAGCTTCTTCTTCTTCCATACGTTTACGTTCTTCATTTTCACGTCGGATGCCCATCTGTTCCATCATTTCACGACGTTGTTCAATCAAATTTTGTCGGCTTAAAATTCGATGATGTTCTTCTATAGCACGCATATGATATTGTTTCATAATTTGTCGTTTCAAATCTTCACGTTGTTGTTTAATGGCATCCGGTTCAATAAGATGAATTGCTTTCTGCAATGATGAATACATTGAAACTAATTGACGACGCATCTGTTCATTAGGCATAGATTGCAGATATGGTCCTTCAATATATTCTTCGCCAGTTGAAACACGAAGTTCAGTGCCGAATACATAACAACCACGACGGTGATCAATACGTACTTGAAGATCATGACGACGAGCCGATTCGACGACCAATTTTTCTAGATAAATTGGATCAACAAATTGACATAGTTCAGCCAAACGTTTGAATTCAATTGAACGATAAACTTGAGCAATTTCACGAATCAAACGTATAACCGTCACCTCTTTCAATGCCGCAATATATTGTTTCAGCTCCGGATATTCGATAGACTTTTCCGGATCAGCAGTGGAACGTTCAATATAATCGATAATCTGTTGTACACGGCCACAAATACCCAATGGATGGAATTCAATTTCCAATAATTGAAATAAATCCTGCAAAGGTTGCGATGCAAATTGTAATACACCCATACGTTTTAGATCCTTGACCAATGAAAATCGTGTTGGTGGTTTGGAGCTAATACCCAGCAACGATGATAGATTACGATGATGTTGTTCAATAACATTCTCTTCTGTATCGACTAATTTGTCAATTTCAGGACGAATAGGTGGGATTGGAATCGAAAGGGTGGCCAGTACTAATCGTGATGCCATTTTCTGTACATCATCAGCTGTTATATTTTTACGCAATTCTTTCGACAAATGAAATAGACGAAACAAAGCTGTGGCATGGAAAAGATTGGAATTTGCTTTCCAAAATACCAGTGATAATTTTTGATAATAACTAGCAATCAATTGTGGTTTGCCCAATCCTTTTTTCGTTAGATTCATTAGATTAAATTTTCGAATATCATCAGCTGCTTTATATGCTTCTTGCCATAATTCCAATTGAATAGCATTATCCAATTGTCGTAATCGAGTCTCCAATTGCATGGCCTGTGAATCCGGTGAGTTTAGATTGATAGCATTCTGTTGTTGCGATGCTGATAATTGTTGTTGTTGCTGTCGTTTCAATTGATCCAGATGCATATGTAGATTATCGCATAGTTTGCGAAATTCAGTTTTTCGATTATATTTGATACAGAAAACAAATGCCTGATGTGCAATATCATGATAAAGACGTTCAGTTTTATTGTTATTCTTCAACATATCCAAACATTGACGATACGATTCCCAAAGAAATTTTACCCACGGTATCAAAACAACACGATCTTTACGATCTTGGGAACCTTCCACGCTAACAGCCGACATAAGAATATCTTCCGGTGTTTGAGCGTTTTCTAGGTCATCGATTTCCGAGATATTGGCCTGCGATTGTTCTTTCGCTTCATTCGTCTTCGTTTCGGCCATTTGAATATATTTGCGGATGACATCTTCAAACGAACTGATATAACTTTGTTGACAAATAATTTTATATTGAAATAATCCTTCCTTGGCTACATAACTTTGTTTCAGCTCGACACATAGTTCCAAATATTTCATCATGATCTCTTCGTGTTTTTTCTGCCATACACGATGTTTTTTACTATGTAATACATCGCATAAAATTTCCAACGCTCGATGTTTATTTTGTACTTCGATAAATTCTACAAATGCAATCAATCAAATTATCATTAATGAATCAAAAAAAGTTAACTACATACCGTTTGCACGTTTTAGTGCATTTTCCAAATGTATGAAATGAGCAGGCATTTTTACATCAATTCAGTTATCGTTTAAAGCAAAAATAAAACTGTGAATATTCAATCAAACAACCACGAAACCAAATGTTAAATTGAATTGAAAAATTTTCCAATCAAAACTGACTCACCTCTGATTAATATCATACGCACAAACCAGAAAAAATGAACTTTAAAAACATCAAACGCGTATTTTACTCAATCGAGGACAAAAAATATTAAATGTAAAACAAAACAAAAAATTCTTCAAGACCACAAGACACGTTGGACAATTTGTGAATGGAAACACACACACACGAACCACACCACACACACACACAAACGCACAAAAGATGATTATAAATAAAAGAAGTAGCATGAACCATTGAGAATAAAAACATTGAGGTGGCAGCATTTAAGAATGTTGGACTCGGATATACTCGTTGTAATCAATGTATCATGCATGGACCGGTGGCGTCCTCCTTATTATTTTTGTCTTCAACATCATTGATTGATGCATCGACGACAATCGATGTGAATGCAGGAAGTTAATAGAGATAATATGTTAGAATAGCCGTCGAAAGAAAAATTTAGAAAAGAGAAACTAGGATCGAAGCAAATTGATGGATGATTTTTATTACCAAATTGGATAACTTTGATTTTTTTTTTTTTTGGTTTCCATTTTCGAAAAATGAAAACTTTTCGTAAAATTTTTTTCTGAAAGATTTCTATACAAATAAACAAAAAATTTTTGTCTAAATCAAATGAGATTTTTAATTGATGATAACAGTGGCAATTCATTCAATCAATAGATTAATACACAACACATTTGTCCATTTGGACATTTTCCTGGTCGTCGTACGGTTTCACCACACCAATCCATACATTGATTAACGGTTGGATCACATGGTTGTTCATCAGCATTGGTATCGTTTGATTGTGGTCGTATACGATGATTGTTTGAATGTCGTAATTCATTGGTTTCGTCATTCGAAATTATTATTCCACCATCGATGATTGAACCAACTTTTGTTGTTTGCACTGTGTCAATTTGATTGTAATTAAAACATTTGTTTTCAGTTGTCATTTTCTTTGGCATCGCACACTTACCATTACCGGATTGAACGAATGATGAATAATTGAAAATGATCACAATGATGATCGATATTATTGCCAATAATTTCATTAATTCGTTTGCCATGTTTTTTCTTTGGTTTTGAACGTGGTGGTCCTGATACAAAAATGAATGAATGAATGAATGGACTCAAATTAACTGCAATAAAATTAGCTCTGGAAAGAGAAATTTTTGTTTTTTATTACTCACCAACAAAAATCAGCTCGATTTTCCCCTTGTTGTTTATTTGCATGACTTGCTTGATTTCATTTCATATTACGTGATTTATATCATTATTATTACACATAGTTTCAATTGCAAAATAAACAAAAAAAAATCGAAAAAATATAACCGAATCTTTTTTGATTTCATTTCAAATCAAAAAAGAAAATAGAGAAAAACACTTCATCACTTAATTCAATCAACAATCAACCATTGACTAAAAGAATTGATCATAATTCAATGTTGGAATTTACAAATTTCCAAATTTTCAATTTTCTTCCCAAAAATATTTTCTGGAAAGATGGGATTTGTTGTTGTTGTTTTTGTTTCTCATCCATTCCTCTTTACCTGGTTATCAACAACAAAAAAAACTTGTTTTTCCAGTTTAATCATTCATCATTTTGCATCTTGAGTTTATTTTCTTGATTCATTTTATCAAAAAAAGATGAGCACATCAATAACGACGACAACAACAACAACAACAACATTGGAATTACGATGGAAATAATCCATGAATTTTTCACTTTAATCTGGAATGTTATTTTGGTATATATCCAAATAATAAAATCATGGTTCATTCAGTCTCGAGAACCGAAAAATCTTTCTGGAAAAGTAATCGTTCTAACGGGTAGTGCACATGGTATTGGTAAAGAAATTTCCATCGGATTAAATCGTCTTGGTGCACGTTTAGCATTAATCGATATTAACCGGGTAATACCACCAATTGGTTGTTTTAAAAATTTCACAAATTAACAATAAAATCCATTGATTCATTTGCAGAATCTAAATGATGAATTGATTGAACATTTGAAATCAGAATCCCCAGATTCAGATATAATTGGCTATACATGTGATTTATCCGATGGTTCCGAAATTGACCTATGTGTCAGTCAGATCTTAAAACATTTTGGTCATGTTGATATTTTAATTAGTAAGTTTTTTGTTTTTTAATGTGGAAAATCATTTTCTGGAACAATTTCCTCAATAGACAATGCTGGAGTTGTTAATTGTAAACCATTCAGCGAACTTGAATGGCAAGATATTCGTCATACATTTGATGTAAATGTTTTCGCAAATTTTCGTTTAATCAAACATTTTCTACCTGGCATGATTGAAAGACCAAATGGTGGTCACATCGTTGCTATATCATCTGCTTGTGGATTGTCTGGAAAAGGAAATCTTGTCGATTATTGGTTAGTCTTTAATATTTGATGATTTGATTTGATTTAATATTGGAATTTGATTTGATTTCAGTGCATCAAAACATGCTGTAATTGGATTAATGACAGCATTAGATTGTGAATTACGTTCTTTGAATGTTGATGATAATCATATTGAATTAACAACCATTTGTCCATTAACCATTGCTACCGGAATGTTTAAACGTCCATCAACTAAATATGATTTTCTAATGCCAATTTTATCACCAATAAAAGTTGCCGAAACAATAATCAATACAATACGCAAACCTGATCCATCATTTATTGTTACAATTCCTAGTTATGCATATTGGCTAATAATAATGGAAAAGTAAGTCACACAATCAAATTGCTAATCACAATTCATCTAATGAATATTTTAAATTCCTTCTATCTATAGAATAATGCCACGTAAAGCATTTGCATTGGTCGATCGATTCTTTGCATACGAAGTCGGTAGACATTGATTAGTTTTCAAGACAATTTGATATTGATATAATTATTTTATTTTAAATCAAATCAAATGAATGAAAAAAAAGAGATAGAGTGTGTTTGTGATTATTAGGTATGTGTGACAAGAAAACAATTATATTTCTTAAAGGTTTTACAAAGTTAGATTAGATGATAATGATGATTTTGGGATTTCAAATTAAAAAATTTTCTCGTTTTTCTTTGAACGAATACAAACGATGTATGTTGTTGCATTGTGTGTTTGAGAGTGAAGCAAATAATCCAATTCCAGAAATAACCTTCATCTTAATTCAATGCTATTAAAAAAAATGGTACTTTTGTTGTTGTTGATGACGAATGTGTGTGTGTGTGTGTGTTTGTGATTATTGATGATGATAATAATAATGACAATGATGGTGAATGATGATTTCGATGAAATGGAACCAATACAAGTTATTTACTTTTTTTTGTTGAATTTTAACAAAATGAAAATTAAAGATGAAAAAATCTTTCTTCTGGGCCATTTATATTTTCGATTTATAAACTAAATGTTGTGGATGAAGAAGAATAACCACCACCACCACCAGTTTGTTCCTGAAATACTTCTATCACATCTTCTTCTTCCATTTCTAATGATTGTGGTGTATCACTATCATCGATTCGACGGCCATCAAATAAGAAACGTAATGATGATAATGGTACACCAACACGATCACTATATGATTTTTTCAGTTTCGAAAATGATGTTGTTTTCTTCACACGAAAATGTAATTCTGTTGTATCTTGGCCAACAACTTTGATTTTAATATATTCGGGTGAACTTTCTTTTGCGTCTTCGGCCATATTCTTGTTTTTGTTTTCTATCGAAATTCGATATACGCAATGACAATAAGTTGTTTTCTTCTTCTTGTCGATGACACAATTCCGAATTTTGAAAAGCAGTCGTTCCCCTTGAGTGTTGGTGATTGTCACAAATTCTTGTTCAAATCACGATATTGAATTTATATTCAGGTAAAAAACAATTAGATCTAGAAAAAAAATGCAATTTTTTGATAAATAAAGAAATGAGATATGAGATACAAACATAAAGCAAAGACACAAACACACACAGACAGTACACGCAAACTACAACACACAATGGGAAAAATCCATAAATGTTGGCCTTTGGCACAGAGAATGAAAAAAACAATCGATACTCTGAACAGCGGTATCGATAGTTATCGTCAGTTTTAAATTGAAAAAATTACTCACATTGAAGGGAGGGGGAGAAAGAAAATTCTAGAATTTTTTTTTTAAATTAATTGATTATTTTTAATTAATTTTAAATTAAATTCAACCGATTGATGGTATTGAATTGATTGATAAATCTGGGTACTACCTAATTTCGTCAAAAAATAAAAATTTGGAAATCGATCAATAAAATTCAAAGGAAAATGAGAACATTCTCAGTACATTTTTCACCCCTCTATCATGTATAAAAATGAGGGTTCTATTTTTTCACAAATTTTTTTTGTTCTTTGAGCATGCTCAAAATAAAGTCCCTCGGTAACAACCATGAACACGAACATGCCGCCATATTTTTTGAAGTCACACTTCTATCAGGAGAAAAAAATTACTACTACTCCCATTTCATGTATCGATTATAATTGGTTGACATACGAATGCTACTACCTAACTTGATTAAATTAACCAATTAAGATTGAAACATTTATACCACTACAACCACAACGGTTTTTTGCAGCAAATATAATAGCAGTAGTCAAGAAATGTGTGAAAAATATTTCTGTTACCGCCCTCTTGTAACAACGATATGTACACCATCTAGTGTATAAGGTTCATAATAAAATCTCGTTAGTTTTTTTTCTTGTTTTTCAGCCTGTATGTGCCACAAATAAACATTTTCAACCGTGTGAATGTTGTAGCGAGTCAGAACGGCCCACGGTTGTGTGTGTGCACACAGAGACAGCTTTGAGTTTAATATTGTTCTAGCTGTGCCTTCTTTTTATTGTGTTGGTGGCTGATTTTTTTTTCTCGTTCGTCGTTTTTTTGGGTTTTGGTTTTTGGATTTGTAATAATTTTTTTGCTTTTTTTTTTTTTTTTTGGTTTGTTTGCTCTCCACACTGCGTCGCTTGCCCTCGCTTGTTTGATCATCATCATAATCGTTGATCGTTGGTCGTCTTCGATAGAAAATTACGACATATTTATTTATTTTTTCAAATATTTATTTCAATTTCTGTGTGTATGTGTTTGATTAATTATATTCCATCATCTTCATCCTTCAAATTGATTTTTTTAATTTTTTTCTGCAAAAAATAAATAAAGCAAATTCGTTTGATGAATATGACTATGAAATCAATTTCTGATCAATCAAAATAAAATTTCTTGCATCAATTTGTCAAAAAAAAACTAGCAATCAATTTTGTATTCACCTGAATTTTTCTCATCAATATTATTATTCCTGCGCCAATTACATATGCAACATATAAGAATTGAATTAGAATAGATTGAATTTTTTATGCAAACAAAATTCATTTGATATTTTGTGTGTTTGATGGATATTTGGTGTGTGCATCATTTGAATTGTTTATCGCTTTTTTCGTCTTCTTCATAACTAACTAAATGAAATGAAATGGAATAGAATTCGATTGAAAAGTTGATTCGGCCATTTTGTTACTTTTTTCGCGTACATCATCATCAATCATTAATTTTCTTTGATGAAATGTTTAAAATTTAGCCACACTTTTTTTTACATGGTATGTTGCCACATTTTCCAATGTTTTAATAAGAATTCTATTGAAAATTGAAAAAGAAATTATGATAATTTTGATTTGAAAAATTTTTTTTCAAAAAACAAATTCTAAATATTTGTACATAGATTTTATGAATGATCCCTTCATTTGATTTGTTTTTTCATTTGAGTCACGAATCAACAACGTCAACGGTTTCGTATAAATGTTATACTCGTATATGACTGGTTTATGAATTGTGGCGGTTATTTTGAATTTAACCAATCAAAGTTTATGTCACCGCCTATCTATTTTCATTACGTGCTTTGCACGTTTTTTCTACTAACAAAATATATGTGTTGCCGCTTGTAAAAATATTGCGCGGCTTTTGATTTCGCGGCATTTTTTTCTTCTGCTTTGCCCATTTGCTTATATTTATTTCTACATATTTTATTTATGGAATCGTTTCTTTTTTTATTCAAAATAGATAAAACATTGATCGACGTTCTACAATTATCATCATCATCATCATCGATGATTCGAAATCAATCACTTATTGATTATCATCATCATAGGCTTTGATTATTTGAAATCCAGTCAAATCAAAAATTGATTGTTGTCACTGATTATATACTACATTCTACATACGATATACGATAGTCATATTTAATTCATTAGATTGTAGACACAATGTTTTATTCGGTATTTGTATTGGGCAAAAAAGGCCCATTAGCACGTGTTTGGTTGGCCGCTCATTGGGATAAGAAAATAACGAAAGCACAAATTCTTGAGACAAATATCGTTGAAAGTGTTGATTCAATACTTCAGCCAAAAGTAAGTAGTTTTTTTGAAATTGTATATTTATTTAATTAATTTATATCTTATTTTCACTGACAATTTAAGATTAAATTATCATTGCGAACATCTTCACATCTATTGCTTGGTATTGTACGAATATATTCGCGTAAAGCATTATATCTATTACAAGATTGTCAAGATGCTGCATTTAAAATTAAATCAGCGTTTCGACCTGGTGTTGTTGATTTACCGGATGGTAAAACTGAAGCTGCAATTAGTGCAATTACCTTGCCGGAAATGTTTGATTTTATCAACGATTTTGATTTGATGGCTGAACCACAATTACATATGGAAGCACCACCAACAACTACAGCAAATATTCGCAATATTACATTGGTTGAAGACATTAGTTCGCTTCATGTGGATGATCCACTAATGATGAATGATGTACGTGATTGGAGTGAAATTGGATCAATTGGTGGTGGATCCATAAACATTAAAGATTCTGCGGATCATACATTAAACGATAGTGGTATATCATTGAAAAATAATAATATCGATCTTTTCGATCGTCCTGCATTGGATGATGGTTTTGGTGGACAATTAGGTGTTGGTATTGTTGACGATGTTGATGCTGATGATGTATTCAATATGCCAATGCCAGACAATATGAATAAAGATGGTTTGAATATCGAGAATGGCTTAGGAAATGAAAAAGATAATAATCTAGAAAACAATGCTGTTGGTGGCGGTGGCCAATCACAACATGATGAACCAATGGAAAGACCACATTCAGTTATGTCGGATACAAGTGATCAAAGTTTTGGTGCACCAGCTTCTTTTGGTGGACCATCAAGTCCGGATTCAACTTTAGGAGATATAGATCCATTCAATTCAATTGCTGCCGATAATACATTGGTTGGTGAAAATCAATTAAATAATGATGATATTGCTGCTGATGCGAATGGCCAAAATCAAAATGATCAAGCTGATGCAAATCAATTATCACAAAATACAATGGTATTGGAACCAATCGATCCACAAATCGGTGTATTGGATAAAAAACGTAAACGTCGCAAAAAAATTGGCATGGTCATCGATGAAGTGAAAACCTTATCCGGTGAAGAAATGAAAGCACAATTATCCGATACATCAGACATTGTTACGAATTTGGATCTGGCACCACCGAATAAGATGCTTATGAATTGGAAGAAAACTGGATTAAGTGATAAATTATTCACATTACCAGAAAGATCAATATCAGCTAAAGCATTATATCATTATTATTCAAGGAATTTAATTACAAATCGCTATGATGAAATGAAACAAGAAGATGATTTACTTGACGAACGTAACAATATTTATCCATATCAACAAAATGACGATGAGTTTGTCAGACAAAATCATCATCAAACATTGAATGGTATATCGGATCCAATGATGGAACCATTGCAACCAATTGATGAATATGAACAACAGCAGCAACAACTGCCATTAGATTCATCACCACAACCACCAAGAACACCACGTATTTCAATGAAAAACATGCAATCACCAGCACCACAACGTAAACGTAAAAAAATGGAAGATAAAGAAAATAAAGATATTGGTGGTGGTAGTGCTGTTAAAAGACAACGTGAAAATTCAAAATATGATTCGAATAAATTAAACCAAACAACAACAACAGCAGCAGCAGTAGCAACAAACAACAATGAATCAAGAAGTCAAACACCAGCGGCTGTAATGGATTCTAGTAATTTAATGATGATGCACGATAATAGTTCAATACCTGGATTTCGTGATCATACAATAAGCGGTGGTGATTTACATGGTGCTAGCTGGAATCCAATCGACAATAATCAACATCATTATAATGGTAATAAAAATTTGGATCCAAATTTTTTTCAACAAGATCAACAATCAGAAGAAAATAATGAAGAAGAAGAGGAAGAAGATGATATTTTTGATTATGCTGCACCAATGTCTGTTGGACCGGTATGTTGTTTGCTTTGTGTGTTTGTTTAATTTTTAATGTTTTTTTTTGCCCAATTTATTAGGCAGAAGAAATGTTGCCGGATGAAACTGTGGATCAATATGAAGAACGAATACGAACAAAGCGTTCAAATCTTTTACTGAAATATATGGCAGTACAACTGGAAGATAATGGTCATATACAATTTACTAATCTTGTTCGTAACAATAAACGAAAATTGGTCAGTGTTTTATTTCGTTGTTTTTTTTTGTAATTTGTGATATTTACATTTTAATTTTTCTCATTTGTTCCAACAGGTTGCCCAAAAATTTTATGCATTATTGGTGTTGAAAAAACAGATGGCTATTGAATTATATCAAAATGCTGAAATGCCATATTCAGAATTGATTGTAACAAAAGGACAAAAATATGATGAACATATGGTATCGACGACGGTATCATGATTGAAATTGATTGTCTTGGATAAAAATGGAATCTCTTTCTCTATGGATCTTCCTCATATTACACACACACACACACACTCATATTGTATTTCTATGTATACATCGATTATTACATCAGTGGCAACAATTTTTTTCCTCATCATCATCATCATCATCATCCATACATTTGCATTACACAAATGGACAATTTTTTCTTATTCTTATTTCAAATTTGACAATTTATTATTATTATTATTATATTGCCAGAAAAAACATCAACTATATTCAATTATTTCACACTTATATTTTCAATTTTTTTTAATTCACTTTCTTGAAAAAAATACATTGAATTTTCTGAAAAATATTTTCTCTCTTTCCAACTTTCTCATCGTTCGTCGTGCTACAGATGTAACACACACACACACACCACGCATTCATTTATTCATCACGATAATTTTTTTGTCATAGACAAGCGAATATTAACATTGTTATCTCCGAATCTATCTATCTAATCTCAATCGATAAATTGAATTATTAGAATTATTCACAAAAACATTGACATTGGCGACATTTTTTTCTGTAAATAATATTGTCATTTCATTACAAATTTTTTTTTCTTCATTCACTTCGATTTTCACGGAAATTTTTATCGAAGAAAATATAGGCGCACCACCAATATATACTTTTAGCAGACAATTTAAATAAATAAATTTCACATTGATCACATTATATGATGTAGATGATCGGATAGTTGTGGAAATTTTTTTTCCTTTTTAACTTATTTGTATTGTATAAGATTTTTGAATCATCAATCGATTGATTGATGAGTTAACCAATCTCATATGATGACAATAATAATAAAAAAATTTGAATACATGCACACACACACACACACAAACAACAATGATGATGATTAATAATAATAAAATTCCATATTTATTTATTACGAAAATTGATGATGATGATGATTTTTATTTTTGGTTCAAATTTTTTTATGCAAAAAAAGGATTTCCTGTGAATTTTCTCATCGATACTATCGATTGTGGTGTGTGTGTGTGTGTGTGACTGTGTGTTGTCAATCAATGTAATTGAGTTTATTTTTATCCGACTAATCGAATTGGATTGGATTGTCGAGTTCGGATCATCGGAAAACGAAATAATGGATTCTACACCACCCATCAACGCCAACACTCAAGTTGAAGTATCGATTTTAGCTTTTGCCGGTGCTAAAGATTTATTACGAAAATCTTTTGAGGTCAATGAATCAAATGATTGTAATAATAGTGAAATACGATTAACAATACCATCATATTGGTCTCAAGCATATGATTTACGAAGATTTTTATGTCGAAATAAATGGCCACAATTGGAACGAATTGAACAAAATATTGCCATAGCATTGAATCTCAAATATCTACCGCTAGATGAATCGGTAGAAATTAATTCTGGTGATACGCTGGCATTGATACCACCAATTTCGGGTGGTTGAACTTTTATGTGTGGTATTTATTCATCTATTTTTTTGTTTTTAAAAATTTTATCAAATTTCAAACTAATCTCTCTCTCTCTCCATAACATAGTTGTATTCAAAGAAAAAATGTTTTAAACTAAATTTTTGTTTGAAAATAAAAAAAATCCGATTCTTACAACAACATCAAAAATGATGCCTATAAAAATTTCAATGTTCGGTAAATTGATTTTTGTGTTTATTTTTGGAAGCCAAAAGAATTTGAATTTGAAATTCAAACTGTGAGCCAAACAAAATCGAAACTATTCAAATCGATTTATTTGTTATTTTCGTATTCATCGACTATAATTGATGACCTTGTCATGTCGTGTATATTTTAATACCGACAAATGAATATAGCAATTCATCGAAAGAAAAAACCGGGTTTCAGATTATCATCATCCGAAAGTCATCATCATCATATTGCAATGTTCGACGACTGCGGCGACGACGACGACGATTATTGCATCAAGTTGAGTCGACTCTTGGAGAGATTTGTTTGTTTATTTCTGTGTGCATATTGGATACATATCAATGATGGCCGTAACTTTTTTTCGTGTGTGTAGATCAACTACGGCGTCGGCGTCATCGTTTATCAACAATTTATATTTTGGTTTCTTTGAAAAAGAAAAAACCAGCGCCCGGCATTGCCACATTGCACCATTCATTCATTCCCATTCATAGCACCGAAGAAAAAACAGAAAACAGAAACTCCAGAGATGACTTTCGTTCGAACGACATATATATGATTCATTCCATTCAATTCAATTCAATTCAACACAACAGACTTGACTCGACGAAAAACAAATGTTTGTTGTGAAACGATCAAGGAATTTTTTTTACTAAACCAAGAAAATGAAGAATTCTCTTAAAATTCGGCGCATGTAAATGATAACAACAAAAAAAAAAAAAAAACTTGGTTGTGGTGGTGGTAGCCAACAGTTGCAATACCGTGGTGCTGCTGCTGCTGTTTCTTTTGTTGTTGAATACACACAACAATCAAATTTTCCATGTCATTATCATTATCATCATCATCATCGTTTGTTTATTTTGATTTTGTTTCTGTTCGTTTGTTCGTTCGTGTTGTTTTTAATTCATACTACTAAACAACCAAAAGAAGATTCTTCAGCGATATAGACACACAGCATCATTTCATTTGACATTGCAAAAAAGCCGCATTACTACTGTCAAATACACAGAATTCATATTTCAATTTTTCAAAACATCGTCGACCATTCAATGAGTGGTTGTTGTTGTTGTTTTTGTATTTCAATGTTTTTATTTTAATCTCCAAACAGAAGAAGAGAGACACATGTCTAGTCGTGTGTGTTTGTATATGGTTAATATCGTTCGTCAATGAAAGAAAAAGAGAGAGAGAAAGATAAAAAGAGAATGAAATAATTTTGTGGTATATAACTTGGTAGTATAGTTTCAATGTTATAAATGTTTTGTTTTCAAGATTGGTGTCCTGTGCCTGTTTTTTTTTCTCATTCGAATCAATATTTTTGAATGTCAATGGATTGATGGATGAAGTTTTGACCAAAATGATTCAAATCATCATCATCAGAACTATTTATCGGTTGTCGTCGTTGACAACCAATCGACAACATTACGTGTGTGTGTGTGTTCAAAACATAATCGAGCTTATTATTATCAAAATGTCAAAAAAATTCAAACTTTCATTACAGCTAAATACAAGGTAGGATATTTCATATGATCATCAATTGAAAACAATCAATGAAATTAATCAAATTAATGATAATGATGATTTTTGTTTCCAATTTTTCGATAGGTAAAAAAATTGTTTGAAAAGAACATTTATTTTCTACCACTGCTACTACTACTACTACTGCTACAAGATTTTCGATTAATGGCCATTGATTTTGATCAATCAATCAATCATTCGTGAAGACAATATATTGGACAATTAATAAAAAAAAGTAGAAATCAATAAAATTGATCATCATCATCATTATAATCGATGTTTGAATTCATCTACAATGAAACTATACATCAACCATTATTAGCGAATACTAAGATATTTTTTCTTTTCATGATTTTCAAGGGGAACAAGTTATTCATTTATTATTCATGACCAAACTTGGAAGAGAACAAAACAAAACAAAACAAAACTTTCTTTCGTTCGTTCGTTTGTTGATTTATTCAAAAGTTGGATCCATATGAGAATCGTTTATATGTGTGTTTTGAAAATTGAATCATCGTCATCACAAAATTATTACATAAATCATTTGGCTACAAAAAATTTCAATTGAATCAACACACGCACAATCGATGATCGGAAATAATAGTCATCATCATCAGTATAACGAATGAACGAATGTTTTGAAGAAAGCAGAATTTTTTTTTTTTTGCTCAATTCACTGTTCATCATCACAATAACAAATACCAGACATTGACGTATGTATCATTGTAATCAAATGTGTGTTTGTGTAATCATAATTTTGCTAAAAAGAAAAATTCATTTTTTCACCCCCTCTATCCCATTCTCTTTCTTATTCAAAACGAAAAAACATTCGCTAAATCAAATGATTTTTTCCCAATAATCATCATTAGTGGAAATTGACTAATTGTGGATTTCCTGGTTTGTTGTCGTTTGTTTCATTTTTGTATTTTAGTCTGGTTCGTTTATCTTTGTGTGTGTGTGTGCGTTTTGTTTTTGTAAAGTTTGAATTTTTTTTCTGCAAATTCATCGCCATCCATCTATAGTTACGCATATGACAACATTCATTGTATTTGGATGATACATTTCATTTCCTCACAATCACCAAATCAACAAACACAAAGGTAAGATTCAAATGTTTTTATTTGGATTTTTTTTTGTTCGACGTAGTCTTCGACCATATTATACCACATTTACCAGCCATCGTCTTTTGGTTTTTGGGATGGGCACCAAAATTGTCCACAGTTTTTTCTTTTGTGTGTGTGTGTTTGCTTGTATGATTGACAAATGAAAGAAAAAGTGAGAAAAATCATTTATTTGGTTTATTATGCAGAATATTATAGAATTTACATTCATTCATCCACTTCTGCTTCTTCTGTTGCTGTCATGTGATAATAATAACATAGATTTGACCCGGTGTGTTTTTTTTTCATTTTGATCAAATTATTCTCTATCATTCTTTAAAAGATTTTTATTATTAACGGTATGTTGTGTGTGTGTGTGTTTGTGTTTGTGTAATATTCTAGCCCATTTAACCACATTCTACCTGTACATTCTATTTTTTTCATGTCTAATTTGTTTTCTATAATTCACATTATCATTATGATGATGATTATTTTCATTTTTTTTGGGTGTAGCAGCGAAAAAGAATTGGAATATTCTCGATCTATTTGTTGGTTTAATGTAGAATGATGAATTTCAATAGGTGGACAACCTGTCCAATGTGTTTTGGTTATGAATTTTGTTGTTGTTCTATGAACAAGGTTTTAGTTTATAATTTATTCAATTCGATTACAATTGTTTTTTTGTCTAAACCAATTGCCAAGTCATGTCACCGAATGTAATTTATCGAATTGAAAAAAAATGACGATGATGATGGTATGAAAAAAAAAAAAAAAAATCAAAAATCATCATCATTGTAACATACTTTTTTTTTGCTCTCTCCGAAATACTGTGGTCAAATAATAATGATGATTGTACAGATTTTTTCTTTTTTCTACTGATTACATATCCTGATGATGATGAGAATGAAAACTGTTTTCCGTTTTCCGTTTTTTTTTTTTGAAATTCTAATAATAAAAGTTTTCAATCCTTTTTGTTAAAATTTTTGTTAGTCTTGTATTTCTATTTAATTCAAAATAATATAATTTATATGCTAATCATTGTATAATTGTGTATATGAGATTCTTTTGTTAGAAAAATTCCACATTTATAAACAGAATGAATCAATGAATATATGAATGTGATGATCGATTACCACATTCTTTATCATCATCATCATCATCATTATTCTGGTCTCAATTTTTTTTAGCTAGTTTATTGTTGTTCTGGCTGGTGAGATGATGTTTGAATCAATTATCAATTGTCATTGTTATGTACCATTCATCGATAGATGATGATCGATCGATTGTACATTACATCATAGCAAACCGAAAAAGGATTATCAATGTCAATGATTTTGTTTCTAAATCGAACTTCGAAATGTTTTATTTTTATTGGTATATTTCATTTTTAGTTGAAAGATTTTTTTCTTTTGTCAAGTTGCCAAAATTTTATTCGTCATAAACGAAATAAAACACAACAAGGCCAAACAATTAATAAACACAAATTACCATGGATACCTGTTAATTTTTTTTCGAAAAAAAGAAGGCAAATTAAACAAAACCAACGGAAAAAAATCCATCGACTTTTGTAAATAGAATTGATTTTTTTTGTTTTCTTGAATTCATTTACCTTGAAACTATATATTTGTTGTTTTCGATCGATAAACACAAGATAATTATCATTCTCATTTGGCAATGCGAATGGACAAAAAGAATTTTTCGTTCAATTATCGATCCATTCGATAAATCAATTCATCATCCTTGAGTCACGAACCTCCTCCTTCACTTCAATATGTGAAGCTCATTCTGAAGAATCGGAATTGTTGACAAAATATTTATTGTCGTCGACTTTTCCTGTTTTTTTCGGTTCTGCATGTGAATCTTGTTGGATCGATTTAATTGATTTAAGTTTACCTTATTTTTTTGATTCGTATAAATTTAGCCTCCCACTATAAATTTATTCCATGAAGTTCTAATGGTTTTTTTTTAATATTCAGATTTCATCGTTCATCAATCTCATTTCACAATATTCTGTATTCAAATTCATTTTTCTGCATTCGATTCAAGTTTGTGTGTATCTTCTTCTGATTAGTTTCGAGGTCATTATCATCAATGTTTTTTTAGTTGTTTGTTCTAAAAAAAATCGAAACGAAATGCATCTGGAGCATTTTCAATAATAATTTCGTTTCTAAAAAAAAAGAAAAGTTTTTTTATTAATTAACCCGAATTTTTTTTCAAATTGAAAACAAAAACTTTTCATTTGGCTGCCCTGTTGCACTTTTTTTTATCAATCAATCAATTTCTATCTTTATCTACGTTTGTTTCAAGTGGAACAACGTTTTTTTTCAACACACACAAGCAAGAAAACTAACGAAACTAGGAAGCTGACATAGAAACCTTGAAAATTTTTTTCGTGAATGGATTGATGAAACAAATAATTATTCCTTCGTTTGTTTGTACGATCATCATCACCATAATAATAAAAAAAGACTTTAATTTAATTATCAACATATGTGTGGTGTTCCATTTATATTTTTAATGATTGCTCGTGTTTATCATTCATTTTGATTATGATGATGATATGATATGATCCAGGATCAATTTTCTATCCATCTCTCTCTCTCTCTCTGTTCATCATTTCTTTTCTCTTTCCCCTTTTTCTCTGATTGATTTTGATCGGTGTCAAATTTTTCTCAGTGTGTTTTGAATTGTTCATTGATCATTGTTCGTGTTTTATAATTGTTTTGATCTGATAGATATCTATTCAGTCATTCATTCATTATTTTTGTTGAATGATTAAAAAAAATCCTAGCAATCATATCCTTCGTCATTTCATTTTACACAATAAAGCAATAATTTTCATCAACATTTCTATTTGAGCATTCAAATGCATTTGGCTGGCACACATTCCTTCCTTATTTTATTTTAGAAATTGATGAATAAAAAATTTCAAGGTCAAATTTATTATTAAATGATAATTTTTCAATCGATAAAGATTTTCTTTTTTTTCCACAGAAATATGAAAACTTGTCGGCTGACTTTCTGAAATCTCTCTTTCTCTCACTTTTTCTTTCATTCATTCATTCATTCATTCACGATAACTGTGTTTTTAAGTCAAATTTAATGGCCGAATTTTTTTTTTTTTGTTCACTGACATAACTTTTTCCACCATGTGGACAACAAAGAGTTTGATAAAAACTTGAGTTTTGTCTGTGTGAAACCTTGTTGTTTAGTTTGTTTAGTTTGTGTGTCTATGTGGACCATTCATGTGGCCATACGCACACATCATTCATTCATTCATTCATTCATTCATTTAGCTAATTTAATCTTGTCACATTTAATGTGTTTGTCTTTTTACAATGTTTGTGTGGATCGAAAAAAATTCAATATAGCTGCCATGGTTATGTGTATTTTATATGTCAATGTTTTTTTCTCGTTATTTTTTATTATTATTAAATAAATGTCATTTATGCAAAAAAAAACGAGAAAATATGAATTATTGTTCATAATGATCAGAGACATTAATAACCACTAACCAGACATATTGTCATCCATTCTTTGCAACTTTTTTTTCTGATGATAAAAACCAAAACATTTGGCGTTTCCATTTTTTTTCATTTTTCAGTGACAACGTTGTACTAATCCAAATATGAACATAATTAGAAGGAAAAAATTCGTGATGAACATTTTGTTATGCTCGATTCTGACATCCGTTTTTTTCATTGTTTCCAATTGTCCGATCGTGATCATGAATTTATTGATTGATTAATTAATTAATCGATTAATTCAAGTGATTGATTGATGGTTGATTCGTACAAAATTGTTCATTCATGAATCAGACTAAGAAAATGATTCATTTGATTTATGTATGATTTTTTTCTTTTTGTCTGTTTGCATCTTGTAAAATTCATCATAAACATTTCAACATTTGCATTTTTTCATTCATTTATCGATCGATCAATCAATCAATCCAACATAAATCCTTTTGTTTTATTTAGTTTCATCATTTTTTTTTTTGTAAGTTTTCAATTATTTTTTGCGCCAATAATCGACATCAGTGAAAAATTTGTGTTACTTGACATACACACAAAGTGAGTAACATTAGATAGCAAAAATGAAAAATGTGAAAAAAAGAGAAAAAGAAAATTGAATCAAAATTTGAGTTCAAACTCTAGTCAACAAAAAAAAAACTTGCCTATATTAAGATTGAGATTTTTTTTCTCACTTACTGAATGACTATGAATGATTGATGTATTTGAAAGAGAGAAAGACGTGAAATAATCACATATCTCGACCTTTGTTTCATCATCATTGTCTTTAAAGATGTGTAAAGTAAAAGATGTTCCTATGTTTCGGCATCATTTACTAATCATTTTTTTGTTACATTTTTTTTCTAGGAATTTTTCAATTTCATTGATGAACAACGTTTAAATAAACAAACATTGATTGATTGATTATCCATGATTTCTCCAACTTTGAAAATAATTCAAAATTATGAATTTTGATATCAACATCAACATCATATCCACCCTCATTTCATATTGAGATCTATTTTTTTTTTTTTGTTGCTTCATTTACCATTCGTTCATTGACCATTCGTCTGTTTGTTTTGTTTGTTTATCGATCATCATCTATAATTTACGACGACGACAAACATGAATGACAATTTAGAAAATATGGCATATCATCATCATTATCATCATCATAATAATAATCAACGAAAACGACATCCATTTAATGACCACGATATGAACATGATCCATAATCGAATACGATCATCGTCATCATATCGTTCAATATTCATATATTCTATATTTCATCTATTTTTATCATCGATATTTATTCAGGTAAATAAATTATTCATTTTTATATTAATCAGACTAGAGAAACAAAAGAATTGACAATTTCCGACAATAATTCTGCCCTAAAAATTTTGCTTGTCTCTGACCTAAATTAATATATCAACTTGAAAAATATTAGAATAGAGCAGCAATATCCCAATAAAGGAAATCTGTTTCATTTATGAATCACTTAGTTATGTTTGTCATTGTCACAATCTTTCAAATCATCATCGTTATGATGTAAGGATGTTTTTGTTTGCAGCACATCAAGATATGAAAACATTTACAATTGAAACGCTTGTTTCTCTAGCCTCTTATCCATTTATTCATCATTCATTTACATTGTGTTTGTATGTTGCATTTCATGCCGAAACACGTTTCTTTTTTCATTTCTTTCCTATAGCGATTTTTTTGTTTCATGTGTTGCCCATTATAAACAAAAAAATGATCTTTCCATTCATGCATGCCTTGTCCTTGACATCTTGATCTTGATCCTGTCATTTTATTTCATTCAAAATTAAATTTTTTCCCTTATTCCTGGTTCATGATGAATGGTGAATAAAGATAACGAAAAAATTAAATGTTATGAACTTTTCTTTTAAAACATTTGCTGTGTATTTATAGTATAGTAGGATAGTAGGATTATTATATTAAAAAAAATAGTTTGCTATGTCTGGATAACATCAACTTACACATTTTCTTCTTAATCATGATCAAGGCAAATGAAAACAAAAACAACACTTTCACATTGACATTGAATCCATTCCAAGAATAAATAAATGTGAAAATAATTATATTCTTTGCTTGCTTTTGAATGATGATGTTTTCAGAAATGGTTATTTTTAGAATTTTATTATTATGAAAGTATTCATCATACATCAAACAACTCTATAAATAAACAAATGAGACATATGAATTTTTAATTTTAAATTTTTTTCCATTCAACATAGAATGCATTTGCTGCGGAATATGAAAATTTCAATTCCTCATCTATAATTAATAATACGACGACAACAACAACATCATCATTATTGTCATCGATCAGTATACTGAATGGAATTTATGATAACAATAATTCAAGCACAACAGCAAATGTTGCAAAATCACAAAATATTGATTATGACGATGACGATGATGAAGATATGGAATATGATTATTCAAATGGCAATTCCAATGATGATGATGTTGATGTTGAAAAATTTATCGTGATTCATCCTGAAATCGAACCAACAATTGATGATTATGAGAATGGATTCTGTATATCGGATAATCGTATGTCATGTGGTAAAGGTGGTTTTACCGGTGATGTTGATATACCATGTGCTCGTAATACACGGCCACAACGTTTTGAAACCGATGAAGAATTGAATCTAATACGTGATGTTTGTCCAGAATTTCTGGAAAATATGCAGCCAGGTGAAAGACCTGAACTTTGTTGTAATATGAAAGGATTACATGAGCTTCGTATTAGTTATGATATGCCTAAACAGATGGGTATAAGTCGATGTCCATCTTGTTATTATAATTTTCGCCGTTTATTTTGTAATTTTGTTTGCTCACCATATCAAAGTAAATTTTTACGTATCGATAAAACCGAATCTGTTTTGATTGGTAATGAAACCTATCAAAAGATACGTGAAATGACTCATTTCATTAATAAAGATTTTGCAAATGGCCTTTATGAATCTTGTAAATGTAAGTTTTTCGGAAAAAATCCCGTCATGTTTTTGTTAATTTTTAAAACTTTTAACACACAGATGTACAAGGCATTTCTGCTGGTCTTTATGCATTGGATCTAATGTGTGGTAGTCATGGATCGAAACATTGTAATGGACCAAGATGGATTCAATTTATGGGCATCTCTGCTGATAATGGTGGTTATGCCCCGATTCATATTAATTATGAATTTACTGAAGATGAAAAAATTCTTGTCAATAATAGTACGGTATTTGAACCAATGAATCCCGCCACCGTATCATGTGCAAATGTACCGCCGGGTTTTCCATCCGATGCTACATGTCCTTGTCAAGAATGTTCCACTTGTTTAGAATCAAAAGGTCAACAAGTTTTAGATGGCCTTTTATCGAAACTTTCCCGTGTTATGAATACACAAGAATATTCATCATTTACCATTTATAAATTGAGTGGTTGTGCAACATTTGGCCTATTTTTATATATTTTCATCGTTATTGTTGTGTTGGTATATTTTTTGATTTTTAATACAAAAGAAAAATCTTCGTATGATGGTAAGTGGGTGGTGTCATATAGGGGATTAGGGTTGTAATTTCTTCTTTTTTCATCTTGGTATAGTTTCTGAAACATTTAACGGCGATGAAAAAATGGACAATTTACAGCAACATCAACAACAACAGCAAGAAACCTATCTATCCGGTTCAAGACATGATGATGGTGGTTCATTTTCACCAACAGCAGCAACAAGTCCTGAAATAGAATCTGAAAAATTTGTTAAAATTAATCCATGTAATCAAATGGGCATTATGCAACCATTGGAACATTTGCATACCGTAAACTTGGCATTGGGAATTCGATTGGAACAATTTTTCGAACAAATTTTTCGATCATGGGGTGTTTTTGTTGCTCGAAATCCATGGTCAATAATAATTGGTTCAATTGTAATTAGTTTATATTTGGCTGCCGGCGTTTTCACCCATTATCAAGTGACTACTGATCCGGTTGATTTATGGGTACCAGCTGGTAGTCAAGCTCGTAGTGATATGGAATTGTTTAATGAAAAATTTTGGAAATTTTATCGTATCGAACAAGTTATCATTGAACCAAAATTGATGAAACCATTCACATTGGCCAACTATACAAATTATGATGGTGATGCATTGATTGAATTTGGTCCAGCGTTTGAACAACAATTCATGCTGCAAGCATTTGATTTGTATGAAAATATTAAACAATTGAAAGCACGATATTTCGACAAACGCATTGGACAAAATCGTACGATACATTTGGAAGATATTTGCTATAAACCATTGAGCGTTTCATGTGCAGTACAAAGTATTTTCACTTATTTTGGCCAAGATATTGATCAAGTTCGACGTCCAAATTATATTCGTCGAATTCAGAATTGTGTAGAGTAAGTTGTTTGTGATTTTTTTAAAATTAATTCTAATTTTTATTGAATTGTGTTGGACAGAAATGGCTTAAATCCAAAATGTTTTGGTAAAAATGATGTACCATTACCATATCCTGGTGTAGCATTAGGTGGATTTAAAGATGATCGATATTTAGAAGCTAAAGCGTTAATTATAACCTTACCGGTTGTCAATCATAATGATCCGAAATCTAACATTCCTGCAAATGAATGGGAAAAAGAATTTCTTGCATTATTGGAAATGGCCACTAAAACAAACAAATATAACTTGTTGAATCTAGCTTATAAAGCTGAACGTTCAGTGGAAGATGAGTTAGATCGACAAAGTCAATCGGATATTGTTACCGTTGCGGTTAGTTATCTAATAATGTTCATTTATATTCTATTGGCTCTTGGTGATATGGATAAATGTTCAACCATTCTGACGACGGCTCGATTTACATTGGGATTTGTCGGAGTTGCCGTTGTTTTATTGTCGGTTCTAGCATCGTTGGGTTTATTTTTTTATTTCAACATTCCAGCAACATTGATTATTGTTGAAGTGATACCATTTCTTGTGCTTGCTGTTGGTGTCGATAATATCTTCATATTGGTTCAATCATTTCAACGTGATAAACGTCAAGATAATGAAACTTTAGTGGATCAAATTGGTAGAGTTGTTGGGGAAATTGCACCAAGTATGCTATTATCATCACTATCGATGAGTGCCTGCTTTTTTATCGGTACATTGACAGAAATGCCCGCTGTACGAATGTTTGCATTATATGCGGCTGTTGCATTGATCATTAATTTTTTCTTACAAATGACCTGTTTTCTTGGCCTGTTCACATTGGACACTAAACGTCAATTGGATCATCGTTTGGACATTTTTTGGTGTATTAAAACATCAACCAAAAAACGCGATGTTGACAATATCAACAAAGAAAGTGTCCTTTATTTATTATTCAAAGATATCTATTCATCTGCATTGCTGCAAGATAAAGTTCGCATGGTAACATTATTAGTATTTGGCGCATGGTTTTGTTCATCATTTGCTGTTCTGGATAAAATACACATTGGTCTAGAACAAGACCTAACGATGCCTGAAGATTCATATATGATAAATTATTTCAATTTTTATCAAAAATATTTTGTCACTGGACCACCAGCATATTTTATGATCACTGATGCTGGTTTGAACTATTCAGATCCAAATATTCAACGTATGCTTTGTACACAGAATAAATGTGATCCAAATTCATTGCCATCAATATTGGGAATGCTTTCGAAACGACCAAACATGACATATATTCAAACGAAACCTGTATCATGGGTCGATAGCTATTTTGAATATCTTGAAAGTTCAAATTGTTGTTATAAAAAATCTCATAATCAAACACATGATGAACAATGTTTTGATGATCGTAAGTGTTTTTGTTTGTACTTTTTTCCAATAAATAAGTGTCAATTTTTTCAATTATCCCAGGCACTGAATGTAAAATGTGTTGGCCAAAAGAAAGCTGGCCAAGTGGATCAGATTTTATTCGTTTTGTGCCATTCTTTCTGCAACAACCACCGAATTCTGATTGTGCTAAAGCCGGTCTTGGGCAATTCGATGATGCCGTGCGATATGAATGGCTTGAAGATGAAAATAATATAGAGATTTCAAGTATGTGTTGTTGTTTTCGTTTTGATTTTGATGAATTTTGATGAATAATCGTTATTTTTCACTCACTCATTTTTCTCATTTTCAGCAACTTATTTATCAGTTTATCGAAGCGTATTAAAAACTTCGGAAGATTTTTATGAATCTTTACGTTCATCACGTGAAATTGCTGCAATTTTAACGGAAAAGTTACGTAATGCAACCGGCACTGAAGCTGTCGTCAGGCCATATAGTCTTCCAGATGTTTTCTATGAACAATATCTTACAATGTGGCCTGATACAATCAAAAGTTTAGGAATCTCAATATTAGCCATTTTCATTGTAACATATTTATTTTTGGGTTTGGATTTTTATTCCGCTTTAATCGTGGCTGTCACAATTCTGATGATTATTGTCGATTTAATGGCAATGATGTATTGGTGGGAAATATCATTGAATGCCATATCATTAGTCAATTTGGTTGTCGTAAGTTTTTTTCGTTGTTGTCAAATTCAATTCATGACATTTTTTTCAACTTTTTTTCTTTCTCCACAATCGCGCCGCCAATAGGGTGTCGGAATATCTGTCGAATTCTGTTCACATCTGGTTCGTTGTTATTCGATTTGTTCGTCACCAACACGTATACTTCGTGCAAAAGAAAGTTTGGAAAAAATGGGCAGTTCAGTATGTATTGTTGTTGTTGATTGTAGAAAAAAGTTTCTTTTTTTTGACAATTTTAATTAATAACTAAAAATGAAAATTGTTCTATTTTCTCTATTTTATTTCACTTTGCTCACAACAGATTCTATCCGGAATCACACTAACCGATTGTGGTATATTGATTTTAGCATTTGCAAAATCCAAAATATTTCGTGTATTCTATTTTCGAATGTATTTGGGTATTATTCTTTTTGGTACACTACACAGCCTTATATTTTTGCCGGTACTATTATCGGTGATTGGACCACCAATTAATAAACAACGATTATTTCTAAATGATTTACATCATCATCGTCGTAATCATCATCATTCATTTCGACGTCATCGTAGTGATAAAAATTGTGTATTGACATATTCATCATCATCATTATCATCATCGTCGTCGTCGACATCATCCTCACCTACGCATTTTTCACTAAATAAAACGAATAATCAGCAACAACAACGAAGAAGAATTTCTGATTCATCCACTGAATCAATTCCACAAACAAGACAGAATAATCATCAACCAGAATTGGTTACAACCACTGTTGATATGCAACCGAAAAATTGTTATTGTTAAAATAGAAACCATACACATAAATAGGTTTAGATTATATGTTTAAATTTAAAGTGCCATCAATTGTGCAAAATGAAACGATAACAAATGCGAAAAAATCAGACAACCTGCAACAACAGAATTTCCTATACATTCCCATTCAGTCAGTCAAATATATAGAAAAAGAAATTAGTCTCATTTCATTTCATCTCTTCTTATTATCTCTTTCTTTCTTGTATTCATAAATCTGTGATTTACAATTTTATTCGATTCACTTTTATTACTAATTGGAAATATATCATATTATTCATTCACTTGTTTCATATTTTATTATTTAAATATTTAAATTGGAAATGAAATTGATTGGTTGATTAACAACAAATTACCATCACACACTTCATATGATTATTTTTGTTTTTGCCGTATTATTTTTCTATATATAAATTACACATAATAATTACAATCATTTATTGATTGATTTGAATTTCTTTTTGTTTCTTTATAATGTTGAAATAAAGTGAGAATGAAAAATCATGATCTTAGTATGATTGATTGATTTCCATCATCATCATTATTGAATAAACCAGAGTTTTTTTTTGTTAACGACCAAACATGAAACAGAACCAATGTTTTTATTTTTTGTTTTGTTGGTTGGTTGTCTATCTTATCGATTATTGGATAATTTCCAATGAAAATTTCAAATGTCCGAAGTGTTATTCCAGACATGTTTTCAACCCAGATGAAATCATTTGGTTATATGGATGGTTCTTGAATGGCTTCTTTTTTGCAAAATCTGTTTTTTTTTTTTTTTTTGCTTCAACTTAAATCCACCAGTATACATTAGAATCTTCTGATTTTATTAGATCGATCAAGAGATTCGATAATGCATTTTGTTTTTTTTTTTCATTGCAAATTACTTTTTTTGGTATTTTCATTGAACATTTTGATGATAAATAATAGATTCATTCTGTTTGCGTGAACAGGGTTTGATTTTTTCTTTCAATTTGATGATGATGGCTATTCTGGAATTCGTGATGAGCCATTGTTTTAGATTGCTGGACAAATTCAATTTTTTTTTAGCTTGCAGCTTGATTCAGATTTTGGCTTCATTTTTGCTTATAAAATACATGTATGCTAATGGTCTATGAAGGAATAGAAATCTGATCCAAAATCTGTAAATATTTATTCTGATCCGATTGAAAATGTTTCATTGATTGTGTAACGATGACATGTTTAAATTTGTTTTTGTTTTTAAATGTATTTTTTCTGCAAAATTCTTCCGGTTTATGTGTAATTGTTGTGCTTGTTTGTTTTAGGGTTTCTTTTATTTTTCTTTATTCTGGAAATATACAATGTGTGTGTGCCGCTATTGTTATCAATTCACAAATGTGCTCACACAAACACAGACTTGTCATTTTCATTATTGATTTGTATACGATGATTCCATTGTTCCATGTTTGGTTTAGTCATCAATGTGATGATTATCATTGTGAATTGAAGAATGAGAATCATTAATAGATGAAAAAATTCACATTCCATTTTTATTATCATTCGGCAATAATAATGATAATAGAAGCCATGAGAATTTTCCTTTCTCTTCAGGTTATTTTAACCATCAATTTCATAATTTTTTTTTTTTTTTTTTTTTTTTGGTGATTCCACATTTTTTTGATTGATTCTACCCGCACATGTATGGCTGATTATTTTGAAATTCTTAGCTCATTATTATATAGTCATTATATGGAATTCTGTTTTTTTTTGTTCTGGAATAATTATTAAAATGTGTGTGTGTGTGTGAATTAATCAGCTCTCGAATAATATTTGGCCAACGACTGACTCAAATACATATGTAAATCGCTGTTATCGCTGTTACTGTAAATGATTATGGTAGGAATAAAACAAACGAAAATATATTTGAAAATGCAAAAAAAAAATTTGAAAAATCCATTATCAATATCATCATTTCTACAATGCTAAATTTCATTCTCGCACATATTTATTTATATTGATTTTTTGCCTGAATATATTTTGAGATTCTCAAGCAAATACGTGATGTGATCGTTTTTTTTATTGTCTAATGGAAATTGAGAATGTAATGTGATTACACCATCATGAATCATGTTGATGATGATGATAATTTCAATGATCAATTTTTAATGATTTTCAGAGTAATAATTTCATATATGATGATAATCAACACCATCATCATAGCGAAAAACGAGAAAAAACATTGCTGTCCTGCTTATTAATGAACAAACAAAATAATTTCTCTTACTCATGGTGATCTATCTATTTATTTGATATATAAAAATAGAAAAACAAAACAAACGAAAAAATGAACAAATAAAAGTTTTATAATTTCTATATGTTTCTCTGCCCATTTCGTCAATGAGTGAGAGAGACGAAACATAAATAAATAAATAAATTAGCTTGATAATAAGCCATTCATATATTGTTTTCGAGTTGATTTTGTTGATGAATTGTTTGTCCCATAAAGAAAATATTCGTGTATCAGAATAAAAAAAATGCCGATAGAATTTGACATTTGAAAACATTAATTCTGTTTCCGAGCTTTAAGAATTTCTTTATCAACAATGTTATTGATGATGATGATGATGATATTGACAGCACAATCATTGTTGTTGCTGTTATTGTTTTTTATTCGGGTCAACACCCAAAAAAAAATATTGAGTACCGTACAATTCTTGTTTGTTTGTTTTTGAATGATAATTTTTATCGATTGAATTGAAAGTCATTATATTTTTTTTCTGCTTTTATTGATCTCTAATGAACTATTAAATGTGAATGATGAATTCTCTGTGTGTGTGTGTGTGTGTGTGTGTATGTTTCAGTAGTGCAGTGCTGTAGTATTTGAGGAGTTATTTTTATTATAATTGTAATTGCAGCCATTTGAAATGTGTTTTTCCTTATTTGGTCGTTTTCCCAGTTATACAGGATTATAGGGTTGTTCTTCACAAGGAAAACGAAAAAAAGGATCAAGATCGAAATTCCTTTTTTTTGGATCAAGTGAAACATGGTTACAATTTTTTCCCTTTTTATTTCTTTCTTCTATTTTGATCCTTCAAATTCATTTCATTTCATTTATTTACCCATTGCCAATTTGATTGAATTTGAATTGTCTATTGTCTATGGATGCTTCTAGTGCTGCAATTTTTTTCTCTAATTCCACAATATGTGATGTTGTTAGATATTGGAAATTGCAAATTCACAACAACAAAAAAAAAAGATTTGTCAAGAAAATTCTTCAGGCAATTTTTTTCGTTTGTTTGTTTGGCTAGAATTTCATTTCAATGCTTACGACAAAAGAGCTTTAGCGGGTTAATTATGAATGAATGATTTAAATTACAAACACAGAGAGAGTGACGTGGAAAATGAAAACAACAAAAAAATGTAGCAAAATATTTCCAAATAAGAGATGCAACAACAACAATAATAAATAGTCAAAAATCAAAATCAAAATTATCCAAATACTAAATAAACACACACACACAATCGATTGATTGAATCGATATGATTTTATTAGCTGTAGTTGTTGCTTGATGAATGTTTGAGGCAATCATATGGTCGGTTATTTTCTGTGGAAATATTTCAAACGTTGGACGAAACAAAAACAATATTTTGCTCACTTTTTTTCATCATTCAGTTCTTTTTTTATAACCATGGATTGATGGAACAAATAAAGATTTTTGTTTGTTTTGTTCATTTTTTTCTTGTTTTGACTGGTTCGATTATCAAGCACGCAATGTTTGTCACGTCGTTTTTGTTATGTTATTCTGTTGGATCACTATAACTTTATATGAAAAGAATTTTTTCTCTTCTCTTCTTTCTCTTACTCGTTATTGTTCTGAAAGAATTTTCTCGATTTTTCACGAATATAATGAGTAATGACTCTCTCTCTCTCTCTCTCTCTTTGGTTGTAATGATGACCTAAATATCAATGATGACGATCATTTTTCCCTATTATTTAATTGTTATGATGAATGATTAGATTCGGTAACAATAATATCGAATATGAATTGGCGAATTTTTCTTTCTCATTTGGTCCACATAGAATCCATAATTCTAAATGATCAATTCTTGATTCTCTCTCTCTATTGTAATTGTCATTGTCATTCATATATTTTAGTACCGGAAAAGACTGGTTATTTCTTTTCTTTTCTTTCTTCATTTTGTTCATTATAATCATAATCATCATCATTACTATTATCCATATTCAAAACCATGCGATGGTTGATATACAACATTTACTATTCATCAAAATTCATTCCCGAGAAGAAGAAGAATAATTTCCGAAATTCTGATTCTAATCCATAATCATCATCATTTTTATCAGCCAGCTATGTTTCATTTAGAAAAAAAAGTTTACTTTTTTTTCTTATCTTTCTTACTCGTATGCAATTCAATTGTCTCTCGTTTGTTGTTTGTGTCGTCAATTGTGCACATTTTTATCAATCGAATGTAGTTTAGTTACATGGTAACACACACATACATATCAATATATTGTTGTTGTTGTTGTTGTTATTTATTGATTGTCCGATCGAATAAATCGAAACTTGAATGAAAAAAAAACAAATTGATCATATCACAACCATGTTTATTCACGAAAAAATAAAACCAAAATCTGTCCATGAAAAAAAAAATTTTCCATAGAAAAATTCTTTTTTTCAAACAAGATTCGAGAAAAAAGTTTGAATAATGAAATGAAATGGAATGAAGAAAAAATAAAAAATGAATGAATGAATGCAGCAATTTTATTTATTTTGATCATCATGTTCTTTATTTTTCTAAACTCTTTTGTATTTTTTTTTCAATTCATCTATTTTTTTGACCATCAGATCATCGAGATAGTTTGAAAAGTTATTCTTGAGCAGAAAAGCAAAAGAATCAAGAATTTTTAACAATTTTAATTTTTCTCTTCATCTTGACTGTTTAAACGTTTTTTGTTTCTATTTGTAAAACTAGAGAATGGATGACAATATTTTTTATTCCACTGAAATTTCATTTTTCACGATTAGGCAGGTTCATTGATGAATATGATACTTTCACATTTTTTTCTGGTTTTTATTTTTAGATTCTTGCCACCACCACCTTGCTGTCTATATATCACTAGAAGTTCAGGAGCTCGATTTCGAAATTTTTCCAAGTTATGAAAAAATAGAAATGATATAGAAATCACACAGAAGCACTTGATCATCACTTTTTTTCCTGGTGCAAATTTCAGATTCTCGATAATAATGACTGAATTCCAGATGTTCAAGATCAATCAATTGATAATAGGTGATCAATTTGGTTT